CTCTCTTCCTCTCTTCCTCTCTTCCTCCTCAGTCCCATCGCGGCACCTTCTCCCCCCTTCCCTCTCTCGGCAAAACCCCTCTCAGCCACCTCCTCACATCCCTGACCTCCCTCTCACTCCACGCATGCGCCAAGCCAGGATACGACCGGAACTGGGTGTTGGTTAGGTTGAGGCGGGTCGAAGGGTCGGTGTAGTAGAGAGAGGTTGCGGGGAGGTGTCGCGTGCGGGTGGAGCGGGTGAGTGAGAGGGGAGAGAGGAGCGCGGCGGAGAGGACGGCGTCGGAGTAGCTGCGAGCATTGCGAATAAAGGCCGGGGTCAGTCGGCGGTTCCGTCGCGCGTCGTATGCGAGCGGAGCGGCAAGGACCAAGACGCACGTAACGTCGACATCGGCCTCGCCGTGTCCCCAAAAGATCGGCAGCTCCCGTCTGTCGAGGTCAAAGACGAGCTGTCCTCCTCCAAATCCGTCAGCCTCCCTCCTGCTGCTCGAGAATCGAAACGCACGCACCCTCGACATATCCTCCCTGACCGGCAAATACCCGCTCAGCACCATCGCGCCTCCTAGCATCCGCTCATGCGTGAGCGCCACGAGAAGCGCCAGGACTCCACCCTGCGAGAAACCCGTCACGAGGATCCTCTTGCTCGCCCAGTCCTTCTCCTGCTCTGTTCCTATCTCTGCGTCCTCGCCTTCCTCGCTCTTCACACGCGAACCTCCCCCTCTCGCCCTCAAGGAACGGATCAACCTCCCCCTCTCCCTTCGGATAACCTCATTAACGCCCCTCGCGCTCGCAAACAACCTCTCATGATCTCGATCTGCGATGGGGTCGTAGGGGAACCGTCGGATGTCGTACCATGCCGGACGAAGGGTTTGGTTCGAGACTGTGATGGGAATCTTTGGGCTGCGCGGAGCAAGTGGAGAGGATTTAGTAGGAGGAAAAGGAGGGCGGAAGGAGGAGACGCACGCGACGGGGATTACCCAGCGGACGGAGGGGTGAGATTTGCTTGCGACGTCGGGGAGGAGGGCGTCGTCGGGCGTTTGTCCGAGTCCCTGTGCCAACGAATTGCTCTCGTCAGCCCATCTCCTGCGCATTGCGAAAGCGGAAGAGACCGAAAGGAGGAAGAGCGCGACGCACCGTCAGATAGATAACAGTCGCCTCATGCTCGCTCCCCTCCTTGTGCTCCCTCGTGACAACCTCCAACTCCTCTCCCCTCTGCTGATCAGGTCTCCGCCAAAACCACTCTTGCCGCCGGTCCTGCCAGTACTCGAGTTCGGTTGGATGGAGGGTGAGGCGGTCCGAGGGAGAGGGAGGAAGGCGAGGGGAGGGAGAGCGGGATTTGGAGAAGGGCGGTTTGCGGCGCGGCGTACTGACGGATGAAGGAGAGAGGTCCTCTGGAGAAGGGCGGAGGAAGGTTGCGAGTCGGAGGAGGAGGAAGAAGCCGAGTAGCGCAATGCAGGCGAGTCGTATCGCGCGAAGGAGAGGTTTCCAAGGTGTTTGCGCTCTGGCCCGGTAAGGTGGAGAGGTAGAGGGTCCTACTGTGGCGAAGGAAGGGCGGCGGAGGTCGGAGGGTGTGAGGGAAATGAGCGGGTCGCAGAAGGTCGATTTAGTCGGCGAGTGGGGTAGGCCGCCGCTCTGCGTCGACAACTGGTCATGGGCGTCGCTGGCAACACCAAGCGACGCATGCGGCAACGAACGGCGCGACGAAAACGGCTCGGCGGTGGTTTCTGGTGTCGAAGCGGGAACGATGGCGGCCGAGTTTCGGCGTCGCTTTGGGATTCGCTCGGGGAGTACGTCAAGACCGCCGCGTGCGGAGACGTCGAGTACGACGGAAGGGACGGGTGCGGGCGAGGAGGAAGGGTGGGAGAGGGAGGAGTCGGCAGGGAACGTCGAGGTGTCGTTAACGAGCCGGTTGACCCATGATGCCCGTCGCATGTCCGTCCGATACCGTCTCCCTCAAGCAAAGGCCGCTCGCAGGCGTTGTCGCTGGCAATCGCCTGGACTGTCGATGGCTTGGCCGCCAAAGTCCGTCGCAGGTCGTCCTTCCTCCCGCGAATCCTGCACCTCCGTGCGACCAACACGACAGTAACGGAGAATTCGAGTCGTATCGTCGTGCAGGGGCTGCCGTCAAATGCAGCGGACGAAGTGGAGTGCCTTTGTTCCGTCCCGAGGAAAGATGGCTGCCGAGCGGGGCGCCAGCGATACCTCCTCGTGCGCGAGTTCGAGGCAGACGAGTGCAGCTAGCAGTAAGCCTGTGCACGCTTGAGCAGTCGCAGGGAGAGCATGGCGGGAGAGAGCAGAGGAGGACACCGCGGGAAGGACTTGCAGGAAGACGATCGCCGAGTCGATTGAAGCAAGACGAGAAAGGGGCGGGCTGGGCGAGGGGACATGCGCACATCCACTCGAGGACAGACGCGCGGGATGGAGCAGTCTCAGCGTGGTAGACTGCAGTGCGAAGCGGGAGCAGCAGCGCGGCGAAATTGAGAAAAGCGAGACGACGAGGGCGCGCAAATGAAGGCTGAACAGGCGAGGACTGGCACTGGCGGGCCGTCAAGCGGGCGTAGCAGGAGCCTAAAAGTACCATGGTCGTCAAGGAGCCAGAGGCGGCGCAGCAAAGTGCAGTGAAGCAGTTGTAGAGGGGCTGCGAAGAGGGAGCGAGGAGAAGAGCAGATCTTCTCCGCGCCCACAACCTCGAGCGAGTTCAGCGGGTAGCCCTCGGTTCCTAAGCACATGTAGCGCAGGTCACAACACGCCTTCCACCCCGCCAAGTTGAGCGCATGAGTCGTACGAGATGAGCGAGGAGGGTGAGGTCGAGGGGAGGAACAACAGCTCGCCGGGGTGCCGGGCAAAGACAGGCAGCCCAAGCTAGCCTAGCAACAATCTCTCAGCCAGCCAGCACGCCCGCCCAGCTGGCAGACAGCGTTGACGAGGTGTTCGTCCGCGCTCAAGCGGCCGCTCGCGAGGTTTGCCGCCCTCCTCACCCGCTCTCCGCCTCTTTCCGTGAGTGTGGCATGCTCAGAGTGCTCGCACGCGCTGCACGAGGACTCTACGCACCTGCACGAACTTGCGCTGACCGCGCCAACCTCTTTGCCAGCTCGCTTCCTCCTCCCTTCTTCCCCATGGCCGCCGAACTCTCCCACCCGCTCATCGTGGGTGCGTACAAGTATCAGTCATCTTGCCAGACCCGCAGCTGATTTTCTACCGCTCCTCGCGCAGACGGATGGTTCCGGTGCGCTCTTCACCCTCCACTCCTCTCCATCTCATCGCCCTCGCGCTAACTCCGTCTCGCTCTCCCCTTTCGTGCACAGTGAGATCTCGGAGCAATGGCCTGGTGAGTCCGCCTCCTCCCCCTCTTGAACCCCGCGCAAAGGAACGGATCCCAACGAATTCTCGCCCGGACGGCCAAACTGACCACTCCCGCAAGGGGATGGCACTGCAGGTCAGGCCATGACGCTCCGCGTCAAGAAGGTCCTCCACACCGAGAAGTCGCTCTACCAGGACGTCTTGGTGTTCGAGTCGACCGACCACGGGAACGTCCTTGTGCTCGACGGCGCTATCCAGGTGCGCACGCTTCCTCAGGCGTTCGCGGACGTCGAGCTGACCGAGTGAACGTCTCGCAGTGTGTCGAGCGCGACGAGTTCTCGTGAGTCAGCCAAAGGGAGGCAACGGACGATTCAGCGCTGATCGACGACCCCCCTCGCAGCTACCAGGAGATGATCGCGCACCTCCCTCTCGCGTCGCACCCGAACCCGGAGAAGGTCCTCGTCATCGGTGGTGGCGACGGCGGTGTCCTTCGCGAGGTCCTCAAGCACCCGAGCGTCAAGTCGGCGACGCTGTGCGACATTGACGAGGCCGTCCCGCGCGTCTCGAAGCAGTTCCTCCCGCACATGGCAGCCGGCTTCAACGACCCTCGCGTGACCGTCTTCATCGGCGACGGGTTCAAGTTCCTCGACGACAAGAAGAACGAGTTTGACGTGATCATCACCGACTCGTCCGACCCCGTCGGCCCGGCCAACTCGCTTTTCCAGAAGCCGTACTTCCAGCTGCTCAAGGAGTCGCTCCGCGAGGGCGGTACGATCTCGACGCAGGGCGAGTGTGTCTGGCTCCACCTCCCGCTCATCAACGACCTCATGTCGATGTCGCGCACGCTCTTCCCCAAGGCCGAGTTTGGCTGGACCTCAATCCCGACCTACCCCTCGGGCACGATCGGTTTCGTCGTCGCCACCCTCGACGGCAAGCGCGACCTCCGCACCCCGCTCCGCGACATTCAGGGCTGCCGCTACTGGTCCAAGGCGATCCACCGCCAGGCGTTCACCCTCCCCGCCTTTGCCCAGGCCGTCGTCGACAAGAGCCTGAAGCCCGCCGCGCCCGCTAACGCCCAGCCGAAGAAGGTCCTCCTCCTCGGATCGGGCTTTGTCGCCCAGCCCGCCGCAGAGTACGTCCTCCGCCGCGCGGAGAACTCGCTCGTCGTCGGCTGCCGCACGCTCGCGACTGCCCAGCAGTTCGTCGAGTCCCTCCCCCGCCCTGCGACCGCCATCGCCGTCGACTCGTCCGACGAGGCCTCGCTCGACAAGGCCGTTGCCGACTGCGACCTCGTCATTTCGCTCATTCCGTACACCCAGCACGCCAACGTCATCAAGAGCGCCGTCAAGCACAAGAAGGACGTCGTCACCACCTCGTACGTCTCGCCCGCCATGAAGGCCCTTCACGACGAGGCTGTCGCCGCCGGCATCACCGTCCTCAACGAGATCGGCCTCGACCCCGGTGTGAGTCCCGCGTGATTACGCTTTCCAGATTGCTGCTCTATTGGAGCCTGCCAGATTCGTGTTGACGCGCCGCCTCCCGCAGATCGACCACCTCTACGCCGTCAAGACGATTGACGAGGTTCACCAGGCCGGCGGCAAGGTCAAGGGCTTCCTGTCGTACTGCGGCGGTCTCCCTGCTCCCTCGGCTGCCGACAACCCCCTCGGCTACAAGTTCTCGTGGTCGTCGCGCGGCGTCCTCCTCGCGCTCCTCAACTCGGCCAAGCTCTACTCCAAGGGCCAGCTCGTCGAGATTGACGGCAAAGACCTCATGAAGCACGCCAAGCCGTACTACATCAACCCCGCTTTCGCCTTTGTCGCGTACCCGAACCGCGACTCGACGCCGTTCCGCGAGTTCTACAACATCCCCGAAGCCGAGACGGTCGTCCGCGGCACGCTCCGCTACCAGGGCTTCCCCGAGTTCATCAAGGCCCTCGTCGACATCGGCTTCTTGAACGAGTCGCCCGTCGAGTACCTCGCCAAGGGCGCCCAGGCCCTCCCGTGGGCCGAGGTCACCCAGCGCGCGCTCGGTGCCCAAACCGCCGACGAGGCTTCTCTCATCGCCGCCGTCAAGACCAAGACGCAGTTCCCCTCGGCCGAGGAGGAGGAGCGCATCATCTCGGGCTTGCGCTGGATCGGCATCTTCTCGAACGAGCCCGTCTCGAACCGCGGCTCGCTCCTCGACACCCTCTGCGCGACTCTCGAGGCCAAGATGCAGTACGAGAAGGGCGAGCGGGACATGGTTATGCTCCAGCACAAGTTTGAGATCGAGAAGGCGGACGGAACCAAGGTGCGCACCCGGACTCGATTTTTTTTTTTCGCGACCTTTTGCGTTCGTCGGCTCACACGTCTTTTCTGCTTACAGGAGGTCCGCACATCGACGTTGCTCGAGTACGGCGCGCCGACTGGCAGCGACGGCCCGTCCTTCATGGCGGTCTCTGTTGGCCGCACCTGCGGTGTCGCGGTCCAGCTCGTCCTCGACGGCCAGATCAAGCAGAAGGGAGTCTTTGCTCCCTACACTCGCGACGTCGTCGACCCTCTCCTCGCGGCGCTCGAGGCCGAGGGCTTCTACAAAATGGTCGAGAAGGTGCAGTAGGCGCACTCCTCCTCCTCCTCTCCCACGCCTAGACGCGTATCTCCATGGCATGTAACGCATAACAGTTGTCCCCTACGCTCATTCGCGACGCTGGATGGGCGCTACGAGAGGCTCAGCCCCGCTCAGGCCGCTTGACACCTTCATCTCCTCGTTCTCGCACTTGTCTGTCTACACAGTCTCCGGCCCTCGCCGCTCGCTAGACTCTCGCTGAGCCACACGCTCTTGCACGCTCATCATCGATGTACCAGCCACCGCGACTCGCCGCCTGACCCTCCGGGAGCATGGGGAGGAGAGGAGGTGCGAGCGAAGGTGTAGACTCTCGACTCTGGCTTTGCGAGGCGGAATTGCACGGCAGGGAGAGTTACTCTCGAAGGTTCGGAATGGAGGATCAGGCGGCGGGAGTAGCTTTGCGGCGTCCACTGTCTCGAAGAGGGGATCTTCCTCGACTCTCACCTTCGCCCGAAGCGAAGCACGCGCATCTTGCGACGGATGACATATGAGAACGACGGCTGGAGTGTGCTGGAGACGACGGAAGGGGTCCGGAGGCTGTACGCGAGCGGCATCACACGGGCGTGCACTTCACACGGCTTCACCGCCTGGACGCGACGCGGTGACAGCGCATTCGAGGGTGCTTTCATGCTCGAGCGCACGGCGTTAGACGAAATTATCTGGCGCGCCCGGATGGGCTCAAGCCCGCTGAGCGGCAGGCTCGAAGACTCGTCGATTTCGAGGATTCCCCTGCGCAAGAGGCGCTTCATTGAGGCGGTTCATCCACGCGAGCGAGCGCGCTTGTGGGCAAGTGTCGATCCTCGACCTCTTTCAGCTGCTTTTCCCGCGCGCTCAGCGCCGGGCAGCCTGCTCGTGCGGGAGGAGAACGCGGGATCACATCTTCGTCACAATCTGCTCTCGTCACGGCTCCGTAAACGAGCGGACCTTCCGCACGGCCTGACGGGCTAGACGAAGCGGCATTGCATTACAAGCAAGCTTGCGCTGGTGAGCGCGCGGCTTCAAAGACGAGCGCAGCTGCTCGAGATTGCGAAGGTCAAGGCCGAGGTTCTCACTTTCACTCGGTGTACTCCAGCCGGCGCAGGGCCCGTCGAGGCTCGCAGAACAGCAGTCCAAAGCTGTCGCCACCACTTGCCGCCAAGCGTCGGAGGGCGCAAGCTGGAGAAGGCGCGCTAAGGACGTCCGCTCAGAAGCTCGCGCTCGCCTCGAGCATCGCTTGCGGTACGAGTCCGGCTCTAGCAGCACTGGCAGCAGCGCATTGAGGCAGTCTGTGCATGCTCGAGACGCGGATCAGCGTGGCGTGGGACGTTTTCTGGCAGGCTGTCACGTCGTGGCAGGTGAAGCGGTGAGTGCGCCGGGCGAGCGAGAACCTCGATCAAGGCGTGGGACGGGCGTGAGGGCTGCTGCTGGCCGGAGGGTTTGCTCCGATGTGAGAGAACGCCAGGCCTGGCCAATCTCTCGAGCATTGAGACACGAGGAGGTGAGGGACGAAGCTGCGTTCCGCGACGTGAGCTTCAGGTCCGCCCGGTCTGGAGAAGGCGGATAACGTGGAGAAAAGTGTGGAGCCCTGCGCTGATCGAGCATGCAGCCAGCTTCCACAGCGCTGCCGCCCTGAGGTGTGCTCCCGACGAACCAGCTGAGGCGCTCAAGCGATAGGAGCGGGTCGACAAGCTTGCTTGGCCAGCAGGGCTGACTTGCCTCTCGCCTCGCATCGTAGCCGCCACAGAGGAGGCGAGCGGGGGCGCTTGTCGAGGCGCGCCAGCAGACGTGACGGTTCTCTCTCGCTCCTTCCCTCACGCAGCGACGCCGCCGGCCCTTCATCCCCGGACGGTACCTGTTCCGACCCCATATTTCGACCACGCTTCTCCCCCGCGATCTCGCTTCTCTCCTCGACTGCGTGCGTTCTTCACATTCGCCGCTCCGACGCTCCTCTCCTCCCTCCTAGCCATCCTCCACGCGCCTCGTCCTTCGAGGCTTCGTCTCCTTCCGCTCTCCGGCATCGTCTGCATTCGTACCCATCTCCGTCGCATCCTCCCTTCTCAGCAGTACCCAGCGCTCCTCTCCCGCTCAGCATCCGCACATTCACCCACCCTCGATTCCGGTCGTCACGTTCACTCGTCGACGCCTTTCCTCTTCATCTTCTGTGCCAGCATCATTCTCCTGCGTGCGTCTCTCTCCTTCCCTCGAGGCGCAGGCGCACGAGAGCGCGAGACGAAGGCGCAACTTGGCTAACTCGCGACTTCTCCCACGCAGATCTCCCGTCTCCCGCTGTTCCAACGATGGCTACCGCAGCTCTCGCCATGGTACACGACGCCGCCGTCGAGGTCCAGTCTGCCGAGGAGGCTCAGCGCGACTTTCTCCTCCAAGGCGTCTTCATCCACCCCGACCACCTCGCCCAAGGCTTCTTCGCCGACGAGTGCACCGACTACTCGTCCTCGTCTGGATCGTCGAGTTTGCTCTCGTACGACGACGAGGAGGACGTCCCCACCGACAGCTTGTCGGGCCTCGCGCTCGAGTGCACCTTCAGCTCCGCCCAGCAAGAGGAGACGCGTGACTACTTCGCCTCGCGCCAGGTCTTCACCAACGCGTCGCCCTTCGCTCCCAGCATGCCTCTAGCAGAGACCGAGCAGCAGTCGCCATCGTTCTCGGACGCGTTCCCTCTCGCTCCGACTTTCTCGCGCCGCTCCTCCTGCATGTCCGTCGCGTCGGACGTCCCCATGTCGCCCGCCATGCCCGCAACGTTCTCGTTCGCAACGTTCGCGGCCCCGTCGTCGCGTCCCTCTACCCGTGCCCCTTCGCCCGTCCGTGTGCACCCTTACGTCCGGCCGACTGGCGCCGACATGATGCGGTCGGTCTCGTCGCCCGTCGAGACGCAGCGCCAGCTCGAGGAGCGCCAGCGCCGCATGTCGACCGCCGAGAACGTCATGGACGTCCGCGCGATCAAGATGGCTCGGAGCAAGTCGACCGCGTCGACCCCGACCGGCGAGGCCTTCTCCGGAGGCGCTTCGATGGCTCACACCTCCGGCAAGCTCTTCTCGCCTCTCGCTGCGTCGTTCGGTGAGGACTGGGGCAAGACGCTCCCGCCGCGCGAGTCGGAGGCGCCGCCTCTCGTCCCCTTCCCCTACAACGTCGCCCGCCCTCCCGTCTCGCCGACACGCAACGCACGCTCGCACTCGTTCGCAGGCCGCGAGAACGTCTACATCGCGCCTGCGCATCACCGCAACTCGATCCACTGCATCCTCCCGCCCTCCGCATCCTCCGGCGCGCCCGCTCCCTCGTCACCGACTATGCCGCGCCACGCCCGCCGCGCCTCCCGCATGAGCATCGCGCCTCTCACGCCGATCCTGCCACAGTCGCCCGAGCTCCACCCAATCGACGAGATGAGTTGCGCCGCGCAGGCCACGGCAGCATACGTCCCTTCGACGGCATCTCCGGTTCGCAACCGTCTCCAGCGCGGCATGACCTTCTAGCTCGACCCTGCCTCGCCTCCCGACGTGCCCTCTCCACCATTACCATCGCATTCTGTTCATACCATTGCATCCGCCCAGCTGTCGACGCCATCCAGCACATCGTACATTGATTCCCTTTGCCGCATGTCCATTCATCTCGCCATCCCGCCCTCCGCCGTACCCTCTCTCCGCACCCTCTTGTCGTCTCACCATCATCAGCATTCCCCGCCGCGCTCGAGGCAACCGTCTGTACCCCTTCATCCTTGCTCGTCGCATCGTCCGTCCAGCATGAAAAGTATCATAGCATCGCATCGACGTCTCCCGCTGCTGCCCAAGTCTTCCGCGAGCGAGAAGAGTGACTGTACGCTGCTGTGCGCCATCGAGAGAAGGGTCCTTCGTCCTTCGTCCGCCTTGTCCGGCCTGAGAAGGTCGCCTCTGTCGGTTCTCGCTTCGGCTCCGTCCACTCGCTTTACTTTGCCAATTCCGTCAGTCACAGATCTTCGTGCTGCGAGCATTTGCGTCGCTGCAGATCCCTCCCTTCGTCGCTTCGCTCCGTCGCCGCGACAGAGACATCCATTCGATCGCGTCCTCCTCGACGGAGAACCGGCGTTGGACTGGGTAAGAGGTCTCGTCGACGAGCTCATCAAGATCTGTGCTAGATAGCCGGCGTTGAAGCCCGTCTCGATTATCTCGTTTGGGCGCATCCTCTTCTCGCACGCGAGCGGTACTTCCCGGTCAAAGCCGCATGAAGCCAGCTCCCTTCCATCCGCTCCACTCGACGCGCTACCACGCTGCTTGCGCTCGTTCTGGAATAGCCGGTCAAAGGCGGCCGAAGCTCCGTCTGCCTCCCTTTGAAGAGCACGTCTCGCGAGCCGCTTCATTCTCTCGGAGGTTGCGAGATATTGAATGCCTCGCCGCTAGTTAGCGATGGTTGCTGCGGTCTCGCTTCAGCGACGGCAGCGTGGAAGCGGCGACGTCGGTACAGTAGTGGCCAAGAATGGATCCGTCCGAGAAAGAGAGAGGGTTCAGGCGCTGAGGTTGGGAGGCGAGGTCGAAAGTATGGGCGGGCGGCAGTCTCGGGTGAATGCGTGCGGCAGATCTGTCGTGCCGAAGAGGAGCAGGATGTGATGCACTTCACGTGAACGAAGGCGCAAGCTTGTGAAAGACGCGGCAACGCCGCAGGGAGAGAAGCAAGAAGCGACATCGCAGGGTTCTTGCAGAGTCTTCGCATGCATGGCACCTCAGAGCTGCCCCAAATCTCTTTACCAATCTGTAAAGTCTGAAGATCTTACACGAAGAGACGGAAGACTTGCTGAACGTGGCACACGAGCACGCCTACGGCACATTGTAGCGAGGCGCCGGGCCACGCAGAGCAGCAGGAACTGTTGAGATCGGCTACGCAAGCGTCGAGAGGCCTCTGAAGCGTGATGCTGACCCGTTGTCGCGTGTGTGAGCGTGGTGAGGGAGCGGGATGGAGCGGGTTGTTGCGGCGGCGATTCTTCATTGGACGGCTGCGACGCGGTCGTACTGCGTAGCAGGAGCGGTAACAAGCTCGTGCACGTCCCCCAAGGCCTCCCATCGAGCGAGCGTGCAGCAGTGTGAGCGGTCGAGGGAAGACCGACAGCTCGCGACCGGCTCGACAGCTAGCATCGACGCTGCACCACTCGTGACCCTTGCTGGGGCTGCTGGACAGCTGAACGGCTTTCCACCACCAGCTAGACGGCGCGCTCGAACTCTCCGCCTGAGCCGGCGCCGCCTCATCTCCTCAGCGGACAAGCCGACGTCTCGAGCAGGAACCACTCATTCGGTGGGACTAGCAGCCGTCGGATTGTGGACAGCTGGCGTCTAGGTGAGCTTGACGCGTCTCAGAGTCACTCCAGAGGGTGGTGGGGCGAGGATGCTCGCTTCAGCTCTGCTTCTCGGTGGAGGAGCGGACGGAGGACGGCAGCACGAGCGATGGGTTGAGGTAGGGCATCGTAGTGCACGAGGAGAGGAGCACAAAGGGCTATATCTGGTCACCGCTCTTGTCGGCCTCCACCAACTGCCAACTCGCTGCTTCGCTCTGTGGCACTTCGTGTTGCGGACCAAGCAGTCATCGTCGAATGACCGACTGATCTTTCGCTGACACCGTTGAACTCTCACAGACTCGCCCATGATGCGCGACCGACCACCTCGCCCTTTTCGCCTCCCTCTCCCGCTCTTCCTCGTCTCCCTCGTCCTCCTCGTCGCCAATGTTGCGAATGCTGCCATCGCCGGGACGCAGATCCAGAACATCTCGTCCGACTCGACACAGTTGACATGTGAGTCGAGCCTGCCCACCTCGCACGAGACGCAACCGGTGACCACCTTCTTCGCAGATGTCGGTACATGGCGGTCCGACACGACTGAGGGCATCTACCAGGGTGCGTGCACTACACTCCCACCTACTGGTATTCTGAGCTGACGACATGTCCCTTCAGCCTACTCGAACGCGTCGGACGCCTCCGTCACCTTCTCTTTCATCGGCGTCGGCGTCTCCTACCTCGCCGAAAAGAAGGCAGACCGAGGTATCTGCCAGTTGACCGTCGACGGAACGATGTACTACACGCTCGACCTGTACAACGACTCGCCGTACTCGAACGGTTTGCAAGTTATCTGGACGAGCGGGACGCTGCTCTATGGCGCGCACAACATCACCATCTCGCAGCTGGGACCTGATGCGCGGTTCGGGTGCGTGCATCTACATTCCGTGAGGTCAGCCGGCTGGCTAAGCTGACGACTTGGCTTACTCCAGCTACTACCCTTACCTCGTCACCTCGACTTGGTCAGAAGCCGTTCCGACCGACGTTCGTGAGTTGGCGTCCTCCGCTTCTGGCGAAGCACGCGAAGCTGACCTGAATCGCCGGCGCAGCCAACTACACCCGCACCCAGACGACCCCGAGCGCGACGCCTACGAATGACCCCTTCTTCCCGGCCAGCCACGGCGTCAACCGAGGCGCCATCATAGGCGGCGTAGTCGGCGGTGTCGTCGCCTTCGGGCTGTTCAGCTTCCTGCTGTACCTCTGGCGGAGCGACCGGGCGAGAAGCAGGAGGAGCGAAGGCGCGCCGGTGCACAAGGTCAAGCGGGCGGACGGCAAGATGGCGATTGACGACGAGCCGGAGTCGAAGGGCGCTATGGGCCCGTACGCAGGCTACGGAGCGGGCTACGCCGGATACCCTTACGATCCCTACCACTACAACCCGCACGCTGCTGCCGCCGCCGCCGCATACGGCTACGCCCCGCCCTACGGTCACGACTCGACGTACAGCGGAGCGAACGGATGGGCGTACCCTCAGCCTTCCTCGCCTTCGCACGGTCCAGCACCCCGCTCGGCCAGCTCAGCAGAATCGCACAACCGCCTCTACACACAGCCCGAGCAGGCGCCTCAGTCTCCCGCCTTCTCGCCTCCTGCCGGCGCTGCACCTACCTCGCGAGGATCCGCCTACGACTCGGCCTACCACTCGGGTGACGGCGCAGCGAGTAACGCCGGCTCGCAGTCATACCCTTATCACGTTCAAGGCCACGGCAACGAGTCTCGCGCATACCCTATCCCCGAGATCTAGCGGTCCCATGCTCTCCTCGTTCACGTAATCTCCCCTTCCTCGCATTCATCGTTCCTGGCTCCCGGGGCTTTCTACCTGCGCACGCTTCCTTGTTGTCTTCCCCCTCGACCTTTGCAATCACTACGTTCCGCATCTCGCTTCGCGCTTGGACTCGTGGCTGAGAGATGCGTGCATTGCGAGGGCGAGTTCCGAGACGACCAAGAGGGGAGAGAGGCGGAGAGGAGAACAACAGTATATCCAGCATACAACCCGATAAGTTTGCGAGATCTGCGAAGAGGAGACGTGTATACAGGCGGAAGAGGGAGTCTAGAAGGCGGCGGAGTGAGCGTTGTGGGGCGAGTGTGCGAAGGGCGTCGAGGGGAAGCTGGCCTCTGCAGCAGGAGCCGGCTCGAAGGCGATGCCAAAGCCGTGACTGCGCCGGAGTCAACGTCAGGACACGTCGAGCAGAGAAGCGGAAGAAAAGCGGACGCACCGGTGGATCTTGGCCATCAACTCGGCGTCCTGGAGTTGGTCCATCGTCAAGAAGACATACTCGCAGTCCGTCGACGGCTCGGTGCTCGTGGTCATGCCAGAGAAGAGCTGGTTCGACTCGGGTTGTTGCTGCTGGAGGAGGCGCTCCTGGATGACCGAGAGTGCAGCTCCACGAGACGCCGCTTCTTCCGTGACGTGCATGTTGGCCGCGGCGCCGGAGAGCCAGTCCTCGGCGTTGACGGTGATGCCGGAAGCGACGTCGGGGGAGAAGCCTGCGGCGGCCGGGTATGCGTAGGGGGCCTCGGACGGTCCAGGAGAAGCGACGGCAGAGGTGGGCGCGGTCGAGAGAGCCGAGGGCGGCGGCATGAAGAAGTCGGTTGAGCCGACGTGGTAGCCTGAGGGCGAGGGCGGCGAGACACTCGACAAGGCCGTTGCAAACTTGCTCGGAACGAGGGTCGACCGCCGACGCTCGAGGTACTGGGCGGGAAGGTCAAAGTCGAGGCGCTCGACGCCTGCGTCCGACCAGTCGCTGTCGGCAGTCGACGGGCGACTGTTTTCCGGGAGATCCGCGCCGTCGACAAGACCAGAGACGGGAACGGCGCTCGAGAACTGGGCGAAGAACTCGGCGGTCACGTCAGGCTCCTCCGTCGGGAGGGACTCGACGAGGCCGTGCGGGAACGAGAACGTTTCGAAGGTCTCGGTCGCCGAGAGGACGCCAGTCGCGAGCGCGCTGCTGGTAAAAGACGGCGCCCGCGGAGTCGGAGGCGCCTCGTCGCCGTACTGTCCCATCGCCGTCGCGCTGAGTCGCCGCACGCCCGTGTTCCAGCCGATCGACTGCCGGCGGCCGTTGTACATCGTCGTCATGGGCTGCATGAGCATCAAGTCGCCGCGTCCAGCGTTGAGCGTGCTCGCCCGCAGCGTGCCTCGTCGTTGCTTGAGAGCGTCGATGGGAAGCGGAGCCGGGCGCTCCGAGTGCGCGAAGCGAGCGTCGAAGGGCGAGACGGGGACGTCCGGGTTCGCCGTACGAGGTGCAGCCGGCAATGCGCCGCCGAGGGTGTAGTTCTGCAGCTGTTCGAACGGCGAGGCGGAGGCGGCTGCAGTCGCGGGGCGATTTGGGCTCTGCGGGTTCGGGAGGACGAACGTCGAGGCCGTCTTGGGCGCGGAGGAAGGCGGTGGCGAGGCGAAAGGATTGGACAAGATCGGCTCCATCGACGACTGCTGCGCGAGAGCGGTCGCAGGACGAGATGACGGCGCCGATGCAATTCGAGGGTCGATGGAGAATGACGCTGACGACGGCAGAGACTGCGACTGGGCGAAGAAGGCGTCGAGTTGATTCATGTAGCTGAACTGGCCTTCCGGCGAGTTGAGGACCTGCGCCGAGACGTGCTGAGGCGAGACCGAAGGCGGAACGTCGACAGGCGAGACTGTCTGGTCACAGTTGTGTGCCGTGTGCGGACGAGACGGCGCCTCAAAAGGCGGGAGGTAGACGGTCGCGTCGATAGCGGTGCGGTGGTCGGGCAGCTCGAGGTCGAAGATGCCTTCCGGCGACGGGTACTGCGGGACGCTCGTCGCCTTTTCCTTTGCCTTGGACCGAGTCGAGCGCGCAGACGTCCTCGTCGCTCGCGGCGACTTCTTCTTCTTGGGCTGCGGAGACGGCGCGACCGCGGGCGTGAACTCCTCGTCCTCGTCCTCCGTCGAGCCGTTCCGTCTCCTCCGCTCGCGTTCGATCTCGAGGACCTGCCTCGCGACCTCGTTGCACGCCTCGCGATGCTCATTGACGTCGCGCATGTCCCTGCGCTTCTTCTTGCCGGCCGAGTCGCGCATGCGCTGCTGCGGGCGGTACTTGTAGTCGGGATGGAGGCGCTGGTGCTCCTCCTTTGCGATGCGCGCCTTGTCCTCCCAGTACGACTTGTCCTTGGCCGACAAGCCCTTCCAGACCTGGCTCACGATGACCGAGATGTGCTGGCTGTTGTTGATCTCGAGCGAAGCCAGGTGGCGGGCGTGAGCGGTCCCAGGCGGCTCGGGCTTCGACGGGTCGAGCGAGGAGGACGAGTCGGGCTGGCAGCAGTGCGAGCGGAAGAGGATAAAGGCGTTCGGAGGGCGCTTGATGTGCCCCGGCTCGAGTTTGCGAGTGTGCGACTTGACGGGCTTGCCGCCCCTTCCGATCCGAGGCTGGCGTCCGACGACGAAAGGCGACTCCTCGTACCCTGCGCTCGTCGAAGGCGGGACAGGGAGCTGGGAAGAAGGCGTATCGCAGCTCGTCGCCGGCGTGGTGCAGTACGAATCGACTGACGACCCGTAGAAATCGTACGTCGCGGCGCTCGCCTCCGAGTCCCACTCGCTGTAGTCGCTCGCGCTCGCGCTCGCGGCAGACCTGGGACGGAAGAGTGGCGTCTCGACGAAGGAGGCAGGCGAAGCAGAGTAAGGGTGGTGTCGCTGGCTGTTGTGCCGGCTGAGCGAAGGGGTCGTTCCTCGCGAGACGGGTCGGGAAATGGGGATGGGAGCTGCCATGGCTGAGGCTGACCTGGGCGAGCCGAACGGGGAGGGCGGGACGGGGAGGAAGAGGCTCGACTTTGGCGAGCCGTTTTCGGTGAGGTGGATACTCGAATCGACAGGCGACATGACGGACGGGAACTGCGCCGAGTAGCTCATCCTGCAGGCGGGTCGAGGGAGATGCAAATCCAAGTCAGCGACCGCCCGTCGTCTGGGAGCTCGATCATTTCGGCCGGAACAGCCAGATACGAGGACGGAGACGCACCTCGACTCGCTTGCGGGCTCCGCGCGCGGTCGTTCTCTGCGACTGGCTGAAGTGTAGGAGGACGAGCGAGGGATAGATCCAGCTGCAGCCGCCGACCAGCGCGGCAGTACGGATTCTCTCGCACGGGGCGGGCGGGCCGGAAAGTGCAGGCCTTGATCAGCGCCATGCCCCCGGAGGTTTCGCTGGGGTTCCACTTGGGAGAACAAAGGGGATAAGTGTGAGTAGCCAAGCGGTCGGGCCGGGACGAAGGCGAACAATGAAAGCGTTTGCTTCGAGACAGAGCAGAACAAAAGGCCGTTGTGAGACAACGCCGTCGAGTGCCGAGGTACAAGGATGCCTCATGCCTGTACGGTATTGGCTTCGGCCCGCGTTTTGCGAAAGCTTCGAAGCGCACGAGTGTTCCCAGGCAGAAGCGCAGGCACGCGAGCGGAGCGTTCGACAAGGAGGGAAGTCGCGAGCGAGCGAGCGAGGAGGGTAAGGTCGGCGGTTCGCGAGCGTGCGACGAGTTGGTCGAGTAGTCGACATGTCCTTCGAGGCGGCAAACCGCCTCCCCAGCCCGCCCAGCGGTGTGGTCCTCCCGTCTTCCCCTCCTTCGCTCAACTGATGAAAACCCTCAGCTGGTCAGTGGTCGGGCGGGCTGCACTCGCCGTCGATCGCTTGTTCGACGCCAGCCGGACCTTCGACGGCGATAGCGGCGAGCAGAGCAGGCCGGTAGATCAGCGAGTGGCAGGGTCGTGAGGAGGAGAAGGCGGAAAACCAGGGAGGCCGACGCATGGAGCCTCCGTCGGGGCGCAAGACGCAGCGCAGTGCACCCAAAGGGCGGCCTGAAACCTTCATACATCCCGCTCAAGAATTGCTGTCCTCGTTCGAGGAGTTGAGCCGTCGTCGTTCGCTCGCTTCGCTCGCTCCCTCCTCCGCCTCGACAATTCCCGCTCGCTCGCCTCGAGGGGCGGTCTCGCTCGCTCTGCTGATTCTCAAGCTTGCGCGTTTTGCCATGCCAAGCTCGCAGCGCCCTCGCGCTTGCGTGCTGTCGAGTTTACCCCTACCCCACCTCATCACCACCCGACCCCGTCCTCCTCTCGCAGCTCCTCGAGCGCTCGACGAACGGCCTCAGCAGCCCCAGTAGACCACACAAGTCATGACTCCGCCATTCGACGGCCCGCCTCCCAGCAGCGACCGTGTCCAACAGCCTGCTCCCGTCCCCGAGTCCGAATCCGGAGCTCGTGACTCGCTGGACGGATGGGATGACTTGACGTGCATTGGGAACCGGTGCAGACGGTGTACGGGAGCGATCGGGCAGTGCGAGGCGCAAAATGGGCCGGATTTGGGCGACCCCTTCCTCCGCCGACGACACCTTCACGACCCGCACCTCACTCTCTCGGACTAACCTCGCCCTCGGCTTCCTCGCGACGTACCCCCAGTCCAGCAGACAAGCGACCCGCACACGCATGCACCGTCAGCAATGCTCCCTCCGCCTCACACCTCAGCGTCGCCTTCCAGCCGTCACTCGCCTACTTCCCTCTCGACGAACAGCTCTCGCCTTCCTCCCCCTCACCCCTACCGTGCATTCGACGCCTCGACCCTCCCGCCTGTCGTCTCGCACAGCGCCACGTCAGGAGGCTATCGCCCCTTGACGACCTCGACCTCGTCGGCATTGCTTCGCCCGTTCGTCATCCCGCCTACGCCTGAGCGCCCGCACCCGCTACGATGCTCCTCAAGTCTGCTCCTACACTTCCTGCTGAAGGTAACCCTGCTTTCCTCTGCCACCCATGAGTCCGGGCTCCCATACCCCTCATGTGGCCGCCAGCCAGCCAGCCAGCCACCCTTCGGGGGAACCTACGTCCCCGCTCGTTGCCCGACGATGCGGCGTAGTCCTGCTACTCATTGAGGTCCGGCCGCCCAGCCCCTCATGAGCTTCTCTTCCTCCCTCCGCCCGCAAGGGTTCTTCCATTTCCGCCTTCGAGGCTTTCCCTGCCCCCAGTGGCGTTTCCCTAGCCCCCAGTGGCCTTTCCCGCCCCCCGAGGCATTTCCCGCCCCCAGTGGCTTTTCTCGCCCCCAGTGGCTTTCTCCCGCCCCCAGTGGCATTTTCTCACCTTCCCAAGTGTCTCGAATTCCCAGCGGCGTCCTCTCGCCTCCTCCAGCAAAGCGAGACCGCGCTCTTTGCCGGCTTCAATCCTTCCACCTCTCAAGACGCGGACGAGCTCTCCCAGCCCCGCCTCGCTTCCTCCGCAGACGCCTTGCGCAGTGCAAGTCACCCCAGCAACGCCCAACGCTTCCCCTCGCCTGTCCCTCACGCACTTCCTTGCCGGTCCAACGCCTCGACCCATCTCGCGCCCCGCACTTTGCCGGACTCCGCCCCAGAAGCCCTCCTGCGTGCGCGTACCCTCTCGATATGAGTGGTCGCGCGGCTGCCCATGAGCAGCGCTTCGTTGCGCCGCCCAGCGAGACGTTCTCTCATCCCGAGACTCGAGTCGGCGCCCAGCTCAAGCTTCCCGTTGTTGGCCGCAAATTCAGGTTTCAAGCACATACAGCGCTCCTGATCCTCCTTCGAATGCTACGGCAGCGTGCACGCTCATGCGGCCGTGCTCGTGACGAAGACAATGAACTGCTACTCCCCGTCCTTCAGTCGGCCCAGGCTGCCTGTTGACTGGTCTCCATGTCCTTGCCCACATTGCGGACGTTTGTATCGTCTATCCCTCGGGCGAGACTCGAGGAGCACGCTCACCGCCTGCTTGAGCGGACTACTTCCGTCGACCTCGTTGCGTTTGTCCTGCCTCGAGCGTGTCTACCCGAAGGCGGCGCCGTTCTCCGCTCACTTCCCGCACACTGAGTGTGTGTGCTACGCACTGTGACGTCCTAGCTTGAATCTCCCGCCTCGCTTGGACTTTCTAGCCTCGTTTCTCGCACTGTCTCCATTACGGGCATCTGGTGCTCCTCCGAGACAGCAGCACGCTCTCCGTGTCGAGCACGATTCTAAGACTACTTCTTTGCGGGACGGACTGCCTCAAAGCTCGCAACGCTCGATTAGGTGCTTGCGTTCCTCTCGAGGTTTCCGCTTCTCCCTTTCCCTCAGCGCTAGCTTCATGCTGTGCAGTTCTTGGAGCTCGCCACTCTTCCTTTTGTGATTGTTCCAGGCTACAAGGGACCGGCGCGGTCCACCTACACGGCTGTACCACGAACTTGTCCTTGCTTCTGCTCGACCTCCACCCCTTTCCTCATCCCTCATTCTGCTGCTAAGCTGTTCTCGTCCCATTCAACGTGCTTGATACGCTTGCCAGCTTCTTACGACATTGTCGGGCGTCAACCCGTTCGACGAGCGACGCTACCTCCTGCTCGAGCAGAGCTTCTCAGCGGGCTCTTCCCGGACTTCGTGCCTCGGTTGCAACGCTCGTACTACACCTGGCAAGCATCATCAACCTCAGGATGTGCTCTTTGAGCTGGAATCCGGGATCCACCACCTCAATGCCCCTTTTTCGAGCTCCTCCTCCTCGCGACCACTGCTTCATTATCCGCTCTGCGCTTCGAAGCCTGCTTGACGGTGTTTAGGGTACTCTCAGACATGCTCCGCAGTGCTTCCGCTGCGCCGCTATCCCGCTGATTGGCTCAGCTCTCCCGCACCCGTTGTCCCCGACCTCGACGCATGCCAGCGCCCAGAAGATCGCGTCGTGGCACTCCAGACCGCCGCACAACCAACTTCCCACAACCACATGCACCACCAATGTCCCTGCCCACCTGCCCGACGCTTCCTCGCACTCGCCGTCCTCACCACTTCATCTCGAACCCCGGCACCTCCACCGACTCGGAGGCTCCCGCAGGACCTCCTCTCCCAGCAGAACGTGAGTCATAGATTCATGCGGGACTTTGACGGGCGGCCACGGTTTCAAGGGCACTCGAACCCCTTCTCGCGGACCCTTCTCTTCCCTCCCGGACACTTCGCTGGCGTGGCATGAGCAGCTAGCCTTGATGCACCAAGGAGATGCACCGCTCTCAGCTTCACAAGACCACGATGCTCATCCGCCCTTCTTCCAGACGATCTGCTCGAGCAACGCCCAACTCGTCCTCTCGCCCCTCCAATCCCGCTTCATGGGCATCCACCATGCCTGACGACCTGCATCAAACGCTTGAGCGCCTTTCTTCTCTCCGCAATCCTGCAGGGAAGCCAACACAACCACTCTTCCCTCCCAACATCTTCCGCAGCAGTCTGCCACCCTCCCTCTTCGGCCTCCTCCTCATCAGTCTCCTCCTCCTTCTTTCGACGAGGAACGGCGCCAATCACCTCGTATCTACCGCATCTCGCCCTGCAACTGCCCTACAAACCGTCACCCTCCTCTCGTTCGACGAGGCGAACGCACTTAAGATTCGTATTGCGTGCCACTGGCTCAAGACCTCCTGCGCATCTCGATCGCCAACATGCTTGAGAAGCTGCCACAGTAGCCAGTGGGCTTCCGCGATGGCTGGACTCGGACAAGCAGTTCACTAAATTTTACGCTCGAGCGTCCTCTCGCGCCTTTTCCCCTTGCTCTCGCACGATGCGGGTCTCCCGACTCTGCCTTCAACCGCGACCGCGCAGCTTGGCGCAGTACGCGTACGACTTCACGTTTTCCGGACCGCAAGCCTCGCCACGCCCTTACGTATTCCGCTTCATACGATCCTCTCCGCTCAGCCACGACACCAGCGGTCACCTATGTGCCCGCGACGCCTTGGAGTACCTCAACTCGCCTCGCCTGAATCGCCTACTTCAGCCCATTCGACGCGGACCAGGATTTGCTGCTCAGGTTCTCCCGAAGGGCCGAGTAGCCTTGTTGCTCTATGTTCCGCCAGTCCAGCGCTTGCTCACGCCCATCATGCCAACATGACATCATTACTGCTGTCGTCATTATTCTTTCATCGCCTCCACCCCTTTTTAAACGACCAGCAACGCCTTCCTACCCAAACTCTTCCCTCCTCTCCTTCACCCCGCTAAGACGGATTTCGCCAACGTCGTGCACATGGTTCGATTACGACAAGCTGTTTGGGTCCCGCGCCGCGCTCCTCGCACTGCTCGTCGCTGGTTCGGTTGGGCTGCCGCGGTCCTTGAGTCCGCAAAGCGGCGTTCGCAGGCTCACGAGCCAGCAAACCCAAACTACTCGCTTTCGCTCGTCTTCTTTCATTCCCTTCAACCTTTCCCCCTTTCCCTCCGCCGCCAAACGAGCACGAAGCCAGGACAAGGCGCCCGGGGTGAATGGGATCGTCTTCTGTTCGCTCTCGGGTTGTAGCAACGTGCGCATGCAATATAGCTTCGTTCAAGAACGAGCAAGGCTCGTCGCAAAAGCAGCAAGCGAGCGAGCAAGCCAACCTTGTCCTCCTCCTCGCACCTCGCGACGTCGCAAGAACGGTGAAGAGAGAGGGGTATCTGCAATTGAGCCAGCTCGAAGACGGGAAAAACGCAACAAAGAGGAAGGAGGAAGAAAGGAGGGGTTTCAAGAGAGAGGGCGCGCAGCAGAGGGATGTGTACCAACGAGGTGAGGAATCGCTCGCGCGGCGCGGAAAGAAGGAAAGGAAAGGCAAGTCGTTGTAAGGGAGTCTGAATGTGTGAAGGAGAAGTGTAGGGAGAGGGGTATCGACGAGGAGGGAGGGGATCTTGGAGAGCGCGAGGCGCTTAGTTGAAGTGCTGCGCGACGAGCGTGTCAGCTGCGTTCTCAGTACGAGCGAGGAGAGCAGGACGTACCCAGGTGATGTCGCTGTGAGGCGGGGACGGAGACAGACGGAAGCGAAGTCAGCAATCTTCTCCTCGTCTTCAAGTCGAGAACCTCGCCGACTCACAAGACACCCATAGCGTCAGTTCCGCCAAGAGCCTTGAAAGCCTGCGTACGCACACGCCCTCATCGTCAGTAACCTGTAGACGAAACGCGCGGGAGAGGTCCGGTTCTCGACGCCCAAGGCCGTCCGGACCTCCCCGGAACGCCAGATCAAGGGGAAGACGCGCACAGCCGTGCTCAAGTCGAGGCAGGACGAATTATCACTGCGATGTAGTTAAATAGGACGTCAGCGCACGTCCCAGCTCGAAAAAACGCTCGAAGAAGCGAAGCGAAGCGGAAACCCACCAAGTCGGGCACGAATCCGCCACCTTGGCCTGGATCGAGTTACCCGTGTCGACACGGGTGATGGTAACAGTCTGACCGCAGTGTGCGCCGTTGGCGTAAGTGGCCGTCGGGAGTGCGACGATGAGTGCCGAGTCGGGGTTGACGGCGCCGCAGTTGCCTGCCACTCCGTTCTCTGTCCGATCCCAACCACGTGCATCGTCAGCGCTGGTCTTGTCCGAGTTTGGGAGGAAGGGGGAAGGCACGCACGGTAGAAGAACGTGGCGATTCCACCCGAAAAGACCTTTCCGCCGTTTCCACCGCCGTTTCCGCCCTTGTTGGGGTTCGCGTCCTGAGTGGCCTTGGCAGCGGCGGCAGCGGCGGCGGAAGAAGAAGAGGCGGCTGCGTCGGCGGCGGCCTTGGACGAAGCTGCGCGGGAGTGGAAGTCAGCATGGAGGGAGGGGGAGGACCCGAAAGGAGGGGACGGACCGGCAGCAGCGGCGGCGGCGGAGGAAGAAGCAGCGGCATCGGCAGCGGCCTTGGACGAAGCTGTAGTGACATCGCCCTTACTTCGAATCAGCGCTTCTTTCTCTAGCGAGGAAAGAAGTGAGCGACGGAAGGAAGGCAAGACGCACCAGCAGCGGCGGCAGCAGCAGAAGAAGACGCAGCGGCGTCAGCAGCAGCCTTGGACGAGGCGGCTATTTCCCACGCAAACCCGTCAGTTCGGAGACGAGCGAAGGAAAAGAGGAAAGGGGACGAACCGGCGGCAGCGGCGTCGGCGGAAGCCTGGGAAGCAGCGAGAACCTGAGCCTGCTGGGACTCTGCATTCACAACGCCATGCCTTGAATCGTCAGTCTCCGTTCGGGAGGGGAAGGGGCGAAACGCGCGAACGCACCGTAAGCCTTCTTGGCGGCGGCGGACGAGGCGACGGCGTCGACAGTCGAGGTGGGAGCCTGGGTGACCTTGTCGGACGACTTCTGCTGCTGGGCGACAACGGTCGAGGCGGGGACAGCCGGGGCAGAGGTCTTCTCCGGCTGGGCCGAGGCAGCGGCGACGACGCTCGTAGCCGAGCTCGCGACGTTGACGACGGCAACCTTCTTAGCGGCGGCAGCGGCGTCCTTGGAGAGCGAGAGGACGATGGGCAACATTCCCGTGTCGAGGTTTCCGCCGAGAGCCGAGTAGGCGGCCTTGGAGAAGGTGGTGAAGTCGGTGCGGTCCGAGCCGTCGACGACGGTCACGGTGACGCTGCTCACGTTTCGTTCGTCAGTACGGAGAGAAGGAGGGGAGCGAGGAGGAGGAGGGAGCGCACCTCTGACCGTTGGCGGGGTTGGTAGCGTAGGCGGTGGTTCCGCAGAGCGCCGACTTGGCAGACGGGTCCGAGTAGACAGAGAGGGGAAGACCCACCTGCATCGCGGCGTTGCTGTGCGCTCGCCATCCTGGTCAGCTTGCGAGTCTCGCGAGGAAAAGGAGGAGCGGAACGCACTCGGTCGCGACGCCGCAAGCGCCCTGCCATCCATCCTCGGCCCACCAGATGGCGGTCGTCTCAGTCGACGAAGACGAGTCTGTTCGTACGCGGCGAGAAGACGGAAGAGGGTCAGCGTGGGAGAGCGGACTTTCCGAGAAGGTCCGCCTCGAGAAGGGCGGGCCTTCTCAGCGACGTCGAGAGCGAACGTACCGGCGCCTGCTCAGTCCAACACGCACACGCACGCACGCACAGCCAGCAGAGAGAAAGAGAGTCAGCCCCTTCGTCCTGCGTGCCAAACATTCCAACTACTCCCTCGGTCACTCCCTCCAACGCGTCCTCGACGCGCCCCTCCCCTCGTCCTCTGAAGTGAAAGGGCAGACGCACGCTTGACCCTGCGGTTGAGCTTTGCAGCACCACGGCGGTGGATGGCGAGTGAGCGTTCTACGCGGTGTCCGTCGTGGAGGGAGGAGGCGTGAGCGGCGGTCGAAGCGAGGACTGCTGCGGCGGCGAGCGAGAGCGACTTCATGGCGGGCGGGGGGGGGTGCAAACGAGTGTGGGTTGGAGACAGTGAGTCCAGCAAGCGAGAACCAGTTAGCAGGCGAGAGAAGGAGAAGGAGCGACGAGGGTGAGTGGGCGAAAGAGGAGAGCAGGAGAGGCGCGAGCGGAGCGACAGCACGCGGGCACACTCCAAAGTTGAGTGACCCTCTGGCTCGCTTCTCACGCGCGTAGCCTGCCTCATTAGACTCTCTAACACTGCAGACTCACTCTACACACACTCCCGTCAGCTAGTCCAGCCCACAGAGGCGAGACGGACGCACGGCGGACGCGCAACCTCTTCTCTCTCGCGACGACAAACAAGGGCTCACCCCTTCTTACCATCACCGAATTCAGCCCATTCAGGCAACACGCAATACTGCAATCAAGGGCACGGCAGAGAAGCCGCAAATAGGGCGGCGGACGAAGGCAAGGTCCTCCTCCCAACTCCTATCCTCTCTGGCCCGGGCAGCCCGCTGCAACGCACTTCGTTCGCCTTTCCTCTTGAGAGAGCTCGCTTATCAGTGTGTGGTAGCGCTGAAACCGGAGTCCGTCACTTCGAGCGAAAGAGTCGAGCCAAGCAAATCGAAACGAGACGGGATGGACTTGGCATCACACGAGCGATTCTCTCTCCTCCTCTCGTCTCCCTCCCGCCGTTGCGCGGAAGAGCAAACGTACATCAACACCCTCGTTCTTGTCATTGCTGGCATATGACGACGCCTAGGGAATCGCCTGCGTCGTCTCTCCCTCAGGCTTCTTCGCCAATCCCTCTTTCTCAAGCGCTGCGTGCACGACCCGTCAGTCTCGTCTCAGAGAAGAGGAGGGAGGAGAGGATAGAGAGGGCGAACGTACCGGCGTCGATTTCGTGCGGCTTGTAGATTTTGGCAAAGGGCAGGCCGGAGGATTCGTCGATCGTGAGCGTCGCGAGCTCGACTGTGCGACCGTGTTCACACCGCATCAGCTTCTCCTCGCTGAGGCGAGGAAGAGGAAGGGAGAGGAGAAACGAAAGGGACCGCGCGAGACGCACTCTTCTCGGAATCCAAGCTGGTCGAATCCATCGTCTTGCTCAACACCTTCAACGCAAGCCCAACCGCCTCCTCAATCCCGACATCGTCCCTATAATCCTGCCTCAACAAACTCTGCGCCGTGGCATTATTCGCCCCAACACACGTCGCCTTCCACCCTGAATAGTTTCCCGACGGGTCGCTCGCGTAAAGCTGGAACGAGTGGTGCGGGTCGTGTCCTGCAAAGAGGAACGAGACGCCAAAGGGACGGAGTCCGCCGTATTGCGTGTAGCCTTGCTTGAGGTCGCATAGGCGTTGGACGAGTTGCTCGACGGGCATGTCTTCGTTGTACGCCGCGAGGTGGTTCTGTGCGCATGGACGGGCGTGGGCGAGTGCGATAGGAGGGCTTGTGAGGGACACGGTGAGCGCACCTGGGCGACGTTGCGCGCGTACGAGACGAGCGAGTTGGCATCGGCGTTGTAGCCCGCCACGCCCGAGATGACGTTCCTGCCGCGCTCCAACACATCAGTACCTCGTTGCTAGAGTAGTAGGAAAGGAGTGTGTCGCGCACCCGTTGATGAGGAACAACTTCTCGCTACTGCCCTTCTCCTTCTCCAACAACTTGCTCGTGACCTTCTTCTCGGCCGCCAGCACGATTCCCGCCTTGTGCGGAAGGGGGTACTTCTTCTCCCTCTCGACCCTCGCTTCCTCCTCCTTCTTCCTCGTCGCCTCGCTCTTCTCCTTCTCTTTCTCTTTCGGCTCGAAGGAGGAAGAGGGAGTGGAAGACGAGGGAGTGTCGTCCACTGCCATCGCGTCGGTCGAGTCGGACGAGGCGGTGAAGGGTTTGGCGGAGGGTCCGGGGGCGAGGATGCCCACTACTGTGCCGGCGTGGCCTGCGGGGCGAGACGAGGGGAGGGTGAGCGAGCGGTTTGAGGGAGTCGTAAGCGGGACGTGGTGTGGTCCCAGGTCGGCCAGACCGCTCGATTGCCATGGCTGCCTGCAGAGAGCATCGCGGTCCACTCGAAAGCCTCGTAGCAGTCTGCCACGCCTCGTGAATGGTTCCCCGTCCTCATCGCACCCCGTCCAGCCGTCGTCACCAACTCCTCCACCTCGCCTCTCATCACTTAGCCCAGCCCGCGCACCACATGTCATTCCTCCTGCATCCTTGACTGTTCCCAGCCGTGCCCGTCGAGCGAGCGAAAGGCGAGAACTCACTGATACTCTCGAGCGCATACTCGACCTGGTACAGCCGTCCCTCGGGCGAGAAGATGGTCCTATCCGCTCAGGCAAATCCGTCGCAGCATCCAAGAGTCGAACAGGTCCAGCCGGACGGTGGGAAGGGAGGACGAGAGAGACGAGTCGTCAGCGGGGGAAGGAGGGAGGTGCGATGAGAGTGTTGTCGTGCGCTGCTGGGCTTGCTGGAGTGGTTGGTGGGTAGGAGAAGAGTACGCACGTCCTGCTGTCGTATCGGCGGCTTCCCATGCTGAGTTTGAGGTGAAGAGGTGCTGCTCGACCTGGCAACTCGTCAGCGAGACGGAGGTTGGGATGCGAAGTGACACTCGCTGCGCTTGAATTGGTTGCTGGGCTGATGAATGTGCTCTCACAGCCTTACTGAACTTGCTATGCTCTCCCAGCATCGCCGCACGTCCTGCTCGCGCTTCTTGACCTGCTCTTCGTCGCCCGGTTCGCTTCGCTCCCTCTCACCTTCTCGCGGCGCTGAAGGGCTTGGGATCTACCCTGAGCGAAGACTGTGTGACTATGCGAGGCGGCCGCGGCGGTATCGCTGGGTCGGAGCGGGGCTTGCCATCTCTCGGTGCAGGTGCTGGACTTGAGGTAGACGACAAAACCGAGCGAAGTAGAAGGGTTCGCGCTCTCAGAAGGAGGCGGAGAACGCTCCATGGCGGCGCTTGTGGCGACCCTCACCGTGATCGATGCAGGACAGGCAGGCTCTCCTCGACACCGTCTCGGGCTTGCAACGTCAAAGTTCACAACCGTTCGACGTCTATCGGTCCCTGCCTGAGCTCTCACACGCCTCCAGTCCCTCACTCCCTGTCGATAGCTCCGCAGGACTTGCCCACCAGTAGTCCTGTCGCTCCGCCTCGACTTCGCCTCGACGCCGTCACTTGCGGCGCCAGTTGAGCGGGTCTAGCGACTGATCACCAAGCAAGAGGGTCAATCTCTGCAGATTGCACAGCTGAATTGCATCTGTAGAGCGACTGCATACGACAAGCGGCAAGACGAAGACGGCGGACAAGTCATCGCTGACTTCGGGGCTCGTGCGGCTCGAAAAATGTCCACCGCCCGAGACGTTCCTTGATCCACTCGACAGTGCAAGTTGCAAATCAGCGACGAAGAGCGCCGTTGCCGAGTGACGAGGGCTGGTTCCGGGCCCGGCGTCGAGCGGAAGTGGATCCTTCACTCAACTTTCGCCTTTCCTTCCATCCTCCTCACCACTTCGGCGCTTCTTTGCCGCCTTGAGCGCTTGCACACACCCTTAGTCCACCAGCTAGCCTTCTCTTCCTTCCCACACCGCCCAAGCAGCTGTACGTCGACCTCCGCTCCTCTCCACGGTCCGCCTTCTCAAGCTGACCTCCCTCCTCTGTTGCAGCATACCGCGTCAGCTCGTCAGCCATGGCGACCTACGACAACGGGCTGTACACGCCATGGACGCCCGCAGGCGGAATCGCCGCAGCGACGACGAGTGCAGCAGCCTGGGCAGGCGAGACGGCGGCGACTAGCTCGTCTGCGGCGGCTGGTACATGGGCTGCGACGGCTACGACGAGTGCAGAGGCGGCTTGGACGCCCGAGACGAGCACGGCGCAGGCGGCGTGGAGTACGAGCATGACGCCGGCTTGGAGTGCGGAGGAGACCACTACGAGCGCTTGGCAGGCTTGGACCCCTTCTACGACTACGACGACACGCGCATGGACACCTGCGACAATCTCGACGACGACGCAGTCGAGCGCATCGAGCACGACTACCCCGCCGGCCTCCTCCTCCTCCTCGACAACCCGCTCGTCTTCCTCTTCCTCGACGACTGCCGCTCCGTCTTCCGTCTCGTCCGTCGCTGACTCGTCCGTCAACAAATACGCGACCGTCTCGCGCTATGCCAGTCCCTCCGCCGGCGCACTCGCCTCCTCCTCTTCCGGCCACTCCTTCAAGATGACCTACCTTATCCCCGCCTTCATCATCGTCCCCCTCGCGCTTATCTTCCTCGTACTCGGTTGCTCGTACGGCAAGTGGTGGGGAGGTAACCGGAAGGGATCGCAGACGCCTCTCTCGGAGGGCGTTGGAGGGATGGGCTGGTGGGGCGGACGAGGGGGCAGTTGGAGGAGTAGGAGGTCCGGCTACGACGACGACACGGAGGAGACGGGCGGGCTGGTCGGCGGTGAGAAGTACCGCGATGTGATGGACGAGTACGACGAGAAGCGGTTCACGCTTCCTTCGGTCGAGGGCGGCGAAGGCGACGCGGTTCGAGGCGGTGGTTCGAGGTGGAGCAACTTCTTCGCTCCGTCGTCGGCCAACAAGCACGACCCTCTCGCCTCCCATCCGGACGTCGCCGTCCCCTTCCTCTCCATCTCGCACGCCTCGACGCCCGAACAACCTTTCGTCCCGCCTTCTCGCTCGTCTTCGACGCAAGACTTCCCTCGCTGGACCGCTCGAGGCGCCGTCGCACCTCAAGGACCCACAACGAACGGTGGGTTCCTCGCTGCTGGCGCATGGGGAACAGGCGCTCGCTCGAACCGCCAGAGCGGACTTGCGCGCAACGTCAGCGGCAGGAGTACAAACTCCGTTAGCAGTCGTCTGAGCGACCGCATCTTCGGTCGCTTCGGCATGGGAGGGCGCTTACCAGACGCTTGCCCTTCTCCGTCGGTCTACTCGCCCACGCCGGAAGAGTCGGCGCAGAGTCACCAGTCGTTCGGCGCAGCGGGCGCTTACATGGGCGTTCACATGGAAGACGAGGACGAGGACGACTTTGCGCACGAGAAGCACGACGTCGATTACGATGCTTTCCTCGCTGCGGGACGGGTCGGCGACGGGGAACTTGCTCGACGGTACGCAAAGGGCGAGATCAAGGACGCAGACATCTTCCCGCCTCGCGAACCGCCTCGCTACCCTGAGGGCGACGCTCGCGAGCGCTACTACGCTCGTCAAGGTCCGACTGCCGACACTCCCTTCGCCTCTTTTGCCGCACCAGCACCCGCCAAGCCTTCCTCATTCGCCGTCGACCTTCCCGCCGCGCCTTCTCGCCTCCAAGTCTCGCCAAAGAAGACCGCTTCGACGCTCGTCCGCCCAGCTCCTCCCGAGACGCCAGAGAAGGGCAACAACCTCCTCTTCTCGTACGCCTCGCCCCCGCCCCCTCAGCCTCACGGCTCTCCTCGTCCGCCTCTCCCTCCTATCCCTCAGATGCACAAGCAGGTCTCGCCGACCAAGGCACTTTTGACGGAACCTCCCGCTCGCACGCCTTTCCGCCAACCGGTGGCGCCGCAGCTCGTCCGCCCGCCTCGTCATCACGACCCGTTCGCGCCCGAGCCGACGAGTCAGATGCAGCCGCAGCCGGTCTTCCCGTCTGCTCGTCAGTCTCGCGAGACGAAACACGACTCGGCCTTTTCGCTCGATGTCTACGGCGCGATCGTCGACACCGCTGACGAAGCCGAGCAGCAAGCTTCCAAGAAGCGCGGCGGAACTACGACGTCGTCGAGGAGTGCCACGCCGACGAAGCAGTCTCAGCGCTCGACGCCGGTTCGCTCGAACACCGATGTTCGTCCGGGACAGCTCATTTCGTCCGCCGCCGAGTTGCAGGCTCGCAACATGCCTTCACGCGAGTCGATTCCTCGCAGTTCGTCCGTTTCGCCGACCAAGGACATGGGTCGCCGCCGTGAAGCTACTCCTGGTTCGAGCAGTCGGGCTCGCCCTGTCTCCGCCTACGCAGAACTGCCCACTCAGGCGCTGAAGGAGGTTCGCAAGATTCCCAGTCGACAGGACCTTAAGCCCATCTCGAAGGCCAAGTCGCGCGAGTCGCTCGCTTTCGATGCCGCCTTTGCCGACCCTGCGCCGATCGCCCCGTTGCAGCACCCGAACAAGGTCCGCGCAGCAGTCAAGAGCATCCAGGCTCGCGAGCCGTCCTCCGCTCCCTCGCACCGCAAGACTCCTTCGCGCGACTCGGCTCGCTCCGCCTTTTCCGACAAAACCACCTCGTCCGGCGGCAGGCTCGGTCGTTCCGCGACTGCTGCGCCCTCAACCACGACCTACCGCCGTCCGCTCGGTAACAAGGGTCTCGTGTCTGACAACGAGTCGGACTCGGACGACTCGGAGGCCATCGTCACGAACCGCCGGCTGAGCATGCTCATCCTGAACCGCTCGAGGTCTCAATCGGGCTCGCTGCCATCGGGTCCAGCCTCAGGCGACTCGCACAGCAGCTTGACGCACGATGACGAGGAGAAAGCGGCGCGGCCGTTGTCGAGCGACCCGAGGAGGCTGTCGGCGATGCTGAGGAGGCCGAGTCAGGGGGGCGCTCTGCAGCGCAACGATGGCGAGAAGGAGGAAGGCGAAGAGAAGGGCGGTGCGAGCGGTTTGTTCGATGCCCTGAAGAGGAGGTCGGGCATCTTTGACGATGCCGAGTGACTTTTGGACCTGTAGTGGACTGCCTCACGCCCTGGAATTGTTATCCACACGTGCATTGCGATGCGCCATGGTACAGCACTCAACATGCGAGAGAGCAAAAGCAGTGTCCGTCTATCAGCGCTCAGCGCCCCTCACTCCGCCTTGCCCGCCTTCGCGCCAAGCTTGGCGTCGAGCGCACCGAGACGTTCGACGAGCGTCGGGTGCGTGTAGTTGTATGCCGAGTAGAGCGGGTCGACGTCGTAGAGCGCCAGGTTCTTCTCGTGAATCGAGACGAGTCCCTTCTTGAGGTTCTTGGCATACGAGTCGCCGAGTTTCGCGGCGAAGGCGTCGGCGTCGTACTCGAGTTGGCGGGAGATGAAGTTCGAGACGAACTTGAGGACGGAGGAGAGAGGAGAGAAGAGCATCGAGGCGAGCATGAGGGCGAGAATGGTCGGCCCGCTCGAAGGCGGAAGGAGGTGCGTGAACTTTTCCGGAAGCGCTTCAGTCGAGTAGGCGGGAGTGTACGAGTGGAACCCGAAGGCTGAGAGGAGAGGGCGGTTCGTGAGGAAGAGGGTGAAGGTTGCGAGGGAGAAGGCGACCTGGACGAGCGAGGTGAAGAGGAGGTAGACGATGTGCATGCCCTTCCAGTGACCGAGCTCGTGCGCGAGAATCGCCTCGACCTCGGCAGGACTCGAGCGCTCGAGCAGCGTGTCGTAGAGAACGATGTGCTTCGGCAGACCCGGCACGCCCTGCAGGACTCGAGATCTGAATGCGTTTCGATCAAGAAGCACAGCTCGCGACGCACCATGAAGAAGGCGTTGCTGTGCGAGCTGCGGATCGAGCCGTCGATGACCCAAATCTTGCTGAGCGAGAAGCTGAGCTTGTCGGCGAGCTCCTTGATCGGCGCGCAGAACGGCGAATCAGTCGGAAGCGGCGTAAACTTGTTGAAGAGGGGCATGATGGCGTAGGGGTACACGACGAGCATGAAGATCTGAAAGACGAAGCTGCGATGGGCGGAATCAGCCTTGTGGTCGGGAAGGGCCGGGAGGGAAGAGCGCGCACATGAAGACGATTGCCCAGGCGACGATGCGCAAGATGGCGTCCTGCCCAGCCCAGTGAATGATCTTGATGATTCCAGCGACGAGAGGCGTAGTAATAACAAGCGAGACCGCGAGGCCTTTGACCTGGTCCTTGACGAAAATTGAGCGGGTCATCTTGTTGCTGCGGCATGCACTGGGTCAGATTATGCTTGTGCGATGGGAGAGAGGCAGACTGACAAGCCATGCTTCTCTTCAAGGACAAAGTTGCGGTAGTACTCCTTCGGGATGGACAGGACAGTCGAGATGACCGTCGTCAACACGAGGAAGGCGCAGCTGTGCCAGATCTCGCCGCGCCTCGCGAATGGCAGCCTCTCCGACACATCCCACAAGCCCTTGAGGAGCGACCATCCGGACCCGCCAGCGTTGAAGCCGAGATAGGCGAGGACAGGCGCCGCAGTTCCGCCCAAAAGGACGAGGGTCTCAAGCACGTCGACAAAGCTCAATACTGAGGCAAAGTTAAGCTTGTCGCGGGCGTAGGCTTGCGATTTCTGGTAGGTTTCTTGCGAGTCGGAGGGGAGGTAGGGTGCGAGGACGGAGGGGATGCGAGGGTGAAGAATCGGGGAGAGGTAAGGTAGCTGGCGGCCGCTGCAGAGAGTCTCGTCAGCTTGTCTGTGCCGTCCGAACGGCGCACTGCGGCGACTCACGCGACCCAACTCTCCCACAACTCGACCGACACGACAACCGCGAGGATGACGCTGCGCCAAGGGATGGCGGGGTCGGCGAGCTTGTCTCGCAGCGTGTATAACAGGGAGCTCATCTCCAGAGCAGGCGGGGCAGTGTGATGCCGGACGAGGATGAGGCGAAGGGCGAAGTCGAGGGATGACCTCGTCCGTCTCACTCCGCCTCTAGGAGGGACTTGCTGGATCGCAATGTGCTTCTGCTGCTCTTTCGAGTGCGCTTCTGACTTGACGAACGCCCGCATGGCGTGGACACGCTTCTTGCTCCCTCTTCCTTCGCGAACCGATGAAGCGGAACGAGACCTCGGCAAGGCTTTCGTCGGGCTGTCTTTCCTGTCGGGCGACCTGCGTGATTCGGCAGGGGCGTGCTCGCGCGCTGAAGTAGCATCTGTTGGGCGTGGACGCCTTTCTTGCTGCCAAGTCCTCTTCTCGCTGAACTCGCTGCTGGCGCCACTTCTATCTCGCGGTGAAGCTTACGAGCGGTTATGCCTGGGGTACCAGCGGTTCTAGCGAGCTAAGACGGAGGCGGAAGAATGGATCAGATCGAGCTGAGTGCTGAGCGCGGTCGAAGGGGGAGGGATCGGTCTCCACTCTGCAGCCAGTACTGCTTGCAGAGTCCTCTCATCAGTTCACACTGCGCGAGAGAAGGCATGGAAGGGCGCTTGCAGAGACTGCCACCTACGGCGCCGCAGCGAGTGTCCTGAAGTGAGGCATCGTTGCGAGTCGTAGTCTAGGAGGAATGGGGCCCAAGCGCGCTGGCATTGTCCGCGAAAGGCGAAGAAGGGGATTACGCAGAGACGGTACTTCAGGACGTGAGGGGGGGAAGGAAGACACAGACTGCTCAGAGGATGCGAGTGTCGCCCTCGACCGTCTCGACCGCTCAGACTCACGGCCTCAATGAGGCTGGTCCATTGTAGCAGTAGAAGGGCGAGTTGACGGACTTTGCCCGGCGAAGAGCGTAGCCGTGCGGGCAGTGGACCCGGCATGTACCATTCCTGCACACAGGCTTGCCGATACCGTTGTCTATGGCAGAGATGTACAGTCAGTAACGAGATCGCTTCCCTCTCCAACCGCGCTCAAGGAGGAGGAGGAGCACGCACACGAAGGCGGGCAGACGTTTCCAGGCATACCGCAATTGGCGGGATCATCGCCAACGGCGAAGCAGGCGTAGGGACCGCTCCCGTCGGCGTTCTGCGAAAAGCGGGTGTAGCCAGCCGCGCAACCGATGTTGCAGGTCCCGTCGACGTTGCACGTTGCGTAGCCGAATTGAGGGACGGTGCATGTGTTGGCGCCGCAGGTTGTTGACGAGGGGACACACTGCGTGCCATCTGCACCGCCAGGAGCGAAGCCCGCGTTGCAGCGGAAGGTGCAGGAGCCATTGATGCAGAACGAGTTGGCATCGGCGGGCGGAGCTGGGCCTTTCGAGCGAGAGATGGCGTCTGCGCGGGAGAGAGGGTCAGCGCGTCTAGGAAGATGATGCTGAACGCAAGAGGAACGCACTGGCACCGCAGCGAATCTTGGCAGCGGCGAGGGCGGCCTTGGTGTTGAGGAACGGAGAATCGGGCGAGTAAGGGTTGGTCAGTGAGACGGGACCTGCGCCGCCGGCGCCGCCTTTGGGACCTGTGCGATGGCCCATCGTTGTCCGGCCAGCACGAGCACGCTTCTTGAGCGCCTTTGCCGCAGCCCGACGACGAGCAACAGCAGCGGAAGACTTGATGGCTCGTTTAGCGTGCTGTCCGCGTGCAACGAGGTCTGCGCGAAAAGGCCGAAGTCAGTGCCCATCCAACAGCGTCCCACAGCCCATCGTCGCTGACCGCACCCGTCCGTGACAAGACGAGACGCGACGAGACTTCGATGAAGCCTCGTCTGGAGACGACGCGCCTCAGGCAGACTTACCGACTGGAGAGGCCACTGACGCGTTGATAGGGACAAAGGCAAGCGCAACGAGCGCGAGAGACGCGAGGCAAGCCTTGAGAGAAGGCATGTTCCTCGGAGGAGCGGGGAGGAGTGGGAGGGATGGGTCAAGAACAGATGTAGCGCAAGCTACTGTGAACGAGCGACGTGCAAAGGGTGTGTAGGACGCGGCAGAGGGCCTGTGCAAACGAACGACGAGGGTGGGACGGGAACAAGGTGCAGAGACGGGAGCGTGAGCAGGCGGGAAGGGCAGCGGCGGCGGGTCGAGCTGTCTAGCGGGTCAGGCGGTCTGCGAGCAGAGACGAGGAGCACAGCAGCGTCGAATCCAGCGGGTCTTGACAAGAGAGCGAAGTGAAGGGGAGGAAGGAGGAGGAGCGGCGGGTTCTCGCGAGGGCGTCCTCACATTCCGGTCGCGTATCGCGAGCTTTGTTTTGCTGTGACTCCGGCTCGCACGCAAAGGTTTGGCTCTCGTTAACACAGCCTGCGAAGCACGAAAGCGACGAGAGCGAGCGCACACTCTACGAACGCATGCGCGGGGACCTTCGCAAGAACGGACGACGCGCGCCAAACTCGCCTGGATCGACAAGATGGCGCAGGAGCGAGTGTCTTTCGCAAGGAGAGCGTCACTTGCAGGAGGAAAAGCACTACAGCACGCGCGACGAGGACGTTATGAGTAAGGTCGTTGTTGCGGGTCGTAGTCTAAGGTGAACCGAGGAGGGTGCGGGTAAATACAGAAATGTCGAAGGTGTCAAGAGAACTAGGTGCAGGTATCATAAAGACGGGGGAAAGGGCGGGAGAAGAGAGATCCTTGTCCGTTCTGACCGACGAGTCGCGATGCGGCGGCTCGAGGGTCGACGAGGAGAAGGGAGCCGCTTAGGCGGGGCCGAGCGACGACTGGCCGTTGTAGCAGTAGTACGGGTTGGTCGACGACTGGGCCTTGCGGAGGGCGTAGCCGGCAGGGCACGAGACGCGGCAAGTGCCGAACTTGCAGACGGCGTCACCGATGCCGTTGTCTGCGCGTGTTTGGAGAAGCGTCAGTTCGCTGTACGAGGGAGAAGGGTTCCAAAGCAGGTCGAGACGTACACGAGGGAGGGCAGGCGTTTCCGGGAGTGCCGCAGTTGGCGGCGTCCGACTGGGTCGCGAAGCAGTAGTAGGGGCCGGTCTGGGCGGCGTTGGTCGAGTAGCGCTGGTAGCCGGCAGCGCAGCCGATGTTGCAGGTGCCGTCGGCGTTGCAGGTGGCGTAGCCGAATTGGGGAACGTCGCAGGTGGTGCCGCCGCACTGGGTCTGCGAGGGAACGCACTGGGTGCCGTCGGTACCGCCGGGCGCGTAGCCGTCGTTGCAGCGGAAGGTGCACGAGCCGGCAATGCAGAACGAGTCGCCGTTGGCGGGAGCAGCCGGGCCCTTGGCGCGGCAGATGGCGTCTGCGAGGACAGCGAGTCGTCAGCTTGAGGTCCCACGGCAGGCAAGGTCTCGAGGAACGCACTGGTGCCGCAGCGGATCTTGGCAGCGGCGAGGGCGGCCTTCGTGTTGAGGAAGGCCGAGTTGGCCGCGTACGGGTCCGTCTTCGAGACGGGGGCGGCGTTGCTCGACGCCGACTTGCCCTTGGCAGCGGTCTTGCGGCCGGCAAAGGTGGTGCGGCCAGCACGCTTCTTGAGGGCCTTGGCGGCAGCGTTGCGGCGGGCGACGGCAGCCGACGACTTGACCGAGAGCTCAGCGTGCTGGTCGCGGGCGACGATGCCTGTAGAAAGGAGACAGGGTCGTCAGCGACGAGTTACACGGCCGGCACGGCGCAGGGGACGGCTCGTCGCAACGGGAGCCTCGAGCCGACGCGTCTCCTTGATGGCTGCCAACTCGCGCGCAGAAGCGATCGAAAGGCGTACGTACCGGCAGAAGTGGCCTTCGAGGCGTTGACGGGCGCGAAGGCGAGCGCGACGAGGGCGAGGGACGCAAGGCAGGACTTGAAGGACGGCATGTTTGATGTGAACGGTACCGCGGCGTGGAAACGAGTGACTGGGGGGGGAGGCAAATGAAGCCGAGGCTGCAAGGAACGAGCGACGAGGAAGACTGAGGCGCGGAGCCTGTGAGGAACGAGCGACGAGGGAAGAGAGGTGAAGAGAGGGAAGGAGAAAGGTGAAGGAGCGCGGAAAGCGACAACGATTCGGACGGCGGGCTCGATCTGCCGAGAATCCCAGAGCTCGTACGGCCGCCCTGGACAAAGAGCCTTGCGGGCAGCATTTGCGCAAGGTTTCGTCGCGGAATGTGGACCAAACGGTCGAGTAGACGCGTTCACTCAACGCTCGACGGCAAGAGATGATTCTTTTCTCGCATCGAGGTTGTCCGCCGCAGGACCTAGAACAGCGCTCGTGCGCTGGCGGAGCTGGTCGCGCTCGAGGGGCGCAGTACATAGCCATGCCCAACTCGCAGGTTCGCTCCGCCGCCGCTGCCCAACGTGCCGTCGTCTAAAGGCGTCTCGTACGACGCCGAGCAGACAATGCGGCATAGAGAGAGCGCGCTAGCTGAGCCCGCATGCGGTCTGGGGAAAGAGATGGGCGACGAGATCGCATCTGCGCTCGACCTTCCCAAGGACGCCTCTGCAGGCATCATCCGTCAACCAGCGACGATGCTTTGCCCGCTGTTGCGATGCAGCGCCACTCATAGAACGCATACGACGATCTGGGCATCAGCCGGACCTCCACTCGAGCAGGATCAGCGGCGACGAGGAGCTCGTTCGTCCTCCTCGTGTTGTTTGTCGAGAGCTTCTGTGGAGGAATCGTCGTCGTGCGCGATTCGACACCGAGAAAAGGGCCGCGGTCCGGACGAGACAGCCGGCAGAGCGCAGATCGTAGCAAAATAGTAGTGGCAGGGGACGATGAGGCGGACGCGCTGTTTGGCCAAACATCACACGAAGGGGGTCAGTCCTGCTGCTACAGGTCTCGTAACGGCGTCGTGGGACGTCTGCTGGGCCTGCAAGCCCGCCAGCAGGCGTCGAACGCGTCCTTCGCCCTCACATCACGCCCTCGACGCGCTTCACCTCGACACAACAAACCCCAGCATTCCGACCGCTGCGACGTCTTCGCAAGTCCATCTCCGCGCCAGGCTCCTAAATGGATAATGCCATTTTCGCAGCGCGAATCGAGCCGGATCACCGCCATGCACCCCGTGTCGATGCGTTGCTTCCCTCGAGGAGGAGAAGGACGCACGGTGTTTGGCGAGAACGACGCGACGGCCCAGACTGGCTCTGCTTGTCGCCGAGAGCCGACGAAAGAGAAGCTTGGGCGGCGGAAGAAGCGGTCCGAAGTGTGAGCAGGTCGAGCCCGTCTTCTGAAGGGGCGAGGAGGAAGGCGTCGAGGAGGCGAGTCTGTCGTCGAGCAAGAGTGAAGGGAAGGAGGAAGAGATGCTGAGTCTGCTGCTTCGCAAGGTCGGTCTGAAAGAAGGGATGCACCCTCTTCTTGCGAGAAGACAGCGTCAGGCGAAGACGCTGCGAGAAGTGCCACGACCGTTGGGCTACCGAGCGAGGTCGCCGTGCCCAGCAGATAACGAGGCCGATAGACCTGATAGCATCGATGTTGAGCAGTCTGTACAGCAAGCGGCGGACGAGCAGGAGCAGGAGACTGCGTCTCAAGGAGACAAAGGCGACAGGCAGGGCCTGAGCGGGATGCGCTGCCTTTTGTCTGCCCGTGGTCGCTCAGGCAGCGAGCATAGCAGTCGAGAAAGTCGTTGTTGAACCAGATCGCTGTCGAGATTGGCTGGCGAGCGAGCGAGCCAGTGTTCAGGAGGAGGGAGGAGATGCTAATTCGTCGCGCGGAGCGTCCTAGGCGGCTCGTCCCGCCCTTCCACAGGCCCACTGGCCTCGACTTGCCGACCTCGCGAACCGTCCCATCGCCGTGCGAGTGAGAGCGTGTCGACGAGGTCAGCGAGACGATGAGGAGGAGTCGGGGAGACGCGATTGACGCCGCTTGCGCTGGCCTATAGCTGTGCAGTCCAGTCCAACAAGCAGTCCTAGCAGTCCAGCAAGCCCATCCAGCCGTGACGAGGTGTTCGTTCGTCCTCAACCCGCCATCTCTTCCGCGAACCATCGTCACACCCCTCCCTCTCCCTCACACACCCGCTGTGACCGTTCAAACTCGCTCGCTTACTCGCTTGGATACCGTACACGCCTCGCGAACCAGCGTCTACCCGCCCGCGCGCGAACGAGCGACGCATACACCCTCTCCCCGCCTCGCGAACCGGCAGTCCACCCTTGTCGCCTCGACGCTGCCACTGAAACCGTGGGACTGGCACAGAAAGAGTAGCAACTCGACCTAAGGGCACTGCAGGTGGTCGTCAGGCTTCTCGGTGAGTTTGTTGCCCTTGTCACGCCCTCCTCTCTCGCGCTCTTGCTGGCGAAGTTGTCGCCTGGAGACGGCTTTCGAACGGGCGAACGCGCGCAGGCGGGACTTGAGCATGGCTGAGGACACTAGGCGTGTACATGCGGCGGGCCTCCAAGCTCGTGAGGCTTGACTTGGAGGACGCGTTCGTCGCGTTGACATCTCGAAGGGACGGCTGCCTCGCGCTGCTATGGCTTTGCGGAGCGAGGAAGACCATCAGCGCATGCATGAACTGCCGAAGAGCCGTGACTGACCTCTTTCGACTTACGCAGACATCGCCTTGAGTTCACCTGATCGCAACTCCTCCCTAGCATAATCACCTCACCTCCCCCTCGATTCGAAACACCCCCTTCCAGCCACCATGTTCTTCAACTCGGACCTCCTCACCAAGCGCGGCGCGCTCGCGCAAGTCTGGATGGCGTCGCACCTGACGACCAAGCTCTCCAAGTCGACTCTCAGCTCGACCTCGATTCCAAAGTCCGTCCAGTCCATCCTCGGCCAGGAACTCTTGCCTATGGCGCTCCGTCTTTCGGGCCAACTGTTGCTCGGTATCGCCCGCATCTACGCCAAGAAGACGCGGTACCTCCTCGACGATGCGCAGGAGACGCTCAACAAGGTCCGCAAGGCGTTCCAGAACGAGGGACGGGCCGCAGTCGACTTGCCTGAGGATGGCACTGCGGGAGCCGACGATGCGCACGGGAAGAGGGGAGATATTAATATGCGGAGGGAGGGAGGCGACTTGGAGGACTTGCTCGCACTCGAGTTCGCGGACAACGAATGGTGCGCCTGACTTGATCGCTTCACCGTTTCTCTCTGCGGCGAAACTAATACACCTTACAATGCAGGTCCCTCGAGAAGCATCTTGCCGCCGCCGCGAAAGACAAGGGCAAGGGCAAGGCGAAAAACACGACTGCCGACATCCGCGACATCACGCTCGACGAGGACTTTGGCGCGTACGGAGGCGCGCTCGACTTTGGCGGCGACGATCTCGGCCTCGACTTTGGCGGTATCGACGACATGGGCTTCGACCCCGAGTTTCAGCTCTTCGGCGACGATGAGCTGAATGCGATCGCTGGACCGAGTGGCGAGAAGCGCGGGACGAAGCGGGCGCGCGGAGAGGACGGCGAAGAGCGGGACGAGGACGACGTCTCGGTCGAACAAGGACGGAGGGACTCGGTCGCGCATGCGTCTGAGCGTGGCTCGATCGGCCCCTTCGACTTGTCGTTCAACAAGGACGCCGAGGGCGACATGCAGATGAACGAGGGTGACCTTGGCGGATTCGACGCCGGCTTCGAGCTGGGCTTTGATGCGCCCGACTTCAACAACGACTTTGGCGGAGGATTCGACGAGCAGCGCGAGAAGAGTGAGTGGAACAGCACGAGATCTCTCTTGTTGGCTCCTCGCACTGACGCATTTCGTCGCGCAGCTCCCACGGCGCCCTCGATTGCTGGCGAAGATTCCCTGCAGCTCACGCCTCGCGCTGCTGCCGAAGTTGCAGCCCGCCAGAACGAGAAGCAGCCACCGAAGAAGAGGCAGAGGCAGCTTGCCGTCGACAAGGTCATCGAGCTCGAGTGGCAGGCTGGCAGGCTCGAGGGCAAGGACCGGTTCAAGGATGTGAGTCGTATTCCTGCTTCGCTTCCCATGCGTCAACTGACTTCAGTGTTCGCTCTACAGCCCGAGTACCTCCCCGCCTCTCGCCTCCACCTCGCCCTTCTCAATGCTCCGACCTCTGCCCTCCTCCCCAAGCCCCTCCCGAAGACATCGAAGAACGCAACGGCTTACGAGCTCTTTGCGCCTCCCGGGCTCCTCGCACCCGAACTCCAGGACCTCTTCAAGATGCCGACGCGGCGAGAACAGATCCGTCTCGAAGGCCGCGAGCGAGTCAAGGACCGTGACGTCGAGCAGGGTCGTCGGGCGATGAGTGTCGTCTCGAACCTCTCGCACCTCCGCGCCGCCGCTGGTCTCGACGGGTTCGACGCCGACCTCGACCACCTCAACCGGGACTTTGGCGGTGGAGAGGCGAACGACTTGGGCGGGTTTGAGCACGGCGACTTCCAGCTCGACCTTGACTTTCCCGCCGCGAACGACGGGCAGGACCCGCTCGCTACGCCCGCCAAGAAGAAGCAGCGGACGGACAAGGGTCGCGAGGGCACCGTTGACGGCCTGGCGACTCCCGCACAATCGGTTCTCTCGGCTCTCGCAAAGGACGAGCTGCCGACGTACCACTCTGAAGGCCCTCTCGCCGTCTTTGACGACGTTTCGGCGGGCGTTGCCGCCTCGTTGGCCGGGACCGCGACGCCCTCGCAGTCGCAGAGCCAGGCCGGCGTCAGCCAGTCGCTCGGAACGGAGACGGAGGCTCTCGCTGCGGGCGCCGACAGCGTGACGCAGAAGAGCGGCAGCATCAGTCTGCAGAGCAAGAACACGAGGAAAGCAGTCAGGGTGCTTAAGGACCAGGTTGGCGAGGACCCCGAGCAGCCTGTCGAGTTCGAGAAGGTCGCGGAGAAGGTGAGTCTCGCTTCATGGGCCGTAGTTGGGGGAGCTACCATGTGTTTCTGCTTGCCTGCCTGCCATACCCTTGAAGTGTTACTGACAAATTCCCAATCCCTCTCAGGCCTCTCGCCGCGCCGCCGCCTCCTTCTTCTTCGAGCTCCTTGTCCTCGGCTCCGCCGACGTTGTCAAGCTCAACCAACCCTCAGCCTACGGCAACATCGAGGTCCGCGCCACGGACAAGCTGCAGGAGATTGCCGTCTAGACGGTCGGACACCTCGAGGAGCGCTTCTCATGTTCTGTACCTTACTGCCCAGCTACCGCGAGTTCTTGTATGCCCTTCCTCACGTTCTCTCTGTCCTGTCATTAGCCTGAAATGTATAGTCAGTCGTCACGGTCCTTTGCGTTTGCTCGAATCGCTTTCCTCTCATTCCCAGCTGTCGCCTCACTGCCTGTAGGACCAGCGGCGCCTCACTAGAGCCCTGCAGGACACTTGGAAGGGTGCCCGGCGAGTGGCGCAGCAACTTCTCACCGGGTTGTCCTTCTCTCGTCTCCTCCGCCTCTTCTCTCTCACTCCGCTCTCGCTGCTTTCGTCCCCGATCGCATCGCTGGACTTCGCTGGACGCTCGCTGGCTTGCAGGGTAGTCACAGGACGCCCAGCATTCTCCGCCGTCGTCTCCTCTCCGCTCGCGCGACGTGACGCGAAGCTCATCTCCTGATGAAGCGGGAGGAGGAGAACTTCGCATCCTCGACATCCGGCAGCTTCTCCAGCAGTGACACAGTCAACAAGAGACCCCTACAATCCACCGGAGCAGCCACGACCCGCCGAACGAGCCAACAGGAGTGCATACACTCAGAGACTCCTGACATGCCTCGACGAGCAGACGACCTGCTTGCGGCATGCGACTGACCGCTTTCGACGGTCTCCTGCTGGACGATGTTTACTCTCGCATACCGCTGCTTCTACGCCCGAATCGAGCCTGTGCGACTAGGAGTCGCCGTTCGAGGACGCTTGAGGTCCTCGTCGAGTGGGTCGAGGAGCGAGGCGAGTGCCCTCTCTTCCTGCGTCTCCTGCAAAGGTGTGTTGACTGACAGCGGTTACTGCACCACAGTCGCTCGTCGTCCGCCCGCCTGCAGCTCGTCGGGCCTCATCCTGGCCTTCGCAGGGGAATCGGAGATCCGGCACCGCTCAGGCCTCCTCCTGCTCTTCCGAAGGACGCTCGGCGCTCGTCAGCTCCTCTCCTGAGCTTTCCTTCTGACGCCCACCGCCTCGGCTGCTTCGGCGTTGCCCTCTCGCTGCCACACCTTAACCGCCCATCCCACGACTCTTCGCCTCGAACGGCGACCCTCGCTCGCGGCAAGTGCGCGCCCCCACTAGCGCGAACGTTCGGACGGCTCGCATACCTTCGGAGGGTCCGCAACTTGCAGGACTGACGCTGCGCGGACGCTGGGAGACAGGCCAACAAGGTGCGCTCTCTCCAGCCCGTGATCCCAGGTCCCTCGTTCATATCGTTCCCCGCAGGCTCGATTCAACCCTACCGAGCTCGACGAGCGTCACCTCCCGATCTTGATCTCCCGCCATTCGACCTGCAATACCGAACACTCTCGCTCACACGACCACCGGCCTCTTTCCCTCTCTTCACCAGTCTGCCGCTTGCACGGTCGGCTCTCGGAGCGCCAGCATGGCCGCAGCCGCAGTCGCGACGAGCCCGACAACTCCCACCGCACCCAAGTCTCGGCTCTTCGGTCGTCCTGCGTCCGCCAAACCGGCCGAATCCTCGTTCTCGCCTACTTCGCCGTGGTTTCTCTCGCGCTTCCCTGTGCTGGGGACGAGCTGGGCGGCTCGAGTGGGCGGCGAGTCCGCGGTCGACACGAAGCGCGAACGGCGGTTCTCCTTTGGCGTCGACAAGCCTGCTCGGCCTGGGGCGAAACCGTCGCTCCAGCGTGCACGGTTGGCGAGAACGTCGCTGATGGCTGCTGCGCGCAAGATGGCTGGCGGGACAAGAAGGAAGGAGGAGGGCGAGGCGGACGACTCGGGCTTGCGAAGCTACCGAGACAAGGCGCCGATGTTCATCATGAGTTCGCCTGAGCTCGCCACGCCCGGTGAGGAGAAGGCGCAGTGGGACTTGCACGACGCTTCAACCACGACGAAGGAAGCGGAGGGACCGCAAAGCCCGATGGTCAAGTGGGATTCGTCAGTGACGAATGGAGCGAAGTCGTCGTTCCTCCCGCTTTCGCCCGTCGACGGCCACTCACTCGTCCAGTCACACCACCTGTACACGCCTCGACAGTCGTCGGAAGAATCTGCTGCCTCTCTCGAACCCCTCGACCGCTCGACTCCTCCTCTCGTCGCTCCATCCGCCTTTCGCCGCGCCCGCTCACCGAAAGCGCTGTGGAACCCTCCATCGCTCCCTACACCGCCGCCGTCGTCTCCCGAGCCGGTCAACCGTTCGGCATCGCGCTCGCCGCCTGTCGACGAGGAAACCCGGCAGGCTTTCCGCGCCGAAGCGCTTGCCAAGTTGACGAGTCCGACGCCGACGCAGACAAGATTTCCTGACGACCTCACCTCTTTCCCTTTCCCCGCTGTCGAACAGCACGCCACGCCGCCCCGCCCAACCCGCCCGCCGCCCGCTCTTCCGACGCCTGACCCGCCGACGCAGAGCTCGACTTCGCTCATCCTCCCGCTGCCCTCGGCACGCAACAGTCTCTCCGCAGCCGACCTCGCCCCCTCTCCTCCTGCACTCGTTCGCTCATACTCGGTCGGACTGCATCCAGAGCCGGTACAGCTCGATATCGACTTTCGAGGCCGGCTCGTTCGAGCTCGCAACTCGCACCCGGCGGGCTCGTCACCGGCCCTGACGGTCTCTTCGACGGGCTCGTCGTCTCCCGGCAGCAGCCGCATCTCGGATTGGCGGCCGAGTACCGGCTCGCGCAAGAGCAGCGACACGAGCGTGACTGCGTCAGCTCAGAGCTGCGATCAGCCGTCGAACGACCAGCAGACCGGGCTTTACGCCTTGTCCAGCGACCGCCGTGTCGTCGAGTCGGCCATCGATGTGCTCGCCGTGGTCGAGGAGGACGAGCCGCCCTTTCCCGCCTCGCCGCTCTTGCGACCGAAACGCTCTCCGACGAAGCGTGGCGACAGCGACTTGCCACATCGGCGCCCGTCGCGGGGAGAGAAACGCATCAGCCTCGACGGGTCCTTGCCTGTGCAGGCGAAACCGGACGTCGTCGTCGTCTCGCGTCAACGGCATCGTTCGCTCGCGCCTATTCCATCGGCCACGAAGCCCCCTCTGCGCCCCTACCGCCTCAGCACCACTGACAGGACCTTCAGCTCCGGCGCAGTCGTCGAGCCCACTCCCTCTGAGCGGGAGCAGCTCGGCCTCTCCGCATCCAGCAATGCGAACCCGTCCACCTCCCCCGCCGCAGACCTCCTCACCCGCCCTCTGAGTCCCTCACGCATCGAACGGCCTCGAGCTGGAAAGCGGTACTTGTCGGAGCTTCACACTCCCGACTCTCGTCCCGTCTCTCCCTCCTCAGACAGAGACTACGGCATCGGTCTCGGCTTCCCCTCCGGCCTGGTCAGCGGTAAGTCGAGCGTACGAACCCGCCACGAAAGTCTCGTTTTCAGTGGCGACGAAGACATGGGCGGGGGAGAGTATCGTCAGCGGCGAGTCAGCAGGCGGATCTCGTCGGGCGCGGCGACGCGAACCAAGCTGGTGCTACGTGAGAAGGGCAAGCCGGTCTTGACCTACGTGAGCACCCTCAGTTGCAAATGCGTTTCAGCCCACCGAGCTGACGCTCCTCCCTCGCTCAGCAACTTGGCGAGTGCATCGGTCGCGGCCAGTTCGGCTCGGTCTATCGAGCACTCAACCTCAACACGGGCCAAGTCGTTGCCGTCAAGCGCATTTCGCTCGAAGGCAAGAGCGAGAACGAGGTTGCCGAGCTCAGCAATGAAGTCAAGCTGCTCAGGTCGCTTACGCACCCGGCGGTGGTCAAGTACGAAGGACTTGTCCGCACCGAGCACTACCTCAACATCATCCTCGAGTGCGTCCTGCTACTACTCGAGACCGTCTCCCATCGCTCACCATCTTCTACCGTAGATTTGCCGAAGGCGGCTCGCTCGAAAAGACGATCAAGCAGTATGGCCAGCTTCCCGAATCGCTCGTCGCGGCCTACGTCCTCAAGATGCTCGAAGGACTCGCCTACTTGCACGGCGAGGGCGTCGTACACTGCGATCTCAAGGGTGCGTTGCGCTTCCTCAGCTGACCTTCGCAAGCAGCAAGTTGACTTCGCTTCTCACCTCCGACCCTGCCTGCAGCTGCCAACGTCCTCTCGACGAAGAATGGCAACATCAAGCTGTCCGACTTTGGCGTGTCGCTCAACCTGAACGCGCTCAAGACGACTCGCGGCCTCGCCGCCGCGACGGAGGTGAACGGTACTCCGAACTGGATGGCGCCCGAGGTCATCTCGATGCAAGGCGCGACGGCAGCAAGCGACATCTGGTCTCTCGGCGCAACGATCTGCGAGCTAGTCTCAGGTCGTCCGCCTTACGCCGATCTGGTCGCCATGAGTGCCATGTTCCGCATCGTCGAAGACGACTGTCCGCCGCTTCCGGATGGCATCTCGGCGGAGCTCGAGCGGTTCTTGCTACGTTGCTTCCGCAAGAACCCGCAGGAGCGGCCTACGGCAGACAAGCTGTTTGAGGATCCATGGTTGGTCAAGCACTCTATTGGCCTGCAGGTTCGTCTCGTTCCTCCTTCGACAGTGACAGCTGGTACTGACGCCCACCGGCACGCAGTCGCGCCCGCAGGACTCGATTCCCTTCCACCGCCGCATCTCCTCCGACCACCGCCGCCCGCTCCTTTCGCTTCCCGCCACCCTCTCCTCCGCCGCGGCCTTCACCGACGACATGTCTGACTCGCCAGTTCCGCTCGTGCCACCTGTTCTGCCTTTCGCGCTCGACGAGCCCGCGCCGAGGGACTCGCTCGACTCGGGCTACCGTGCCGAAGACGAGGAAGTCGCTGTGCGTATGTTTCAGCGCATACGCTTCACGCAAGCTTGCTGATCCTGTTCCCCGTGCAGGCGCCTCCCCTCCCCGCCATCGACCCGGACGACCTCCCGCACCCGCACTCTTTCGTCAAGATCACGTCGAGCAAAGGTGCGTTCGACGGTCTCTCCACCATGTTAGGCACACAGCTGACGCTTAGACTACAGCCGTCGACTGCAAGATCTGCGGCGAGCCAACCAAGCGCCACGCCGTCCTCTGCAAAGACTGCGGCTTGATCGCCCACTCTCGCTGCAAAGAATTCGCATCGACCTGCGACTTGCGCGCGCAGTTGCTCGCGTTCGCGGCGGCGCACAGCGGGACTAGTCTCGCGCGATTCCCGACGTTGCAGGCGGTTGCGTCCCCGCCGCCGCCGGCTTCTTCGACTCCTCCCTCGTTCGCTTTCGCCGACTACCTTCCCTTCAGCAAATCTCGCCGTCCGAAGCTCTCCTCTCCAGGCTCTACGACATCGCGCACGCCGCCCTCTTCTCGTCCAACCTCTCCGTCTCGCCGCCCGTTGCGAACCATCTCGAACGCCCTGATGCCGACCAAGACTCGCTCACCCCAGTCGACTCCCCCTCCTTCGCTCGGCAAGTCCCGCGTAAGGCCGCAGTCGACGTCTGTCTCGACCACCACAACACCTACAAAGCGTCGAACGGAGAACGCGAGTGCTGGACCGATCGAGTTGGGTTCTATGGCGCCGTCGTCGCCTACTCCGCGCGTCAGCATCGACCTCCCCTCGCGCACGAACGACGTCGCAACGCCCTCACCGACCAAGGCCGCTGCCGAAACGAACCAGAAGCGCCACCTACGCAGCGTCAGCCAGCCCGTCAACGTTCTCTCCAAGTCGCCCGGCGCGGCCTCGTCTTCTAGCAAGCGCAGCGAGTGCACCGTCATGTAACTACGTCCTTTCCGCCTCCCTTGTCCTGTCTAGCTCTCGCACTCCTCCCTTCACGTACAGATTCCTTCCCTCGCACGCACGCATTCTCCCTCGAGCCTCTCTATCTATTCTCGCACGCCTCGTTCTCGCTCTCGTCTGCGCTCCTATTTCCCGCTCTCGCACTCGTCTTCCCATTCGCACGCCATGTCATTGTATTCAGATTGCATCCCCTTCCCTCGCCTTCGTCCGCAACTCTGGTCTTGTCGTCTCGCTTGTCTGCTTCGCTGCGTCGACGCGTTCTTCGCTCACGCACCATCGAACGAGAGGAAAGACAACAGGAGACTGGCGTTACAAACCGAAAACACTTCCGTGATACAAATCCGCTCCTCTTCCCCGAGCTGAGGGAGGCACCGCCTCACGGCCTCCTCTGCAACGTCATGACCTCCCACCAGAGCCTGAGGTCGCCCATGAAGCTGAAGAAGGGGTGCTTGAAGGTTGCGGGCTTGTTAAGTTCGAAGAAGAAGTGGCCGACCCTGCGAAACGTGAGCCGAGGGTTCAGTTGAGATGCCTGGACTTTCCGCTCGACATGAGTCAAGTACAGCACATCCGATAGCGTTCGTAGCAGTGTCTTCGACGTGCCTCAGAGCCGAGGAGAGAACGAAGCGACCCACCAAGCCCACACATACCCCTGCACAAACCCGCCGAGCAGCAACTCCCCGATCGACTTCCACCCTTCGCCGCCGAAACGGAGGGCGTCGAGGCGCCCTTTCGGGTCTTTGGCGAGGAGAGGGGCGGCGGCGAGCAGAGCGCGGGTGAAGGTGCCGAGGGCGATGGTAGTGCCGATTAGCTGTCGAGTCCAAGGTTCAGCAGGACGGCGAGGGCGTTGGAGAGAGCGAGACGAACGTGAAGGCGTCGCTGCGATTGGGAAGACTGCATTCAGCCTTCGTTGGTCTCGAAGAGAGGAAGAGGCGGAACCCGGCATTCGCCCAACTCACGCAGATCTTGTTGCTGTGTTCGCCCAAGTAGTAAGGGCTGCACCGTAACCACAGCACACGCGTCGTCAGTCCAGCCGAAAGCGAGTCGCAAGCGAGAGATGCTCCGAGAGATGAGGGTGGGGAACGAGAGGAGTTGAGAGGAGGGACCCACTAGAACGAGCGGAAGGTGCTGTAGCCTGTGACGGAGTACGGCTGGGGCTTGTACTCGGGGTTGGCGACCCGTTCGACCTTGAGCGTGGTCATCGTGGCGTTGTCGAGGAGGGAACAGGCAAGGAGGCGAGGCGGCCAAGTCGTGTGAGCGGTGACAGGCTTACAAGGGATGTCTGTACTGCATTGTTGGCCTGGAGTACAAGCAAGTCCTCGATGGTCTAGTGGTTATGATTCGGCTCTCTCACAGCCGCGAGCGGGGTTCGATTCCCCGTCGGGGAACACGTATTTCTCTTTTTTGCTGGGCGTCTCTCTCTCCCGTGGGCTGTCTGGGTGTCGCGACGAGCTGGCCTGCTTTTGCTGCTCGAGACGACTTGCATTCGCTCGAGCGACAGCCTGCTTGATAGGCGAGAGCCAGGTTTGAGGTTCTTCCGGCGGCCGCCTTTGCCGAGTCCAGCACACACAGGTCGGTTCTCACGCGACTCCCTGCGACAGTCACGACGAGTGAGAGATAGAGGAATTGCAGTGAGCGCAACGACATGCCCAGTCCGCCAGCAAGCAATCCGTCGGCACCTCCCCTCCCTCGACAGAGCCCTCCGCACCGACCAGCTCCTCCGCCATACATCCACGCGAGCCACAGCATACACAAGCAGTCACAATCTGCACGAGGCGAACGAGGCGTCAGTCCACACCGCCCAGGCAGGAAAACCTTTGCCGTCGTCCACGCTCGCGCGCAATTCGTGTGCTTCGAGATCAGGGTTTGTACAAGTTGTCGGCATGTCGGACGACTACCCGTAGGTGTCGCCTTACTAGGCCAGGGATAACCAAAGGCTGTATCCGTTCCGGCAAAGGAGACGGAGCCCGAGGCATCATGTCGAGCTGGCGATGTCGAGCGCGCGAGGGTGGACCGGTAAAGGAGACTGTGCGCACCTGTAGCAGCGTCGAGCATTCCTCCACGACTCCCACGAGCGAGAAAGAGCCAAGTCGAGTGAAGGGAAGGAGGAAGAGAGCCGTCGTCGAGCTCGCGCGAGAGCAAGACCCGCTCTGCATATGCTCACCCGCCTGCTGAAGCTAGCAAGGATGACACGCTCAGCTCCACACGGCCCACTGCCTCAGCCAACGCTCGAACCGCCCGTCCGGCGCGGGATGAGCGAGCTGGACCGCGCCGCGTTCGACGCCAGACTCACGCTGCTTGCTGCGAGATTGCCCGCCGCCAAAGCCAACAAGTTCATGAAGGAGGATGCGAAGGAGTGCGTACACCGTCTAGGCATCTTTCTAGACCTGAACGAGCTCACCAGATGCCGTGGTCGTCGCCTCTCACAGCTTCATCGTTCGCTTGCGGGGTATCGGCGCCGTCAACCCAGACACCTCGAACGAGTACCGCCGGGTGCTCTTGCGGACAGGAGATCGGTGTGCGTACGGCTGCCGTTTCAAGGGGAGCGCGGGAGCTGACGAGTGGACGAGGAGACAGCCTCCCTTCCGACTGAACTGCTCGAGGTTGTCAAGCGCAACGACGGCGAGCTCGTCGAGCACGATCTCAAGGTCGGTTACGACTACTGGACTGCAGGTTCGTGGCGAACCTATGCGCGAGCTGAAGGATGCAAGTTGACGCCCGTCACCCGCCCGCAGACCAGATCCTCCAGGCTGTCCTTCCCGAAGACTTGCTTGACGAGTCGCCTACCGCCTTTACGCAGGTCGGGCACATCGGTGAGCTGGCTGTGACACCGGAACAAGGACGCCTAGCTGATCTCTACTCTCGCAGCCCATGTCAACCTTCGCGAACAGTACCTTCCTCACCGACACCTAATCGGCCAGGTCATCCTCGATGTACGCCTGCCCCTCTTTCTCATCTTAGTACTACGCTGATGTTTCCGAATCGCAGAAAAACAAGGGCCTCCGAACAGTCGTCAACAAGCTCGACTCGATCGACAATGTCTACCGAAACTTCCAGATGGAAGTGCTGGCGGGAGACCCTGACTTCCAGGTCGAGCTGGTGCGCTTCGAATTCTCCCTCATGCTCATGGACCTCGCTAATGCTGACTTCTCGCAGTCCGAACACGACTGCCGCTTCCGCTTCGACTTCTCTAAAGTCTACTGGAACTCCCGCTTGCAGACGGAGCACGCACGACTCGTCGAGTCGTTCAAGCCTACGGATGTGATTGTCGATGGCTTTGCGGGCGTGGGACCGTTTGCGATCCCTGCCGGGAAGAAGGGGTGTGGGGTGTTGGCGAGCGATTTGAACCCGGCGAGTGCGGAGGCGTTGGGCGAGAATGTCAAGCTCAACAAGGTGCGCTCACGGTCACTCTCTTCTCACAAGTCTGAGCTGACGATCGCTTGACACAGGTGGAGAAGAACGTCCGCGCGTTCGAGGACGACGGCCGGCACTTCATCCAGACCTCCATCCTGAAGATCTGGAACGATCCCTTCCCGCCTTACGTACCCGCCCTCACTTCGCGCGAGGCGAAGCGGAAAGCTCGAGCAGAGCGGGAAGCACGAGCAGCCGCTGCCGCCTCGCCCGAAACGCCAGCTTCGTCCTCCGCATCTCCGCCCTTCAACTCGCTCGCTTCCCTCTCCCTCTCTCCCTCTGCCACGCCTTCCGAGCCCGCACCCCGCCCGCGCCGCCTACCCAATCACTACATCATGAACCTCCCCGCCTCCGCCTTGACCTTCCTCGACGCCTTCAACGGTCTCTTCCGGCCCTTGTACAAGCTAGTGGGCGAAGAAGAGGTCAAGCGCGCGGTGGAGGAGGCGGGCGGACTGCCGGTTGTGCATTGTTATTGCTTCACGAAGGAGGTCGAGGAGGCGGAGAAGGACATCTGTGCGGTGCGTCCCGGTCTCTCCCCTGCCGTTGTTCATCCTTTTCATACCCAGATCGTGCTGACGCTCGGGTGTCAATGCACGCAGCGTGCCACCGAAGCACTCGGCCACCAAGTCCACCCCGCCCTGCCCGACTTTGCGCTCCGATACGTCCGCGACGTCGCGCCGAAGAAGGCGATGTACTGCCTCGAGTTCAGGTTGACGGAGGAGATGGTGCGGTAGCTGGACAATGTATGCTCGAATGCAATTGCAGCGAGTCGCAGGATCGCAGGAGCCAGTGGGTGTCAGTGGGTTTGTCGGACAGAGAACAGTGAGAGACGCCACCGCTCCTTCACGGTGTCGTGACACACCCTGCCCTCTGCTGGAAGTGCAAAAAAGCTGCTTGAGATGGCGTTGAAAAGATGATGGTAATTCCCCGACGGGGAATCGAACCCCGCTCGCGGCTGTGAGAGAGCCGAATCATAACCACTAGACCATCGAGGACTTGCTTGTGCTTCAAGCTAGTACTGCAGTATACATACTTTATTGTAGCTTGTTCTGCTGCGCGACTTGACCGTTCCCCGCTCATCTTGGCGTCCTCCTCGACCTCCTCAACCTCGCTCGGACCGCTTCTTGCTCACGCTCACCAGACTCCCAGGCTCTACTGCTCATTCCAGCTCAACCCAGCGGCCTGCACCCGCGTCTGATCTCGCACTCTCCTCCCACCCTCATCATCCCGTTCGCGAGGCGGTGCACAGATGTCGAAACTCGTCCACAAGCTCGCAGACAAGGTCGACAAGCTCGTAAGTCCCACTTCCAGTCATTATATTCACCCGGCTAACCATCTCGAACTCAGGCAGTCCGCGCAGACCGCCTCAAAGAGTCTGTCGCCTGTCCGTCTCCCTTCGACCCTCCCTGCCCTCGGACTAGCTGACTCGCTCACGTGGCGAAACAGACGCTGTCAACCCGAACCACCGCCACGATGAGGAACACGAAAAGGCCGAGGACGAGATGAGGAGGAGGATCTGCGAGAGCCACAGGTTTGGGTCGTTTGCGGGCGTCAGGGAGGGGAACGCTGTCAAGTGGTGCGTTTTCCGGTGTGGAATTAACCCGTTTAAGAGCTGACGAAAGCACCGCGGGAACAGGTACCTCGTCAGTCCAGTCCGCTTCCTCCTTTCCTCACCTCTCGCTCACTCCTTCCGCAGAATGGCCACGACTACTTCTACGCCCTCTCCGAGATCCTCGACGAAGCACGCGAGACGATCTGGATTCTCGATTGGTGGCTCACGCCCGAGCTGTTCCTTCGACGTCCGCCGAGCCAACACGAGGATTTTAGGCTCGACAGGTTGCTCTTGCGGAAGGCTCAGCAGGGCGTGAAGATCTTCATTGTGGTCTACAAGGAGGTGTGCGTCGCCTGTTCCTTTCTCCGCGCCCTCCATTGTCTCGCTCCCCGCCTTCACTCCTCGCCTTCCTACCCTCACGCCGCTATCGCTGCCTCCCCCTCGCCTTCTCCCGCTGGAACTTCGCTGACGAGCCTCGAACGCTATTTGCAGCACCCAGACGATGACGATGAGCAGCCACCACTCGAAGCACTTCCTCGAGGACCTGCACGAGAACATCGCCGTGATGCGGCACCCGGATCACGTACGTCGCGCTTTCGTCCGCCCGTTGTTACGCCTTCTCGCTTGAGGAGGCTGCTGACTCGTCGATGAGGTACGCGGCAGATTGGAGGAGAAGTCACGCTGTACTGGTCTCACCATGAGAAGGTCCGTCTTTCCTCGAGTAACCCCGCTTCCAGCCCGCTGACACACGTCTTCCTGGACGCACACAGGTCGTCGTCGTGGACAACTGCATCGCTTGCATCGGAGGACTCGACATGTGAGTTGCAGTCGCCCTCTGCCGCAATGCGAGCTGGCCACAAAGCCATGCTGGCTCGCTGACCTGGCGTGACGTCTGCTAAACACCTTCGTGGCGTCCAGCTGCTTCGGTCGATGGGACACCTCGTCGCAGTTCGTCTCGCTCTCGCTAACCTCGCTTCTCCCTCTCCGCGCGCTAACCTTCTCACCCTTCACATCTCGACAGCCCACTCTCCGACGTCCACCCAACCGACTTCTCCCGCACGCTTTTCGCAGGCCAAGACTACAACAACGCGCGGATCCAAGACTTCCAAGCCGTCGACTACTGGTGCGCCGCCACCCTTTCCTCCTTGTGACAAGGCTGATGAAGGGATGGCGACAGGGTCTCGAATCAGCAGAGCAGGCTCGAGGCGCCGAGGATGCCGTGGCATGACGTGCACTCGATGTTGACGGGTCCGGCGGTGTTGGATGTTGCGCAGCACTTCGTCGAGCGTGAGTCTCCGCCGCTAGACTTCCATGAGCTCCCTTGCACGGGCAATCCTGCGCAGGTATCCTCATGCTGCTCTACGCCGAAGACTCACCTGAACTTTCACGCAGGGTGGAACTTCGTCAAGCACCTCAAGTACCGCCGCGACGACCGCTACCCTATCCTCGCCTTCCCGCACAAGTTTGACCCGTCCGACGACCCTCCTCCCTCTATCGCAGGTCACCCTCACCTTCGAAAGTTCGCCGAAATCGGCCAGCACTTCCACATCCACCTTCGCTCGCCCGGTCCCGAAGGGTGGTCAGAGCCTATCGGTCCTCGTCCCGGCGCAGGAACGACGCGCGTCCAGGTCCTCCGCTCTTCCGCAGACTGGTCACACGGGATCGTGACAGAGTCGTCCATCCAGACGGCTTACATCGAGTTGATCCGCGAGTCGAGGCATTTCGTCTTCATCTCGAACCAGTTCTTCGTTTCGAAGGCGAGCGCGGACGACAAAGCGCCTGTTTCGAACAGGGTTGCCCAGGCGATCGTCGAGAGGGTGTTGAGCGCCGCGAGGAGCGGGCAAAAGTTCAAGGTGCGTCGAGGTGCTGGGTCCCGCGTCAAGCGGGCCTCTCTTGCCTTAAGCCAGCTGATCCTGACGGCGTCTCTTGTCGACACAGGTTGTTATCCTCATCCCTGCGATCCCCGGCTTCGCAGGCGACTTGTACGGAAACAGCGGGACGCTCGCCATCCTCGGCGCGCAGTACTACTCGATTTGCCGCGGCGGGCACTCGATGTTCGAGGTGAGCAGCGTCGACGTTCAAGCGACTGGCGATCCAAAATTTACGATGACTTACGCAACCCTTTTTCGCTGGGCCCTGCTCGCAGCTGATCCAACAAGCCGGCTTCAACCCGAACGACTACATCGAAGTGTACAACCTCCGCAGCTTCGACCGCATCAACAACGACCCTGAGCGCATCAAGCGCATGGAGCAGAAGTCGGGCGTGTCGTTCCAGCAGGCTCAGGCGGCGTTGGCGAGGTGCGTAGGCGACAGCTTCTTGGCCTCTTCGCCGTCGGCTTCGACGCGTGCTCATTACGCTGGGCTGTCGCCTCGCGCAGGGTCTATCTCGGCCCCGACGCGCTCAAAAGCGAGCTCGAGAAGAACAAGGTCGTCAAGTTCGCCGTCCCGCAAGAAGGTGGCGAAACAGCCGCTCTCGACGTCAAAGCTGCCGCGCAGAAGCCGAACCCGGTCGTCGAGATCCCTCTCCCGCACGGTTACGACGAAGCGTGGGACATCGTGCACCGTTTCGAGCGAGCAGACGATGTGCGGGAGCAGATCTCCGACTCGCTCGCGCACCATGCGGACCACTCGGGCGGGAACATTGCGACCGAGCCGTGGTGCGGCGACGAAGCTTCTGAGCGGAACGCGTTCGTCACGGAGGAGACCTACATTCACTCGAAGCGCGTTCGATCGTCCCTCTTCCTCAAGAGCTGACCTTCCTAACCGACGTTTCGTTCCACAGGCTCATGATCGTCGACGACCTGCGCGTCTTGATGGGCTCGGCTAATATCAACGACCGCTCGCTGCGCGGAGACCGCGACTCGGAGATTGCGTGCGTCTACGAGGACTACGAGGACATGATCGAGTCGCGCATGGATGGCAAGCCGGTGCGTCGACGTTATGCCCGTCCAGCTTGTGGGCATACCGCTCCGGTCCTTCCGCGCGCTGAACCATGGCGCAGTCGACTCACCCCGAGGACGCCTTCCGCAGTTCATGGCCTCCCGCTTCGCCGCGTCGCTCCGCCGCCAGCTCTACAAGGACCACCTCGGCCTCTCGACGCCTCAGATCTGCCCGCCTGTCGCGCAAGAGCCCGTCACGGCAGCGATGAGGCCGGTCGATGTCCCTCACGAGGACACGACTGCGTCAAGGGAGGACGAGCTTGTCATGGTGCGTCAACGCAGCGGATTGTCTGTGCGACATCTCGCGAGTGTGGCTGTACTGACTGAGCCCTGCTGATTGCTGCAGGATCCCCTCTCGCCCGAAACTGAGGCGCTTCTCCGCAATACCGCCGCCAACAACGGTCCGTGTTGCTTATCCCGGCAATCGGGTTTCGCGAGCTACCGGGCTGACGAGTCGTACCCAGCTGCCATCTTCAACGAGGTGTTCCACGCCGTCCCCTCGCCGGATGTCGAGACTTGGGCGCAGGCGCGTTGTTTCGTTCGGGATGATCTCCTCCGTGCCGAGCTGACTCGCTGCTGTCCCACAGTACAAAGGTGCGCGAGCTTGGCGTTCTGCCTGCCCACTTCACTCCTCGCTGATTCACGCTTTCTCGTCGCGCAGCCTTCGTCCCGCAACACCCGATCAAGGTGGGTCTCGTTCCTCTTCGCTTCTCTTCGCTTCTCCTTCCGCCTCCCCTCATCTATTTGCCACTTTCACAGCCCGGCCACGTCGCCTCGCTCGACATCCCCGTCTCGGAGATCAAGTCCAAGCTCTCGCAAGTGCGCGGACGGATCGTCCCGATGCCGCTCAACTTCCTCAAGGACGCCAAGGTGTTCGAGACGGACGCGTCGGTCAACCCGGTTACGATGGCGATCTACCTGTGAGCGGGAAGGGCAGGGAGTGTACAGCCAGGAGGAAGAGAGAGGAAGATGGAGGCGCATCGCTTGTTGTACCCGCTTGACACGCTTGAAAATGGACGCTTTCAGTTGACAATCTCGAGAGTGCAGCCAGTCTGCTGCATCTTGCGACCGCTAGCATTGCGCGATTAGGTCGGCGAGCGAAAAGCCTCGCCGAGAAAGCTACACACGAAAGGAACCGCAGAATCTATCGTAACACGTCTTCTTTGACTTCCCCGCCTACGCGCCAGGCGGCGGCGACCCCGCCGCGAACCCAAACGCGCCAAAAGGTCCATCAGGCATGCCCGGGTCCTTCTTGACGCTCGCGTAGACCTCGCCGAGGATCCCGAGAGCGACGGCTCGTTTCCGCAAGAGCGCAGGAGAGACGGTCTTGGCTTCTTCCGGGGCGAGGGTGGTGAGGAGCCGGTCGCAGACTTCGCGGATGATCGACTCGACTTCGAGCTTGGCGCCCTACGGAGCGAGAGAAGGTGAGTGAAGCAGGAGGCGCGAGGGAAGAGACGGATCGCACCTTGAACAGCGCGTGGAGACCCTGTGAAGGATTGCAATGCAGCGCAAATCGTCAACAAGTGCTCGGCTCGAACAGATGCCGCGAGTCCTGCGCAGTCTGCAAACTCACCATCTGCGCCGCCTTATCCTCCAACTTCCTCTTCTCCTCCTCACTCAACGTTCCACTCTGCTCAGCCTTCTGAATCTCCTCATAGACGTCCTTGAGCGCATAAGCAGATCGGACGGTCGAGACCGTTTGGTTGAAGATGTGCGCGGTGGACTTGGCGGCGTGGAACCAGCCGCCGATGCCGAAGGGGACGGGACCGGTGGAGGCGAGGTAGTGTCTGTAACGGTGTGAGAGTCAGCGAACGGACTTCGATCCGACCTAGCCTGACCGGCGCATTGCGTTTCGCGGGAACAGGCGGCAGGAGGCACCGGCAAGCTCACTTGGACTGCACGACACACTAATCCGTCAGCGCACGTACGAAAGCGTGAGATACGAAGCTAACGCACCTTCATCTGGTAGACGACGCCAACCGCCTGCAGCAATTCGACGCCGTACGACTCCTTCTTGAGCTCTTCTGCCTCGATCGACCACATCGTCCGGACTGCGAGGATGCGCTAGTCAGTTGCTGAATCCGTTGTCATGAGCTTGAAACGATTCGCGGAGAGCCACGACATTCCAGCAAGCGTGACAGACCGCAAACCGGAACTCACCCCCATCCGCAATCTGCTTATCCTCCTCTCCCTGCGCCTGCTCCGCATAAAGCGCCAACTTGTCCCTCAACTTGTCGCTCAACACCTTGACCCTCTCCTCTCGAACCTTCTGCTTCTCAGCCGCGAGTTTCGCTTCCTGTTCAGCCTTGAGTGCGCGTCGACGTTCTTGTTCGGGTGTCAGAGGCTTCTTAGTGCGTTTGGTCGCTGCGGTTGAGGAGGTCGAGGTGGAGGAGACGGCGGTCGAGGAGGAGGGAGAGGACTCGTCTTCGTCGTCGGATTCGTCGAGTTGCATCGCGGATTTCATCTCGCTGCCGAGCGAGATCGTGCCGATGATGTCCTGGAAGCGTTCGCCTGTGCATCGACACTCAACTTTCATCAGCACATCCTCAACAAACAATCGTCGACCCCGACCGCCCGGGACAAGTTTGACGCACCTCCGAACAGCGTCGAAAAGATGACCTCCGGATCAACCGCCTCATCCGCACTACCCCCATCCTTCTTGCTCTTCCCAAACTCGTTGTACTGCTTGCGTAGCTTCGGGTCGGAGAGAGTCGTGTAGGCGACGGCGATCTCTTTGAAGCGGTCGGCGGCGGTGGGGTCGTCGGGATTCTTGTCGGGGTGGTACTGCGCGAGAAGATCCATTGAATTTAACTGTGCGAGTGGTGGAAGAAGTGCGAGAGGAACGAACCTTGATGGCCTGTCGAAGGGAGGAGAGTCAGGTTTGCCTCGTCCAGCGCGAGGGGCGACGCAAGGTCACGCACGAGTCGCCGGTAGGCCTTCTTGACGTCTTCGGCTGTGCAAGTGATCGGCAAACCTAGCAGCTGGTAAGAAAGAACGAAAGAGGATCAGCACGCGCAACCAGAACGAGGAGCGAGAGTCGCTGCCTACATCGTAGTACTCGGTCTCGAGTGGTCGCTCATCTGCACGCCCAGGAACGGAACCGTCAGCTCCCTGAACGCCCTACGAGAGCACTTGCAACACTCACCGGTCCCGATCTTCCTCTTCCCAGACACCGGCTTGTCCCTCTTCCCTTGCGGCTGTCCATTTGCCCCAGCGACTCCACCGTCCTTCCTCCCCTCCTTTGCGGTCCAAACCTTCCTACACACCGCACACTCGAGCTCAAACTCGTCGGGGGCGGTCTGTGATGGTGGGGAGAGGTATTCGAGCGGTACGGAGCAGTGCGGGCAGGTCGTGGCTGTGAAGCAGCCTTGTTTGTGGGTTTGGATGCGCTTTAGAGGGGGCGCCATCCCGTCAGCTTGTGGGTGGGTGAGCGGTGAGCGTGAGAGCGGGCGGCGAGGAGGCTTGGACTGGGACGACGGCGTCGTCGTCGCTCGCACTCGCTCGGCTGGCTCGACTAGCTCCCTGCTGTCGCAAAAAGCGCACAGGCTACCCACTCGTCCAGCTCCCACGCCCCCTCATCGCGTCGTTGTCGACCTCGCCATTCTCATCAGCGAACCCGGGTCGAGGGAGGTCAACTCGCTCAGTACGGCTTGCGGGCGGCTGAGAGCTCGGCAGTAGGGACTACATGTACCTCAAAGGGCGGCCACGAAGCGGGGGGCGAATCGAGCGCGGGTTGACATCGCTACGCTGTCGCGTGAACGGGGATCTCCTGCTCAATCTCCCTCACGCTCGCTTGATCAGCGCAGAACGGGGTTTCTGTGCTCGCACACGAGTCTGTAGATCCGTTGCTGCTCTACGTGGTCCGTGTACTGCCCAAACAGGCGCAGGCAAGTCGAACTTGCTTCGAGGAGACGCCGCTCCATCTTCCGCTCGGCGCTTCTGCGTCTTCCTTTGTTGCTCACGAGTCCTCACGGGGCTCTTCACCATCTGCTGGCCTTTTATCGGCGAGCTGTGCAGATTAGCGAGGAACACACTCCCTCGGTATTCGCTCGCCGACCGGTCGCGCCGCTCTTCCTCCTCATCCACACCGCTCGTCGTCGCCTCTTCCGCCCGCGCTGTTGTATCGCAGCGCGCCTCGAGACGATCGCTCGCAAGGGAGCCGCCGTTGCCCTCGCACGTCTCCACCTTCGGCAGCTCGCTCGCCTGCAGCGAGAGTCCGACCACGGAGAACTCTTGCTCGTCGCTGCTCTCCCTCGTCCAATACACCCGCTGTTGTTACTTTAGACTTCTCCTAACAAGCTGCCAGTGCATGGCCTCGCAGCCCTCTGCGCCCGCCTATCCACCCGCTCTCCAACCCGCCCCCGTCTCCCGCTTGACCTACACCCGCGAATCGTCACTCTCGCCTTCCCGGTCTCCGCCTGCTGCAGCGAGGGGATACTCGCACTCTAGAGGGAGGGCACAGCGGGCTTACTGGGTTGACGGAGCGGGAGTAGGAGGGCAGAGGGAAAGGAGCGAGAGTGTGGGGACAGAGGGGACGGCGAGCGAGTGGAGGAGCAGCGAGCGCAGTCTGAGTCGGGACGGGAGCAGGGCACCGCTGTTCCGTGGCCTGCACCACGGGAAACCCGCTCTGGGCGAGACGGCGGCGACGGAGAAGCCGAACGGGCTCGAAAAGGTCAAATCGAAGGAACTGCTCGAGCGGGAACGGGTGGCGCGGGAGATTGAGAAGGAACGGATAGCGAGGGAGAAAAAGGTGCGGCACGAGTGGCGGAAGCACAAGGCGAGGTGGTTTGTTCGCCTCGCGAGGCACTTTGTCGGCGTGCGAGGGCACAGGTGCGTCCGCATGCATCCTGTCCCCTCTACATGCCCTTACTGATCATATCCAGACGCCTGCAGAGGCCTGCCGACCCCGCTGATCCGCCCACTAAGGCACCTCTCCCCGGCGAACGAAAACTACCTCCTCGGCTTCCTCGGCTCGTTCCCCTCGATCCTGATCGCCTGCGCCATCTCTTCCGGCCTCTCGCGCATCTCCTCCTCCGCATTCTCTTCCACGCCCCTCACAATCGGCTCCTTCGGCGCTACGGCAGTCCTCCTCTACGCCGTCCCCGAAGCGCCGCTGAGCCAACCGCGCAACTTGGTAGGAGGGCACGTCATCTCCGCCATCGTTGGGGCAGTCATCTCGCAGCTCTTTGCGCTGTCGAACCGGTTTACAAGGGACGAGGCGGTCCTGGATAATACGGTCGCCGCGATCGGGAGCTGGCACTCCCTCACGCCTGTTTCGGCGGCGCTGTCCGTTGGATTGGCCGTCTTTGCGATGCAGATAACCGGTACTATACATCCTCCAGGTGCGCTTGTCTACCTTGCATGCGCTCAAAACTGTCCTAACGTGATGTTTTTGCAGGCGGCGCGACGGCACTCATCGCAGCGTACCACCAGCAGGCCGGCCCTCGCTACACCTACATCCTAGACGTCTTCCTCTCCATCACGGCGATGGGCGTCTGGTCTTGTTTCGTCGGCAACTTGGGGAGGAGGCGGTATCCAGTCTAGTGCGTCCGGAATGCCCTCTTCTCTCCTACCGCTTGCTGACGATTTTGTGCGCGACAGCTGGTGGACACCGCTACCGCAGCCAGCACCAGACCCAGCCCCTCCCCCTCCACCAGACGAAGAAGCCGCCTCACCCTCCGCCGACGACACATCCTCAACCACATCCTCCACAACCACAACCACCTCCTCCTCCTCTCCCTCTCCATCCCGCCCAGCCGCGCCACCTGGAGGAACTTCGACCTTCGTACCTCCACCTTCACTTTCCTCCCGCTCGCGCTCACGCTCGCAATCCCGCCCACCCCTCGACCCTTCACATTCCTCTCACCCCTCCGAGTTCTCAGCGCAAGAAGACTCCGAACGTCGCTGGCTTGGGATGCTCGGAGAAGTGGATGAGGAGGCGCTCGCGAGCGGGGACGAGGAGGCGAGGCGGGAGGAGGAGAGGTGGGTTGAGAGGGAGGAGATGGAGAGGCAGCGATCGAGGGAGAAGGAGGAGAGGGAGGAGAGGGGAAGGAGGGCCACGAGGATGTGAAAGGAACTAGAGGAGACGAGTAGAGGGGAGACCCGCTATATCTTGCTTGCATCAGAAGACGACTTGTATCCGAGCATTGCTCAGCGGGTGACGGTGTGAGCGAACTGCGCTTTTCGTCTGCGAACTACGGACCGATTACTGCACAAACAGACTGGACTGCTAGGGATGCGAATTAGGCGATGCAAGAAAGAGGAAGAGGGAGGGGAGAGAGTGTCTGTAAGAGGGCGGGTGAGGTTGTCGTCTAGAGCTTCATCTCTTGAAGGACTCGGCGGGCTGTGCATGAGAAGATCAGCGACGGGAGCCATGCGATGGGAGAGGGCTTCACGCACCGAGCATCTGGTACTGCCAGGCGTCTCCTCCAATGCGGCGGAACTGCAAGCCGTGAATGCCCGGCAAAAGCGGCATCTTGACGAGGAAGATCTCGAAGCGGACAATCATGTCGCTCTTGTTCTGGCTCGTGCTCGTCGAGGCCGGTGGATCGAAGCGAGACGCTGTGGGCGGCTGAGTCGACGGCTGGATGGTGCCGGCCGTTCCAGGTCGCGAGCTGGAGTCGCCTTGGACGCTGTGCGACAGCGGCGTGTGGAAAGACGACGACGAAGCGCGATCACCGCGCGGGTCAAGCGACGACATCGGCAGAGACGTTTGCGAGTCCTCTCCTGCGCCGCCCGGCGACGAAGGCTGCTTCTCGCCGTCCTTGTGCGACAGCAACAACTTGCTCGCGCGGCGCTTGAGCGTCTCGCGTACGCCCTTGTCCTTCGCTCCGGGCGATATCGACGCGCTGCCCGTCGCGCCAGTCGAGGCGCCGAGGACGATTGACGGGACATGCGCGCACTCGAAACCGTTCTTGACGTCGCGGTGCTGAACGCCGAGTCGGTCGAGGACCTTGACGAGGTCGGCTCGGAGCGTTACGATGGGCTTGGTCGAGGTCGTGCTGACGGAGAAGAGGCCCTTGAGCCAAACCGGCTTGGCGCTCTCGCTCTTCTCGGCGTCCTTGCCCGACGAGCCCGACGAGGTCCTGCCGATGAAGCCGACATGCGGCCGTGCGTTGCTCGGCGACTCGGGTGATGGTCCCGCACCAGCCTGCGCCTCCGCATGATCCGCCAGCTCTTCCTCCTCGACCTCACTGAACATCCCGGCAATGTCGTTCGACGTCTTCGGTCGCGGCGGCTTGGCTCCGAGCGAGGCTTGTCGTTGTCGCTCGAGGAACGCACCGCCTGCTCGTCCGATAGTCGCTGCATCGCCCGTCGCGACCGACTGCGAAAGAGGCGACGCAGCTGCCGCGATGGAAGCGCCGCGCTGATGCCGGCTTGGCGAGATCTCGCCGACTGTGCTGGCGCGAACGACGGGCTTGCCATCAGGCGGACTGGCGAGAGGAACGTCTGAGCCGGAGGAGGGCAGACGGCCTGGTGTCGGCGTCGCAGGCGGTCGGAGGGTCGAAGAAGGCGATCCACCTTCCGAAACTTGTGGAAGCGGCGATGCAGCCGTCTTCGTCGTCGACTTGTGGCCGGAAGTAGCGATACTGGCACGCTGTCGGTGACCCTTGTACCCGCTTTCGGGCGAGGACCTGCCGAGGAGCGAGCTGAACCTGCGAGCGAAGCCGCCAGGACTGGATGGGCTCGCCACGCTTGCGAGCGGTACATCATCGCCCGCCGCCGCGATAGCAGCCTGCTGCTCTGCCAGCCGTTCCCGCTCGCGGTCGGCAGCAGACGAGCCAAGCATCATGCTCATGCGGTTCGACGACTTGCGCTCGCGAGGCGTGGGCGAGCTCGGCGCCTCGTACTCGGCTTGCGGGCGGAAGGATGACATGGCCGGCGAGCCGGGCGTAGGCGAGGTGCCGAAGTAGCTCGTGCGCTTGTTCGAGGAGGTCGAGCCGAAGTCGTTTGCTCGAGGCGGAGCCGTCGCAGGAATAGCGCCGAACTCTTCGCCAGTCGCACGCTGGCGAGGCTGCGGCGTAAGGGGTACAGGCGGAGTCGGCATGGTCGGGCGGACGTCGACGTTGACTGGAGGAGCGACGATATTGGCGCCTGTCTGGTACGCCTGAGCGGGTGCAGGCGGAGGCGGAGGACCGGTGAGCGAAAGCGTGGACGAGGCAAACACGCCGGGACCGTAGATCCGTTCCCGCTCAATCTTCTCCTTGACGAGGTAGTAGATCGAGATGAGCGGGTGAAAGCCGCGCGTCGGGTCGAGCTGGTCAGGTCGAGGCGCTGCGCCATTGGTCGGATAGGGGACGTTCATGTCGGGCGAGATGTTGGCGAAGGGGTCGTTGTCGGCGTTGCGCGAAGGAGGGGCGGACGTGCCAGCGAACGCAGCATTGAACCCGCCTGCCAGCTTCTTGCCGTAGAACCCGAGACCCGAAAACCGCTTCGTCGACGCCCGCTTCATGTCCTTCCCGTCAACACGCATCGCCGGCCGGTCCTTGTCGCTGTCGCTCGCATCGCCTCCTCCGGTCCCGAACGTGCTCCTTCGCGCCTCCCAGTTCCGCACGGCCTGCCGGTAGAGGTCACTTTGGATCACATCGCCCAGCTTGGCCGCAATCTGCTCCTCCGTGCCGAACTCGAAGCCCGTCATGCCGCGGATGACTTCCTCGTCGAGCTCACCGAAGCGAAGAGGCGCTCGTGCAGGAATGTGAGGGTCGGGCGGCGAAGTGAAGCCCTTGAGGATCCAGGGGTGGTTGAGGACTTCCGTCAATGTCGCGCGCTGGGCGGGGACGGTGACGAGCATGCGGGAAAGGAGATGCTTGCACTCTGCAATGAGAACGAGATCAGCAGTGTTCAACTGTGCTGCCTCGCAATCCGGTACGCACCGGAACTGAGCCAAGTCGGGTATTCGACCTGGCCGCGCTTGATTTTCGCATGCAGAGCTGGCATACTCTGGTCGTCGAACGGGACCTTGCCACAGACGAGGACGTAGAGAACGATGCCGAACGACCAGACGTCGACTTCGGGGCCTGTGTACGGTTTCGCGTTGAGCAGCTCGGGCGCGGCGAAGTAGAGCGAGCCGCAGAAGGTCGAGAGGTGCGAGATGGGCGAGTAGAGGTTGGAAAGGCCGAAGTCGATGATCTTGATGTTGCCCGTCTTCGAAATGAGGATGTTCTCGATCTTGAGGTCTGCGAACGTGGGAGAGTGAGCTCACGGCCACGAAGAGACGAAAGACGGGTCAGCCTACCGCGATGGACGATCGAGTTGGCGTGGCAGTACTCGAGCGCGCTGCCGATCTGCCGAGCAAACTTGCGGGCGCTCCGTTCCCGTAGGCGGCCGTGCGAGATGATGTAGTCGAGCATCTGACCGCCGTTGATGTACTCCTGAACAAAGTAGTAGTGATGCTGCGGGCGAAAGAACAGTCAGCGAGGTTCACGACGCGGGAGAAACGCGAACACGCACAGGGTAGACGAGCATCTCGCGCATCCCGCAAATGTACGGGTGATGCAAGAGCAGGCACAAGCTGCCTTCCCGGACCGTCCTGACCTCCTTGCTCGCATCCTTCGCCGCCGCCTTCTGCAGAAACGAGCCTGTCGGCTCCGACTTCTTCGCCGCAGCCGTGGCGTGCGGATCGGACGGTGCGACAGCGGCGGCGTGCTGAGCTTGTTGACCCTGCTCGGCTTGACGCTGCGCTGCAGCCGTCGACGTAAAGCGCGGGATGATCTTGATTGCGACCTGTTCGAGAAGACAGTCAGGCAGACGCTCCTCTCGCAACTCGCAAGGAGACAGCGGTGGAGGACACCCTCGAACGCACCTTCTCTCCCGTCACGGTGCTCACTCCAAGCTTGACCTTGCCCATACTTCCCGCCCCAAGCGTCTTCGTCATCTGCCACTCGCCGAGCGTCCGCCTACTCCTCGAACTGACCGATCCCTGCGGCGCCAAGTCTCCCGACCTCTCCCTCTCCCTCTCCCTGCCCTTCCCATCCCGTCCTTCTCGTCGGGACATGGAACCGCCGCCGCCGCCACCGTTCGTTGAGATACTGGGCTGTCGAGAAGGAGGCTGCGAGCCTGTTCGGGTCCGTTGACTCGCTTCGCGCGAGAGGGAAGACGCAGGATCGGATGCGAGGCCGTTTGGTGCCGTCGAAAAGGCACGAACGCGTTCTACTGGAGTAGGAGAAGGAGGAATGCGGGCGGAGGGGGAGCGGTCGACGTTACGGTCGCGGAAAGAGGGAGGCGGAGGGGTTGTTTGCGGAACAGCGATGGACTGCGAACGGCCGTGGTAGGCTGCGCGAGATGGCGAGGCATCGGTGGAGAAAGGAGGGAGAGTGCCGGCGGTGTATTGTGAAGCGGGAGACTGGCGGGGAGACGAGGTCGAAGGTCCTCGAGCGAGGGCGGCGGGGTGGAGTGCCTCGACGGTATCGGAGTCGTCCGACTGCTGGGCTGCGTGTCCATTCATCCGACCGTAATCCATACTCCGTACCGCGCCGTAAGACCGGCTGTCCCGCTTCTCCAGGCTCGATTCTTCGACACTTGGTCCCGCATCCTTCCCGTCCTTTGCGTCATCGACCGCAGCCGGCTGCACATCGAACGATGGCAGACTCCCTCGCGCATTCTCCTCGGCCTCGTCGCCGTGCCCTGCATCCCCTCCAGAGGGCGAGATCGGCGTCGACGGGACTGACGGACCATGAGGATCCGGGTTCGAGAGCGAGACGAGGTCGGCGGGGTGCGTCTTGAGCTGAAGCTGGGGAGGAGAAGTCGGAGTCGCTGGGACTGCCGTGACGAGTTCTGGAGAGGGAGTCGAGGTAGATTCAGGCAGAGAAGTCGAGACGGCAAGCGGGGAGACGGGGAGTTCGGCTGTTCGGGATGGCGGGGTGGGCTCGCCGTAGGGATTGGGCGACGGAGGCGGAAGAAGACTGCTGTTGTTGCTGCTGGTGGTCACCGTCGCCGCCTGGTCACCGAAGCCATCCTCCTGGTCCGGCTCGACAATCAGCGGGCCCTGCGCTGCGGCTCGCCTTTCCAGTAGCTCCTGCTGAACAGCCTGCTGCGCTTCACCGCCCTTGTCCTCCTGCTCGCCCGTTCCTAGCGCCTGCACTGTCCCCTCTGGATGAGGAGGCGAGACCGCTGGACCCGCTCCTGCGCCCAAGGTCGCCTCGGCGGTAGTCTCAAGATGCGTCGACTCTCTCGCAGCATCGCCGTGCGGCTCGACAGTCGACGAGGCGTGCTCGACAGGCGGCGGAGGTGGGGGCGAGGAAGGGTCAGGCGAGGCTGGAAGAGCGGTATGGGTCGCTGCAGCTGCCATTGCGCCTGTGTGAAATGCTGTTAGCCTTGGTCTGATAGAGCGTGAATCCGCCCGCGCACCTGGACGCTCGTTTGACAATTGTCGAGTGAGGCCCGTCACACGCCAGGAATCCGAGGAAGCTCCGAGCGGCGGGTCTGGCGAACTGGGTAGTCCTCAAGCGCGCTCTGACGACCTGCTGAGATGTCTTCTCGCCGCGCTTGGGCGTTGCCAGGGTGTGAAGGCGAAACTCGGCCTGGAGGGCGATGAGGGGGAGCGAGACCTCGACGGACACTGGCGAAGTCGTTGGAGCCGATGAATGCGACTAGCAGCGAGTCAACAAGCAAAGAGCACGCGCAGACCAGCCCTGCCTGACGAGCGCGAGATGAGCGAAGAGTTCAAGTTGGCTCGCACGAGGCGACTTGGATCACCAAATGTCTCCGTGGGACTGGGTGACACGTCCAATACAATACAGACACTGAATAGACAACTATCTACCGCCTGCGAATCGTCCCCTCGCCTTCGCCGTCGAGCGAGATGCCCAGTCCTCCTTCGAATCCGAACGTCGACGAGATCGTCCTGTCGGCGCCACCAAATATACCTTGCCCGCCTGAGACGCCTGATACCGGGAACAGTGCCGGCGGAGGCTGCGAGAAGAGGTCGACCTCGCCAAAGTGGAACAGGTCGTCGAGTCCGCCGCCGTTCTCGCCAAACGAAGTCGACGCCTGCGTCGAGGATGACGGCTGGCGGAAGAGCGGCTGCTTGAAGATCTCATGGTCTGACATGCGCTGCGACGTAGGCGGAGCAGTCGACGGAGCGGTCTCGTAGTCGGAAGCGCCCGACCTTGCCCAGCCGGCGACCGGATACGAGGCGGACGACACAGCTGTACCATACTCGGTGAGCGCGTCAAAGGCGTCGTCATCCTCGAGACCCGATTCGACGAGGAACTCTTTCGGGTCGAGCGCGAGAGCCGACGAGATCCGGCCGGCAGCCTGACCTGCGGCTTCGGCTTTTTCGTCGAGCCAACCGCTTGTCGACCCGGTCAGCGGTGTCGGAAACTGCTCTTCCTGAAGCTGGGCGAGCTGCTCGCGGCGACTCGGCACAGCAGAGGATGGCTTGCGCAGTTCCCACTTGCCGAGCGAGAAGTGGCGCGAATCAGCTGCACCGGCGAAGAGCGGCGCGTCGATGCTCGCGTTCGGAAAGGCATACGACGGCGAAGGCGCTCCGTGACGCTGGTCGGGCTGAGGCGATGGTCCGGCTGTTGAAGCTGGAGTAGGCGGAAGCGCCATCGCCATGGACGACGAGCCGACGCCCAGTCCTGCTGCGGCGTACGAGCTTGTCTTGTTGCGGCGAGAGGCGGGCAGGTCGTATTCGACACTCTCGCCAGACGCGCCATGCGAGCGAGAAAGAGGGTGTCGCGAGGCGGATGGAGGGGATGCTGCCGAGCGACGAAGAGTCTGCTGCATTCGCTGCGGCGATGGAGACGCAGACGATGCCGGCGAAGCAGCTTGGCCACGCCCTGACGAGTACTGCCTCTGGCGAGTCGGCGTCGACGAAAACGACGAGCTGGAGCTGGCGGGCGACGCGAAACGTTGAAGAGACGGGTCTGGCGAGCTAGACTCCGCTTTCAGACGCTGATGAATCGTCGAGCGGGTCTTGCGAGGAGTCGAAGACGGCTGAGACGTCGCTTTGACCGGTGAGGAACGACGAGCTGTCTTGGTGGGTGACGAGCTGGACGCTGCCTTGTCCTGCTGAGCGAGTTCGTGCTCGACCCGCGCCATGATCTTCTCCTCGTCTTCGCCCTCAAGCACCGCTTGCCCAATCAGCTCCATCTTGCGATGTTGGCGCTCGAGGTCTGCCGCAGTCGCTGGCTTCTTCGGCGTCGGGCGAGTTTGCCGTACGCTGTTGCCCCTCTTCCGCTTTGGCTGCTGAGCAGGTACGAATTCTTCGTCGTTGACGGGGATATCGCCTTCGACGGCGTGGCTTGTCCCGCCGGCGAGCTCGTCCTCATCCGCCTCGTCGAGAGTCGGCTTCGGCTTGGCCGCCGTAACCCGCTTCTTCGGCTTGTAGACGTAGTCGGGATACCGCTCCTTGTGCATCCGCTTCTCCTCCTCGGCCAGCTCCTCCCACCTCGCCCTCTCCTCATCCGACAAGCCGCGCCAAACACTTCCGACGATCTTGGAAATGTTCGAGTGGTCACGAATCCCGATCGAGCGAGGGATGAGACCGCTCGAGACAGCGTGCGAGCGGAAGAGGATGAAGGCGTTCCGAGGGCGGGGAATGTGGCCGACCGAAGTCCGTCGACCGTGCGACTTCTTCGGAAACTCGCTGATAGGAGGCGGGCGTTCCGGAACGGGGTACTCCTTGTAGATCTGCAGTGCGTGGCTGACGGGCGTGAGGACCGGCTCACGGTAGGTAGGGACGCCAGGCGGGAAAGAGGCGGTCGGGTAGGGAGAAGGTCGTGTGCGAAGCGAATCGAGAGGCGAAGGTGCCCGGCGTCGCTTCGAGCGAGTTGGCGGTCGACTCGCGTCGTAATCGCCGTGATGTTGCGGACGATGCGGCGGGTAGCTTGGAGGAGGAGGCGGTGGCAGAGGCGGGACGCTGTACTTCGAGGCTGGTGGCGCCGAGGCAGGTGGCGGTGAGAGACGAAAGATGGAGGGCGTCTGCGGGTGATGCGACGACCCGCTCGGAACTGCTGAGCGAGAACCACTGTAGGGCAGGCTCGTCTCGCCCATGTACAACGTGGAAGACTCAGCCGTCTGGAACGCGCTGGGCGGGACAGGCAGCTCTGGCGCGGGCAAGCCTGCGTATGGGTCGTCGAGCGGGTCGACGCTGAGGTGATCATCGAAAACGGGCAGGTACTGCACCGAGCCGACGACACCTTCGGCATCTAGCGACGGCGAGGCCGGGGGGGAGCCATGGTCGATAACGGTGGTCGTTGAGAACAGGCGGCGATCCTCGCGCGCAGGGGACGCTGGGCGGAAGAGCGTTGTGCTGGATGGCGGAAGGGAGCGATGTAGGTCGGTCGTAGGTGGTGCAGTGAGGGGATGGTCGGCGAGCGCGGACGGGTCAAAGTCCAGTGAAGGGTCGATCGCGTAGTACGTCGAGCCGATAGCAGTGGACGGTCCAGCCGTGTACCAGTACTGTCGAAGCGGGTCAGTACGCGTTCAGCGGTCGTCGCCGAGACGCGTCAGACGCACCTGCGGTTCGCCCTCTCCTGTCCATTCCGCCCAGTCTTCCACGCCTCGTCCTTCAGTTCCTCCCGCTGGTCCTCTGGCCGCCAGTCTCGCTGGTAGCGGCGCCGTCGTGCCAGAAATCGGCTTCCTCCCCTCTGCAAGTCGAGCGCGCGTGTTCGGCCCATCCGTCGGCGGCGGGACGAAGCGCCAGTGCTCTGGCAGCGAGATTGACGAGGGTGGAGATGAAGGGTACTGTGCTTCTGTCATCCTGCGGACGTGACTTGGTCAATGTTCAGCGATCGCTCAATCCGGCGAGGAAAGAGGGACGGGGACGCACACGCGCGAGGAAGGGCTGGTCAGTGGTCGAGTCGCGAGTGCCGATGTTGGAAGTGCCGTACGAGGTGTAAGAGTCGTCTGGCGAGGTGTAGGATCGATGGAGGGCGCTGTGGGCGGAAAGGAGGCGTGGTCGAACGCAGCGGCCTCGAGGAGAGAACGTCGATACGGGCGGCGCGTCGTCCTTGTTGATCGCTGCAGCAGCACGGACGCGCGCGACAGCAGCCGTCGAAGCGGGATGAGGTCGTGAAGGGTAGAAGGCGAGGAGGCGCGTTCGCGGCGAGAGCGAGACCTCGGCCAGCAAGGAGAGGCTCGAGCGGGCAGAGCTGGCTCCTCTCCCTTGATCGCCACGAGCGAGCGGCTCTTAGACGCTGGATGCGCCGGAGGGCAAGGCGAGGGTTACTTTATTGTCGAAGCAGAGCAGCGGGCTTGAGGGAGAGTCGCGGAAAGTCGAGGAGGAGAAGGTCGACAGCTTAGTCCTCGCTCGTCCCCGAAGTCCAGCAGACTTCGTCGGCCCATCAAAGCGTTTCAGGAGCCGCCGAAATCACACGAGAAAGCCGGAAGAACATGAAGAAGAGCGGCCGGAGGAGATGAGGAGACTCAGCGGCATCAACGCGAGATGCAGCTCAGCAGCGGCTGCTCTGGTGAATGCAAGAGCGCTGTCAACTCATCACAAAGGTAAAGACGCCGCACAAGCGCACTCACCTCGTCGTGGGCGCCTTGTCCAACTTCATCACTTCCGCCTCGCTCTCAGCCTCCGCTCCCTCACCGCACCATCTTGGGCAGCCCAGAACTCATAAGACAAGCATGCAGAATTCCGGAAATAACTCTGGACGCGGCGGGCGGGGCGGACGAGGCGGGCGAGGAGGTGGACGAGGGAGAGGAGGGAACCGCGGGGGTCGAGGAGGAGGAGGGGGTGGCCGAGGCTTCGGGAACGGGCCAAACAAGGTGCGTTGCACTGTCAGAACGCTGTGACAGCCTGCTGACCCTCGTGCCGGTTGCAGCGACCCCGCTACGACGACCATGGCGACTCTCCCTCCTCGCAACCTGTCGCCTATTACAGCGAGAGCTTCGTCCGCGACCCGTGGAGCCATCTGCGGTGACGTGGGAGGCGACGGTCACACGCTCCCGACGATCTACAATCACTAGAGCCGGCAATCTCGAGACTCGCCTCGACTTCCTCCTCCTCCGCGACCCCGTCAAGCACACGCTCCGCCTCCGCTCGCATTCCTCGATACCCCTCAGTTATCCCGATACCCTTCCGTTCGGCCGGCTCTCCTGCTGTAGATCCTCTGCTCCCCTCCTCTCTCCCTCTCGCGCCTCCCGCCAAAATCGGCACGACAGAGAACCCGTTACAGACGCCATACTGCGCACAGAACACGACGCGAGAGAACTCGAATATGGATTCTACAGACACCGCTGCACGGCCTTTTGTAGGTTCCTCACGGGCCTCGTCTCCTCCAACTGCAACGCCCACACGAGGCACTCCTCCTCCCTCGCCTGGCGACCCGTGAGCTTGTAGCACTTGCTCAGCTCGAACCAGGCTTCGGGAGAGTCCCACCCCGCGTGCTGAGTGAGCGTGTCGAGCATCGATTCGGCGAGGGGGAGTTGCAGGGCGATCCAGGACTTTTCGGGTTTTGAGGTCTCGCTTGAGGCTGGGTTGGGCGAGGTGAGATGGGAGGGGGGAGGAGGCGGGGCGGCGGCATAGACGGTCGGGGTCGAGGCAGACTCGTTGAGCGGGGTGAGGTACAGTCGCGAGAAGACGATGAGCGAAGGCGGGTGTTGCGGGTTGAACGAGAGCGCCTTCATGAGTGTGTCGCGCGCCTTGCCCTTCTCACCCAGCGTCAGGAACAGCAAAGCGAGCTGCGCCCAGACGTCCGGGTCTTCGGGGTCCAGCTTCTCCGCCTCGCCAATCGCGCCCTTAGCTTCGTCGAGCTTGCCGGCCCGGCGGAACGATGCGGCGCTTGCGAGCCACGCATCGACAAGAAGCTTCGTCGCACGGGGACTTGCAGCAGCTGAGGGTCGTCCGGCGGAGCCCGTTGATTGCGCAGGCGATGCGTCGCCGTTGACCGACAAGTTCGCCATCGAGCCGTTGAGCGAGTCGGACGCGAGCGCAGGGGGAACGGGAGCGCCATGGATGGCCTGCGACTGGCGCTTGACACTTTTGCGGCGGCTGACGATCGATGCCGCGCGACTGACGGTTCCACCGCCAGCGTTCGAGACGGGCGGAGCGAGGTCGCGGCCTTCCGTAGTCCGGCTGCGAGACTGAGCGGCTCCACCGTTCGCGGCTGGCGACGTGATGACGATATGCGGATACGCCGCCGAGAAATAGGCGAGGACGTCTTGCTGGTCGGACAATGCGGCCGCCGCGCCCTCGAGGTACTCGACAACCGTGTTCTTCGACAGGCGAAGCTGCATCTCGGTCGCGAGCTGCTCCACCTCGTCCGTCGGGCTGTCCCACTGGTCCTGGACGGCGAGCGATCTTGCACCGCGAGCATGACCATTCGGCCTGTTCGCGTCGCCGTTCAACGTCTCGGCCGTGTCGTCGTCCTCCGTCGCGCCATCGATATCGAGCGCCGTCTCGAGGACCTCCAGCGCACCCTGCATGTCCTTCTGCGCCGAGACGCAAAGAGCGAGCAGGTGCCATGCCTCCTTGCTCTGCTTGTTGAGCTGGACGGCTTGGCGGGCTGCGTCAAGTGCTGGCGAGACTTGGCGGAGCTCGAGGAGCTGGTAGGCGAGGGAGTAGAAGGAGAGGTAGGAGGATGGGTCGAGCGCGACGGCATTCGAGAGGTGCTGGAGAGCATCGGAGTGCTGTGTTGGTCGGTGAGCCGGGTTGGCCTCTGCGTGGCAAGTCGAGAGTCAGCGAGATCTCGGGATATGGAGCAGGTCCAAACGTACCCTTGGCGGCGAGAGCGCCTAGTGCAACACCAAGCGTCCGCTCAATCCTCGCCTCTAGCACCTTGTATTCCTTCAACCGCTCGTCCCGTCCCTCATCAAACACCTCCCTTGCGCGCTTCGCCAGCTCAACTGCCACCTGCGGCCAGTCCAAAAACTTGCACAACAAGCGGACGCCATAGATGAGCGTGTCGATGAAGACTGCGTCAGCGTCGATATCCGTCGCGTACGGGTCGACGTCGACCGCATCGTCGAGCTCGTGCGCGCCGTGGCCGTTCACCAGCCCCTCCTTCTCGCCCTTCTCGCCCTTCTCGCCCACCTCCTGCACGGAAGCTTTGGCTCTCAGTTTCTTCATCTCCCTCGCGACCTCCTTGGCATCCGTCTCGCGCGCCTTGTCCCACAACTCGCGGTAGAGTGCGAGGGCTTTGGAGGCTTCGTCGTAGCGGCCTGCAACGGTGAGGGCGCGGATGAGGTGGCGCAGAAGGAGCTGGGACTGGAAGGTGTGCGTGAGGGCGTTGTAGAGGATCTGCGCGTCATGGCGAGATTAGCGAATCAGAATGCTGGTGAGCGGGAGAGACGGGCGCACCTCGATGACGTCTCCCGCCTCATCCTTCCGCGCACCTCGCCGTCTCCAACCTTCGACGACCTCGTCGAGGAATTTGAGGTAGACCCGATTCGTCTCCCCAGCCTTCGGCAGACTCGTACTCTCCCTTATGAGCCTCTCCTCCGCCTTGTCGTTCTGCGCCGTCAACGCCGCATCATGCCTATTGAGCAGGACTTGAAGCGAGCGGAATGAGCGATGGATCGGGAGGCGCTGGTAAGCCGGGAAAGCGAGCGGGGCGCGGGAGAAAGAGGCGGAGCGGTGGAGGTAGCGCTGGTGGGCGGTATAGGAGGTCGAGAGGGAAGAGGAGGGCATGATTCGAGAGAGGAGGGAAAGGCGGAAAAGAGCGGCACCGCCGGCGCGGTGGAGGGAGATATCGTCTTTGTCGCCGCCTGATGACCGGGCGAGCTCGTCGACCGCTTGCTGATACGTCTGCGAGGCGTTCTCGTATGCAGAGAGTGCTGGTTCCCGCTCGCCGAGGGATTCGAGGGCGTAGCCTGCGAGACAGCCTGTAAGCAAAACACCAAGGAAGAGGTAGCGGGAAAGCTCACCTTCGACGAGATTCAAGACCACCCGAAGCGTCAAGTCATAACCCTCTCCTTCGCCAAGGTGCGGCAAGTTCCGGTACTCGACCTGCCTCAGAACCGCCAACGCCTCCTGCGGTTCTCCGACCGCGAACCGTCCCTGCGCCAACACGATCCTCGCCGAGTCGACCTCAATCTGCGACGCACCCCCAACATTCCGCAGCGAATTTTGCAGTGTCTCGAGGGCGGTAAGGGCTGGAGGGCGGTCGTGAGCGGGAATGAAGGGAGGGAGAGGCGGGACGGCGTCGATGTCAATCGCGGCAGAGGGCGGTGAACGGGCGAGGACTTTTGCGAGCAGGGCGTGGGTGATTTGGTCGGCGTTGGCGGCGGAAGCGGTGACTGCGCGGTGGGAGAGCGGAAGGTCAGTCTCGGAAATGCACGTTCGGCGGGCTGAGGTCGGCGCAGGCGAGTTTCGCGGCTTTGGCGGGTTCCTCCTCCTTGAAGCGACCGTACACATGCCACAGCGCGGGCTCAAACCGCACGAACATCTCCTCGGTGAGGTCCATGACGGCGAGTGGGGAGACAAGCGGGCGAATAACCGCTCGAGCGAGCGCAAACTCACCTTCCCTGGTCGGATTGTGCTTCCTAAACTTGCGCAACACCTCCTTCCACTCTGCGAACCCCTGCGCCTTGGGATCCGCACCCTGTCCTCCCGCCGCTCCCTGCCCGGCGCTCGCTCCTCCCGCCTCGACCGCCGCCGCCGCATTCTTGAGCCCGGCCTGTCCAACACCAGCCGTGTTGACTCCGCCCTTTGCGAGGCCCGGGTGCGGGTGCGAGAAGAGCGCGAGACGGCGGGCGTGATCGAGTGTGTCGGCCCATCGCTGGCCTTTGGGCGTCGCTGTGGACGCTGCGTGCGTGCGAGCGGGAGCCATAGCGAGACTGGCTGGGCACGACTCAGGCTGTCGTTGGCGTGAACGAGCGAGGCGAGCGAGTCGAAGCGGAGCAAGCGAAAGAACGCCGGAGGACGAGGTTGCCGTCGACGGCGAGAACGCTCGCAACCCGCTCAGACGCCGGCTAGAGACCGTCAGCCGGGCTGCAACGTCTCACGAAGGACACTGCGACTCAGCCGGTCTACGAAGCAGCTCTTTCGAGGCAGGCCTCCTCATTCCCCACCTCGCCTCTCGTCGGGTCAGCCTGAAAAAGTCAGGACAGAACGAGGTTGCAAAGGCTAGACGACAAGGCAAAACAACGTGTCAGGGAGAGGGCGAGGTCGAGAGGGTACAGTGAATGAGGCCGGTCGTAGGCGGATAGAGTACATACAGTCGAAGAAGGCGAAGAATAAGGGGCGCGCGGCGAGGCAAGGCGTGGATGCGGCAACCGCGGCAAGGTCGAGAAAGGTCGAAGGAAGGGGTATCGTAGCGTACAGGGGCGAAGGACGTCGGAGGTGGGAGGAGGTGAGGCGGATTCGTCAAGTCGCCGGGGAGGCGCGCATCGAGCTCGCGGTCCTCAGCACGAGCACCACCCGCTGCCGCCCTGCATCTCCTCATCAAGGTTGACGGTGCCGCCGTTGCGCCCGGGGTACTGGCCTGGTGGGCCTCCGCCTTGTTGTCGCTTTGCGGAGGAAGATGTCGTCGAAGGCGCGATCTTGGTGTACAGCGAGGGCGTCGCGATGATCTGCAAGTGACGATAAAGATGCAAGTCAGCTGACGTCATGAAGCTGGACCTCGACAAGCCGTAGCGGAGCTCGGCCTCGAGGAAGCGCAACGACCGCGAAACTGACCTTATCCACGACCTTTCCAAAGATCCCATCGTCGCCGCTGACATCGTCTCCGCCCTTCTTCGCCGAGCACTCCATGAACATCCAAGGCGGGTCGCGCGAGGCGGCGAACGCTTGGCCTTCTGCGGTGGAGACGGTGCGGGAGAATTCCTGCGAATCGCGTACGCGTGAGCTGGACAACTCGATAGCCGGACATGCAGAGCTGTGACCATGAGAGGCCACAAGTGAGCAAGTGGGAGGAAGCCAGCCCGACTCGCCTTGTCCACCTTGTTCCCGACAATCATCCTCACAACCTCCCTACTGGCCGGTCCCGTCCCCGCAAACGTATCGAGCTCGTTGATCCACGACGAGAGGGACTCGAACGTATCGCGCGCGGTGATGTCGTAGACTGTTGAGACGGACGAGAGGTGCAAGACGAGCGAAGCATGGGAGAAGAAAGGGAACAGCGCGAGCATCAGCTGAAGATCGCGCTGTTATTTCTCTTCTCTTCGGACAACACGCACCCAGAATGACGCCTTGCGCGCCGCGGTAGTACGAGCTTGTCAAAGTGCGGAACCGCTCCTGGCCAGCCGTGTCCTGTACGCGAGCGAAAGGCTGTGAGCGGATTTCCTCTTCGTGAAGCCGAGACTTGCGCGCATACGCAGCGCAGAAGTACAACGGCAAGGTGGAAGCGCTCCCTCACCCAGATAGACAACTTCCACCTCTTGTTCTTCCGCTCGATCACCTTGACCTTGAAGTCGACGCCAATCGTAGCTGTACATCGGCAACACCCTGCTGCATCAGTCGCAGGCCTCGTAGACACGGCTCGGATTGAAGCGAACGAGGCAGCCCACGTACCAGAAGTCTCGTCGGGCGAAAGGAACGTCTCATCCGTGAATCGCAGAAGGAGGGACGACTTGCCGACGCTTGATGCACCTAAGAATGTTGGCAACCAACGCACGAAGCGCAGGAAAGAAGAAGAACGGAAACGAGGAAGTCAGCGGGAAGATCGCAGATAGGAGAGGAGTTGAGGGAGAGTTGGCAGCGTCGAGCCACTGAGGAACGGCGTGTGTGCAGCCGTCCAGCATGCCGGTAGGTCTCGCAACCAGCCCCGTGCTCTTCACGACCCATTCGAGCGACCCCTTCGACCCACTCGCTGAACCTCGATGCACGCGCCTCTTCTCACGCCCACAGGTCCCTCGAACGAGCTCGTACGCACCAATGACGAGGATCTTGAGTGTCTGCGGTGGCTCAGTCATCTGTCCGAATGACGGCTGGGCCGTGGGAGAGCTCGTTTGATAGGACATCGGATCCAATGACGGTGGGGAGGGAGAGAGTGGCGCTGAGGATTGAGGCAAGTCGTGCGAGGCGTCTAGGCGTGTAGTAGCAATGTCTGAGCGTGTCTGTGAGCGTGGAAGCTGCCTTTGTAGCGGGAGAAGGCGAAGAGACGAATCCCAACGCCGACGAGCAGCGGCGACGACGACCAGGCGGCTCGCAACCTCTCGTACGGGCGGTTTCCCTGTCTAGGATGCGTTGCAAAGCTCTCTCAGGCGACTTGAGGACTGCACAGCTTCAGCGATGCGTTGAGGTAGCGAGGACCAGCGAGGCAGCCCGCCCAGTATTCGAACGGAACTGGGTATTGCAACTTGCGACGACGTGTCGTGCGGAGACGAAAGGAAGCCGAAGAGAGTAGCACAGACGAGCGGAAGGCGGGGAATGGACAGCGGCGTGAGAAGAGGAAGAAGGCGAAAGGAGGCTCCCCCTTTAAGGGTGGGTACTGCGAGAGGGCTGGCGAGGTCGTACGGCCGAGCGCGGCAGAGGGTATAGGCAAGAAGGCGAGGAGGAGCGCAGGACAGTCTAGCGACGACCCATCGTGCTGCGGCTGGCAGCGGAGCCGTAGCCCATCGGACCGCCGCCGATCTGGTCGAGCTCGAGTTCGAGCGCCTTGATCTGGCTGTGACCGGAGTGTCAAAGCAGTCAGATGAGGGGTCCTGCAAGCGTGAGAGAAGTCGACAAACCTGTGGGTCTGCTCGAGATCCTTGTTGAGGCGGTCGCGTTCGGCGATGAGGTGTTGCTCTACGGGCAAAGCAATCGTCAGTCAACGGCCACGAACTTCCGAGACTTCCCAGATGCTTCTGCATGCAGCGCAGTGAAAGTCAAGCGAAAGAGGCGCGCCGACTCACCCCACTGCCTGAACCTCGCCTCCTCCATCTTGACCTGCTCGGTGAAGCGCTTGCGGAGCTGTGACGCCGTGAAGAGTCAGCTCGCAGGTTCCCCGCCGTCTAGTGAGGAGAGGTGAAACTCACCGCCTCCTCTTCCTCCTTGAACTTGGGGTTCTCGACCTTCTTGACCTTGGGCTCGCTACAGGGATGGAGCACAGTCAGCGCTTCCCTGCCACCACGGATGTACGGAACAGGGGTAGGCCGATCCCATGGAACCGATCGTTATGCGAGGAAGCGCCACAACTCACCCAAACTTCCTCGTCTCCATCTGCGTCTGCCTGTAGCTCTCGTAGTGCCCTTCCTCGGTCGTCTGGATCAAGTCGAGCATGTGCGTGCGTATAAGCAAGCTGCGCAGCTTCTTAAAGTCGCAGTGCTCCTCGTTCTCGACCTCGGCAACGCCCCAGAGGTACTGGCGACCCTTGACCGAGCGGCCGTCGGCGGTCTGCACCTCGTCAGTCGAGCCGATGATGGAGAAGGGCATAGCAGCGCTGAGGATGCGCGCGTGCTCGACCGCTTGCTCGTCGTCAGTGTCGACAGGCGGCGTGTAGATGCGGATGCCCTGTGCCTGGACGACCTCGCGAATGCGCTGCTTGAACGCCGCGAGGTCCTGGGGCGTAAGGGTGTCGGCCTTGGCGACGACCGGGATGAGGTTGACGCGCGAACCGAGCCGCTTCATGATCTCGATGTCGAGCGGCTTGAGGCTGTGGCCGGTTGGGCGGATGAAGTACAGGCAGGCGTGCACACGGAGGTCCAGCTTGCTGCCTCGCTGCGGCTGCTGCTCCTGGCGCATGTACGACTCGTGTTGGTCGTCCTGCGGAAGTTGGAGTGAGCGGGGTTCTCTCGAGGGCTGACGAGCGGACTCACGACAAAGTCGACGATGGGGATCCACGAGTCGCGGTTGTTGACGTAGTCGCCAAAGCCGGGAGTGTCGATGACGGTGAGCTTGACCTTGAACTGCTTCTCCTCGAGCTCTGCCTTGATGATGTCTGGGAGGGCATGTAATTGAGGAGTCAGTCGGTTTCCCCATGCTCGAATGCTTGCCCAGTGAGACCGCCAGAGCGTTCACGAGTATGCATGCGGGAGGAGAGAAAGCGACCAACGCACCAATCTCGGTCGTCTTGTCCATCTGCTTGGCGAAACGCCGCGAGTAGTCCTTGACGCTCGCCAACTCGGTCGAGAAGAGGGTGTTGCTGAACACGCGCGACGAGTCTCAATGTCAGTGATTGCTTCTTGCGACTCGCTTCAGTAACAGCAGCGAGTGGACAAGTCCGTTGTCCGGACGACGGCTAGCTCGACCTCTACGCTCCCGTCCGGCCTCACGCGTCCACCCGTCCACTCAACCAGTCCCCAGCACCCGCAGAAGCAAGCCCTCGCACTCACATAAGCGTCGTCTTCCCCAGTCCGCTCTCGCCAACAACCATCAACGTAAAGTGCCCTCCCTGCTTGGCGACGATCTTGTGGCGCTGGTTCGGGAGGTTCGAGACGCCTATTCCTTGCATCTTGGCTGGCTGGAGGGTGTGTGTGTGTGGGCGAGAGGTGAGGAGGAGGAGGGGGACGGTGCGGGATGAGGCGGTGAGGAGGAGCTGTGGGACGCGAAGGGCCCTGTGAGCGGACGCTGGATGAATGAGCATATTTCAAGAGCGGGACTCACTGCCTGTCTGTCTAGTCTAGCGCCCGGGTGCGGCGAACGTCGAGATGGTGCTGTCAAAGGGGGGTCGTGACGAGCGGCGCGGAGAGAGCCGTTGGCAAGCGGTGAGAGCAAGCCGGTGGTTTCTAGAGCTTGCACAAGCCGACGAAACCAAGCACAAACGCAAGCGAGCCGGTCGCGGGAAGCTGAAGTCGAGCGAGAGGGCGAACGAGGTGGAGCCGAGAGGGAACTTCCTCGACATCGCTGACGTGCTGCTCTCGAGCAACAAAGGTGTCCTGAGGACGCTCGCGATACAGTCTAGCAGGCCGGCGAACTCTCGGTTGGCGAGGCAGCCAGGAAGCGGCTTTCTACCCCCCTCGCTGAAAATGGCTCGGTAGACGCTGACAACGGCACGCTCGGCATTGCAAGCCAGTCCTAGACGATAAGAGCATCTGTACGGTCAAGGAGAGTGTCAGCAAGACCGTTCCTCGCGTCTCTTGAGGTAGCTGCTCGAAGTGAATCGGATCCGGCTGGGGGTATAAAGCCCAGCGTGCAAACGTATCGTCGTATGGCGCGCGTCTCAATAGCGTATGAAGCGACGCGCGTTATCACGCCTGGTGCCAACAATTGGAATCGTCGTGTCCGAATTCACCTCGAGCGGGTCGAAGAGGAGGTAAGGAGAAGGAGAACGTACCGAGCGCGGAAGAGTCGCAGGGCCGATCTGGCGAATGCCCAATATCCTTCCAGCAGTCTATCGTCGTGCTGAACGACCGGCAAGCCCGCGCGAGTCAAGGTGATGGTGAGCCGAGGGCGAGGCAAGCTCGAGGGCTGGAGGGCGTAGAAAGGCGATGTGGACGTTGGGCGCGCTCGTACAAGTTGGCAGCGGTACTGTAGAGCTGTACAAGCACGTTCAACCTGGTGCGATCCCAGCAGAGCGGGGTTTCACGAGCGAGTGAAGTGAACGAGGACAAGAGAGGCGAGGCGGCGAGGGCGCGAGTCGAGCAACCCGCACGAAGCTTTTCTCCAACTCGCCCAACGAACGAGCAAAGTGCAGAGAGTGTGGATTCAGAAGTACGATTGACAGCAACAAGAGGAGAGGGACAGGTTCTATAAGCCGCTGCGCGAGAGCGAGACGGCGACGAAGGGGAAAGAGAGGGACGGAGATATGCCACGACTAAAGAGAGAGGAGCGAAACGAAAGTGAGCCAGAGGAACCCAAAAGGATGCGGTACAAGAAAGAGGAGGGTGTCCGTCGTGTGTGTAGAGGAGAGAGAAAAGGTCAAGTGTTGACAACAACAAGAAGAGGGGAAAGGCCGTCCGACGAGCGGACGGCTCGCATAACGATATCTCTCTCCTCCGAGAGAAGGTGCGAAGGGCGCCGTGAGAGCGCCTTTTGTCGAGGAAGGCGACCGAGTCGCTGGGCGCTCAGTACCTGCCGAGCGCCGCCGCGAGTCCGCCCGCGTCGACGCCGCCCGCAAAGCGGTGGTGCGAAGCAGGCGAACTAGCCCTAGACGAGTTGGCCGAGCTCGAAGCCGTGAAGGACTGGGCGAGCTGGTGGTGGCCGCCCGTGCCGCGCTTGTGGCCGGGCGGGAACTGAGGTGGAGGGTGGCAGCCTTGCGCGAGCATCTGGAGACCGAGCGCGCCGTGTGCGCCCGAGTGCTGGTAGTGATACCGCAGGCCGTTCATGCTGCGCGAAGAGGCGGGCGACAGTCAGTACCGACAGACGCTTGATCAGCAAGTCGCGGGACCCACTTCTTGTACCGCTTGCCACAGCTGGCGACATGGCAAACGTAGGGTTTGCCCTCGGCTCTAGGGTCCGTCCCCTCCTTGACCGCATTCGCCCCGCAGTGTCCATGCAAGCGGTGGTACTTGAGCCCGTTCTGCTGCTTGTAAGCCTTGTCGCAGCCAGGCACGGTGCACTTGAAGGGTTTCTCGCTCGGCGGGGTGTACGGTCGACCGGAGGGTGAGATCTGCACGCCTTGGCCGAGCGGATGGAGGGCGGTCGGGAGTGCAGCGAGCGAGTTCGGACCCAGTGCGGCGATGGCGGCGGCGGTCTGGATCGGATCTTTGAGGGTCGTGTTTGCGAGAGCAGAGATGGTAGCCGGATCGTGGGGGTTGATGACGGGATGAGGAGGGAGAGAGGCGAGTGCGGCGGCGGCTGCAGCGGCCGAAGTCGACGCCGTCTTCTTGAGCGGCTTGGGCGGCTTATTTGAGAGCGACGAAGCCGAGTGCGACGACGGAGTAGGCGAGGGCGAATGATTGACGGGCAGAGGCGGCATAGGCGGGAGGGCGGGCAAGTTCTGCGGCGACATGGGCGACATGGGCGAGAGCGAGAGCGACGGGATCGAGCCTTGTCGTGCGGGTTGCTGCGACGCCTGATGCTGTCGCTGCCTGTGCGCCTCCTCCTCTTCCTCGTCCGTGCTGTCCTCGGCTTCCTCCTCGTCCTCCTCGTCCGACTCTTCCTCCTCCTCCGGCTCGATGTCGTGAGCAATCTCGATATCGTGCTGCTCGGCCTTGACTTGCTGCGCCAACCCAGGCGCAGGGGTAGTCGACGACGTGCTGGGCGGGAAGAGAAGCGAAGGCGCGAAGCCTCCGTTGCCCAGCGCCTGAACGGGGTTGACCGTGCCGGCGGGGAGGAACGCGAGGCTGTCTCCGCCCGTATTAGGCGGTTCGTCGGTACCCGGCGTACCATTGCTCGACGAAGCGCGCGAGCGCGAACCAAAGTCGATGATCGAGGGAGGAATAGAAGTCGGTTGGGGCGGCGGGTTGAACGCGCCTGGCGAACCCTTCTTCTTTGCGCTGCCATGCTGGAGCGGGTCAAACGAGGCGTTGTAGCCGTTGGTGGTGGAAAGGTTGCCCGAGGAAGATCCGACGGACGAAGGGGACGAAGCGTCGCCTGCCTCGTCGCCCATCTCCATGTCGAGCTCCATCCCGCCGTCGAGGTGGAGCGCCTGCGTCGCCGGCGACTCGGGCGTCTCGAACGACGACAAGCCCGACTTTTTAATCTCGAAGCGCTGCAACCGCGGACTCGGTGGGCCCGAGATGGTCCCCTCGCTCTCGGCCGCGTCGTCCAACTCGAGGTCCATCTCGCCGTCCTCGACGCTCTCGTCGTCATCGAATGCGACATGGCACTCTTCAAAGTGCTCGAGGAGGCCGTGGAGGTCCTGCAAGTCGAGTCCGCAGCAGGTAAAGTTCTTGAAGAACTGCGCCTCGATCTTGGGGCGCTCTTCGAACGAGCGACCGAGCGACATGGCCATGGAGGAGAAGCTCGGTGACGACGACATGTCCTTGAGGGAGGTCGACATGGCTGCGAGCGAGAAGGGCGAGTTGAGGCCGAACGAGCGAGAGAGCGACGTCGAGAGGGCCGGGTGGAGCAGCGGCGAGAGCGGCGCACTGCGCGCATCGCACATCGTGGTCAGCTCGAGGTTCTCGTCGTCGTTGTATGTGCAGTGTCAACGGCGCTGGCGATGTGCGCGGCCTCCGCCCCCTTCCCAGTCCGTTGGTTCGAGTCGCAAGGTGGCTGAGGCAGTTTCGGGACGGCTCCCTCGCCTGCCTCGCTCCTCGCGCGCCGCTCGGTCTTGCCCCCACGCCCAGTACACACCCTTGCGAATCCACCGCGCGCAAGAACATCCATCCGCGGAGGGATGACCGTGCACGCGAGCTGGCGAGACACGGCGAGTCCGATGAGGGTTGAGCGGGAGGACAGTGGACGCACTCTGGGGAGAAGGCGCTCTCGCGCCTGGCTATTTGGACGGGTGCAGGCATCGTGCGTGCGAGCGTGCGCTATCCGTCGTGGGAGACCGGGGTGAGGGGGTGAGGGCGAGTGAATGCGGGACTCGAACGGGTGTTATGGGCGTCTGGCGGGCGTGCGGGTGTGTGCAGGGGATGCAGAAAGTCCCTGTGAGCGTGTGTGAGGCCGTCCGATGCAGCAGCACGCCGACTGAGCGAGTGTGCGGGTGGGTCGAGGGAAGCGAGGCAAGAGGAGGTCGTCGTATGGACGAGACAAGGACTTGGTCGTCGTCGACAGGAGTTGTCTGTGGGGGCGGGCTGAGCGTGTGGGCGATATCGTAGCGTGGCTGCACTGGCCGTCGTCGTCGTCCGAACAGAAGCAAAGTCCGTCGTCGTCGTCGTCGCTGGTTCGGACAGAGTGAGGTCAACCTCTCTTGTTCGCTTGCAAGCCGCCCTGTCCGGGCCACTGATCTCGTCTGCTGTTGGAGCACTCCGCAGCCAATCACAACGAGAACCGCGACGCTAGACTCGCAACTCGCGCTATCAGCCACCCTCGCAAGGGTCGACCTTCGTCTGCTCCCCGACGACCGTCCCCTCCCACGGCGCATTGAACGGATTACGACGCTGAATGTAAGTTACAAATGCAGTCACGAGGAGCGCACAAGACCCGCCTTGCCCGACGAGGACGAGTCTGATCGCCTGCTTCTCCGCTTCTTCTCGCCTGGCGCACTTTGGCTTGCCCCGCCGGCGACCTCGTCAGCAGCCGCGCTTGAAGCCGTTGAACAATCGCGCCGCCTCTCGCGCTCGCAGGGACAATAGAAGTCAATCGCCCGCTTGCTTCGCTTCCTCCGCTCGCAGAAGAGCAGCCCGCTACTTTCCGAGAATGGCGAGTTCTGCCTCCTCCAGAACTGCCCACGTCAGGCTTGCTTGGCTTCGAGAAACGCAGGTCATCGCACCTTGCGAACAATAGAACAAGCGCTGCGAGACGAGACGAGACGCGCGCTGTCTCCCGACGCTGCGTTCGGTCGGAGTTGGCTTTCCCGGAGACGTCGCGACGTCTCTTTGGGCCATTCCTGGTCGTGGGCCAGTCCCGCGTCAACCTGTTGGTACTGCAGGCGTCGAGTGAAGCCCTCCTCGTCGCCCTCTACCTCAAACCAACTGACCTTCGCAACCTCGCCAAACCCCGACTTCCCTGCCTCCCGCGCTCCTACTCACTCTGTAGCTCACACAAAGCTCTCGACACAGTCGCTTGGCGATAGGCGAGCGAAAGGGTTCGCTGCGGAGCGAGCAGAAGTGACGAGCAAGCGGGAGAGGGAGGAGGGGATCGTCTGGCCGACCTATAAGTCTGTCAGTGAGCGGCTGGGTCGGGCAGCAAATAAACCAGCACGGTGGGTTGGAAGGAACTTGTATCGAGCGGTAGGCGTCAGGCGTCAGCCGAGCGGGAGAACGATCGTGCGAGCTTGCTCTGCTCTGCGACGGTCGAGGAAGGGCCGACTGTTCCAGCTGGACGAACGGCGCCCGACCTCGGGCAGGAGTTTGCAGAGCGTCGAGAAGCGACGGACGGAGGGGTCTCCTGAAATTAGCAGACGAGGAGGGAGTCCTGCAACTGGGTAAGGGAGGAGGTGGACGAGGAAGGGCGAGGACGGCTTCGTGTGGCTCGCGCAGGGCTTGTAATCTCGCTGGGTGTCTCCGTTCCTTAGAAAACGAACTCTTTGACCCTTCAGAGCGGGCAGGGAGAAGTGAGCAGCCGTCGCAAGTTCTCCTTGCGACAAACCCGCTTGTCCTGCCCGCCTCGCTCACTCTCCCCGTCTCGTGCGTTGCCAGGCTGAAAGTGACTCAGTGACATGACGGACGACCCGCTCGCCCAGCCAGCGAGTCCCATGACTCGACATGGTCCGCCCGCTTGACTCCCTCGCCGCTTGACACCCTCGCTCGCTCCTCCCTGCTTCCTGACCATCGCCCGGCCAGTCGAACACCATGCCCTTCCTGAACGCCTTTCGACCGCCTGCGCCGCTCCCGGAGGAGGAGTACCACCTCGAGACTTCGCCCGACGAATACGACCTCAACTCTTGCTACCCGGTGCCAGAGGAGGCTGCGCTGCGTACGGACGGTGTCAAACTGGTTCCTATCATCGTTCGTCCCACTCACCGCTTCCTCAAAGCCATCCGTGACCCGCTCACCTTGTCCTCCCCCCACCTGATCCCGCACAGCCCTCTCTGCACGGCCGCGCCCTCTACACCCTCTTCTCCCGCCACCCCCAAGGCTACAAATACCTCCCCTTCGATCTCCCACCAACCTTAGCGGGCTTCCTGACCTACCTCGAAGCGCGACGGCGCGAACCGGGCACGCTCCTCTTTACGGTCTTTGATTTGGGATTGCAGTTTGAGGATGGGGATGAGCGGGAGGAGAGGAGTGAGAGGGTGGCGGGGATCGTGGGGATCTTGAAGAGTATGCCGGAGAATAGGATGACCGAGATCGGGTGCGTTTCTACATTTCTGCGCCTTCTTCGCCAGCTATAGCCTGCACACCGCTTACACTCGTCGATAACAGCCACCTGCACATCCCGGCGCCCTTCCAGCGCACCCACGTCCTGACGCACTCCATCGCCCTCCTCCTCAACTGGCTCCTCAACCCCCCTCCCTCCGCGCACGCCTCACTCGCCAACTCCACTCTCCCATCTACTCCAGGCCTCGGTCTCCGCCGCGTGCAATGGTTCGCCGACGCGCGCAACGGCCCTTCCATTGCTGCTGCTCAGCGACTCGGTTTCACGATTGAGACGACGACGATGCGGTGGGACCGGGTCTTGCCGCCTGCGAAAAACGGCGAGGCGCTTCCTGAGTCTGTCAAGGGCGAGTGGAGGGCGGAGGAGGAGAAGCGAGGTGGAGGACGACACTCGGCGGTTCTTGGGCTCGGATGGGACGACTGGCTTGAGGGCGGGGCGAGGGAGAAGGTGAGAGCGCTCGTGGAGGACAGGCCGGTGCTGAGGCGCAAGGCGAAGGAGGTCGAGGGGTTGTTGCCGTAGAAGCCGGTGTCGATAGAAGCAGCAAACTAGACTCTCGTTCGTCTCGCATCTCTCGGCAGGCGCGCTCGCTCCTTTCGCGGGACGAGAGATGCACTTCCGACTCATTGAGACGACGTTCGCAACTTGCTCGGATGCAGTCTAATGCTTGGCGCGGAATACGGGCGTTATCTGAGCCTGTTCGCCTCGCAAATACTCGTCAGCGTCTCAGTCTTCATCCATCAGCGAAAGGAAGCTCAGGCTACGCACGTTCGGAACGTCCCATGCGCCTCCCTCGGAATAGATATCCTTGCTCAGCCGCGCCTTGATCTGTTCGGGCGACTCTCCGCGCATGAGGAGGTACGAGCCCGTCATCGTCGTTCGCGAATCGTCGGCGAAGGTTGCGCCGGCTTCAACTGTGGAATATGAGTGTGTCAGTATGGGAGAGACGCAGAAAGGAGGGAAAGGAGCGCACTGAACCAGCCGTTTGCGAAAGCGGGCCTGGCTTCCTCGAGGTGTTGAGAGCGGACCTCCATCCTGTGGAGCCAACGAGTAGGTTAGTCCCTCTTGCAGCAAGTCGATCGCTCGCCAAAGCCTTCCGAGGCAATTGAGCGAAACCTTTGCGTCAAAAAGAGAGACGAGAGTGCCTTGTACGAACCTCTTCGACTCCGGCACGTCCGGCACGACCACCAAGTACGTCTTCAAGTCATCCAAGCTCTTCGGCTGCTCCGTCCATGGGTTCTGGTGCTGTTGCGAGGCAGACATCGCGAAGAAACGAGGAGAGGTGGGGAAGGGACGGGCGAGGGTGAATGAGCGAGCGGCGGGACGGGCCGTGTAGCGGAGGGCAGAGATCATCCAGTCAGGGAAAGATTAGCGAGCTCAGCTGGCCTTCGGAGCTGAGGTGAGGATCTGGTGGAAGGGAGACTCCGGACGAGGACAGGTTCGCTGACAACGCTCGACGCTGACCGCTGGAAAGGCTTGTTGACGACGCTGGCGGCTCAAAATGATGCTCTTTAGAACATGCTACGAGCCGTTTGCGCTCCCACAGCTCGAAGGGCTTTTCTCGCACCTCCTCCTCGTCTCCATGCGCACCAAGTCGGTGACGGCCGTATGGACAGCAGGCACAGCTAGATTACGAGGATACCGAAGGATAAAGAGGGTGGACGGAACGGCGAGGGTATCCTAGGCGTACAGGGCGGAAGCGATGGGCTAGGGAGAGAATGGCCTGCGTCTTGAGGCGGGTGGTGCGCGTCCGGCTGTCCAGACGACAGAAGGAGTTGCCGCGAAGGCTACTCCACTTCGATGCCGCGCTTGGCGCCCCGGCGCTCGCGCTTCGCCCTCGCACCCTGCACTTCAGCCGTGACCGTCCGCGTCAGAGTCAAGACCTGCGTGACCGTCGCCGCTGCTCCGCCCTGGACCGTTGTCGTGATCGTCTGCGTGCTCGCGAACGTCGTTGCGAACACCGTCTCGATTCGAGTCGACGGCGCAAGCGTGCGGGAAACGGTGACGACGGGAATTGCGGTGCGAGTTGCGGCGCCCGGGACTTGGACGATGACGGTCGAGCCGCCGATTGTCTGCGTCTCGGTTGCAACGCCGGCGGTCTGATTGTTCGAGACAGTGACGCCGATAACGGTCGTCGAAGCTTCGGCGGTGATCACGCTCGAAAGGGTCGAGTAGGAGGTGACGGTCGAGCCCGAGTCTGCTCAATCGATGACTTTAGCTGTTGCTCTGCAAGGCATGGGGCGGGACGAGCGGCGAAAGACTCACTCGTTCCATTCGCCTGAACCGCCTTCTCATTGTTGTTGTGCTTCGTGCCAAGTCCGACGCCCAAACCGACTCCCAAGCCGAGCTGCAAAACGTCTTATCAGCATGCTCACCTTTCCCATGCAAGAGCCGAACGCACCGCCAACAACAATCCCAGCACAAGTCCAATGATCCCGGCCCAGGACAGATACCACGGTGTCGCACCGGCACTCTTCCCGCTGGTCCCCGTCCTCCCGCTCGTCCTGCTCAGCAACGGCGCAGAACGTGGATTCGAGATACCGGCGGCAGAAGAGGCGGTTGCTGTGCCTGCGCCGGCGCGGGGCGAGGCGGTCAGGAAGTCGGTGTCGAAGGTGCCGGGCGGCTGCGCGCGGTCAGCCACCAGTCAGCGAGGGTATGGACGTTGGAACGTCGTTTGTTTCGCGCTGAGAGTGGCGAGAGGTCCCGGCGAGACGATGAAGCGACGAGAGAGGAGGCAGGAGGAACGCACGACGGTGTTCGTCCCCCTCGCGGCGAAGGGGTCGATGATGTCGCTCTCGCGTTGTGCCATGGCTACGAGTGGTGTAATGAAAGACTAGGGTGGGGCAGGATGTGGCGCGACGAGTGGTGAGGGCGAGAAGGAAGAGGAGACGAAAGCGCCGGAGAGTCCGCCCGAGAGAGGCTTGAGCGGGCGACGACGGCGAGGTGACGGCGAGCGAAAGAGCATTCACTGAAAGGTTCTTGCAGATACGCAGACGTCGCGGGTCGATGCCTGCTACGGCTGCTACACCCAGTCTTCCGTTTCAACCCTTCCCCTCCGTTCCCTCACTTGCTGCTGTCCCGTTGCTGTCCCGCGTCTCCGATCGCAGCGAGTGTGCGCTTGTCCTCCCCAGCCATCATTGTCGGCGCGACAGTCGAGAACGAGTACCCCAAGTCGCCCCGCTGGCTAGTCGAGTCAGTTGAGGAGGCGGACGAGTGAGAACGAGCCGAGAGGATGAGGCTCTCGATGATGTTGGCGATGATAAGGAAGGGGATAAGAGCAAAGATGGCGAAGATGATCCTTTATCGCGAGCCAAGGGAGTCAGGTGAGCTTGACCAGCCGGGAAAAAGCGAGAGAAACGCACCACCGCTCCTTGTGTCCTCTCCCGGTACTAACCCTCACCTCCCTCCACCCCTCGTCCATATCCTGCGCGACCTCATCATACAATCTCCGACTCCAAGGACGCCGAGTGAGCGAGGCTTTCGCTGCGGGGGACGCGAGGATCGCGCGTTTCCAGTTTGGCATGGGGCGGGTGCGGGAAGGGGACCCGGCTGGAGTTGGGTTGTTGGGAAAGGGTGAGGGAGGAAAGGAGGGAGATGAGGGGAAGGAGGAGACGGGGTACGTCGGCGGCGGAGTATGGGAGGCGACGAAGGTCGAGGGTGACTCGTCGGCAGCGAGCTGGAGGTTCGACAATTAGCGGTCGTGAGAAACCGGAGCCAAGAGTAACCCACCAGCTGAGGGATTTTAAGCGTCTTGAGGTTGTCGGTCAGTCGAGAGAGGATAGTGAACGGGTTCGTGACGACCCAGCGCGAGGCGTGCACCGTGTCCTTCGTCAGAAGGTGCTGCATAAGCAGGATCAATCGGTCGTACTAAGCGCACGGAAGTGCAAGCCACTCACCGGGAAGGAGTAGGCGCCTGGCTCGAGGTAATCCCCCAGCTTCTCCGGCTCCTTCCTCTCCCTCGCCTCCTTCCTATCGCTCTTCTCGCCCCTCGCCTCACGCTTGATCTCCTTAACCCTCCTCGTAAACCGTCTCGCCAAACCCCGCACTTCCTCCTCCCTCTCCTCCGCTTCCCCAAGCTGATCCCGCACATTCTCGAACCTGTACTCGCCCTTCCGCACAGCCTCACCGACACTCTCCGTCTCCTTCCACAACTCGAACGTATCCTCGTCAATGCCCTTGAGATCTTCGGCGGCGCGGAGGAGATCGTCGCGCAGGTCGAGTGCGAGGGTAGGCGTTGCGAGGTCGTTTGGGTGCAGGACGAGGAGGCGCGAGGAGAGGGCGCGGATGTGGTCTAGGTCGGAGGAGAGCGCATCGATCTGGCGGTGGATATCGGAGGCCTGTACAATCGTGAAGCGGTGGAAGTGAGTGAAGGAGGGAGTTCGCGCGAGGAAGGCGGGGGCGGACGTACCTGGTCGTAGAACGTCTCGGCGGCGACCCTGTTAGACTGTCGCACTTCGTTCCCGTCATTGGACGAGTCTGATGGGCTAGCCGTGCGCTGAGGCAGACGTGAGCGAAGGGAAGCAGGGCGAGTCGTAACGGCGAAGGTGGACATTGGTTGCGAGCGAGTGCTGGGCCGGTCAGGATCAGCTCGCTCGTTGGCGTCGCTGGAGAGGAGCAGGGCAGGAAAGAGAGACCAAGGAACATTCGGAGAGAGAGCAAGTCGCCTTCAAGTCCGCGGATTCTCCGATGCCAGCACCCCGCTCGCCTCGCACGAACCGACTTGCACACCCTCACAACAGCAAGGACCGCGCTGTCTGCCATCCATACCGGTGCCACTGCGCAAAGAACGAGGCGAGCTGGAGCTGTGGAGAGGCGGAGGAGAAGGCGGGCGTAGCGAGACGAGCATGCCTCGAGCGAGTCCGGCGACAGCGTGGGCAGGTCCAGCACAGTCTGCAGTACATGTAGAGCACACCAGGGAGCGTTCCAGCGCGAGCGAGGGAGCTGTTCGAGGAAAACACTTGCCCGCACCCCGCTCTCCTGCCTCGACCTCCGCAAAACCGCTCTCTGTCGCCGCTGACAGCCTCCTGGCCCGCTTTGAGCTCGCCAGTCTCTCTTTCTCGCCGCCATGCTCAACCGTGCGCCCTTTCTCCCGCTCAGCGAGGTCGTGTGGACGAGGACAGAGGTGCCCGGCATAAGTCGCGACCGAACGAGGCGGAGTCAAGTTTTGCGGGCCTCGCAGCGGGTATCGGGCACCAGCAAGGATGCTGCAGACTGGAGACGGTGGATTCAGGCTCACTGGCGAGGTCTGGCTTGCTTCGGAGCGACGTCGGCGGCTTGACCTCGTCTCGCGGTGCGGTGCGGGCCGGCGAAGGGAGAGTGTGGGCGACGACTGGGACAGACGTGACAGGCAGCTCGCAGGCGTGCTCGACTGGGTTCTGACAGTGCTCTCGCGCTCGCTCGCAGTCTTTGCCGCGCCGCTTCGTTGCGACGCACCGCCTCCGTCCGGTCTCTCCGTCAAGGCGCCAGAGACGACCGCCTCGTCGACAGAGCTCGACAAGTTCCGCAAGACATTTTACAACTTTGCGACGAGGGACCAGATCGATGGCGAAGTGTGAGTCCAGGCATTGCGGGACTTGTTCCTCCTCGAGGTCATCGCGGTCGACTGCTGTTGCCAGTCGCGCTGTCCTTCCGGACGGCTTTTGGCATCCCGACGACTGCTACTCCTCGAGGACGCAGCGCTGACCTGTCGTCCTCCGCAGCTACCTCTCCGAACCCGACTTTGTCTCTGCCGTCGCGCCCGAAGGCGACTTCAACAAGATCCGCCGCGAGCAGTACGGCATCCTGTTCAAGGTCGCCGACCGACGAAAAGTCGGCCGCGTCAACTTTGACGACTTTGTCGCGTTCGAGGAGCTGCTGAAGAAGCCGGCGGCCGAGTTTGACGTGCGTTTCACGCGGTTCTTCTCTTGCGAGCGTTGGGCTGACGTACTCGCTGCGCAGGTCGCCTTCCGCGTGTTCGACTCAAACGGAGACGGAGTTGTCAAGTTCGACGAGTTCAAGCAGGTCTTCCAGTCGATGCGCCACCCCGAATCCATCCCTTTCGACTTTGACGCTCCTTGGGTCACGCTCTACCTCGGCAAGGCGAACGGCGGACATGTCCTCGGCTTCAAGTGAGCCCAGCTGTGCGTACCCCGTCAAGACAGAGTTGACCGTTCTCCGCACTCGCAGCGAGTTCACCCAGCTCATGAAGGGCCTCCAAGGCGAGCGGCTGCGCCAGGCCTTCCGCCATTTCGACCAGAACCAAGACGGCTACATCGAGAAGCGCGACTTCTCGCGCATCATCTACGAACTCGCGCGGCACAAGTTGTCCGACTCGGTGCTCGCCAACCTCGAGAACCTGGGCGACGTCGTACCCGATGGCAAGATCAGCTACTCTGAGTGCATCGCCTTCCACAATGTGCGTTGCGGTGTGTGTCGTCGTGATGCGTGCGTTGACGGATTCGTTCGGCGCAGGTCATTCGCGAGATGGACCTCGTCGAGAAGGTCGTGCGGGAAGCCTGCGCCCGCTCTCCGGATGGCAAGATCACCTCGCAAGATTTCACGAACCACGCCTCTCGCACGATGCGGTACGGGACCTTCTCGCCCATGGAGGTGGCCATCATCTTCCACTATGCGCGGCAAGGGATATCGGCTGGCGAGAAGCCTCGGCTTGGGCTGCGCGACTTTGGGAGCTTGTTGGATGCCAAGTGGGGGCCGCCGCGGCCTGCAGGCGAGAGCAAGGGGAAGAAGGCGACGGGGACGGCGCTGCACGAGATCGGAAAGGTGCGTCCTTGCGCGGCTCTCGCGGCGGTGGCAGGTGGGAGCTGACTTTGCCCGTGAGTGCAGTCGGCGTACTACTTCGGTCTCGGTGGTATTGCTGGTGGATTGGGGGCGACAGCGGTATACCCTATCGACTTGACCAAGGTTCGTCGCTTCGCCCCATGCCTGCTCTTCTCACGCTGACGCAAGTCCGCCCGCAGACTCGTATGCAGAACCAGCGGTCAAAGGTCGTCGGTGAGCTGCTGTACAAGAACTCGCTCGACTGCGTGCGGAAGGTGTACAAGAACGAGGGGTTCATCGGGTTCTACCGAGGCTTGCCGCCTCAGCTCATCGTGCGTCCGCTTCCTCGTTCAACTCAGTATTCGACTGATGTTGGCTTTGCGCGCAGGGTGTCGCGCCGGAAAAGGCCATCAAATTGACGGTCAACGACCTCGTTCGCGAGTACGCGACGGACAAGGACACGGGGAGGATCAAGCTGAGATGGGAGCTGTTCGCCGGTGGTCTCGCTGGTGGTTGCCAAGTCGTGCGTACCGCTCCGTCTCGCTCTAAGCCGCACTCAATGCTCACTTGCTTGTACCCGCAGGTCTTCACGAACCCGCTCGAGATCGTCAAGATCCGCCTGCAGATGCAGGGCGAGAACGCCAAGATCACTGGCGCGCCGCGACAAACTGCTGCGCAGATTGTCAAGTCACTCGGTCTCCTCGGTCTGTACAAGGGAGCGATTGCGTGTCTGTGTCGCGACGTCCCATTCTCCGCCATCTACTTCCCTGCGTGCGTCCCGCTACGTCCGGGTTCACCTAATGCGTTGGCTGACACCGCTCGCTTGCAGCTACGCCCACTTGAAGAAGGACGTCTTCCACGAAGGCCGCGACGGCAAGGTCCTCCCGTACGGTGAGGCACTCGCTGCCGCAGCCGCCGCCGGCATGCCCGCCGCCTACCTCACTACGCCTGCCGACGTCATCAAGACGCGTCTGCAGACCGAAGCGCGGAAGGGCGAGAGCACGTACAAGGGCGTTGTTGATGCGTTCCGGAAGATCCGTGAGTTTGCCTCTCGAATCCCCTGAGCTGTCAGAGGCTGATCAGCTCTGCCCTCTTGCAGTGAACGAGGAGGGTGCGCGCGCGCTGTTCAAGGGCGGTCCGGCCCGTGTCCTCCGCAGTTCGCCCCAGTTCGGTGTCGTGAGTCCGCTCGTCCGCTTCGAAGCTGCCCCCATACTCACCCGCTCTTCTCGCGCAGACCCTTGTCGCCTACGAGAACCTCAAGAAGCACTTCCCATACCCCGAGCCCCATCAGTCGCTCAGCGAGCTCGTCATGCCGCGGGAAGAGGACTTGGCACGCGTCCGGGCACGCAACGCCCTCAAGGGTACGTCGGTGCTCCCCTGCAGATTTCGTACGCTTGCTCACTGCTTTCCCGCGCAGTCCTGCTCGACGTCGACACCAATATTGGCATCGCCAAGTCGCAAAAGTAAAGACGCGTCCGCGCCTAGAATCCCCCGGTCTCGTAGACCCCCCGTATCGCCTTCCGTCACCTATACCTCCGCCTTGCGGCGTCGTCCTTGTTACGCAGTTTATCTCGCAGTTCTCGGTCGTGGCGTCGAGCAGAGCAGAGGAAAGGATGTGCGGCTGACCTTCCTGGATTGACATGAGACCAAGACTACTACGCTACGAATACACGCCTGACTTCTGTTATCAGGAGGGAGATAACTCAAGAGTCGACGACCGTTGCCGCCGCACGCTCGATGTGCAACTTGCGCGCGATGAGAGAGCGGACGCGCTTGCCCTAAATCGTAGGAGCGTAAGAGCGTCAGCTTCGTTTGTGCGAGCTTCAGAAGCTGTAGAAGGACGCACGTAGATCCACATGGGGACAGTGAAGAGACTTGTTCCGATGCAAAGGATGCCCATCTCGATGAAAGCCAGGTCAACTCCTTTCGCCAGCCAGATGTTGGTGCTGCGCAGGAGGCGTTAGTAGCGGCTAGAGAGGCGGAGCTGAAGCGAGGGGAGGGAGACGCACAAGGACGTGAAGATTGCGCTCAAGGCGTTTTTCCCGAAGATGACTGCTCCTAGGGCAGCATCGCTGGAGTGCCTGTGGCATTCGACGACGTAGGCGATCACTCCGTGGCAGCCGATGGTGATGCCAAAGTTCAGGATGCCAGCGAAGATGATCGGCGCCCAATACGAGAGGTGGTTGCGGATGCTGAGACCGAATCCAATGAAGCCTGCCCCGCTGCAGATGAAGAAAGCGAGCATGACGGGCAGACGGAACTCGGGCTCGAAGATGCCGCCGTTGGCGGCGCTAAGCCGGCGGGCGAGGTAGTCGGTGAGGGGCCCGACGAGGGCTGCGGCCAGGAAGTCCGCGACCAGAGGCGCGAGGTAGGTGTTCCCGACGCCTACTGCGCCGAATGAGTAGACGCCGACGTAGACTTGAGCTGCAAAAAGCGTGCATTCAGCTAACTTGGTCTAAGAAGGCGACAGACTTCCTCAAGCCGCGCCAGGTTGTGACGGACGCACCCGAGCCGGTGGCTATCACGACCAGAAACGTGATATAGAGGCCGTACGTGCACACCGCATACAAGACGGCCGGCGAGAGAAGGGCAGCGACCGGCTCGAAGGCGAGCTGGAGGAACGAGCGGTCCTTGTCGAAGGGGCCAGAGTAGAGGCTCATCTCCTGGAGGAACGACTTCTTCTGCTTGTGCATGTGGCTCGAACCGGACTCGAGCTGGTCGAGCTCAGGCTTGTCGAGGTCGGAAAGCTTCTCGTCGGTGGCTTTGGACGGGGCCACGACCCGCCGGCGGTTGTACGTCGTCTCCGGCAAGAAGAAGATTTGAAGGACGAGTAGAAGAATCGTGGCGATGTCTGGGGCAGACGAACCGGTCAGCCTTTGGCATGCAGCGAGAGAGAGAGTCCTCCAGGCTCCTCCTGTGGTTCCCGCTCATTCTCCGAGAGCGACGGAGCCCACAGCCATCGCCTGGGCTTTTCTCAACTCACAGAAGATGCGCCAGCACCACCTCCAACCGAGGTGAGCGAAGACTTGACCGCTGATTGGGGGAGTGACTGTAGGGAAAGCCCGATCAGCGTTGTCGTACGCATGAGCCGCTTCTTCCCTGCGCCAGCGAGAATTGATAGACAAGCACGCACCGTTGATGCCATTGAGGAGGGCGATCGTGAAAAGCGCGATGGGCCAGCCGCGTTCGTGGACAAAGTAGATGTCGTTGATGGTGGACCCGCACAGGAACTCGCACACGGCTTGTCCGACGCTGCGCAGGGACGGTTCGGGAGGTCAGAGGAAGCAGACGGGAGCAGAGGAAGTAAGGGACAGTCCGCTTACCCTTGGAGGATGCGCGAACCGAGAAGGACGCCGTACGTCTTCGCCTCGCTTGCGACGATTGTGCCGACGAGCATGAAGACAGTCGAGAGGAGGTAGACCGGTCGTTTGCCGTACTTCGTGGCGAGAGGAGCTGTGAACAAGACAGTCAGCCTGTAATGATGGCTAAGGACGGGAGCACGACCCACCCCAGACGAGGGTCGCGATACCGAGCGTAGCCACCAGAGCAGTGCCGAGCGCCCTGCTCATAGCTTGAAGCGAGACGCCGAAAATTTGTGCCATCTCGACTTGCGCCTGCGTGGGCGGTGAGATCAGCGTACTGCCGCCGATCTTGCTTGTAGCGCCTTCACTCACGCCTGCTACGAGAGGACCGAGAGCACCGCAAAGAACCGTGCCGTACATCCTAGCCCAGAAGAGAGTGTCAGGCCAAGTTGCCATGCGTTAAGAGGAGGTAGAGAGACGCACAAAACGCCGTATGTCAAGTGCTTTTTCCAGCGCGGCCAGTTCAGCGGGTCGTTCGGGTCGTCGCTCGGCTGTGGAACAAGGACGATGTGGCTGTTGCGGCCCTTGCCGTGCTTCAAGGCGGAAAGTTCGACGCCAGCATACTGCGACTCGGCGACCGCATTCGGGTCTTGCGAGAAGAGAGTGGTGCCGGGCACGTTCTGTGAGAGACGGAGACGGAGACTCAGCGGAGCTCGCAGAAGTACGAAGCGGAAGAAGCGCACCTCGAGATGCTTGTCTGCAAGCGGAGTCGGGGGTCAGTCTCGTCATCTAGCGCATCGTGAGGGTAGCGGGCCGCACCGTTAAGGATGCCGAGACCCATCTTGACGTCTGCAGTAGCTAGGGAAGGGCGTAGAGAGGCAGGAGCGGCGCACTTTCTCCTCCTCCTCCTCGAGAGGCGCACCACTTTGTCCCCACAAGGCGCCGAAATCCGAGTGTTCAGAGCCCGCGTTAGCGTCGTCCACGCAGATCCTCGGCGGAACAGCATCAAGCGAGCAGCGAATCCTGCGACCGGGCGAGGCGGACCGTGCCGAAGCCGTGAGCGGAATCTGCGAAGGTCACGAGCGAAAGCGCCGGTCGTTGCGGACGGAGCGACAGCTGCTGATCATTGCAGCGTCACGGTGAGTTATGCGGGTTGTACAGCGGCATGGGGAGAAGTGCGTCGGGGTTGGACGGGCGTCCGGCACCGGTCGTAGCGAAGGAAGGATGCCAAGCGCGGTACTGGACCTGCACCGGCGGCTTCTGTAGGCTGGCAGGGGCTCGTGTTGCTACTGCGTGAGCGTCGAGTGGGGCGGAAGTCGGCCTGTACGGCTGAGAGGCGGGAGCAGGCGGTCCGGGCGAGGGCGAGACGTATGGTGGGCGAGTTGCGGTTGATGGAGCGGGAGGCGCCGTGCCGGAACGAGTTGGGGAGTATGAAAATTGCCTCGGAGCAGCTGAATAAGGGTGTGGTGGCGGCGGAGGTACGGGTGGAAAGGCCGGCGAACCATTCGGCTGAACGGCGAGAGGCGATCTCGACGGTGGTGCTGGGCCGGATGCATAGCCAGGTTGGAGAGACTTTGGAAGATGGGAGACCGATTGGAGGTACTTGGCGCGCGCATCGACCGGCTTGTAACGCTGCGCGTCGACGTCCCAGCGTAGCCCCTCCGTCCCAAGGGGTGTCTGATGCTCGACGCGGACGGAATGCTGAGGGGGATGCGCCGAAGCGGGAGCCAGAGATGCTGAGGGCAAGCGGTACGGCGCAGGAAGCTCAGCGACTTGGTTGCGACGAGTCCGTTGATTCGCGGGAGGGTAGGCGGTGGAGGCGGGCTGGGACGACTGCCGTTTCGTCGAGGAAGCCGAAGAATGAGGCGACGCTGTGGTAGCCGTTCTGCGCCGAGGCGGCAGCAGCTCGTCGTCCGATGAAGGTTGCGAGCTGGCAGAGCCGTTCGAGGCGGACGACTCGCTGGCGCTAGCGGAGCCGTAGTCGTCCTTCTTCTTCGTTGGCGAGGGTCGCTGTCGAGTCGAAGGGCGAACGATCGGCTGGCTTGAGCGAGTCGAACGCTCCGCCCGCCGCCCCTTCCCGCTGAACCTCGACGACGCCGACGAGACCTTGCGCGCAACACGCTGCGACGCGCCCGAGACCTTGCGAGCAATCTGCTTCTCGGTCGACTCCATGTTGGCCTTGTCTTCGAGGTGAGGCTGGGCGTGCCTCATCGGCTGGAGGTAGCGGTGGACGTAGCGGGCGAGACAGGCGCCGCAGACGAGGAGGTCGAGGATGGCTTCCGTCTGCACAACGCGAGTGTCAATCATGGCTTTGCTCGGTATAGCAAGCTGATTCACGATGAGAAGCGTGTAGCCGATGCCAGGATGGCTCGAGTTGGCAAACCGTCCCTTGAGCATGCAGACCACGACCACGACGAGTGCGGCAGCGAAGTAGCCGAAGCACCAGCCCTGTGAGGCGCGTCAGGGAACGTGCAGGAGTGAGGGCGGCAACATCGAACGCACCCCGAAGATGAAGGCCGAACGACGGATAATGGCGCCGTGGTGACCGCGCCGCTTCGCATGCAGCTCTCGCAGGAGGAACAGCTGCGGGTAGAGGGAGTCAGCAGTACTCGGTCTGCTCAGGGAGGACCAACGCACCTCGATCCCGATCAGGATCCCCCAACCGACAGCCGTTATCACGAACGCAGGACAAAAGAAGCTGTCGTCGGAGCGGAAAGAGAAGATTCCGTAGGCGCTGCACAGCAGTCCCAGCACACTCGCACCAACAGCCACCCACATTGCGATCTTCCCGTCGTGAACGGCCGCATCCCTCGTTCGCTGCTCGTGATCCGCCTGCCCTTTGCGAAACGCAAACTCCTCGCTTGAGGAGCCGTCTGAGGTGCTCGTGGCACCTTGTCGAGCCATGCAGAGCAAGCGAGTGCGTGGGAGAAGGGAGAAAGGAGGATGCGGCGGAGAGTCCGCGGAGGGAAGGAAGCGCGAGAGGAGGACTCGTTGCGCCAGCCTTGAAGGACAGCAGCCATTCGTGTCGAGTGCGAGAGCCGTGGTGGGTATACCGTATGTACATTGCGCTGCTAGACCGATTAGACGACGAGACTTCGGACCGCCATGACGACGCAGGCGAGGGCGACGTAGGGCGATAACCGCTCTCCTGCGAGTGGGAAGGATCAGCGCCACTCGGCAGAAGGTTCAGGACTCCACAGCGAGCTTACCTATCCGCGCGAACTTGAAGAAGATGCCCAACACTCTGTTCGAGGCGGAGAAAGGACGAAGCGGAAGTCAGCACACCGCCGAGGTGGCGCACCCGGTGATTGTCCATTGAGTCTCGGAACACCCTGCCGCCTCTTCAACGCCCTTCCTGGTGCCCGCGACGAGTTGACAACCCCGCTCCACCTCGACCGGCTCATCAACAGGTCCCTCAGAACACCGCGACAGAACTCGCTGCACGCACCCCTGCTTGTTCCGGTCGATCAGGCCCGGCGCAGTCGCTCGTACGTAGGTGCAGGTGCAGATGACGAGGAGAATGACGAGGAGGAGCGACTCGAAGTTGAAGATGGCGGTCTGTGCGAGCGAGCAAGGTCAGCGGGCGTGCGGTCAGGTCAGAGTGGATCAGATAGGCACCATCTCCCTCTGCAACTCCTCTCAAGCGCCTTCGAGCGTGTCGTGTGAGCGGTAAAGGCTCGAGTTTCGTGAGGGGAGGGTTCGCTTCATCGATTGCTCGTTGCTCGCTCGCTACTGCTCCGTACGGCTGCTTGTAACGCTCAATACTTCCAACAGAGCTGCCACTCGGAGACTGGCCTGCTCGGCGGGCTCAGCGACATGCCGGGGCTGGGGGCAGCGAGGAAGTCGGCGACGAGGTATGTGGCCGAGTTCTCCGCCCTCCTGCGCGTTGCGCTGACTCCGTAGAAGCGCTTCAGAGTGAATCACGTCGATCGAGCTCGGGATGAGGATGGAGGCGGGGACGGAGCGCCGGCAGACGCCGTCATGGAGGATCCGCAACCCTGCTTCGACCCGTCAAAGGACGATATGAGCGTGAACGGCGATGGTGACCCGATGGAGACAGACAATACGGCGACGAGAGCGCCCTCGACGGCGCACGACTCGGCTACAGCGTCCACCAGCACTCCCTCCGGCCCTACACCTCTCGCCAGCCAGCGCTCCTCCGCCTCGCTCGCCTTATCAGCTCCCAATGAGATCACGATCGACAGTACCGACACAGACGCGTCTCTCTCTTCCGACTCGGTCGAAGTCATCAGCGGCGTCTCCTCGGACGAAGAGCAGTCGGGAGGTATCAACGGCTTCTCAGCGGGTCCTCATCCGTTCACCACCCCTAGCCGGTCCGCTCGCCCGCACAGAGGCGTCCCATCTATGCTCTTTAGCTCGCCTCCCAAGGCGGCAGCAGGCGAACTCGATTTGGCGGCCGTCCCGCCTGATTACCCGCTCCCTCGCCCACCATTCGCATTCGACGTCCTCAACCACGCACCTTCTCGCCACCCTGGTTCCCCGCCGTCATGGCAGTATCTGCGCGACATGACCTCCGAAGAGCGGCACGAGCACCAGAGGCGGGAGGATGAGCGGAAGAAGCGCGAGCGAGACCAACGGCAACTTCGCGAGGAGTGGGAGTGGGAATGGGTCCGCTGTGCGACGACCAGTCCTGGAACGCCTGCAAAAGGCAAGGAGCAGAAAGTGGGCTAGTCTCGCGTTGTCCCTTCCTCCATTGCCTGACACTTGGCTTTAGGACTTTCATTCGGCCTCCTTCTTCCCTTACGCGCACCTACCTGGCCTCGGGTATATGGAGGGCGTCTGTGCTGTTATCGGCGGCACCGAGGTGCGCATGTTTTGCCTGCCTCCTCATTTGCAGCCGCCTGACGCCAACTTTGAAGGTCCGTCTCATGCAAATCTCGACAGTCCCGCCGAGTCGAACGGTCGTGCAAGAAGTCGCAACACCATATCGACGGCCAAACGTCCACCAAATCCACGTGAGTGGCTCAGCAGCATCTCCACCCCGACATTGCTGACAAGAATCCGACGTCCAGCCGGATCACGAGGAGTACTTCACCTGCGCCTGGTCGGTCAACATCTCGACGCACCCCTACACGCCCATGCTCGCCGTCGCAGGTCGCGGTCGACTTGTCGAGGTCTTCTTGGTCGGTCGTCGGGCTGGTGGAAAGTGGATCTTGCATCATGACAGGACGATCACGGGGCACGGGGGGGTGCGTCGTCTCTAACGTCAATACTCAAGCATTTGTACTGACATGCGTCACTTGCAGCCGATTTTCGACCTCGCCTTCCACCCTTCCCACCCGCACATGCTCGCCTCTTGCAGCGAAGACAAGACGATCCGGCTCTGGGATGTGACAGTATCCTGGGGTTCGAACGCCGCCGTTGCGAAGCAAACGCCGAGCCATCCAGCTTCCATCACAGCGCGGGAAAGACCGCGGGTGGAGGGAGAGCTGCTGGCGGTGTTGGCGGAAGGGGGGCACGAGAAGGCTGTCTTGTCCTGCGTGAGGCACATCTAGTTCGTCCTCGTGACCTCACACGCTTACATCTCTTGAACAGGACTTTCGCGCCGTCCAACCTCTTCTCGTCTCGAGCGGCGCCGACGGATTCATCAAGGTCTGGAGGTTACCTCCGAACATCTTCTCCGCTACACCTCACTGGCCTTCTGCCCCGCTCTACCGGCCTCCAACATCTCCGCCGCCGCCTTCGAACGCGCCAGTCCTCGGTCCGCCCATCTTCTCTTCCTACGCCGTCCATCCCGGCCAATGGCCCGATCAAGTTTCCTTCCTCTCCGCCTCCTCCTGCACGATCCTCTCCAAAGCCGCCGTATCGCATGATTCGTCACGCTTCTCGCCTCGCACAAGCGTCAAGATCTGGGTGCCGACCATCCTCGACGTCCTGCCGGATGCAAAGGCGGAGAAGCGACGAGCCGAAGTCGAGCGGTCGCGTAGCGAAGCGTCCACGGCGGATCCTTGCCAGGTCCCGCGACAGACGGACGAGCGACCGCCTCTTCCGATCGACGCACGGAGCGAAAGCGGGTTCAGGGTCATGTACGAGGCGATTCTCGAGGGTCAAAACTGTGTCGGCGACACGGTCGGCATCTATCGTCGACCTCCGACGCTCGAGACAGGGAGAGGACCTGCGGACGTCTTCTTCGTTGTCCCGACCTCGACGCGGATGCCTCTCTTTGAGGGGATGGACGGACGACACGGCGAACCTGCGCTCTACTTCTTTCGCCCGTTTGCCCCACCAGAAGCACCGGTATCCGCCGACTCGCCTTCAGAGTCGCAACGAAGCGCGAGTATCGGCGGCAGCGGCGACAAGCGAACCGCCAGCAAGGAGTCGGTGGACCAGATCGCAAAGACACTCTTCCCTCCCGACCGCGATCGCCTCGCCCACGACTTCACGCCTCGGCTCCTCCCCTCCGCCGTCACCGACATCTTTACGCTGAGCCAGCAGCAGTCGAATGCCCCGCTGCCGCAGATTCACTTCCGCTGCATCGCCGTCCAGCCGAACGGGGCGGCCTCGATCGTCGGCGTTGGCGATGGTGGACTCGTGTCAGTCTGGAAGAGGCAGAGAAGGGTCAAGTAGCTGGAAAGGCGGGCGTTTGAAGGGGTAGGAGGCGTCTCTCGAGGATGCAATTGCCCTCTTCGCTCGCTCTTTCGCGGACGTGGTTCGTCGAGCTACTGCTCTGTTCTCTTTGAACCGCTCTACGTCAAGCATTTGCCAAAGGAAAGCGTTAGAGTCCCTTCCTCTCCACCATACTCTCCCTCCTTCCGCTCACCCATGTCTGCTGCTCTCTCGCGATGACGATTGTGCTGGGGCTCAGCCCGACGAACATGGCTTTCGCCGACAAGCTTGACCAGCTGCTCCTGCGCGGCACGCTCTCCGACATCCAGGAAGAACTTCATCGCCCCACTTCGAGTGTCGCCGACTGTGCACGACTGAGCAAGCGATGCACGACCTCGGCGCTTTCGATACTCGACTCGAGCACGTCGTACGGTACCCTTGTCGTCGGCTGCGCGGCGCTCGCTCGTCGGAGCTTCGCCTTCCGCCTCGCCTGCTTTTCGATGATCCTCGAGCGTGGTGCGAACCCTTTCGCGCGAGGAACGGACGGACGGGCAGTTTCGTGGATATTGGACGGTATCAAGAACTCGGCTGAGCGGCAGTGCTTCGAGGAAGAGTTGCAGGCGGCGCAGAAAGCCTGGAAATCGAGCGAGAAGTACGAGATGGGTGCGTTCTCTCCCAGGCAGTCCTTACGAGCATTCGCTGAGACGCGTTTGACAGCTCTGGATATTCGCGAATGGATCGAAGACTCGCTGGCGGTGATGGAGGAGGAGAAGCGGGAGGCATTCAAGCAGTCGAAGCGCGAAGCGTTCGTGCAGTCGCCGCAGGAGATTGAGCCAGCGGTCGCGGAGCGAGGTATGCCGTTGCATTTCGTCGACAGAACACGCGGACTGACCGCCTTCAAATTGCAGCACCGACTCCGACTCCTCCGCCTGGCAAGCGCCCTCGCCTCGAGTCTCCTGCGCCCGAAAAACTCCCTTCTTCGCAGAACGAGTCGCTTCCCGACTACGACGAGGTCGTTACGGGATCCAAGACTGAGCTGGTTGAGCCAAAGCTGCCTCCGCCCGAACCGACGCCCGTGACGGGCGAGCCTGCGCCTCCGAAGCATCAGGACGAGACGCCGGCGCCCCCGGGGCAAGCCTCGCAGGCTCCTTCGACCGTGCCCGTGTCTGCGGTTCCTCCGACTGGCGCCCCATCGACCTCGTCTCGGTTGTCTCGCCTTCCGCCCGGCGTCGTACAAGGACCGCAAGTTCAGCCAAAGCCCAGCTCACAGCCTTCCACCTCCCGTCTACCACCTCCGCCGCCACCTCCACTTGCGCCTGACACACTCACTCCAGTTGCCGCGTCGACCTTGTCGGCAGCACCACCATCGGCAGCACCGGCGTCCGTCACTCCGACTCCGGCTCCGCAACCCGCTCAGCCAACTCCGCCCACGCCTGCACCGACCGCTTCGCCTGCACCGGATGTCGCTCCCGCTCCTATTCGCAAGTCGCGCCTGCCTGCGAGTCTCCTTGGTCGCCCGCCGCCTGCACTGCGCGTCAAAACAACGGCGCCACTCGCGTCCACCGTCTCGCCTGCGTCCCAGCCGGACGCAGCCACTCCATCAGGTGCCACCGCGGACGAGTCGACGCCGCCCAAGACCTCGCCTTCCGTTGCGCGTCTTCCGCCGACGGCGCAGAGCGCATCTCCTGCGAAAGCTCTGTCGACTAGCCGTCTCCCGCCTGGCCTTTCACCCTCGTCCAAGGTCAGCCCGTCAACTAGTTTACCTCCGCCGTCCGCCTCGCCCGCCTAGAAGCCGCCAACTTCGCTCGCACACGTGCCTCCAGCTTCTTCGCCTCGGATCCCCTCGTCCAGCCGTCTTCCACCTGGGCTTCTCGCCTCTGCACCGACTGAACCAGCTGCAATGCGTCGACCGCGCGCGACCTCGACAGGTACTGAGGCGACGGCGCAGGCGACTGCCCGCTTGTCGCCTCGCGGAGCCGCTTCTCCAGGTCGCTCAGAACGGCCGCTACCCGGGCTGGGGCCAACAAGCTCTCAAGCTCCTCCGCCTACACGTCCGAGGGCAGACCCGATGACAGTCCAGTTCTGCGACTTGCCCGCCTGGATGACGACCCGCCTCTTCCAGCACTACCTCCTTCACGGCCCGACGACATACCTCCACGCCAAGCCCGAGGAAGTCAAACACCTCGAAGACCTCGTCGAGTGCGGCTCTTTCGTCCCCACTCTCAGCAATGACGACGAGATCCCGCCCATCCCTACAGACGTCAAAGTTTCCCGCGACTCTCGCGACAAGTCCGGGCGCTCCGTCGGGCAGGCGACGTACTCGTCTCGTACGGAGGCCGAGCGTGCGAAGAAGATGTTTGACGGGGCAAAGGTGCTGGGGCGGTTGTCGGAGCCGGCGCTCGTCTGCTTCGGCATGGACGTGCAGCGGGAAGTCTCGAGCTGGAGGGACAGGGTGACGCAGCGGCCGTGACTGCTTCTCGTGGCTTTCGTTGTCTGTTGTTACTTCCTACGCTTTGCAACTGCATCTGAAGCCTTGTCAATCCTCATCGCACATGTCGCGCTCCGACGCGAAGGTCCAGGAGAGTTGTCCTCGACTTCACCGCTTCGCACCGCTGCACACGCTCATTCCGCCTCGTGTACTTGCCTACGCTAGTTGCTTGTTCCGCCACAGCCCCGCCAGCCCCGCCAGAGAGTGCCAGCCCACGGGGTGTTGGATCAACACTTGCTTGTTTGACGACCCGAGACTCGACGGCAACGGCACTAGGTGTGTCGGTGGCGAGCTCAATGTACTTGCAGGGCTCTCATTGACTCAACGCGTACCGTCCACAGGCCTGCGACGCCGCGATGAGGGTCACGGAACTCATCCTCGACGGGTTCAAGTCGTACCCCGTGCGGACAAGCATCGCGGGATGGGACCCTAGCTTCAACGCCATCACGGGACTGTGGGCTCACATCGTCTAGCCACTGCATCACCGAGCGAAGCGGAGCTGACCTCTTCCCCCTCCTCTCCTCGCCTCGCCTCGCAGGAACGGGTCCGGCAAATCCAACATTCTCGATGCTATCTGCTTCGTTCTCGGCATCACCAACCTCACGACGGTGTGTATCAAAGCGCCGTTCTAGCCGACCGCAGCTGACAAAGTTCCCCCGCAGGTCCGCGCCGCCAACCTCCTCGACTTGATCTACAAGCGTGGTCAAGCCGGCGTCACCCGCGCTTCCGTCACCATCGTCTTCGACAACTCGGACAAGACGCAGTCGCCTGTCGGGTTCGAGAACATGCCGGAGATCTCGGTCACTCGCCAAGTCCGTCTCGCCGCATTCTCTCCGATCCCGTCACGACTAACCCCCTTTTCCCACAGATCTCGGTCAACGGCCAGAGCAAGTATCTTATCTGCGGTCATCGCTCGACGCAGCAGGCCGTCCAGAACCTTTTCCAGAGCGTCCAGCTCAACATCAACAACCCGAACTTCCTCATCATGCAGGGTGAGAACCACTCGCTTTTCGCTAGGCTCATGCATGCTCACATTTGCTCTTGCAGGCAAGATCACGAAGGTGCTCAACATGCGACCGCTCGAGATCCTGTCGATGATTGAGGAGGCAGCCGGGACGTCCATGTTCGAGGAGAAGAAGGATAAGGCGATCAAGACGATGTCGAAGAAGGAGAAGAAGCTCGACGAGATCCAGTCGCTTCTCAAGGAGGAGATTGTGCCCAAACTCGACCGGCTGCGGGAGGAGAAGCGCACTTTCCTCGAGTTTCAGAAGACGGCGAGCGAGCTCGAGCGGCTGAGCAAGCTCGTTATCGCGTGGGACTGGACGCAGGATCACCTCAGGGTCGAGAAGGCGAAGGAGGCGATCAAGGAGGGCGAGGCGAGGAGGAAGGACGCGAGCGAGGCGAAGAAGCGGATGGAGGGCGAGATCAAGAAGATGGAGCAGAGCATGAAGGAGATCGAGAAGGCGCGCGACAAGGTGCGTTTGCTGCCGGGAATGCTTACATGCAGCACGCTTACGCCCGCATGTTCGTAGGAACTCGCCAAAGGCGGCAAGGTCCAGGGTCTCGAGAAGCAGCTGAACGCGCTCGACATGGAGATCGCCAAGCTCAAGACGCAGGCTGAGGGCAAGGGCCGCGAGATCAAGGAGGAGGAGGCTCGGATCAAGGAGCTCGAGAAGACGCAGAAAGACGTGCGCGCGCTGCCTCTCTCTTCACCGCGCAGTCATTGACCAAGTCCATCACGCAGCTTACCGCACAGCGCAGGGCGCGCGAATCGTCGTCGAAGGAGAACGCCGAAGCGTTCGCTGCCCGACAAGCCGAGCTCGAGGCAGCCAGCAAGTCGCTCACCCAGTCCGAAGATCTCCTCCAGACAATCGAATACGGCAAAGGTCTCTCGAAGGACGCGAAATCTTCCGGCTACGACGGTCAACTCGCCGCCGCGAAGGAGCTCGCAGGCCGTCTCGAGACCGATGCCCAGCTCGCGAAGCATCGTATCGACTCGCTGCAGAAGGAGCTCAAGGAGAAGGAGCCGAAGGCGAAGAAGGCGGCGGCGGAGAGCAAGGGCCTCGTCGCGAATGTCGAGAATGCGCGGAAGGAGAAGGAGGCGCTCGAACAGCGACTGAAGGCGTCAGGCTACGATGAGGCGGAGGAGGCGCGGCTTGAGGGCGAGCGGGATCAGCGGGCACAGACGGTCGAGCAACTGCGACAGGTGCGTTCTTCTAATTCCTCTGGTGCACTCATCTCACTCACCGCTTCTGTCACAGCGACGAGAGCTCAAGCGCCGCGAGATCGTCCGCACCGACTTCCGCGCCGACGACCCGTACCCCGGCTTCGACCGGTCCTCCGTCTACGGCACGATTGCCAGCCTCGTCGAGCTGCCCGAGGCGAACGCTGCTGCCGCGACTGCGCTCGAGTACGCCGCCGGCGGCGCGTTGTACAACGTTGCTGTCCGGGACGATGCGACGGTCGCGGCGTTCGTCAAGGCGCGGACCATCAAGACCCGGACAAACCTCTTGCCCGTCAATTCGCTGCAAGTCTACGTTGCCGACAAGTCTCGCGTCGCGGCTGCTCGCAAGCACGGCGCCGAGCTCGCGCTCAACCTCATCAAGTTTGACGAGCGAGCGCGACGAGCGATGGAGTCGGTCTTCGGCAACGTCCTCATCGCGTCGAACAAGACGATCGCGAAGCGCTGCACCGACGACCCGGCTGTCCGCATGCGCTGCGTGACGTACGAGGGCGACATCTACGACACGACGCCGGAACTGCGCGGCGGCAACTCGACAAGCGAACGCGTCCTCATCAAGGTGCAGGAGCTGCGCAAGATCGAGCAGGAGTTGGGCATGCACCGCAAGGCTCTCGAGGAGCTCGAGGTCAAGCTGCAGCATTCGAAGGGTGCGGTTGACCTCAAGAAGGCGCTCGACCAGAAGGCGCATGCGCTGTCACTCCTCGAGAAGTCGATGCAGAACAGCAACGCGACGAGGGTGCGTTCCCTGCGGTCTCCTGCCCGAGCTAACACTGACGCTGGCCTTTCGCACAGGTTATCGGCGAGGTCGACTCGCTCCGAGCAACGATCGCCGAGCTGCAAGAAAAGATCGAGGAGTCGAAGGCGAAGCAGAAGGACGCGCAGGCAGACGTCAAGCGCATCGAGCGCGAGATGTCCGAGCTGTCGAAGGACAAGGGATCAAAGGTCAAGCAGATCAAGGCGGACATTGCGAAGCAGAAGACTCAGGTCGCCAAGCTCGAGGAGGCGGTCGAGTCGCTGCGAAGCGAGGTCCTGACCGACGAGCTGGAACTCGGTGCGTCTAAGTACCTTGATACGCTTGCAGCTCGCTCACGAGTCTCCGCGCAGACCAAATGAAGAAGGAGATTGCGTCCGCTGGTGTTGAACTCGCTGAGGCGCGGAGCCAGATCGACAAGATACGCCAGTCGCTCGCTCAAGGGCAGGGCGTCATCGAGGAGAAGCACGCGGAGCTTCAAGAGGTCCAGCGCATCATTGCCGAGGAGACGAAGAAGCTCAAGGGCTACAACGACGAGCTCGACTCGCTGAAGGAAGCGATAAACGGCCGCAAGGGTGACATCGTCGAGCTCGAGCTGCAGGTCACGCAGGTTGAGAAAGAGGTCGAGAAGGCGAAGAAGGATGCGAAGGACGCGGCGGACAAGGTCGCGAAGCGGGAGAAGGAGTTTGACTGGATTGCCGACGAGTGCCAGTGCGTCGGGCGTGTCTTCACAGGCTTTTTCGTGGCTGATCGGCCTCTCGCGCAGAACCTTCGGCAAGCCCAACTCGCCCTACAACTTCAACGGGACCGACATGCGCAACGTCAAGGAGAAGTGCCGGCAACTCGAGGAGACGCACCGGACGATGAAGCGCAAGGTCAACCCGAAGGTCCTCAGCATGATCGACAGGTGAGTCATGCGAGCAAGCATTCGAAGCTTCCGCTGACGCTCGTGCCCCGTAGTGTCGAGAAGAAGGAGAAAGACTTGCTCGACATGTACAAGCAGGTCATGAAGGACAAGACCAAGATCGAGGAGACGGTCGCCAAGCTCGATGAGCACAAGCGCGACACGCTCGAGAAGACGTGGACGAAGGTGGACAGGTACGACCGTTCCTGCGCACTCTCCTCGCTCCGACTGACACCTTGCGCTCTCAGCGAGTTCGGCAACATCTTCGCCGAGCTTCTGCCCGGCAACTTCTGCAAGCTTCAAGCACTCGAGGGCAAGGAGATCACGCAGGGTCTCGAAGTCAAGGTCCGCCTCGGCTCGGTGTGGAAGGCGAGTTTGACGGAGCTGTCGGGCGGTCAGCGGTCTCTCATCGCTCTCTCGCTCATCATGTCACTCCTCCGGTTCAAGCCGTACGCACGAGATCTTCTCTCTCCCCCGTCTCGCATGCCTAACGACATTCGTTCGCAGCGCGCCCATGTACATCCTCGACGAGGTCGACGCAGCTCTGGACATGTCGCACAGTCCGTCCTGCTTCCTCTCTCTCTCCTTCGCCATAGCTGACCACGTCTGTCGCAGCCGAGAACATCGGCCGTCTCTTCCGCACACGCTTCAAGGGCAGCCAGTTCATCGTTGTCTCGCTCAAGGACGGCCTCTTCTCGAATGCGAACGGTACGCTACGTGAACTCTGTTGCTTGAGCGCTTCTCGCTGACGCTCCGTCCCGCAGTGCTCTTCCGCGCGCGTTTCCGAGACGGCACCAGTGTCGTCGAGCGGACAAGCCAGCGTACGGCGTCCGGCCTCTACGACAAGGAGAACGCTGGACCTCGTGCTGGCGGGGCCGGCAAGGCGGGCAAGTCACGGGCTGGCGGTGCGGGCAGGGTTGAGGTCGCGGCATAGCGGCGGTCGGGTTCCGCGTGTCCTTTCGTTCTTTCGCTCGTTGTATTCGTTTGCGTTTTTGCTCTCTATCGGGCGCCTCGTATGCTGTCAATTTGCAAGCATCCGTTCTCTCGGTTCATGGCGGAGCAGCACAGAGGTGGCAACCGTCGAGTTGTCCTCCTGGCGAGAGCTTGCACAGACGGCGATGCTTCCCGACTCGTTCCGGGCGTGGTCGACGTCTGCGAGACACGCACTCAGCTCAGACATCGTCTCAGAGGGTCCAGGTGAACCATAATCTGCGGGAGGCTGTGATGCGTGCAGGAGAGCGAGAAAAGGGCGACAAACGTTGCGGAGGGAAATTCTGAGGAACTGGCTGAATACAGAGTGCGTCTTGATGTAGTTGGCCACAATGGAGACGTTCCTGAAGTCCAGGGCAGCGTCGATCTCGTCGAGGAAGTATAGCGGGGTCGGCTGGAGGTTAGAGGCGATTGAAGGCGTCAGCTCGGCACAGACACTAGCCGTAGATTGTCGTAGCCTCAGAAGCCGAGGAGGCCAGCGCATGTTCAAGCGGAGCCTCTGGACGGCGAGAACCAGCAAATTTGGGAGAAGGAGGGAGCGAAGTAGAGAGCTAGCGAAGGGGCAACGACGCTTGACGTCCTCCGAGTCGGCCAGCATGACTCCCTGGAGCAGAAGCCGTGACTCCGTCTGCGCACTGCATCGCCTGTCCTCCTCAATGAGCCTTGAGAGCGTAAAAGTGATGAGAAAGTCGAGGTCGAGTCGCAGCCGAGAGAGGACCGCCAGGTCTGGCTGGTACGGCGGATTTGCGAGCTCAGACTCCAAGTAAGCGTGCAGCCGCTGGAGCCTGTCCATCGCGGGCGAGCGCAGCGGGAAACGGATGAATCGCAGTGGGTTGACCATCTCCCACGACGACGACGACACTGTCATTCTCGGGCTGGGAAACACTGCGCGCGTAGCTGAGGCATACAGGACTCGCGAATACTCCGCCGCTGTCACTGACGGCCCACGAACGACTCCCACTCAACCCTGCCACCTCCCCTCGACTTGCCATGCCGCCTCGCACCTCGCTCCCTCGTCGCGCCAAGACAGAGTCGCGGGCGATGTCTGCGTCCTATTCCACTCAGGTGCACCCTCTCCTCCTCATCAGTAGCCGGCGGTCGCTGACACGCGAGGTGGCCCTCAGTTGTCCCTCCCTCCTGCCCGGCGGACGAAGCTCCTCCACCTGCCGACGGAGACCCTTGACAGAATTGTCGAGATTGCCTGGCCAGACCTCGTGTGCAGCGGAGGGCTAGCACCGTGCCGCCGTCTGCAGGGATCTTACGATCGACTCCGCCTGGAAAGCATCGGCGTCGACCTGGAACGACTCGATTTGTTCGTGGCGGTGCACAAAGGCAGCCCAGCCATCAGCAACCACTGTCGCCGTCTCGTCATCTATTGCCTCCCGAACGACATGGACGACCAATTGAAGCACCTCATCCGACTCCTGCCGAACCTTCAGCACCTCGTCTTCGCTTGTAACGGCGTCGTTGCAAGTCAGATCAGCATGCTTCAGCCTGGGATCTTTCTCCAGCCACCACACCTGCCGAATCTCCACACCTTGTCCTCGCCCTACAGCCCCTTCGCTTTGCCGGCTCCTCCTCCTGGCACGCCTACCGTTCTCGACCTGTATCCTCAAGTCCGGTGCCTACATCTTGGGGTGCGGAACCTCGCATACCCTCACTCACACGCAACTGCGATTTGGACAGTACCGCCTAGCATCAACAAGACCGGCTGTCCGTCTCCGACGCACCTCACGGAACTTGCGATATCCTTGAGTTCGCCTTCCTGGCGCATGGCACACGAGACGGCGCGACTACCCTCTGACATCATGCGGCGAAGCCCCTCCCTCGCTCGCCTCAAGCTGACGGACCTCCCGAATGTTGTCATGTTATCGGACCTTCTCGACTCGCTTCCATCCCCAAGCAACCTGCGATACCTCCACCTGTCCTTCGAGCTAGACCTCGATCCTTCTGGCCCAGCAAGCTGGTACATCGTCAACGAGGGCGATGAGGATGGCGTCACCGTCAGGGTCTCCCTCGCCTCAACGATTCGGCGGCTCTCGGGCCTTGTCAGCCTGACACTCGGCACCGACTGCTCCTGCTTCGACGAGGAGGCATTGGACGCCCTGCGTGCGCGGGAGCCGCTCTTACGACTCGAACTCGTCGAGGGTTATGGCGCATTTGAAGGACCAGACGCCATCCTGGACGGACTTATTGCGCTGGGGCCGAAGGCACCGAAGGAGCTCTGCCTCGAGCATGAGGAAGATGTGGAGGCGATGGACGGCCCGACGATGGCGGACCTCCTGCCAGACGGCGAGGAACTCGAGCTGCACGACTTCCCATGCGAGGAGGAGGTCTTCGGAGACTGGGTCATCCCGGAACGCCTTGAGGACATCAGCGACGTTTATCGAGCTATTGTGGAGCACTGCCGTCGAAGGGGAATCAAGCTGAGCGGCACAGTGATCAGCAGTTTGGCTGTGATGGATAGGCGGGACAGGGCGCGAGAGGAATGGGAAGAGCTGAGGGATGACTACTTTCGCAAGAGGGGCAGGTGGCAGAAGCGGCCGAGGTTCGGGGCGGGTGCAACGTAGCAATTAAGGCGGGAGGTGATGGCAATAGCAATACTCGGGCATCGAGCAAACAAGGAACCAATAGAGACGGAAACACGAAGGCGAGAGTGCTCGACAGGAAGGAGAAGCCACGGGGACCCGCTAGGCATCGTCTTCATCCTCGCTGCCCGCTTCCTCCTCCTCTTCCTCCTCCTCCTCCTCCTCCTCCTCCTCCTCCTCCCCCTCCTCCTGATCATCTACCTCTTCCTCCTCTAGGGCGGTGCTGGGCACATCAGGGACTGCGGAAAGCTCCTTGTTGTCTGCGGATGGAAGCAAAGGGAGGGTCAGAAGGCGCAGATGAACATACGAGCGCGAGACGCACCGATCGCAATGCTCCTGGTCTGGTTCGAGACCTTGTAGATGCCGACAAGGCGCGCCGCCAGCTCAAACATGTTCTGTGGGTGTCGTAGCGCTTGTCAGCGGTCTGCGGGAGGCTTGGATGCGCGCAGGAGAGCGAGAAAAGGGCGACACACGTTGCGGAGGGAAATAATGAGGAACTGGCTGAATACAGAGTGCGTCTTGATGTAGTTGGCCACAATGGAGACGTTCCTGAAGTCCAGGGCAGCGTCGATCTCGTCGAGGAAGTATAGCGGGGTCGGCTGGAGGTTGGAGGACAAAAAGGTCGTCAGTTCGGCTCTCCACCGTCTACAGCCTCGGCGCGGCGTGCATAGGGAACGCACCTTGTACGTGTGGAGCGCAAAGACGAGCGCGAGCGAACTCAGGGTCTTCTCGCCGCCCGAGAGGTTCGAGATGTTCTTCCAGCTCTTCTTCGGCGGCATGACCGAGAAAAGGATGCCTTCAGAGAAGGGATCTGCCGAATCGTAGAGCTCGAGTTCGGCGTTGCCGCCGAGGGTGATCATCTGCGGCGAAGGAAGCGGTCAGCCGCAGTCGCGAAAGTTCCCGAGTCGACCGGCGTACCTGGTACATCTCCTTGAGCTTGTTCGAGATGATGCCGAAGCCCTGCATGAACTGCACGAGGCGCTCATTGCGCAGCTCGGTGACCCGAGTCTTCGCACCGTCCCACTCCCTCGAGACGGCCTCGAACTCCTCGCCTCGTCTCCGGAACTCTTCTTCGCGCCGCTTGTACTCTTGCAGGACAGCGAGGTCGGCGTTGTTCTTCTCCAGTCGCTCTGCAGGCGTCGAGAAGTCAGCAAAGATCGGCGGCAAGAGGTGGAAGTGGCCTCGCCTTCGAGAAGCGCAATCTCGCCCTTCAACCGCTTGACGTCGATCTGCTCGATCTCCTCCGGCTCGAGCTGTCGCAGGACTTCCTCAACCTTCGGCGGTCGGTTGCCGTCCTCATCCTCCTCGTCGGCGTCGCCGAGCCTGGTGAGGAGGAAGGTCAGCAACGGAAAGGCCGCACGACTCCTCTGGAACGCACAGCTCGAACTCGGGCATCTCAAGCGAGCTGATCTTGGCCGTCCAGTGCTCAAAGATGCGCGTCGTCTCCTTGAGCAACTTCTCCTGCTCAGTATAGATCGTTCGAAGTTTGGCCTGCCGGAAGGAACAGTCAGTTTCGTTCTCTGCGGCGCCTAAACGAGAGCGCGTGCGCACCTCTGCCTTTTTGAACTCGATGATCGCCTCCTCCTGCTCGTCCAACTCGGCCTTGAGGCTGCCGAGCTCTTCGCGACCCTCCTCAACCTTGGCCTGCGCAGCCTCGACGGTCTGCCTGATCGGCTCCGCCTCTTCCTCCTTCTCGGCGAGCTGGCGCCGCAGGTCCTTCAGCTCGATCTCCAGCTCCTGCATCTTGGCGGTGTTGGACTCGATGGCCTTTGTCGCCTTGGCGTGGTCCTTCTCCGCCTTCGCCCGCTCGGTCTTCGCCTTGACGAGTCGCGACTCATTGTGGCGGATCTGGTCCTGCAGGTCAGAGACCTTAGCCTTCTGGCTACGGAGCTTGAGACCGCCGACCTCCTCGATCTTGGCTTGCAGAGCGGCGATCTTGTCCTCGAACTTGGCCGCCTTGCTGCGAAGCGACTCGAGCTCGCCTTCAAGCGTCGCGATGGCCTTCTCGAGCTGGGCGACGCGCTTGACGTCGCCGGCATCGGGCTTGCTCTGGCCGCTACGGTGCAAGCTAGTTAGCGGGTTGGCGGCAGGATGAAAAGTTCGGGGGACGCACCGAAGCTCGGCAAGCAGCTCCGCCTTTTGCGCGGCGTCCTGCTTGTTCGCCTCGAGATCCATCTCGGCCTTGGGGATCGAGGACTCGGCCTGAGCGAGCTGCTTCTCGAGAACCTTCAAGTCGGACTCCGCCTGCTTCGACTGCTCGACAGTTTGCTCAAGCTTGACAGTCGCCGTCTTTTCCTCCGACTCGAGCTTCGCGAGCTGTTGCGGCGAAACGTCGTCTGCGGCGAGGCGGGACGACATCTTGCCGCGAATTGGACGCGAGCCGCCGACTTGCGCGGCACCCGACTTCTCGGCGACGTTGCCGTCGAGCGTGACGACACGCCACCGCTGACCGTCAACCTTGCCGGTCGAGACAGGATGCGCAATGTCCCAGGACGGCGCAACGAGCGTGTCCTTCAAGACATGACGGAAGGCGGGAGCGTAGATGGCGTCTCTCGGCGTGACGAGGTCGAACAGGCGCTGCGTGCCCTGCGGCGTCTTGATGGGCGACAAGTCGCCCTTGCCGAAGCGGTCGAGCGCGATACAGGCGGCACGGCCGATATTGTGCTTGCGGAGGTGGTCGAAGACGGCCTCGGCCGTTTCACGAGTGTCGACGACGAGCGACTCCAGACCGGAAGCCGCAGCCGTAGAGACGGCGATGTCGTACTTGTCGTCGATTCGCCCGAGGTCGCCAAGGCGGCCATGGAAGCCGGGCAGACGGCCTTGCTCCTTGAGCTTGAGGACGGCAGACAGGACGTGGCCCTTGGACTCGCTCGCCTTCTGGCTCGCCTTGGCTTCGGCCGTCTTCTCGCGCGCGCTGTTGACGACGGCGCGGTGCTTCGCCTCGACCGTCTTCTCCTGCTGGACGCGCTGGCGGGCGTCTTCGATTTGGGCGAGGATATCCTTGCGGCCCTTCTGCAGCGTCTTGAGCTCGACAGCCTTCTCCTTCGCCGCCTCCTTGAGCTCCTCGATCTCCTTCTCAGTGCGCTCGATGTCGGCAGCGACCTGGGCGCTCTTGCCGCGGACGTCTTCGAGCTGCTGCGTCGCGATCTTGACCTCGTTCTGCTTCGCTTCGATCTGCTCCGTCCACGGCGCCAGGGACTTCTGGTGCTGCTCAATTTCCACCGAGAAGCCTTCGATCTTGTCTGAGAAGCGGCGCGAACCGGTCAGCGGAGCTGACAGTTTGGGATCAGCGGTGCAACGCACCTCGCAAGCTGTCCATGACCTTGGTCAACGCCGCCTGCTCCTCCTCCAGCTCGGCCTTGAGCTTGTCCTTTGAGCTGACGAGCTTCTCGAGGGTGTCGGCGTGGTCGCGGATGTCGGACTGCGCCTGCTGCGCTGCGTGCTTGTCCTGCAAGCGGCGAGGCGGTGTTAGCTTGTCTTTCTCGCGTGCACAGATCGGCTGAAGAGATGGCGCACCTCCTCGAGCGACTTCTTGAGCTTCGCGTACTTGGTGTCAGCGGCCTTCTTCTGCACGTTGAGCTGGACCTTCGCCTTCTCGAACGTCGCGAGCTCCTTGGCAAGCCCGTTCGCGGCGTCTTCAATTTCCTGCGAAGCCCGGTAAGTATTGTCAGCTCCGTCTCACCCTTGACGAACGACCGGCACGCACCTTGAGGTTCTTCTTCGTCACCTCGTACTGCTCGACGCCCTGATCGTACCGCTCGCGATCGCTCTTCTGGCGCTCCATCTCGGCGTCCAGCTCGGCCTTGGCCTCGGCGACTTGCTGCTCGTACACGACGCGGTCGGCGCCGGCTTGGTGCGCGTGGCGCTGGTAGAGCTGGTTCTGAAGCGAGACGAGCGTGAGCTGGTCGTGGAGGTAGGCGTCGGCGGCTTTCTTGCGGGACTGTGAGCGGCGGAAGACACTTCAGCTCGTTTCGGTCGGCTCAGCGCGAAAGCGAGACGCACCTCGAGCGCGCCCTTCTCCTTCTCAACGAGCTTAACTCGGTTCATCTGCACGGCCCGCTCGTCGCCCAATCTCTCAACGTCGACCGACGCCTCCTCAATGAGCGGCTTGTACTTGGCCGTGCCGATGATGTCCTCGAGGTACTCGAGCAGGCCTTCCTCGTGGTCGTTCGCGCCCTTCGGCTTCATCTGCGCGATCGACTCGACCTCTCCCTGCGAAGACGAGTACCTCAGCATCAGTACGTGTCGTCCGCAGCAGTAGATCAGGACCAAGGAGGAGAACGCCGGCGCACCTGAAGGATCAGGAACCTGTTGTGCGTCAAGTCGATACCCTTGCCGAGCAACAACTGCTTGACCTCTCCCGGCGTCGCATTCTTGCCGTTGACGGTGTAGCGCGTCGAATTGTCGCGGCGAACGGTGCGGGCGACGACGAGTTGCGAGTGAGGAACGACGGAGAAGTCGTCGCGGGAAGTGGGCTGCGAGATGCGCGCGAGCCGTCAGACGAGAGAGATAGAGAAGCCGGGAAGATAGAAAGGCGCACCGAATCGACAATCTCGCGGAACCAGACCTCGACAGTCGCAAAGTCGCACCCTCCCGCCGCCGCATAACTCGGCACCTTCCTCGCCGTCTTCTTCCCCTTGGCTTTACCCTTCCCCTTGCGCTTCCTCATCTCGACCTCCTCCTCCGAGTCGTATTCCTCAGGATTGAAGAACCCATCTTCGTCGTCCTCGTCTGCATCTCCCTCCGGCGCAAGAGCGGCTTCCGCGCCACTCGCAACGCCCGAGTTGTGAATTAGCTCGGAGAACTTGCCTTGACGCATCTTGGTCGCGCGGAAACCAAAGACGAAGAGCAAGGCGTCGATCGTGTTGGATTTGCCAGACCCGTTCGGGCCGACGATGGCGGAGAAAGCCTGCGCGTGGACGAACACCGTCAAATCAGCCGCACCGCAACGAGGAACGTCAACAGCGGCAAGAGGACGCTCGTCACGCACCTTGTGGAACGGCCCGATCGTGTTCCTCCCCTTGTAACTCTTGAAGTTCTCGAGAACAAGCTGGTGAATGACCAGCCTCGGCTTGCCCATAAGCTCCTTCGCGCGCTCGGCAGCCTGCGCAGCATGGTCGATAGCGGCCTGGCGAGCGATTGAGGCGAGCGCTGAGGCGGTGAGGGCGGTAGGAGGGGCGGGCTTGGCAGGTGCGACGGGGGCGGGACCGGGTGCTACGACGGGTTCGGCGGGCTCGGCGGGTGTTGGGGTAGTCGAGCGAGAGCGTGGCGTGGCTGAAGGAGCGGGCGAGGGCGGTGCGACCTGCTGGGCGGCGGCGGAAGCAGCCGGCTGTGCGAGCTCGTCTTCCTCGTCCGCGTCGGACTGGACGACAGCGCGACGCTTGCCCTTCGCCTTAGACTTGGTCGTGGCAGGAGGCTGAGGCGTCTCCTCTCTGTCCCCGTCATCCTCGTCCTCCTGCGCCGTCTGCTCCTCCTCGTCGTTCTCCTCTTCGGCAGCTGAAGACTCGGGCTCGGGAGTAGGGAGGACAGGTTGCTTGACGGGTGAGGCGGGCGCGAGCGAGACGCGTTTCTTGCGCTTCGAGGCGGAGACGCGAGGCTTGACTTCCTCTTCCTCCTCTTCTTCCGTTTCGTCTTGGCCCTCCTGCTGCTCGGCCTCGTCCTCCTCGTCGTCTTCGTCGACGGCAGGAGTAGCAGGCGGGGAGAGCGGTGCGGCGGGCTGTTCGGGCGTCGAAGCCTTCTTGCCGCGAGTCGAGCGGGCGGCAGTGGCCGTCGAGCGAGAGGTGCGTGACGAGCGCGCCGAACGAGCCCTGACCGGTTCCTCCTCCTCTTCCTCCTCGTGATCCTCGTGCTCGTCGTCGGACGCAGCGGTCGAGACGGTGTCCTCCCGTACATTCCTCCTCCTCGAAGTTGCCGTAGCACTCGCCGGTGCGCGCCTCGTCCTGCCCGTCGCGGGTTCCTGCTTCACTGCTCGTGCACCGCGAACTGCCGCCCCGCGCTTCGGCTTGACAGGCTCGCTGTCCTCGTCCTCGTCCTCCTCCTCTGTCGCGTCTCCCTCGGGTCCCACGTTCTCCCCCTCGCTGTCCTCGGTCTCCTCCTCGTCCTCCTCGGTAGCAGCCGTACTAGCCTCGCTGACCCTCTTCCTCGTCGCCCTACGCGATGCGGCAGCCGCGAGTGCCTGCTTGTGTTTGTTGGTTGATGAGGACGAGCGGGAGGAACGGGAGGATGCGGCGGGTTGGGCGTTCGTGTCGTGCTGTTCTAGCGGTTGTTTGCGACGCGGCGGCATCGCTCGTGTAGCCTGGAGCGTGCAAGCGAGATAGCAAGGAGGAGAGAGGACGCGTCTTCATCAGGAGAGGGGAGGAATTCGCCGCACGTGACGGCAAAACCGCTCGCCAGGACTCGGTGTAAGCTGCAATGGCGTTAACCTATGCTTCAGAGCGTCATATAGGCCGCCACCTTGCCAAAGAAGCGAGCGAGGCGACGTACTCCTCCTCCCTGGCGAACTTCATCTCTTCGACTCTCTCACACCGACTGTGACTCGCCTGATTCGATGGCTGACCCACACACAGAGCCAAAGCTTCTGCGGCGACCAGCTTGGCAGCTCACCGCGCCCCGCCTGCTCATTCTCTCGCTCCTATTCCACCTCGTCTTTGTCCGGAGCATCTTCGACGTCTACTTCTCCTCGCCGGTCGTGCAGGTTTCGGACAGGTACGCGGTGACGCATGAGGATGGGCGAGGGCTGGCAAAGCGCGTCGTGCTGTTCGTCGGTCAGTCTCGTCTCGCTTGACCTCGACCCCACATGCAAGCATTCGTCGAGGCAAAGGGCTTCGACAGCGTTGCTTGGTGCAGTCCTCCGATGCTGACGGTCTCCGTGATTGTTCAGGCGACGGCCTACGAGCCGACAAGCTCTTCCAGACGTACCCCAATCCGCCATTCCCTTCCTCCGACCCTCCTCCTTCGCCTGTTCCCTCTCCTCACGCGCTCATCCCGCCGTCTTCCTCCTTCGATGACGAGCTCACTACTCCCGCACCCTTCATTCGCTCACTAATTCAGTCTGGCCAGGCGCAGTGGGGCGTGTCGCACACTCGCGTTCCAACGGAAAGTCGACCGGGACATGTTGCGCTCATTGGAGGGATGTACGAGGACGTGTCGGCTGTGACGCGAGGATGGACGACGGTGCGCTCTGACGCTGCAGCCAGGTAGTTCTCGAGCTGACCGGCTGTCCGCGCGCAGAACCCCGTTCCGTTCGACTCGGTCTTCAACCAGTCCTCGCACGCCTTCACCTTCGGCTCGCCCGACATCCTCCCAATGTTCGCCCTCGGGGCTTCGGATCCCCACCGCGTTGCAACCTTCAGCTACGACGAGGATGCGGAGGACTTTACCTCCGACGCCGTTCACCTCGACCTCTGGGTTCTCGACCAGCTCCCGTCGCTCCTTCAGAACGCTTCGTTCAACCCGGCGCTGAAAGCAAAACTCGATGCGCCAGGTGTGGTCTTCTTCGAACACCTCCTCGGCCTCGACACAACAGGCCACTCGTACCGACCCCACGGCCCCGAGTACCACCGCAACATCCGAGTCGTCGACTATGTCGTTTCGCGGACTGTCGAGCTCTTGTCGGAGTACTACGGGGACGACGGGGAGACGGCGTTTGTCTTTACGGCGGATCATGGGATGAGCAGTTTGGGGAATCATGGAGATGGGCACCCGGATAATACGAGGACGCCGCTGGTGGTTTGGGGAAAGGGTGTGAGGAGGCGAGAGTACTGGGAGGAGCCGACGAGGCACGATGAATACTCGGCGAGTTGGGGTCTGAAGGGTGTCAGGCGGGACGTTGAGCAGGCGGATATTGCGGTTCTCATGGTGCGTGTCGCGCCTCCTCAGCGCGCATACGACAGCTGACGGGGCGATCTCGCAGGCTGTCCTCGCAGGCGTCCCGATTCCGGCTAATTCGGCCGGCCGCCTGCCGCTCGAATACCTCGACGCCTCACCCTCGTTCCGCGCGCGAGCGGCCTTCGCGAACGCGCAGCAACTGCTCGCCGAGGCAGAAGCTAAGAGCGGTGCGTCTGGCTGTGTCATCTGAACGAATCGGTCGCTGACGTCAAGGCGAGCAGAGCTGAAACGCCGGCATGCTCTCTCGTTCCGCCCCTTCCCTGAACTTGTCGACTCACCCGCGCATGGCTATCTCTCTCCATCGTCGCATCGAAGGGACATTCAGCGGCTCATTGACGAGGGCGAGTACCTTGAGGCGGAAAAGCGCAGCGTTGAGCTGGGCGAGATCGCGTTGAGGGCGTCAAGTTACTTCCAAAAGTGTGTTGCTTGTCCCGCTCGAAGAGCTCAGACTGACTTTCCCCGCGCAGATACGACTGGCTGATGCTGCGAACGGTCGTCACGATCGGCTACCTCAGCTTCATGCTCCTCACCGCCCACTCGATCCTCTCTTCCTCCGCGGCGCCTTCCTCCCCATCCCGCCTCACCGTCCTCCCTCTTCTCGCCTTTCTCGCTCTCTCCCTACGCTTCGCCATCGAGCACGCTCCTCTTTCCTACTACCTCTACGCCTTCTTCCCTTCGCTCTTCACCTTCCTCGCCCTCCGCAACCCTTCCCCACTTCTCTCGCTCCTCCACCCTCCGACCTCCGGCATTCCCCTTTCTCATCGTCTAGCAGGCGGCCTCTCCTCCATCCTCATTCTCGAAACGATGGCTTACGGGTACACCTCCCGCCGCGCCTTCGCCCTCATCGCGCTCGCAATGGGCTTCATCTGGCCTCTCACGCTCGACGGACGGTGGAGGAAGGAGAATGGCGGGCTTGTAAGAGGATGGGTGGCGGCGATGGGCGTATTAGCCGTCTTTCCGGTGTTACCGGTCGAGAAGGGTGAGGATCTGAGGGTCGTGTGAGTCTTCCTGCGTCGACGTCGGCCGCAGCAAGCCTTGCTAATCGTCTCTTGCGCAGCTCGGCGGGTGCAGCGCTCATCTGCAAATTGGGTCTCGTCGCGATCCGCTCGCTGAGACGATTAGACTCGCCGACCTGGACTCGGACAAGGCGGTTCTTGCTGGCCGAGGTGCGCTCGTCTCCTCGCTACGTCGCCGAGATGATGCTGATACGCCACAATAGATCGCCTTGACCGTCGCCTGCACCGCTGTGACTTGCTCATCGGCGCTGAGTCTGCAACGCAAGGAGGGTCTGCCGGCGCTGAACCAGTATATGGGCTGGGTCATCCTTGGTCAGCTGCATTCCGAGTCTCACTCGACTTCAAGCTGACCTTGTGCACACGCAGTGGCCTCCTCTGTCCTCCCAATCCTTCACGGCCGCCCGCACGGTCAGCCGCCTCTCGAGCGCCTCTCGGTCCTCCTCTTCGCCTTCGGACCGGCATTCACCATCCTCTCGCTCTCGTACGAAGCGCTCTTCTATGCATGCTTCTGCCTCGCGTTGGTCTCGTGGATGAAAATGGAGGCGAGCTTGGCGCGAGCGGAGGGGAAGAAGGAGGACGAGGGTATGGGCCTGAAGCATGTCAGGATTAGTCTGTTCTTCCTCGCTTTCCTGCACCTCGGCTTCTTCGGATGCGGCAACGTCGCGAGTATCAGCTCGGTGCGTGCAGCGACCTCTCACCGTGCGAGTACGTTGCTGACGAGGCGATATCCGACAGTTCTACCTCGAGCCCGTCTATCGCCTGATGACGGTCTTTGCACCGTTCCCGATGGTGCGCTCCAGAGTCTTCCAGCTTTGTAGCTCGCTCACCGACGCGGTTGTCCTTCAGGGCGCACTCCTACTTTTCAAGCTGCTCATCCCCTTTGTCGCCCTATCGGCCGTCTCCAGCGCGATCAACCACCATCTCCGCCTCCCTCCTCTTTCCCTCTTCCTCGTCGGCTCGATTCTCTCCGAGATTCTGACGATCAACGTGCGTCCGCCTCATCCACCGCTCTCCTCTCCGCTGACTCTCGCTTCCGCAGTTCTTCTTCCGCGTCAACGATACCGGCTCGTGGCTCGAAATTGGCAGCTCCATCACGAACTTCGTCATCTGTTCGCTCATCGGGTTGTTCAGCTCGGCGCTTCTGGCGGGCGGAGAGGGGTTGCTCAAGGGGACGGCGGTGGGTGTGTAGACTGTCTAGACGGCAATGCCTATAGATTGCAAAAGGTACATCACAGGAGGGGCTCAAGTTTGTCCCACGAGACCTCAGCCTTGCAGTCGGATCCTTGTCCCGCCGCCTCAAGACGCTCATCCTCGTGCCCTTTTTCCACCGACTCTTCTGGCTCCTCCGGCTCCTCCAGCTCTCCTGACACTTCCTCCTCATCTGAGGGACCCGCTTCTTCCCACTCATCCTCATCATCCTCGTGTTCCCCGTAATACGCCTCCGAAGAGCGGCAGCTGCAGTCGCGGTAGTATTTCGACCAGTCTCGCCGTATTTCATAACGTTCCTGCTCATCCTCCCACACTTCCATGACTTCGAACGAATCAATGATAGCTCCGCATACCGCCGTGCTGTGCGAGCCTGCGAGTTTGACGATATCGGCGTAGATGCCAAGTCTCGCGTCGTGCAGCCAGTCCGGAAAAATCCAGTTCTGGTAGAACCAGCTGAACGACGGAAAGTCGTTGCGGCAGCACACATACAGGTTGTCAATCCTGTCGCCTATGGCTGCTGGTTCCTCCTGATCCAGCTTCAGTCGGCGCGGGAACGACGTATCCAAGCGTTCCAAGCCAACGAGAACGTCGTCAGGTTCTTCTCCATAGCCCGGCAGAAAGTGGACAAGTTGAAGCGGTTCGCGAGCCTTCAGGGCTGTGATCGTGTCGTCGTCGAAGACCAGGCAGAACGCGCCGACGCTCAATTCTTGGAGGTCCGTGAGAACTTGAATGTATGGCGCCAGGGAGATGCCGTCTTCGGGCAAAGGTTCATGGCCTTGGGAGAATGAGAGGTGGAAGCGTCGAAGGAGCTGAGGATGCGGGAGAGCGCCAATCAAGGTTTGTAGGATTGATGGGTGGGGGACATGGTGAAGACCGAGATGAGTGAGGGAGTGGCAGTTGGAGACGATGCCGGCGAGCAGTGTGATGGCTGGGTTGGTGAGGGTATGAAGACTCAGGACCAGCGCGTACAGACGGTTTGAGGAAACGTCAATCGGGCGTTCCGTAGATTCTAGAGGAGGACCTGTGCTGCCTGTGCTTGGCAGCTCGTAACAGCCCAAGTCGAGCGCCTCGAGGTCGGGATGAGATACGAGGATGCGTGCCACAAGGGCAATCTGGTTCGGGAGGCAGGGAGCGCGCGGTGCACGAAGGATGGCGAGATTCGGCAAGAAGGCGGGAGTTCTAGCCATCAAGAGTATCTGAGCCTGGAGGTCGTCCCACTTTGCGCCTTCGAAGCTAACGCGCCGCAGGTTCATCATCTGGCTGCACAAGCCAGCCAGGGCTGCCCCTGCGCCAAGCGGGATCTGGCAGCGTTCATCAGCGTGAACTGTCAACTCCTTGAAGGACAGAGCGAGCGCCGGCCTCCCTTGCACCACGGAAGCGAACCGGAAGGGCCATTTGGCGCGTAACGTCAGGCGTTGCGATCGCATGCGTTCGTAGCTAGACCGTAAGCGATGGCAGGGCGCATAGCGCCGGTACTTAGGCAGGTCTCGCCACGCCAATTCGATGATTTCGTCGAGAAGCTCGTCTGGGAGGTGTAGAAGGGAGGTCGGGCCTGCGGGAGGAGATTTGGTTGACCCGACGTCCGCCTGTGGGAGGATGCTTGTGAGCTGGGGCAGAGTGATACAATTCGAAGCGTCTACGCACCCCTATGTCGTCATCCAATGGAGCTGGGAGCGCTGTCGCCGCGTGCGGTTCAGACGGGGACGGGATGGGACAACCGCGGTGGGAGTCGCTCGAGGCGGCGCAGCAAGCATTCTCGACCATCAGCAACCCTGTAGAGCCCCAGTCACGGCCGCAGAACACCCAGCCTGAGGGTGACAGCGTCGCCGTCGTCGTGGTAGGAGGTCAACCCACTGCGGTTCATCCGTTCCCGCACCGCTCGCCTGCGATGGACAGGTTCCAGCGGCTGCACGCTTACTTGGAGTCTACGCTCGCGAATCCGCCGTCCCAGCCAGACCCGGCGGTCCTCTCGCGCCTGCAACTCAAGCTCGAACGGGCACGACTCGCCTTCATCGACCTCCTCGACACACCGCCCAAGGATGCCAAGCAGCGCGAGCAGCTAAACAAGGGTGCGCTCCTAAGCTCTGTACTGGTCGCGCAGGTCTCCCGAGCTGACGCGGCTTCGTTGCGACGTCCTCAAACACAGGCTCGTTCACCTACGTCGCGACCGGTTCGTCTTACCCTGCAGGGCCTGCGCTCGTCAAAGACATCCTTTTCCTCTCCGACTCGCTCAATGCGTCGGAAGAGCTGTGCGCGTCGCTCGTCGCCTACGGCATCAACGCGAAGCCTCGGAGCGGTCAAGGACGGGCGGAGAGCGGTCTCGTCGTCTGGCTCGACGAGCGTGCGTCGCTGTTGCTCTGCTTGCAGGCAATCTGGCGAGGAGCGCTGTCGGCGGACGAGCGCCTCGCGGCATCGGGGATACAGCGGGTGCTTGAGCGGGAAGTCGAGGAGTTGACGCGCGGACGAGGTGCGGAAGTGTCGCTTGGTGGAGCAGGAGGAGGTAAAGCGAAGGGCTCGTGGGTGGAGAAGCTCATCCGGTCACTCGACGAATGCAAGGCGCAGGCGGACAGGTTGCGCGCGTCCCTTCGTGGTCCCGCGCCTTCCGTCGGCGCTCTCGTCCCGGCGGGTCAGACGCCGTCGTTCCCCGACGAGGTGACTGAGATGCGTGTCCAGCGGTACGAGGAGGAGCGAAGATTGATCGGCCAGCTTCTCTTCCTCATCGGTGCCGGCCGCAACATGTCCAAGGACGACGTTCAGCTCCTCGTCCGCCAACTCTCCTCGACTCCCGTCACCGATGGAGCCGCCGTCTACGTCCTCGTCGCCCTCCTCGCCGCTCTCGACACCTCTACCGACGCCGCCGCCCAGCAAGCCTACCCCCTCTTCTCCGACTCCGCCTTCGTCTCGCGCATCAAGTCCGACCTCGCTTCGAACTGGACCGTCCCGCAACTCAAGGCCGTCGTCCAGCTGCAGTGGTCGATCTTCCTCGACACTGCCGCCCGCCATGCCCCCAACTTTGAAGCCGACGGAGGCGAGCTTGTCGACAGCTTGACCTGGCAGGCGGTGGATGCCGGCGTCTTCCCTTTCCTTGGCCGCTCCGTGCTCGCCTTCAAGCGGGATGAGGAGATGGCTGAGGTTTGGGGCGGTATCGGCGCGGATGTGCAGCCACTCGGCGGAGACGCGGTTGTCGACCCGTGGTTCCAGGACTACATCGTCGAGCAGGTCGAGTTGTTGGCGCTTGAGGTTATCTCCAACCGCATCTCGATCTTGCGAAAACTCCGCAATCGCGAGGAGGACGTCGTCTCGACCTCGCATCGCGGCGGCGGTCTGCGTGCATCTCGAGGCGTAGCCGACAGCCAGCCGCCGCAGCCTCGACACGACCTCGAAGCCTTCTTCCTCCTCGTGGCGACGATTTACCGGCACAACCCCGATGGCGGCCTCAAATTCTGGGAAGAGGAGACGACCGAGCCGTCGACGTCGGCAGTGGTGCACAACCCGATGGCGAGCCGACTGTCGGCATTCTTGCGATGGGGCAGCGAATGTCGACCGCCCGCGATGATGCGCGCGTACTACGAGATGGTCGCCGCTCTCGCGACCGGTCCTCGTAGCGCGACGTACGCTTTCGAGTTTCTCTCGGCCGGCGGCGCTCTCGACGGATCCTCGGCGCCCTCGTCGACATGTTCCTGGGCTGCACTCTTCGGCGCTCTCGAGTTCTACCTCAATAATCTTCCCGACCGACCACTCGAAGCGGGCCCGAACGCAGAGGGCGCCATGGGCGAGATGCCGCCCGAGGAAGTCCCGCTCCTCCGCTCGTTCGTCCGCCTCCTCCGCCAAGTCGTCGCCTTCTCCGACGTCGCACGCGCCACCCTCCACGACAACCAGCGCTACCGCCCCATCGTCACCCTCTTTGCCCTCACCGGTCGCTCGGTCCCCATCGATCTCAAGGCGACACTGCTCTACGCCATCGAGGCGTTCGCACGGCCAGGTGGATCGTTCGGTGTCGAGATCGCACGCAAGACGTGGGCAGCGCTCGAGCAGAGTCAGATCCTGCCGACTTGGGCGAGTGCGGAGGGTCGCGACGCGCGAAGTGGCGCAGGCTTTGCCAGCCGGTCGCCGTCGAAGCCGCTGATGCGCGGACCCGAGCCGTTGACGCTCGAGGGAGGGATCCTGACGGAGCTCGAGGAGGTCGAGGCGCCGAACCGGGTCTTCCCCGAGTCGACTGCGTTTGTCAAGCTACTCTGCACCCTCATGCATACGCCTTCGACTCTCGAGCCCATCCGCCGCGGCGTCGAGCTTGACATCCACACCATTCCCGACAACCTCGGTGCGCCCAATCGTGCGCCAGGCGTGGACCCGTACGTCAAGTTCGTCGTCGAGGATGTTCTGCTGAAGGCGGGCGAGCGGGAGTATGCCGATCCGAAGGAGCGATGGCGGGTCACCGACGTCTGCCTGGCCTTCGTCGAGCGATGCTTGGCGAGCTTCGACCTCGGGCCGTTCCTCGCATGGGTCGCGAACGGCGGACGCTCAACTGCGGCAGGCGGCCTGTCTCCCTTGCAGCACCTCGCTCAACACCCCGGCTTCGACATCCTCTCTCGCATCCTCGGCAGCACTCCCCTCCTCGAGACGATCCTCACAATCGTCACCGCCGGCTACGACTCGATTCGCAATAACCTCGCCGGGACGCCCCTCTTCACACGCTGCATGCTTCGCTGCCTCCGCATCATCCGCCGCACGCTCGACATCCAGGCGCCTTTCCTTGAGGTCGCTTTGCCAGCGCTCGCCGACAGCAACGTCCACATCCCGCAGGACAAGCTCGCGAGGCTTAAAACGCTTACGCCAGTCGACCAGTCCTTCCTCTACCACTCTGAAGTCATCGTCCAGATAGCCCTGCTGGTCGCATGCGAGGAGGATGACGAGATCGCCCTCCTCGCAGTCCAGATTCTCGCCATCGTCGCCGAGTCGCCCTTCTTCGATGTCCAGCAGCGGTTCCCGGAACAGTCGCGGACGAAGCTGAACCGCCTCGTTGGGCTGCTTCAAGCGTCACCCGAAACGTTGCGGATCCAGGAGGCGTTCGTCCAGCGGCTCGAGGAGGATGTGCCCGAATCGGAGCTCGAGTCTCCGGAGTGGGAGGGACCAGTCGGAGACGAGTCAATCGAGGAGGTCAAGGAGGAGAACCCGGGCGCATTGCGTCGTGCCATCCGCACCGCAATCCTCGACCTCTTGCTCGCCAACACACGACAAGAACGGACAGCGCCAAACGTCGCCCACCTTCTCCTCGGCTTCAATCTGCAGGGCAGGCCGGAGGAGATGGAGATTGATGACCCCGAGGCGGCCGACACGGTCAAGACGAGCTTGCATGTGATCCTCGACTTGTTGGCGCGGAACGTCTCTAGCGATGAGGGCGAACAGCAGGTGTGTTTGAGCGGCTCGTTAATTTTCCGCAGTCGCGCTGACCGAATCAATCTTTACAGGTCTCGCTCCTCGTCCGGCATCCTTCCCTCGCCTCGCAGTGTTACCGCCTCGTCCGCCAACTCTGCCTCCAGCCCTACACCTCCGCCGTCGTATCCCGCTACCTCCGCAACCGCGAGCAGTTCTTCCTCCGCCAAACCCTCGCCCTCCCCTTCTCCATCTCTCCCGCTTCGCAAGGTGCCATCGGCGGCGTCCAGTACGCGGACGGCAAGCAGGTTGTCTCGTCGTGCGCGGCCGTCTGCGCCGTCCTCCAGGCTGAGGGCTGGCTGCTCGACTCTTCGGCACTCGAGCTCAGCGTCCTCGCGACCGGCAACGACACTCGTCGCGCCGGTGAGCTCATCGCAGCACTCTTCGAGAACCCGAGCGCCATAGACGACGATGTTCCGGCGTTCCTTGAGCAGGACGGCGGTCTCGAGCAGGCCCTGCCACGCATGCTCGAGATCTTCCACTCCTTCGACTTTGCCTGGCACGACTCGATTGCGCCCAACGAGCACCGCCTGAACCTCTTCGCCGAGCTCCGCTTCGACTCGTGCCTCAAGCGGAACAGCACCGGCTGCGAGACGTACGACTTCGGCGCGCTTCTGGCGCTCCTTGGCGCGGCTCGTCGGGAACTGCAGAACCGTGGCCTGCTCAACACGCCGCAGCAGCAGGAGGAAGCGAAGAAGGTGACGCGCGCGATTGTCGAGACGCTCGTTGTGGAGAACCACCGCCGGGAAATCCAGTTTGCCCGCTACCAGGCCCTCAAGTCGTGGCGCAACCTTCTCGACATCGTCCTCACAAAGGCGTTCCACCTTCTGCCCGCCGATAGCCGACACTCCCTTCTCCTCGACCTCATGAACGCCATTCTCCCGCCTTTGGCCGCAAGCGAAGTCGACGCGTCGATCAGCGAGCTTCTCAGCGGTGCGGCGGTGCTTCTGGCGACGAAGCTGCGCGATGAAGGTCTCGGCATCCTCTTCGTCGAGTCTGGCGAGACCGTGCAATCGGTCCCTCCCGAGCGCCTGCATTCGATCCTGCGGGCGGTCCTGCAAGCGATCATCCAGCCTGGCGTCTCTCCCGTCGTTCGCGGGAACCTCTACGCCGTCCTCCTCAACTACATCCAGTACTCTGCCAAGGTCGCCGCTGTCTCTCCCGCTCTCGCACGCAACCTCGACGACGGCGCCAGCGTCGCTTCGAGCGCCAACGACGACCTCCTGTCCCTCGATGGCATGTCGACGCTGGGCAGCGCAACTGGCCGACGATCGAGCCGCCGCAACGTCCTCGAGCACGGCAACTTTGCCATCTTCGCTTCCGCACTCGAGCGACTGCTCCCGGTTGTCTGCCGCGACGCCGCCGTCGGGCACGAGGTATGGCGAACGGTCGCCTTCACGGTCCTCGACTCGCTTGCTGGCATTGCGGAACAGGCGCGCGCGACGAGCAAGGTCCTCGGGATCTTGACGAAGCAGGGGTGCCTCCAGAATTTTGTTGCGTCGCTCAAGGACGCCGAGGCAGACCTGCAGGCCACGCTTCAGCCCGACCCTCGTGAGTGCAGAAACGCTTCCTCTTGAACATGGGGAGCTGACGTCTCTCCTCTCAGCTTCGCTCAACGCGCTGTACGTCTATGAGGCGCAAATGTCCTTCCTCATCCGCCTCGCGTCGACTCGAGAAGGTGCCGAGAAGCTGCTTGGCGCAGAGCTGCTCAACCGCCTGGCCGATTGCGAGTACCTCGGTGCTCGTCCGCTTGCCGACGCGTCCGCCATGGGTACGTTCCGATCGACCTGGCCTGTCTCGCTTCCTGTTGACGATGTCGCCCGCAGACTTCGAAGGCTTCCTCCCGCCTGCGACCGAGCGACACCACCAGCTTCTCCTCCCCGCCCTTCAGCTCGTCGTCAACACGCTCGTCTCATTCGGTTCCGAAACCTCGGTCGCGACGCGCCAAGCACTCGCCTTCATTGCCGGCCAGCGCGAGAACCTCCTCATTGCGCTCAAGGACTGCGCGGCGAACCAGACGGTGTTGCTGTTGCGCGAGGCGCACCTCATCGTCACGTTGCTCAGCATTGTCCTCCCGACCGTGTCGGATGATGACCTGGTGCGTCTTCCGCGCAACCTTCATGGTCCAGTACTGACAGACCCGTCCGCAGACCACACTGTCATCCTTCGGCGGTCTCAACTCGGCGCTTCTCGCCCTGTCCGCCAAGGTCTGCGGTCCGCAAGACTGGGTCTCGCGCGTCCTGCCCAGCAACGACGTCGAACGCGACGAAGACCAGACGCTCGTCCTCTCGCTGCGGAACAACGGCACCGTCTTCAGCGACAAGGTCGACACGCTTGTCGAGTCGCTCGAGGCCGCGCTCTTGACGTACCAGAGCGTCTCGACGCGCAAGCGGGCAGGGACGAACGCCTTCCGTCCTGTTCTCCTCCCGACGCTCAAGTACGGCGAGAACAGCGCTTCGGGCCAGTCGCTCGGATCGATGGGCGCCTTCGTCCGCGATACGACGCAGGTCCTCGAAGCGCGCTTGCAGGAGCTTGACACGCTCGCTGACTTGCTCGACGGGTTTGAGGGCAAGCCGCTTGACGAGGTTGAGGAGATGTTTGAGTTCCCGAGGGAGGAGGACGAGAGTGAGGCCGACAGGAGAGGCAAGATTGGGCAGGAGTTGCAGGCGCTCCAGGCCAAGTGCCGTCTCAAGCTGCACTCGTCCCTCCGTGCGTTTGACGTATCTCTCACTCTCATCTGGCAGTATGCTGATGTGGCGACGCTCCCGCAGACCTCCTCGAACTCGCTCTCGCGCTCTACCACCTTCACGTCACCTTCTTCCTCGACCCGGAACGCGCCTCGCAAGACGGCACGGGCCGACCGGACGTCGGTCTCGGGCTCGCCGAGTCGCTCAAGGCGCGGCGCGACCCGAATGCGGCGCTTAGCATCAGCCAGTTCGACTTGCCGACGCTGCGGGAGGACTTGGCGGAGGACTTTGCGCGCGTTGCGGACAAGCTCACCGGCTTGCAGTTCGTGCGTACACCATCTATGTCCTTCTGTGTGTTCGCGCTGACTCTCGCTGCGCCTGCAGAGCCAGAAGAACGTCGGTTCGTCGTGGAGGCACCGCGAGGCGTACGTCGGCGTGGTGGTTCGGCGGTTGCAGGAGCTGCTCCGCCTCGGTGGCGCGGACAACGAGTAAAAGACTGCGCTTGTATTGACGTTGTGCAAGTAGTAGTTCTGCTTCGTGTCGACTGGAGCGAGATGTCACCTCAGCTTGGTCCGGGACGAGCGAGCGGGTCTGTCTGCGAACACTCGGTTCGACCGCACCGGCTGCTTCGCTCACAAGTTAGATCAGCTCACACTTAGCTCTTATACCGCCTATCCAACTCTCGTACCCGCCCGTTGCGCCGTTGTCGAGTGTCACCCCGACTCGCCTCTTCATCACCCCACCGACCACTCTCGCCCTTCACACACTCCAGAACCCGCCAGACTCGCACGCCATGGTCCCTATTCCAGTCTGGGAGCGCCCCGAAGTCAAGACCTACGACCCCGAGGCCAAGACGGACGGACCTTTGCCGACTGAGCTGCCTGAGACGGCACAGTCGTCGACCAACGTCAGCGGGCGGTGGTGGAAGACCGAGCACAAAGCGACTACGAGGGTGCAGTCGGGCAAGAAGGCGCCGCAGCAGCTGGATAAGGCGTGGAAGCAGCGCGAGGAGCGGAGGAAGCGCGATGAGGCGATCAAGAAGCTCGAGCGGTGCGTTCTGCTCGCTCAGGGTACTGTCTGACCGCCTACTGACCTCATTCGACACTCGCAGGGAACTGAAACAGGAGAAGGAAGACGAGGCGGACCGGAAGAAGCGCATCAACCTCGAGCGCCGCGAGAAGGAGGCCGAGAAGAAGCGGCTGGCAGAGATGGCTGCGAGGGTGCGTACTGCTGCTCAGTCAGCCCGCTGAGCCCGCGCTGATATCCGCTTCTCGTTTTCTGCGCAGATGAGCGCGAAGAAGCTTCAGCGGTCCGTTTCCTCCCTTCTCCTGGACTTGCTCTTGCGCTTCCGAACTCACAAGCCATGTACTCCCAGGATGAAGAAGCGTCTCGGCCGCAGCAAGAAGGTTAGCGGCTGAACTCGCCGTCCCTCCACTCTTCCTCTCTCTTCCCTCTCTTCGCATCTTTCCAGGCGCTTTCCTTGTTGTTCGGTCTTTCGGTCGGGCGTCTTGACATGCTGTAAAGTATCGCATTCGCATCGCGTCGAAGGGGTGTCGCAGCGAGAGTTGCACAAAATAATCCGGCCTTTCTATCTCCCCCCGCTCCGCTCTTGCCCGACCATGTCGCCGCGTCCCGCGCCACCTTGTCACATCCCAGCAGCCACCACTGTCCGCCCTACCACGCCGACATCGGCTGCGCCTGCTGAGCCGGCTGCCACAACCCGTTGTTCTGGTTCGTCGTACCTTGCTGCTGCGGCCAGCCCGCGACTTGCGATCCAGCCGGCATGGTCGACTGTGCAGTAGGGAAGGGGAACGCAGACTGAGGCGGCGATGTGGGCGAGCTAAGCGCGTCGATGGACGAGGCGAACGAGAGGAGGCTGTCGCCGACGCTTTCGAGACGAGCAGTCGCGATTGAGACGACACTTGTCGCTGCTGACTCGATGTCGGGAGTTTCGAGGTCGTCGGTCGGCGAGGCCGAGACGACAGGCGGGGTCGTCGGCGATGGGGACGAGGGGGACGAGGGAGACGAGTCGTCGGGCGAGAGGACGGCTGCGGCCCAGTCTTTCTGCGGGATTGGCATTGTTGCGAGGATGATGGCGACGATCAAGGCGAGGATGATGACTGCTCAGCAGACAAAGAAGGCAGAGAGAGGATTGTCAGCGAGAGTTCCTGGCCGATGTCGTTCTCTTCTCCAGCGACCTGCTCGACGCACCTGCCAGCAAAGCGACAATCCCCTTCTTCCTCCTGCTGACCCTATCCATCTCGTACTGCCTCGCAAACCCATACTCGAGGTCCTTCTCCGCCGCCATCTGCTCGCCCTGGATGTACCGGAACTTGCGCTCGTAAGCGTCTTCGTCCGGGTCGTCGAGCAGGCTTGCGCCGCCCGTGCGCTGCGGACGCATGCCGGAGATGAAGCCGTAGCGTGAGCCGAAGAAGGGGCGAGGAGCAGGCGCGGCGGGTTTCGTCGAGGAGGTCTTCTTCGACTTCTTCGTCTTCTTGCTCTTCTTGCTCGAGGTGAGGCGTGGCTGTAGAGTGCAGAAGTCAGTGCCAGCCTAGTATAGTGGGCAAGGGGAAGAGACGCGCGTCGTTGAGGTTAATCACCCTCCTGCGCTGACTGCGTCCCGTCATCTCGTTGACGATGTCGTCGTCGAAGACGTCGTGGAAGAAAGCCATGTTGTCGCGGGTGAGGGCTTCGAGCTCGGTGAACGGGTCTGCGTAGGAGAAAAGCGGAAAGTGAGTCAGCGTCGACCTTCGCAGGCAGCCGGACTGGCGAAGCGCTTACTTTGCAGGGCGAAGAGACCGGCGTAGGACCTAAGGAGAGATTTCAGCTCAACGAGGCGCCCTCGGATGATTGGAGATGATGGCAGGATGTCGTGGGCGGGCAAGAGGACAAGGGCGAACGGAGAACGCACGTGACGCTGTTCTTGACAATGCCGTCGGCAGCCCCCATCTCGGAGGCGCGCAACAAGCCGACGATATCTGCGTCCTTGATACCCGGCTCGCGGTGGCGGATGTGGCGGCACATCCAGATCCTGGTGCGCTCGCGGCGGAAGCGTTCCTTTTCGGCTCCTTCGCGGATCCTGAGGTGCAAAGATGTCAGTCGAGAGATGCGAGAGAAGTGCACAATCCGTCTCGAAGGCAGACGGAGAACGCACCTCTCCATTGCTTCGCGGAAGTCCTGCATCGCGCTCGAGACGTGGTACTTGATCTCGTCCACCTCGGCCTGGGTCTCGGACAACTTGCCCTGCTTGACGAGACTCTCGACGTCGTAGCTCCAATCGCTGAGCTGCATGAGCCAGGTCTCGAGACTGACGATCCCTTTGCCCGTCTGGGTCGTGAGGGCGGCGAGGGCGTCGAGGTCCGCGCGAAGCGAGACTTGGCCGACGTCGACTTTCGGGTCGAGCTTGACAATCTTGTTGCGGAGGCCGACGATCTGCGAGGAAGAAACGCTTTAGCGGTCGAAGGTAAAGCGAGACCCGGAACAGCTTCACTGACCTCGTCAATGTCGTTCTCGAGGGCGTCGATGGCATGCGTCAAATCGCAGAGCTGTGACAGAGCCCGTATCAGCGTCAATATGGACCAGACGACGGACGCGATACGCACCTGCGCCATGAACGACTCCATGTCGGGCGTGGGCTTGAAGTTCTTGTCGTCCTCCTGCACCTGCTGCTTGCTCTGACGACCGTCTCGCCACAGAGCACGATCGGCAGCCGCATCGGGGCCGGACTGCTTTGACGGACCGCTGAGCGAGTCGTGGCTAGAAGGAGGACTTAGGTCGATAAGCGGTTCTTGGTGCTCGTCGTCTGAGAGATTTCCCGACGACTGTGCCGCCTTGTTCGTCGTCGGAACAGACGAAAGCGATTGACGTCTCGCTCGTCCTGCGGTACCGAAAACTTGGGACGACGGCGCCGAAGACGCAGAGAGCGAGGCCGACCGTCCGCGCGACCGCGACGTCGACGTCCTCGCCAGTGGTGGGTCGTAGAGGTCGTGACCGTCCATACTGATCGAGTACTGATGCTGGAACGGAGGAAGAAGCAGAGAAGGAGGAGAAAGGAGAGGGCGAAGAGCCGGACAATCCGCGGATCCGCAAAGTCCACGGACCTTCCCTTGCACCCGGCCTGTCGACGAGGGATGGCGAAGCAGGCAGAAAGAGTGACGAAAAATGGAGCGGAAGGCGGCTTACTGGGGCTGAGAGCAAGGCGGATCCCAAGCGGATCCTAAAGCGCGGCGGCGAGTGTACGTCTCGAGTGTCGTCGAAGTGACGGATCCTACTGCGGCAAGCAGACGCCGGCGACGATGCGAACGGATAGCAATGTTACAGCAACAACAGTACTGATCGTGAGTAGGACATGGTACAGGTCGGACGATCTTGGGGCGGAAAGGCGAGGACACGTCTCTACTGGCCACCCAGAATGAGCTGCAGAGGCGGCGAGAGTCAGTGAGGCTCAACGATGAAGTTGCGGGGAACACACCGATCGCAAGTCCCACAACCACCGTGTCTGCTCCGCCGACATCCAGCCCTTCATCTCCCGCCGACACCGCTCGGCCGCCTGCTGACTCTCCCTCAGCAGCTGCCTCTTCGTCGACTTCATGCGCGTCTTGCCATCAGTCACTCCATCCTCCTCGTCACCCTCGCTGCCCTCCTCGAGCGCAAAGCTCGCGCGGTTCTTGAGCATACGCTCCCGTTCGCCGAGCTCCCAGCCGTCCAGCTCGCTCGTCGCGCCGTGCTCCTCGTCGTCCGCAACCTCACCGCCGGATGTTAGGCCCCAATCGATCTCGAGCTCGTCCTCAGCGTCAGGACCGGCGATGGCGTGCCATGAGCAGGTCGCAGGATCGAAGACCATGTCGCCGACAACCTTGGCGGTCCCGCGAGAGGCGTTGACGGCTGCACCAGGAGGGAGGTGTGCTGCGGATGGACCCGTCGCTGCCGCTTGACCGGGAGCGACGGCGGGCGTTGGCCCGAACTGGCCGCGGGCAGGCGAGCCGAGGGCAGACGAGAACGGCGAGATAAGGGCGGGTCGAGTCGAGGTAGCCAGAGCCTTGTCGAATTCGCGGAGGATGGCCTCGTTGCCTTCCCACCGGTGCAACAGCGGGTTGTAGGTCATCTCGCCTTGGACTGCACAACTCGAAACATCAGTCACCGAGTCGCGAAGAGATGTAGCAGGCTGAACGCACCTTTGACCGCACTGACTCCGCCGAGATGCCGAATCAAGTGAGGTTCTCGCCGCTTCTTGACCTTCTTCTTCTCCGGCTCAGTCCGCTTCGGCTTCGCTTGAGCGCTCTCTACGCTGAGGCGACCCTTGATGCCGGCGGGAGCAGCAGCCTTTGCGGCGGCAGCAATGTTCGAACCCTCTTTCTTGCCCCAGCTGCCACCTCGAACCGTCGCCGTGCTCGCCCCGCTACTCTTGCGCGATGAAGGGAGGATCGCTCGTTCCCGCTCGCGCTCCTTCGAGACAGGCAAGTCATCGAATGCATCGAGCTCGGTGCCGTCGCCGTACTCGGGCGGAACCTTCCGCGCGGAGTTGAGCGGTCGAGAGAGCACGACCGACGCTGACGGCAGTTGGATGCCGGTGACGAAGGCTGACGTAGTCGGCAAACGTGGAGACGGCGACAGGGACGGTTTGATCGGAGAGGATGGTCGGGAAATCGTGCGAGTCTTTGAGGCGGAGGCAACGGTCGGGCGCAAGAGGCGATCCGAGGTGGAGGAAGCGATGGGCGGACGGGCGGGCGTGGCGCTTGTGAGAGGCGCAGGATTCGAGTTCACGCGTTCTCGCACCCTCGAAGCGGAGGCAGCAGTGGGTGCGGCGAAAGAAGGCAGTCGGCCGCCGCCGGGCGATGGCGAGCGCAGAGAGTTTTGCCGCGAGCGCGGTCGAGTCGCGGAAGAAGGCGGCGGGAACGAGCCTTGCGCGGGCGAAGGAGACGGTGCAAGGTTCTGCAGCGACCGCTTGCGCTCGATGGTGCGAGGTGCCGATGGCGTCGCGAGCAGGTTCTGCTGGCTCCGCTTCGTGCGAAGAGTCGGACGAGCAGCACTGGCCGGCGTAATAGGCGTGGTGGGAATCGGCGAGAGGCTGCTCTTCGAGGTGGACGTCGAAGCCGGAGGCGGCATGTCCAGCCTGGACGGACGAGCTCGACTCGTGCTCGCACCGGTGCGGAGATCTGATGTCGAGCTGACCGTCCGCAGACTGGACGTGCGAGCGCGAGGACGGCCTCGACTAGCGGCAGATGGCGCAGGAGGTGGTCCTCGCCGTCGAGTCGTGCTGGCTTCGGTGGAGTGGGAGGAAGCCGCTGAGGGCGGGCGCTCGATGCCATGCGACAATGCCGGTCGGACCGGCTGAGGTATCGACGAGCCCTTCGCTGCGGAGGACATGGGAAGAATGGACGACCGAGTTCCGCCTGGTCCGACGGTTCCCGTTGTCGAGCTCCTTCCCGGCGGCGGCACCTTCCGCAAACCCGGCATGGAAGGCACCTTTCCCTCGCTCATCGTCCGTCGCAGTCCGGCAATCCTGCTCCTCGCCTCTCGCGCCTCCTTCGCAAGTTGCGCCTCCTTCGCCCTCGCCCCGCTAATCGTGCGCATTCGTTCCCGCATCTGCTGCGCGCTCCACGCCGCATCGTCCTCGGCGGACTCGTGCCGCAGCTCATGCGCAAGATCAGCACCGTCGTGCTCCTCCGGCTCGCGATGGCGGTGAAGCCGCTCCTGCTCGTCAGGCGACGTTGGCGTCGTCGCCGGCGCATGTAAGAGCAAGCCGCGACCGCCTCGCTCCTCGAGCTTGGCGCGCAAGATAGACTGCAAGTCGACCTTCTTTGCCGAGGACGGGTGGTCCGAGTCGGGCTCGCCTTCGCTTGTCGGAGGTGTGAAGACGGCGGAACGACGCTCGTCGCCGAGAAAGTACGAGGGCAAAACGAGGTCGTTGAAGAAGTCGGCGTCATCTTCGGCAGCCGAAGATGGACCGTCGTCGTCGTCGGTCGTGGAGCGAGACGGGGTGAGCGGGCCAGGCGACGAAGGCGCGGAGGATCCGGTTGTGAGGGCGGGGTTGACTGTCGGGACGGACAGTGTGGGCGTGACGGGCGTATGAGGGGGAGGAGGGAGGGATGCGGCTTGCGGAACGGGGGAGAGCGATGCCGGCGACTCGTGCACGTCTGACCGCAAACTCGCCGAGCTCGTGCGGTTGATGAGCATCAGATTTGGCGAGAGCTTGAACTGCGAGAGCGTGTCGGGAATGTCGAAGTCGTCCTCGCCGTTGTCCTCGGCATCGGTGAAGGAGGCGATGGAAATGCGCCGCTTGGCCGAATGGTCCGGCAAACTGCCAAGCTCGTCATCCTCGTCGTCGAGGCTGATGTGACTCGCAAAGCTGCCCTTCTTCGAGACGACCTTGAGCCCATTGCCGGCGCTCTGACCGGGGCTGCCGAGACCTAACGCATCGAGACCCTCAAGGTCCTCGTCCCAGTCCCCGTCGTCCACTGAGCGCGCCTGGCCGTACGGCGTCGAACCGAGGTGGTGTACACGTCCCCGCCCGGTGCGTGAAGAGGCGGAAAGAAGGAGGGAGAGAGGCGAAGAACCGCGCATCGTGGCCGTCTTGTTCATCCGGGGCGTCGCGTCGAGCGATCTGTCGAGATCCGCCTCTCGTGCAGGCGAGGTGGGGACATCATGCGACATGGTCGCCTCGGCATCAAGCGACAGCCCCTCCATCAGGCCTTTCAATGTGCCCGTAGTCGTGTTCGTCCGACTCGAGTCCATCGACGAGGCGTTCTCGTCCTCCCGAGTTGGCGGCATCTCCCGTCGCCACTCTTCGTCGAGCTGATCGAATAGGTCCTGCGGGTCGTCGAGGAAGCCGCGCGCGTCGGTGGACGAGGCCTCAGAGTCGGAAGGCGGCGAGAGGGAGAAAGACGGGTCGGGAGGAGGGGCGAGAAGAGAGCCTGAGGGGATCTCGAGATCGTCGTCGGCATCCCAGGACTCGCTCTCTTCAGCGTAGGCGCTCAGAGGGAGCATGGTGGAGGGTTGTCGAAGTTTGGTCGAGCGCGGAGAGGAGGTTCGAGAGGTGGGTTGGCGGGAGAAGCTGGCAAGATGGGCGGATGGCAGGAGCAAGTCGGTTTGTGACGAGTTCCGCAGTCTTCTGCATCGCACGACGGCGCATCGACCTTGTCAACAAGGCAGCGAGCGACAGCAAACAGCAGGTGGGGAGATACGCACCTGGTCGGCCGTTTGGAGGGGTCAGATGCGCTATCCGGGCGGGCGCAGAGATGAAGTAGCTGACAGTCACCAACCCAGCGCAGTCAAGCAGCGGCGAACGTCGACGGCGAGGTTGCCACGCCTCATAACAAGGCGAGGAGTGATGAAGTCGAGGAAGGGGTTCGAGCGACGCCTTGTCGTCGTGGCGGGTCGTCCAGCGCTCTGGATACTCTCAGAAGGCGCTAGAGCGCGTCCCAGTCAGCCACAGAGCGAGGGGGCGCCGGACGCAGCAAAAGAGGAGGTCAAGAGGAAGACGAGAAAGTGAACGAGGTGTAGTGGGCTCTCGACAGCTTCGTGGGTCGTATTGTACCTCCAGTGATCTAGCTGACAGTCTCGTACATACATAGGCTAGCCGAGACGGGCCCGTGAGGGATGAGAGCCAGAGCAGCTTACTCCATCGTCGGCGACAAGCCGAGGACTGTCTCCAGTTGCACGACCTGACAGTCCACGCGCCCTTGCCCTACACGGACATTGCGGGCTGCAGCCCAGCCGTTCCCGCCGACTGAACGCCCGCGAGACTGACGAGCACGACCTCATCCGCCTCCTCTTCGTCATCTTCCACGACCTGCGTGTCCTCCATCGCGCCTCCTTCAGCCAAGTCGAGCTGAGTATCGGCCCCCCTGTCGACGTCCTGGCTACCGGACACCGACACACTGACGAGCGACTCCTCGAGACCGTCTCCAAGACTCTTCGGGCTAGGCGGACCGGCGGACTCGACGCGTTCCATCTTGACTGGAGCCGGAGGAGCGAGCGAGGCAGTGGAGGGGGCGGAGAAGGACCGATGCAGGTAGAGGCGGAGGTGCTGTTCGATGAGGTCGGCGGCGCGTTCGCGGTCGGCGGGCGAGAGGACGGCCAGCTTGAACGTCGCGCGCTGCGGGTCACGACGGTCAGCTTGAGCATACAAGAGGATGTCGCAGTGAAGCGCACCATGGCGAAAGCGACGCCGCGAGTCGTAAAGGAGAAGACGTCGCGGAACTCGGGGTGCGCTTTGCCGCAGCCGAGGGCGGTCATGCGGTTAAGCGTGAGCTTTTTGACCGTCTGTGAGCACTAGTGAGGAGATCAGCGAATGCTTCGCAATGGACCGAGGCATCCAGGAAAGGCGGGACTCGCGTTCTTGTTCCTCGTCTCGACGGCTCCGCCGCCGCCCTCTGCAGCTTCGCCCTCTCCCACACCGGGCAGCGCCGTTCCCTCCCTTTCGGCCCTCGGCTTCGCTTCAGCCTTCTTCTGCCCGACAGCCTTGCCCATCGCAAACTGCCCAACCGGCAAACTCGAGCTTCTCGCCAGTCCCCTCGCCGCACCCGTACTCCTTGCCTTACTCGCACCGGCACCGAAACTCCGCAACTCCGCCACTGCGTCCATTCCCTCGCCGACGAAGTCTCCTTCCTCGTCGAGGTCGCCAAACGCGCTGGCAACGCTCGGAGTTGGGCTAGGCGCACGACTTGTGTGTCGTCCGTGCCGAGGGTCGAGTAAGAGAGAGTCTTCGTCCTCTGAGACGGGAGGAGAGTCGAGCAGCATGGAAGAACGGGAGGCGGTGCGCTGAAAGAGACCGGCGGAAGGACCGGCTGTCGAGCCTCGCCGGGCTGATGCGGCAGCGGAAGGCGGGAGTGACGATTGACGTCCGAGGGCAAGGTCCCGAGTGGGACCGATGAAGGGGAGACGCTGGTATGAGGTCGAGCGGCCGAATACGCGAGAAGTGGGAGGTGCAGGCGGAGGAAAAGCGATGTTGGGCGGCTGTGAGGAGGTTGCGCGGACCCTCCGCGACAGAGGTACAGGCTCGCCCTTCGCGCTAAGGAGGGAGGCGATCGCTTTGTCTTTCGCGCTCTGGCGGCGAGGCTTTTTGGTGGGAGGTGTCGGCTCGGTAGTGACGGGAGCGGGCAGAGAGGCGGTCTTGCGTAGTCGCTTGGCAAAGATATTCTCTGAGAGATAAGAGGTTCATCAGTTTCGCACGTCAAAGTGGAAGACGCGCCAGCATACCGCGAGGAGCCGGATCATCTGGACGAGGTCGACGCAAAGTCGCGCGCGCTTGCCGACCGAGAAGAAGCGTGAGAGGCGGACGAGACGGTGCAGTCGAGGTCGATGCCGTGGGATCGACGTTCTCCTGGTCCGCTGCGATGTCGGGATAGGCCGCGAACAGAATGACCTCCTCGCCTGTCGTTCGCAACACGGGTCAGTGAACGAACGCTGCCAGATGAGGACTGCCGGCATACCTCCTGCATCGACCCGGATGCCGCACCCCTCGCTGCCTTCGCGACAGAACTTGTCCTCCAACCAGTCCACCGTCTCAGGACACCGCTCGTCAATGTACACCCGCACGTCTGTCGGCGTCTCGACCTCGATTATCTGTACCTCTTCCTCCTTCGCCTTCCCCTTTCCTTTCTTTCCTCCTGACGAAGGAAGCTTCCGCTCTGCAACGGGCGACTCGCCTTTCCGCCGAACCTTGACTTCGCCCTTGATCGTGATCGGCGCGCCGCGCAGCATCTCGAGACCGAGGCACATGTCTGCTCCAGATGCGATAGAAGATGTCGAGGAGGAGAAGGGGTCGTCGAAAGGCGAAACGGAGGACGAAGCGAGAGAAGGGGAGAAGGAGGACGAGACGGTGAAGAGGTGTGCGATGAAGGCGACACCTAAGCGCGTAAGATCTCGTCAGCTCGTTCATTAGAGCTCTCTGAACGTCTTGCGCGCGCTCACCGTGCAAAGGGAGCCCGTACTCGCTCATCACCTTGCCCCTCCAGAGCAAGCGACAACCCGCTGGATTCGCGGGTATCCCTCCGCCCGACGTCCCGCCGCTCGCGCCCGACGTGTCTTTGCGCATCAATGGAGGTCTCTGAGCGGTCACTTCGGCCGAGGAAGCTGTTGCTGACGAGATGTCGTCGTGTGATGTCGTGGTGGGGGAGGGAAACGACGACTGAGGCTCAGGATGGCTTGCGAGCGGTACTGGCACACTCGCAGCGAGCACCTCCGTCATCCTGAGCGCGTCAAGCAGCCAAGCGAGCTGTGACCTGAGCGGTTGATGTCAATCCGCTCGAAGCTCAGCATCTCTCGCCAAAACCATCGCTGTCCTCGCTACGACAGCGCTCTGACTGGCTGAGACTGCTCGACATGGACAGAGAGTACTCCAGCAACCCGGATCGCGGCTCACGCGGGCGCGGCAGGGGCGGTGATCGCGGCGGACGGGGAGGTTCTTCTGGACGAGGTCGAGGAGGGAGTCGGGCGAGTCAAGGCGAGCCTGGATCGGTGCCGACCGGTGTGTCACTAATTGAGCTCTCAGGGATCATGTACGGGCGAACAGGCAGACTGACAGTGTCATTGCTCGCAGGATCCGTCTCGAAACTGAAGGCGCAGTTGAGGCAGACGAAGCGGTTGCTGGCGAGGGTGCGTGCGACTCTCTTCAAGCTGTGTCAATGCTTGCTGACATCCTGTACCGCGTGCAGGACGACTTGAATCCGGACGTACGCGTGACGAGCGAACGACGGCTAGTCGTCCTCGAGGAGGAGCTCGCCAAGGCTGAACAGTCGAACAAGGAGAAGAAGATGGTGCAGCGGTACCGCGGTGTCAAGTTCTTTGGTGCGCCTGTGCTCTCCTTCGTGCTGAGACTCTAGCTGACGTACGGTTCTCCTCTCGTAGAACGCCAGAAACTCCTTCGCAAGATCAAGCAAGCGAAGAAGCAGCTCGAACCTTTGCCGGGTAATGCAGACGTTGAGAAGACTCTGCTCGAAGCGCGGATCGACTTGTACTACGTTCTCGTGCGCTCCGTCCGCCCAATCTCCTCCATTCGCTCGCTCACTGCGTTCTTGTCGCCTTGCAGCGCTACCCCAAGACCGAGAAGTACATCGCCCTCTTCCCCGACGGTACCTTTGTCCCCCACACCTCCTCCATCCCCTCCGACGCCTCGCCCTCCGAGCAAAAACGCCAGACTTTGCGGCAGCAGATCCGGAGACAGATCGAGAAGGGCGAGTTGAGTCCTGCGGCGGAGGCTGGGGATCTGGGGATTGAGGGTGAGGAGGATGTGGGCGCTGGAGCGGGCAAGAGGGCGAGGAGTGAGGAGCAGGAGGAGGAGGAGCGGGATGAGGAAATTGATCTGGACGAGGCGGACGAGGAGGAGGAGCGACCTGCGAAGAAGCAGAAGAGCTTGCAGGCGGAAGAGGCGGTTGAGGAGGCGGAGGACGAGGCGCCTGATGCGGGACAGGCGGCCCCGAAGAAGCTGAACCGAAAACAGCGGAAGGAGCTCAAGCGGGCGAAGGAGGCGGGAGCAGCGGAACCAGCGCAGACAGCTTCGCCAGTACGGCCAGCTGAGAAGACGTCGTCGAAGAGCGGACGGACAGGCGGGTCATCGGCAAAGGAGGCGAAGGAGGCGAAGAACCTGGCTGAAGAAGACGACTTCTTTGCGTGAGGTACTGCTTGCACTGCATATCTACATACTTAATAGGTGTCTCTTCAGCCGAGAAGAGCCTCTACGCCTTCGCAACCCGCCGCCATTCCCATCGCAAGCCCGGCAAACAGCACAACGCCTCCGAAGCGACCGTCTGCCGCGCCGTATGCGGTGCGTTTCGATGCGCCCGCGAACGGATGCGAGATGAGAGCGGATGAGATCGGCGCGCACAGGACGGCGCCGAGACCGCGAGTGAAAGAGAGCGTCGAGAAAAGGTGCGAGGCGAGAGAGGGGTCGTCGCCTACGGGAGAGGCGCCATCAGCGTGAGTCAGTGGGAACATCCATGTTGCCTCACGAACGACGCTGTTGATGATTGCCGAGTACATGGATGTCCAGCCGCCGGATGCCAGGCCCATCACGACGGAGAAGACGAGGAGAGGAGCGAGCGACGTCGCTGTGCAACGGAAGTCAGTTTTCAGTGCTACCCCGCGACAAGACGTACGTACCGGCCACCCCCCAGAGCACGAGGACGGCGACAGACGATGCGAGCATCGTTGCGAGTCCCAGGCGATGCGGCGAGTGCTTGTCCGACAGGATGCCCATTCCAACGCGGGACAAGACACATGCCCCTGCGTGAAGAACGAGTCAGGTTAGCACTCACGGTCGAACCTGTCGATGTGAGCGTACCATTGACGCAGGCAAGAAGTGCGGAGCCTTCTGAGCCGGATAAACCGAGCGACTGCGAGAAGCAGTCGTGAGCAGCGGGCGCTATCAGAGACTGGGGGACGACATACTGTCGCATACGTCGGCAGGTAGAGAAGCGTGATGAAGTAGCCGAAAGCTTGGCCGACTGTCGAGGAGGGTCAGCGAAATCGAAGCGAGAAGCGAGGGAAAAAGACTTGCTGTTGGCCACGAGGAACACCCAAAGCTTGAGGTTCTTGGCCATGTTCTTCAGCGTCACTCTCTCCTGCTGTACGGCAGGCCGCTCTGCGACCTGATCCGCTGCTTCGGCCTCGTCAACGTCGTCCTCCTTCTTCTGCTTCTCAGCGAGGTTTTTTGGCGGCAAAGGTAGACGAGGGCGGACAAGCGGCACCGCTGCTCCGAGGAGGATGGAGGTCGACACGGCCTGGAAAGCGCGAGAAATGGGTCAATCCGAGGACCAGATTGAGAAGGGAGTGCAACACACCAGCGCGCGTAACGTCAATGCCGCCCCGTACCGCTCAAGTAGCGCGTTCAGGATGAACGGTAGGACAAGTCCGCCTGCTGCGGTGCCGGCGAAGCAAACTCCATTCGCGAACCCTCGTCGCTCGACGAACCATTCTTGCAAGAAGTAGAAGGTCGAGTAGTCTGTACAGCAAGGGGTTGTTAGTTGAGTGCGAGCTTGAAGCCTCCGGGAAGTAAGCGCACACGCCATCGAACCGCCAATCGAGTACAGCAAGCCTTGGGTGAGCAGAAGCTGCCAGCTCTGCGCGAGAGCAAGAGGGCTTAGCGTTCGCATCAAGAGCGCGTGTAGCTGCGGCGCCAGGTGCAGTGCTCACCTCGCGTGCGAACGAGCTTAGCAGGAGCGAAAGTGAGCATAGCACGGCGCCCAGTCGGATGACATGCAGGCGCCAGCGGGGTCGTGGGTTGAGCAGGATCGAGATGGGCGGACCAAGAAGGTCTGCGCGACCACGAGGATCAGCGCCGCAAAGCCAACGAAGCAGCACCCGGCGCACAGATAAAGCCAGAGGCGACTGTTCCCACGAGGGGGAGGAGGCTGCTCCCGGCATGACGCCCGTTGATCCCCTCTCGCTGGTAATAGTCCAGGAAGACACCGTAGCACGACGGCAGTCCCCAGACGAGGGTTTCGACTGTGCAGCCTCGATCAGCCTGCGAGTCAAGGGGATGTGGGGAGGAGAGGCGTACTGGAGAAAGCGCCCAGGAGGAAGAGGTACGCTGCTTTGCCTCGATCAGGCTGCGCTAGTTGCGTCTGTCGGCGCTCGTCTGGCCGGGAAGGAGGGTAGTCGTGTTGAGCCAAGTCGACTGATGAGGATGGAGGAGGGGGAGATGACGAGCGAGAGGAGCTTGGAGAGGGCCGCGCCGGTTCAGTCGGTGTTGTAGCAGTGCTAGAAAGCGTCTCTGTGCTCATCTGAGCCATCATGCGAGCTGTGAGGACGCGAAGTGAAGCGTTCGAGCGGAAGAGACGGTTCGCTCTCTCCCGCATCGTCATGGCAGAGAAGTACAGCCGATGGAGGGTGGGCAAAACCACATACACCTCGCAATGCCCCGCCGCTAACTTGGACGCACGCAGGACCCGGCGACGGGCGTCCAACCCTTCCTCACGCCGCTGCCTGCCTCGACAGAATCGCTCCCGCCGCTCGTACAGGTCGTGACGCTGCCGTTTGCGGCTGTACTAGGAGGCCTGAGGACGCTGCTGGTCGTCCTGCTCCTTCTTGCTCAGACGGTGCTCGTTGAGGGGATTTACGGACTTCTCGTGCGTCTCCCTTTCACCTGTTCTCCCCCATATCCAAGCTGACCGACTTCATTCCAGCGAGTCCTTCCTCCCGTACATGCGCCCCTGACAAGGGCGGCGAATGCCGGCATCGCAAGGCTGATCCTGGCTGTCCTGGGCGTTCTCTGGGTCAACGTCGAGACTGTCCAGCTGCGCAAGACCGGGTAAGGTCTCTGACGCCTCACGCCGGGACGCTCAAAACTGACACCGTCGATGATCGGACAGGCGCTCGCCCCCCAAGATCCCCTTCGACCCGAAAAAGGGCGACCTTATCGTCGCAAACTCGTCGTCTTACGTCGACCTGCTCTATCTGGCGTTCCGGTTCGTTCAGTTGTTCCATTTGATGCGAGAAGGCCGATGTGCTCACGCTTGCCTCGCTCGAGAAGCTACAATGCCTCGTTCATCCTCCCCGTCTCTTCCGCCCAAGGCAAGGTTGTCGGTTGGCGTCGCGTCGGCTTGCTTGCGGCTGCCTGGGCGACAGGATCTCTGCCTCAGCCGCAAGAAGGAGCTGAGAGCCTGAGCGACGCGCTGACGAACGCACCTGGGCCTGTAGTGCTTTTCCCCGAGGTGCGCTACAAGCAGACTGACGAGACGAGCACCGCTAACGATAATGCATTCAGTGCACAACGTCAAACAACCGCGCGCTGCTCAAGGTCCCGGACTTGGCCGCGCCGACCAAGGGCTCGAAGGGCAGTCTCCCTCGCATCTTCGTACTTGCTTTCAAGTAAGTCTCGTCAGCAACTCGGCAACCGACATTCACTGACATTCGCGCCCTGGCAGGTACCCTCAACCGACCCGCCTCGCACCCTCACTCACCTACCCGATCCCCTCATCCTCCTTTATCCGCCTCCCCCTCGCACACATCTACTCGCTCACGTCCCGCCTCACGCCTTACACCTTCACCGTGCGCCGGCTGCACCCCTCCGAATCGCCGACGAGCTGGGACAACCTTGGCGAGACGCTCGCGCAGACGGCGAGGCTGAAGAAGGTGGTTGGGCTTGGGTGGGTCGAGAAGGGCGCGTTCCTCGAGTTTCGGCGAGTCAAGGGGCGGTAGAAGCTTTAGCCAGTCGTCTGGGAATTGTGAAGCATGCACAATGCAAGTTCCAGGATAGTGAGAGAAGGGAAAGAACGGTACAACACGGTCGACGAAAGGACAGAGACTTCGAGAGAAGATACGGCGACTATACACACGGGCCTCTTCAGGACTGCCCACTCTGCTGCTGCGCCTGACCCTCCTGCGCATTCGACGATGACCCAGCCGGACTCGCGAGCTCGACAATCAGTCTAACCGCGCACTCGAGGAAGAGGTAAGGGCTCGAGACTTCGGCCGCCGTTCTCCGCTTTGGCTTGACGCCTCCCATCGCGGCTGCAATCGCTGTTGCGGCGGCCGAGTTGGGTGTGGTCGAGAGCTCGCCGGCTTTGCGGTTGCCGATAAGCTCGGGGTGTCGCGCGCGCAGCTCGTCGGCCGTGTTGGGCGGAAGGGACGAGCTGAGTGGGGTCGACGTTCCCGCTGCTGCGGCAGTCGCGACAGCGTTGAGAGCGGCGGACGAGTGCTGAGGCGGAAGCTCAATCGTGCCGGTTGGGAGGTAAGGCGACGTGAGCGTTGAAGTTGTGGGGGAGACTTCCCGCGAGCCTGTTCGCGGCGCACTCGCTGACGAGGCGGCAGACGAGGCGGGGAAAGTCGCCGAGTGCGCGGCTGAAGGCGAGCGGATTGGTCGGTAGCCGAGGTTGCGGAAGTCGACGAGGTAGTTCTGGTCGTCGATTCGGTACAGCTGGAGGTCCATGCGAACCTGCGTGCGCGCGTTACTTCAAGTTAGCAAGGTTCGCCCGAAGGGGAAGTGTGCAAACAAGGATAAGGGCGACCACGCACCATGACATCGTCCATCCTGCACCTCGTCTCGACAAAGTAGAGCTCGTGCGCCTTCTTGACGCGCTCCTCCTCCTCCCTCCTCCGCCTCCTCTTCTCGCTCTCCTCACCCCCACTCCTCTCCCTCTCGCGACCCTCCTTGCCCTCCTTCCCATCCTTCCCACCCCCATTCCCACCCTCCTCATTCTCCTTCTCCTCATCCCCCTTCCTCACCCTCCACTCCATCTTCAGCGCCTTAAGCGTCCGATAAATCTCGAGCATGACCTCCATCGGCTCGCTCCTCGACCTGATTCCGAAATGCCACCGCTGTCGCAGGCGCTTGGTAGTCGTCTGCGCAGGTTTCTCAGGTGGCGGAGGGGCGTTCGAGGGGGAAGTCGAGTTCTGCGCGCCGGCCGCGGCGGTGGGCGTGAGTGGCTGCGCGACGTTGCGCAGGGGCGAGTTGAAGCGGTGGAGGAGAGGTCGGCCCGGACCGGCTGTGAGCGCTGCGAGTTCGGGGTCGTCGAGCGGGCGGCGGAGGGAAGACTCGAGAACCCGGATCGTCGTGGGCTGCGCGGCTTCGCGCAGGTCGGTCGATGTGTTGCGGGGAGAGTCGCCAGCGGTATTCGAGTCTGTCGCGGTCTTCTTGCGGTGCAGCGTGGGCTGGCGAGCACGGGGCTGTGCGGGAGAGAGCTGTCAGTGCCGTTCGGTGTCGAGGCGAGAGACAAGTAGACTCGCGTCGCCTGGCGGAGAGTAGAAGGTCTGGATCGCTTCGGCGTCGTCGTAGTGCGCTGTGAGATGCACACAATCCAATCAGCCTGCTGCACCACGTTGTGTCGAGCGCGACACGACGCAGACGGCGAGAGAAACGACGCGACTCACAACCCTCGACCATCCGCTTGTTGTCCCGACAGAGCTGATACGCAATCCTCAACTCTCGGTCCCCTCCCTCCTTCAACTTTGCCCAAACCTCCTCGCTCGTGAGCTCCGGAATCTTGCCACACAAATCGTCGACAATCTCCTGATCGACAACGCCCAACCCCTCAACCCACTCGCGACGCCGCTGGTGGTCTCCTACGGGTGTCGAGCCGAGTTGAGGAACAGGCGTGAGGGGACCCATCGCGCCTGGTTCGTTGCCCGTCGGAGTCTTCGGTTCGCTCCCCTCATCGCCCACACTACTCCCACCCGCCTCGCTCCCCGGTCCTTGGTGGCCAAAAGGATGCTCAACATGCTCATACTGATGTTTGCCCTCCGCACCTCCATCGCTCGTTCCGTCCCCACGGGCAAGTTGCGAGAGAGGAGGAAAGAGGTACGCCGGGAGGTCTTTTTGGAACCAGGGGAGTTGGCGGATCTCGTGCAGCTTGATACGCTTGTTCGAGTCGACTGTGAGCATGCGGGAGAGGAGGGAACGCGCTTCGGACGAGAGGAACGGGGGGAGGGTGAAGATTCCGCCTGTCGAGCGCGAGGCGCGTCAAGGTCAGTCGAGGGAGAGGCGATGAGAGGGGTGAGACGCACCGTTGATCTTCTTGAAGAGCATCGGGATGTGGTCGTCGTCGAAGGGCAGTCGGCCGCAGAGCATGACGTAGAGGATGACGCCGCACGACCAGATGTCGATCTCGGGTCCCGCGTATAGTCTGCGCGTGGGCCCCGACGGGCTCGAAGTCAGCAAGTGCACGGCAGGTATGCATGCGGACGAGCGTTAGAAGGTGCGCACTTTCCGCTAATGACCTCGGGCGCGGCGTAGTTGGGCGACCCGCACGACGTCTTGAGAAAGTCGCCGTCGCGCATGATGTTTGACAATCCGAAATCCGCAATCTTAACGTTGAGGTTCTCGTCCAGGAGGAGGCTGTCCACCCACCACCTCATCAGCTACCGCCAGCGAGGGAAGGAAGGGAGGGGGAGGGAGACGCACTTCTCGGGCTTGAGATCGCGATGGACGATGTTATGGCTGTGGCAATACTCGAGTGCGCTCATGATCTGCTGGAAGAACCTGCGCGCCTCGTCTTCGGGCATCTTGCCCCGCCGGACGATGTAGTCGAACAACTCGCCCGAGAGGTACTCGATGACCATGACGATGTCCGAGGGGGAGGAGATGACGTCGTAGCTGTGTGCGCATCGAAAGTTAGCGCCGAGAAGGCGAGGAGGGAGGAAGGCGACGGACAGCTTGATGATGTGAGGGTGTCGGAGGAGCGAGAGGTACTGGATCTGCGACAGGGGTAGCGAGAGCGTCGGCCGTCACTCATACGCATGAGGTCGTGCCTGGCAGAGGCAGAACGACATATGAGACCGCGAAGAGACCACCGACGCACCTCCCTGTGAACGCGGTTCGACATCTCGGCGGTCGAGATCTTCCTCTTGCTGATGAACTTCATCGCGACCTTGAGTCCGGTCTTGACATGTCGCGCGACTGTGTGAGCATCCGACTGTCAGATCTACTGCCTCGGCGAGACTATCGCCTCGACGAAGGGGAGAACTCACGCTTGACTTTGCCGAATGAGCCCGTTCCGAGAGTAGCTGCGGGCGAGAGCGAGTATCAGTCAACCCCTCATCGTGCCAGATCCGCCTCCTCGTGCGCCGTGCGAGTTGTAATGGAGAGCGACGCGGGACGGGGTGGGGGTGTTGCAGCTCCAAGTCGGGCGAGAGCACGCGTCCAACTCGCTCGCTGGTGGATGAGGCGGCGAATAAACGGCTGTGTAGCTCACAGATGATCTCGTATTCCTGTCCACGGTGTCCGCCCGAGCGAGAGTCAGCCTGGTGTGAGCGAGTGCGGGTGAGGAGAGAGGGAGCGTACGCCGATGACGGTGGGTTTCTTTGGCTGTGTGTGAGGCTGAGGCTGTCCTGGGGTTGGCAGCGGTGCCCTGTGGTGCTCCTTGGGCGGCATCGCAGCGTGTGAGTGACTCGCTCTGGGTCAACCAGCGACGAGAGCGATGAGGAGCACCTCGTCACGACAGCACTCGGGTGGACTTGCAATGTCCTACTCGAGTGCAGTACTATCTCACTCGATTTACTCGCACACCCGCCGATTTACCCGTGAGAGCGGGCGACCTTGCTCTCCTCGTCCAAGGGCGTCATCATCTACCTCGACAACTCTCCCTCAGCTCGCATCGCAGGCTGCACGACTGCGCCGAGTCGACTGCTTGGACATCTACAGAGCTACCTGAGTCGCCCCCTCCCGCTTGTCCCGCTTTTCCAGCTCGTCTCGCCGTCCCCGTCCTCCAAACAGCGTCGGCCAACGGCTTCTTCCCGCCAACCTGACCAGCTAGCGCCGTGAGTCTACCGCGAACACCACCAGGACACCGTCACAAGCTGATCGAGCCCGCTCCCCGCGCAGATTCGCGCACTGGCGGGATGACCGGACCCCCTCCACCCCGTCCGTCAGGGACTCCGACCGGCTCTACCTCTCTGCCAAGCGGTACGAACGCCCCTCCGCCCTCTGCCGTTCCCTCAGCCCAACTACCCCTCCCTACCTCGTCGGACTTGGGGACGGTCGGCTCACCCGCGAAGAAACGCAAGTCGAGCGTCTCGGGTGCGATGCCTATCCTTGCGCCGTCTGAGCCGGTCGCAAGGGATGCAGGTGACAGGACGGACGAGGGAGAGTCGGAGGAGTTGTCGAGAAGGGCGCCGCGTACTCAGGCCAACGGCACGACGTCCTCCTCCTCCTCGACCATCCCGCCCGCCCAGCTCCCTACCGCCGAACCGAAGAATGCAGCGCTCTCAACTCGCCTCTCCCCTCCTCCCCTCGCGCCCCTCTCGCTCCCGACCTTCCCCGTCCTCCCACCCTCCATTCCCTCCCCCTCGCAAACGTTCCAAACCCCCTCCCAAGTCTCCTCCATCCTCTCCCTCCCTCCCAACCTACTCCTCCAACTCGCGCGCACCGATTCGCCGCTCGAACAACAGGCGATAGCCGAGAAGAAGGGCGTCAAGGGGTATTTGAGCAGTATGGCGATCCCGCCCCCGAGTCCGACGACGCTTGTTACGACGCTCGTGAAGGAGGGCGGAGGAGGAGGACTGATTGGGTTACCGGTTGTGAACGAGGCGAGCGAGAAGGAGGAACTCGCGGCGGTTCCGACCGGCTCGGCGGGAGGGCTCCCGGCTCGCACGTCGACTCCCTCGCCTCTGCCCGCGTATTCGCTCCCGCCCGATCTCTCACTCACGTCCTCCTCCGCCACGACCTCTTCAGCCCTCGTCACCACCAGCACCTCCCCCTCTCCCTCCTCCCCAACCGGGGCAGGCCACCCCGCCATCCCCGTCCTCCTAGGCCAAATCTTCGCCCCTCCACCTCTCACTCCAGGCGTCCTCGCTCCGATTCCCGGCACCAGCGGGATCGGCGAGATCCTCCGCGGCCACGGACCTGCGTCCGTGCGCGAGTTCGCGAGTGTCGAGGATTGGAGTTACAGGACGGCGAAGGACCAGGTGTTTTCCTCGCTCTCGACTTCCGCCTCGACTGCGGCTGCAGCTCGACCAGCACTCGCGACCTCCCCGTCCTTCACCGAGCGGGAAATCTCCTCCCTCGCGTCTCAAATCAAAGACTGGGCCTTGTCGGAACAAGAAAAGCTCATCTCGCACCAAGTCGTCGAGTCGAAATCCGCCGCCGTCGTACTCGCCGCCGCGCACGCCACTTCGAGCGTTGCAGAGAAGGAGCAAGGCGGGGAGGACTTGAGTGCGTATGCCGAGGTGTACAAGAAACAGCTCGATGCGCTTGCGAGTGGGTACTTTGCGCAGTTGCATCGGGATGCGTTGAAGAGGTTGACGGAGGAGAAGGTTGGGAGTCAGGGTGTCGGGTCGAGGAGGGGGTCGGAGACGGATCAGGCGGTCGAAGCGCCGTTACCCAGCACGTCGGGCGGCGGTCCCGACTCGTCCCTCTCGAGTGTCCCAGTTCTCTCCTCGTCTCAAGCCCCGACTCTCACCTCCCTCACTTCGCTCACGTCCTCCCGCTCTCAAGCCGAAGCGATGCACGTCCGCGCCTCGGCCGCAGCAGCCGTCGCAGCGCAAGTAATGGCCGCTACCTCTCTCGCCCGGCAGGCAGGGGAGAAACTCGCCGACTTGGGCGTGGATCCGAGGAAGGTTGTCGAGGAGGTGGAGGAGTTGGTTGGGAGTCGGGAGGGGAGGAGGGGAAGCGCGGGGATGGAGGAGTTGGGGAAGATTCTTGAGAGGGCGGGGAGTAGGAGGGGCAGTAGGCAGGAGGAGAGGGACGAGAAGGGGAAGGGAAAGGAGGAGGTTGTCGTCGTGCCGGCGCGGAGGGCATCCGAGGCTGGCAGGAGCGACGCGATGAGTATCGAGGAGGTGGGGCAGCAGCCTGCGGCCGCCGCGACTTCGGGGGACGCGGTTGCATCGACTTCGTCTTCTGCGCAAGTCGCGGACGCTCGACCCGCCTCGGCAGCCGACCTCGCTTCCCTCCCAACCGCGCAACGCCCGTCCCGCACGTCTCCCTCCTCTAGCCGGTCGGCCTCCGTCGCTCAAGCCGCACCGCCCGCGCCCGTCTTCGTCGCTCCCCAACAACCCGCAGACCTCGCCGCCCTCGCCTCCCCCGCAAAGCGCGACTACCTCCTCGCCTACGCTCACCAGCTCTACTCGACGAACCCAGCGAGCGAAGAACTCCTACCGCTCCTTCATACGCTCGAGAACGTCCATCCCGATCATCTGCCGACGTTGCTCCTCATCAGCTGCGTTTACTACACGCGTGGAGAACTCGAGAGTAGCTTGTACTACAACAAGCGGCTGCTCGAGCATGATCCGTCTTACGTACGTCGAGGCTTTCTGTTCAGCTCTCGTACTCTTACAGACAGCAGCTGATAAGACGATACCGCTGGCGTACAGGTCGAGGCGATGTCGAATATCGGGACAACGTTACGCGCGATGGGCAAGTGGAATGAGGCAGAGGCCTGGTGGTGGAAGGCGATCAAGCTGCGCCCGACGTGCGTCTCCAACCGTCTCCATCCGCTTTACTCGCTGAGACTCTCGCTCACCTTCTACTTCCTCCTTTCTCTTCCCTCACAGGTACTGGGACGCGACAGAGAACCTTCTTGGCGTCCTCTGCAACCCAGCGACCGCCGCCTCGCCCGAAGCGCTCGCCGCAGCAGGCGTTGCCCCTCCACCCATCGAGCCGCGCTACCAAGAAGCGCTCGCCCTCTGCGACTACGTCGAGTCGCAGATCTTCGCACACGCCGCATCGCTCGCTCATCCAGCCGTTCCTCCGACTGCCGCCTACTTCGACCCTGTCCCTTACCTGCCTCGCCCTCGCACCCTTCCCTCCGTCATCCCGCAGAACCACGTCCATCGCCTGCAGAACCTCCTGTACGCGAAGGGGAACCTCCGCCTTACGACGCAGGATCCGGCGCTCGCGCAGGACGAGTACGAGAAGGCGATCGAGCTTGCCCTTTCGCTGCCCGAGTGGGCGCGCCGTCTTCCCAGCCTGCTCTGGCCCGTCGAAGGATGCACGACTCGCGATCTCGTTGTCGCCGCAACGGTTGTCGGGAAGATCCTCGCCGCCTTCGCCGAAGCCGGCTCGAACCCCGCTAGCGCGCAGAAGGTCTCGCAGATGGCGCAGCAGCTTGGCGTGGCAGACGAGCGCGGCAGCGTCCCCTTCGAACGGCTTCTTCGGACGATCAAAGACGGCGGAGACGCTTACGTCCAGCGCTTGCTAGCGATGGGCGGAGGCGTGGTGCCGACCGTCTTGCTCGAGCCGCAGATGCTCGTGCAGCTGCCGACCATGCTCTTCTCCGAGATGCGCGGGACGCTTCCGTCGATGCTGGATCCGGCGATCGTTTCGGGAGAAGCGCACGAGGCCCGTGACCCGACCAGGCAACAGACGGTCCAGTCGACCAACCAGACGACCTCGACTATGCTCCTCACCCTCGCCAAAGGCCTTCAAGACTCGCTCGGACCGACTTCAGCGTCGCGATCGACTATCGGCGGAATCCCTGCGAGTCAGAGCCTCCTCCTTCCCCTCTACTACGTCGCCCTAGCCCTCTACCCGAGCCCGTCGACCTGCAACAACCTCGGCATCCTCCTTTCAACGCTCAACGCGACTACCATCGTAGCCGGCGCCGACCCGTCCAAGCCGCCTGTCGTCGTGACCGGCCAGATGCTTGCGCTGCGGTACTACGAAGCGGGGCTCAAGCTCGACCCTAAGCACCCGCACCTCTACACCAACTACGGCTCGCTCCTCAAGGATCTCGGCAAGCTGCCCGAAGCAGTCGCCATGTACAAGCGCGCCGTCGAGTTCAACCCGAGTGAGTCGCGTTCTGTTGTCGTGCACGGGGCATGAGCTGACAATCGTCATGCAGACTTCGACGTCGCGCTCGCCAACCTCGCGAACGCCGTCAAGGACACCGGCCAGATCCAGGAGTCGATCCCTTACTACCGCCGCGCCGTCGAGCTGAACCCGAGCTTCCCAGAGGCGATCTGCGGCCTCGTCAACGCGCTCGGCGGCGTATGCGACTGGCAGAACCGCGGCGGAGTCGACGAGGAGTGGATCGTCGACGACAAGCTGCAGCTTCACCACGTGAAGAAGCCGACGAACGGGAGGCGGATTCAGGAGGGTTACCACGGCGCCATAGCCGACCTCGTGCGCAAGCAACTCCACGACGGGTACTCGTACGGCGTCGGATCGCTCGCGGCGTGCGGCACGATCCAGCAGTGGTTGTCCGTCATCAGCCAAGCGTTGTACGGCGTCGAGCCGGCGCAGGTGGGAGACCTGATGAAGCCGTGGGCCGCGCGGCTGACCTCGCTGTCCGGCAAGCACGACCGCGCAGCTTCGCTCGTCAACGAGGGCGGCTACCTCATCCGGCTTGTTGAGCGCCTCATGCGGCGCATCCAGCGGAGGTGGTACCTCGCGACTTTCGGTCCCCAAGTCTACGCCAATCCTGCGGCACCCGCGCCGCAACCTATCTTCCCGAAGACGAGCGACATCGCGCACTACCGTCGCCCCATGCTCCCGCCGTCTCTCCCTGCCATCCCCGTCCCTACCGTCCTCCCCTTCCATTGCTTCACGCTCCCCGTCACCGCCCGCGAGACCCGCCTCATCTCGCACCGCACCGGTCTCCGCATCTCTCACGCCACGCTCAACCAGCCTTGGATGCCTCCCATCGTCTACCCGCCGCCTCGTCCACCGGTCGACGGCAAGATCAATGTCGGCTACGTCTCGTCCGACCTCGGGAACCACCCTCTCTCTCACCTCATGCAAAGCGTCTTCGGCTTGCATGACTTGTCGCGCTTCAACGTCTTCGTTTACGCAACCTCGCCGAGCGACAAGTCGCCCTACCGCCAGAAGATCGAGGCCGAGTCGCAGCACTTCCTCGACGTCTCGCACCTCGGCACACAGCAGATTGTCGAGCGCATCGTCCACGATCAGATCCACATCCTCATCAACCTCAGCGGCTACACAAAGGGTGCCCGCAACGAGGTCTTCGCGGCGCGCCCCTCGCCCGTCCAGATGAGCTACATGGGCTTTGCTTCGACGCTGAGCGCCGGCTGGTGTGACTACTTCATCGTCGGTGCGTCTTTCCACGCTCACAATGACCGCCAATTCGCGTTGACCTGATACCTTCCGCAGACCCTATCGTCTGCCCACCTCATCTCATCTCGGGCAACCAGTGGCGCTACAACAACGGCTATACGCTGGGACGTCTGCCAAACGCGCAGCCTTCGCCGAGATCGACCGATTTTGAAGGCGACATCGACCCCGAGTCTGACAGCAACCGCTTCGTCTACACCGAGAAGCGTGAGTCGTCCGGGTCCCGATCACGTGCGTGTATTCACTCTCCTAATCCGCAGTCATCTACCTCCCGCACTCGTACTTCGTCACCGACCACAAGCAGGCGTGGAGGGAGGAGGAGACTGCTGCGCCCGTCACAACGTCTCTCGCGCGCTCTGAGGAGACGACCTGGGCGCTCGAGGAGGCGAAGCGGCTGCAGATGCGCAGGCAGATGTTCCCGAATCTGCGCGACGACACCGTCATCTTTGCCAATTGGAACCAGCTCTACAAAGTGCGTCCCGCCTGTTCCGGCCGAGGATTCCGGCACTAACGCACGCTATACGCAGATCGACCCCTTTATCTTCCGCATCTGGCTCGAGATCCTCAAGAAGCACCCCAACTCGGTCCTCTGGCTTCTTCGCTTCCCCGCGCCCGGCGAGGCTCACCTCAAGGAGACGGCTTTGCGCTGGGCGGGCAAGGAGGTGGCCGACCGCGTCATTTTCACCGACGTCGCAAACAAGAACGACCACATCCACCGCGGCCGGATCGCTGACCTCTTCCTCGATACGACCGAGGTGTGTTGCGCTCCGCCTGCTCAACGATTCGAGCTGACCGGCTTCTCTCGTAGTGTAACGCGCACACGACCGCCGCCGACATCCTCTGGTCCGGCACGCCCATCCTCACCTTCCCTCGGCATGCGCACAAGATGTGCTCCCGAGTTGCCGCATCGATCGCCATGGCCACCGGCTTTGGACCGCAGATGATCGTCAACAACGAGCACGAGTACGAGCGCCGCGCTCTCGAGCTTGCTGCAGGTCTCGTCTACGATACCATCCCCGCCGACCCGTCAAAGCCGCCAACGACCCTCGAAGGACGGGAGCAGCGCCGCTCGAAGGGCGAGTTGGCCGAGCTCCGTAAGAAGCTCTTCCTCACGCGCGAGCAGAGTCCGCTGTTTGACACGAAGCGTTGGGTCCGCAACCTCGAGAAGGTGTGTCCGCAGTCTTGCTCGGGCGTGTCGGCGAGCCCGCTGAACGGCTTTCGCTACAGGGTTTGGTCGAAGCCTGGACGCGCTGGGTCCAGGGCACCGAGTTTGAAGACGCCCCCGAATGGACCGCAGGCCCCGGCAGGGCAAGCGCCGCCATCTTCATCCCGGACGACGTGGACGGCGCCAATCTCGAATCTCGCAAGCCTTACTTCTGATACCCTCTCTTTCTCTCTTCTATACCTTCTTGCAGTCGCCGTACATAGCATCGCGTACAGATTCTCATCGTTCCTCCGCAAATTGCAACTGCGCATATCATGTCCTATACAGACTGAGAGGGCGCCGCCGTTGCTACCGCTGTCATCGTTGCGCCGATGTTCGCTGACTGCATAGCGTGGAGAATGCTGTCGAGGTCATTGAGGCCGGTAGACGTCGTATACGATGGACTGGTGGACGAAGTAAGAGGGAAGAGGTTCGACGAAATTGCCGAGGCGGACAAGACGGAGCTGCTCGGCGTCGACGACATGCCGGCAGTCGTCTTAATGAGCCCGTCGTGGGTGTCGTTCCAAGCGGAGTTGCCCATGACGGATCCGAGGTCGACGTTTCCGAGCGGCGAAGTGAAGCCTAGGCCGCGCGCGATGAAATAGTAGATGTAGAGGAGGACGATGCAGACCCAGTAGAGGATGAGGATAGGGGTATAGATACTGTGACGAGCGGGGAGATCAGCTGAGTCGCACAAACGCAGGGGAGGAGGACGTACTGTTCCGTCTGCGCCTGTTCCTTCGCGTCTTCGATCAAGTCGGCCTGGCTCTCCTGGAAGCCGTCCGAGGTCGGGGCCATCGCGGCAGCCAGTGCGCTCAACTCCGTCCCGTCTGCCGCCTTCGCATGCTTCTTGGTAAGGAGAGTCGACTTTTGCTTCTCGAGGTCGTCCGCTTCGTCCGAGTCGGTCGAGATGTCTGACAGCGAGCCTTTCTCGTTCTTGGCGAGATCGCGGTAGGCGTGTGAACGCGATGAGTGGCGTGACGACTTGCCAACCTCGTACAACCCCGACGAAGGAGGCGCAGGTTTCGCAGAACGAGCCTGCTTATGGCGAAGTTGCGGCTGTCGCGGAGGGTCATCAGCTCTATTCATGCTCGTGGCCAGAGCAGACTTACGATGGCGTGCGAGAGGAGCGAGCCAAGCGCCCACGACCCCGTCCGGGTGTCCTTCGCCTCCTTGATCTGGTGCTCGGCCAGGTCGATCGTCTGTAGGACCGCATCGAGCTCGGTGAAGGGGTTCTCGAGCAGCCAGCGACCAGCGTACGACGACAGCTGCAGGAGGAGCAGACTAAGCGCGAGAAGCAAGCTGGGAAGGTCAAGCGGAACTCACATCGACAGTCGCCAACGTTGACGACTTGGCCTCAGCCTCCGCCTTCTCCAGCGCGTGCCGGACGTCGGCGGTTTTCCACTTCGGGTGCTCGTCCTTGATGCGCCTCATGAGCGCTTCGCCAGCCGACCCATCGTCAATAGCCCGCTTCTCCTCCTTCGCGCGGTCCTCGACGAAGTCGAGCAAAGACGCGAATGTCGAGTTGAGGGTCTTGAGGTACTTCTCCGCCCGTCTCAAGTCGCGTGGCGACAACACGCGCCTCGTCTTCAGACTGTCGAGCCGGGTTGCAAGCCCGCAGACTGCCCGGTACTGGACAAGCAAGTCCTTGCCTGCCTGGGTGACCATCGCAGCGAGTTTGGTCGCCTCCTTCTGCTCTTGCTTCGACGACCGTGGCCGCTCGATCTTGCGGTCTTCGAAGAGACCGGAGACGGCGTACGGAACGCCTGTTAGGCGGTGTCGCTGGAGGGCGACGAGTTCGACATCGTCGAAAAGGTCGTCGACGGCTTCTTGTATTTGGTCGAGCTGAGTGCAAGCATGTCAGAGTGCGGCGAGACGAATGGCGTTGCGCGGGAGAACTCACGTCTTTGAGGAAAGCTGCGGAGGTGTCGGCCGTCGACGTCTGCTTGCGCTGCCGGGTCGTTGAGGTAGGTGACTGATAAGGCACAACTGAGGGCGCCTGTTCCTGCTGAGCCTTACTTGAAGGACGCTGTGCAGGCGGGCAAAAGTCAGCCAGCGAACCAGCCTCGCCAGGAAAAGCGAAAGGCGGCGCACCGTCTTCTTCGACAACAGCGTCTTCTGCTGTTGTCCCTCAGACCCATCCTCCGACTCGTTCACGGGACCCTGCGAACGAGCGCCGTGTCCATACGCCTCCTCGACTTCCCGCTCAATATTCTTCCCGACCCTCGCGGCCTTTCCGACTTGCCCAGCAATGTACTCCGCCTCGCTGGCGTAGTGCTCCACTGCATCGAGACCGTGCTCGACTCGCTCAAAGATGGATTCGGGAGGGTAAGTAGGGCGAGAGGAGGGTCGGGAGGTCCGAGAGGATGGGCGCGACGACGGTGGCGGGTCGTAGGGTTGGGCGGGCATCTTCGAAGCTGCCAGACGTCAGGAAGAGCGGCGTCACGGGTCGTAAGAGACTGAAGGAGACGAAGAGGAGCAACAGGCGAGCAAAGGTCCGGCGGAACATCCGCGGACGGGTCCTCCAGGCGCGAGCTCGCTCGAGGGTGCAAGCCAGCGCTCAAGCAGCGCTCTGAGGAGATAATAGAAGTCTGCAGACTGCAAGCAAGTCCAACGAAATGGTTGTCGCCCGTCGAAGTCCTCCTGTCGAGGTCGACACCGCCTCTTCGGCTCGAACCGCTCCCTGCCTCGACGAGCAATGCTTAGAACGCGCTGTGGGCTGCTCGATCCTGCCACGAGACTCCGGTGGACGCGACCACCGCGCTCACGAGGCCTGGCATCCGCTGCCGCCGCCGCACGACCACTCAGGATCGGAGTGGTCGGAGGAGGACCAGCAGGGTTCTATGCGGCAGGGCGGTGGCTGAGCGTGGCGGACAACGCACGAGTAGACCTGTTTGAGCTGCTGCCGACGCCTTTTGGCCTGGCGCGCTTTGGTGTCGCGCCTGATCATCCCGAAGTCAAGGTGCGCCTTTCTCCTCGAGCGATGAAGCCCTTCTCAGCCCACAGTCGGCTGATCCGTCCGTGCGTTACTGCAGAACTGCGAACACAAGTTCGAGGAGACCGCCCGCGACCCTCGGTTCCGCTTCTTCGGCAACGTGCAGGTCTGCGGCACCCAGGCATCCTCCGATTCGACCGTTCTCTCTGTCCCGAATACGACTCCTTCCTCTCTCGCCGTGCCCATACCCCTCGAGAAGCTGCGACAACACTATGACGCCGTCCTCCTGACCTACGGAGCTTCCCTCGATCGTCCACTCGGCATTCCCGGCGAAGACACGCTGAAGAACGTCCTCTCGGCGAGGACATTCGTCAACTGGTACAACGGCCACCCCTACCATTCCTCTTTTCTCGCACCCCTCATCGACCTCTCCAAGCTCGAACACGCCACGATCATCGGCCAAGGAAACGTCGCCCTCGATGTTGCCCGCATCCTCCTGAAAGACGTCGACGCGCTGCGAGAGTACGACGTGCCAGACCACGTGCTTGCAGAACTCGCGCGGAGTCGAGTCAAGCGCGTTGACATCGTTGGCCGGCGAGGACCGCTCCAACTCGCCGCGACGACGAAGGAACTGCGCGAGATGCTCAACCTCCCCGGCGTAGGCTTCGACATCGACTCGCAGATCCTCTCAGACGCTGTGCGAGATGTCGAGGCGTATCCGAAGATGGAAGGCGCGAGGGCGAAGAAGCGCGCGATGGGATTGCTGGCGGGTGGGAGCAAGACGCCGCTGGCGGAAGCGAGCAAGAGCTGGAGCCTGCAGTTCCTGCAGAGTCCCGTCGAACTCTTGCCTTCGTCGACGGAGGGTGCGACGGCACCCTCGGCGCTCGAAGGGATCACCTCTCCTCAGTCCATCGGCGCCGTTCGCTATACCCTCAACGAACTCGTGCCCCCCTCTTCCGCTTCCTCTTCCTCATCCTCACCCGACCCCTCCCAGTTCTCCGCCCGCGCAACCTCCGAATCCCGCATTGCATCAACCGACATCCTCTTCAAATCCGTCGGGTACCGCTCGATCGGCTTGCCTGGTCTTCCGTTCGACGAGAGACGAGGGATCGTTCGCAATGACCAGGGTCGAGTCGTAGATGAACAGGGGAAGCGGATAGATGGACTCTACACGTCTGGATGGCTCGCTAGGGGTCCAACGGGCGTCATTGCGACGACTATGTTCGATGCGTTCGCAACAGCCGACTTGGTCGCGGCGGACTTGGCGCAGGCGGGTCAGGTGGAGGAGAAGCCTGAGTTTCGGATAGACGAGTACAGCGGGGGGAAGAAGGTCGTGTCGTGGGAGGACTGGGAGGTGATTGATCGGATTGAGCGAGAGAGAGGGAGGGAGAAGGGAAAGTTGAGGGAGAAGGTGGTCTCGGTTGAGGAGATGCTCGAGGTCGTCGGGTAGTACGCAACTAGACCGCAACGTGAAGAGTAGAACTTGATGCGAATTGCGAGGCTCAGGGTGCAGGCCACAGACTACCATCGGGGCCTTCCGTCGCTCTACCAGGACCCGTACCCCTCCTCCGACTCGGCAACTCGACGTAATCCGTCCGCGCACTCTTGTCAATCACCTCGCCCTCGTCCTCGTCTTCCTCGTCTGCCTCGTCCTCTGCATTCGGGTCAAGGTACTTGTCCAGCTCGGATTTGGGCACTGCCGCGCTCTTGCCGTCTGACGAGACCTTCATGTCCCGCATCATGCGCGAGATCGAGTCGGCTTTCTGTGCCTCCTTCTTGCGTTCCTGCGTGTACGGGGCGGAGTGAGTGGAAGCTGCGGAGGAGTAGGAGGTGAGAGACGCACCCGCTCGGCAACGATCTTCTCCAGCTCTGGCTTGTAGTCCGTCTCGTACTCCTCGCGAGCCTCCCGTACTGCATCGAAAAGCTCGTCCATGCCTTTGCCCGTCATCGCCGAAACGCCGACAGCCTGTGCGATCGAACTCGTCAAAAGGATCAGCGTACCGCGCGAAGAGCTGCGCAGAGTAGCCGCCGCGAGCATCATTGACGCACCCTGAGATGCTTGTAGAACTCGTCCAGCACCAGGCTCATCGAGTTCATCAGACTGTCCATGTACGCCGGCCCGTCTTCCTCTCCATGCGTTTGGCGGCGCTCGAGCAGCGCCTCCTGGAACGCCTCAAAGTCGCGCATCCACTCGAGTGCAAAGTCGTGAGGCTGGACGTCGGTCTTGTTGAAGACGAGGAGGAAGGGGAGGCGGGTCTTGTAAAGGATGCTGCGAGTTGCGCCCAAGATTTGGCAGTCAGCAAGCTTGCCAGGCGGAAGATGCGGACAGACACAGAGACGCGACTCACGAGCAGGCGTAGAGCATGTTGCTCATGAAGGTTGCGGGAGCTGTCGTGCGAGGCGTGTCGATGATGTAGACGACGACGGTCGGGAGGGCAGAGGCGAGCGCATCGGTGATGATGGAGCCAGATGCTGACCATGTGAAGATCTCGATCTGTCCAGGCGTGTCGAGAAGAACGTAGCTGGGAGGACAGGTCAGCAGGAGGGTTTCGAAGGGCGCCACAAGCTGAACTCACTCGACCGACTGCGCCCGGTTCTCAATGTGGCCAAGAACCTGGTCGAACTTGGTCGTGAAGAGATTGAGAGCCGTCATGATTCCGCCGTTCGGGCCGAGGTTGTACCTGCGAGAGGCAGCGCGTCAGAAGAGGCCCCCTCAACTCGTGGCGTGTGGTCAGCCAGGACGACATCGCCGACTCACTGCTTCATGACCTCGGCGTAGTCGACAGTGTCTCGGATGTCGATGTTGGCGTCAAAGGGGAGGTGCATGACGGCCGGGTCGAGGTTGAGGACGTAGGGGGGCTGGTTCTTCGAGTGCAGATACGAGTTGACCCGCTGCATGAAGGTGGCTGTGACGATCAAGACACAGAGTCAGCGTCCGCATCCGCTACACCAGGCAGAGAGAGGCAGAGAGAGGTTCGAGGAATGTCCAAATCGCCTCCATCTGATGCGACGCTGTAATGGCACGCCTGAACTCACTCTTGCCCGACCCGGCCATTCCAATGACAATCATCGCCGTCGCACGCGGGCTCTCCTTCCCTTTGCCCTTATCTGCGGTGGAAGCCATCGTCTCGGACAGAGCTTCGGTAAGCGGGTGAGGGCGGCGAGACGAGCGAATGGGGCGAGCTGGGTTTCGGATGGTAGCTTGAGCGAGTCTGCTCGAGCGCTTTGAGCTGGTCAGCGACTCTTCAGCGAGTGAGAGGCGAGGTGGAGAGGGACCAACATTCTCATCGCTTTCGAGGACGAAGGTCAACCTCGTCCACACCGCTCACTCGCTTGTCCGAGGCGTACACCAGGCTTGCCGCTCTTTGGGACGCCCAGGAAGACACGCACGAACTCGCACCACCTGCCGTGCTCTCGTTGTCGCCGCCTTTCTTGCCCTCAACTCGCGACCTTGACCCGCACAACAACGGCTTGTAACCGCACAGAATCCTACGCGGTACGTCTGTATGCTTTTATAGAGGCCTTTAGAGACGCTGACCACGCGGCTTCTCCTGCAGACCACGCCCTCACCGCTCTTCGCCCATTCCCTCATCCTCTGCTCCCTCTTCACACCTCTTTCACCCAAGCCACGATGTCCATGTCCGCCCAGAAACGCGTCCGAGGCGTCACGGTTTTCCGGCCAATCATCTACGGCAACTCGACAGTCCTCTTGACGGAGGAAGAGCGCATCGGGACGGATCACACGCATCGCTGGACGGTCGGAGTACGAAGCGCGGCCTCGCAACCGTACCCGAATCAGCATCCGAATCAGCAGATTGGTGGAGCGGATGACTTGAGGTGGGCAGCCTGCGACCAGATGCGAAGACTAGGTTGGATAACCTGACTCTCTTCTGTTCCCGTTCTCTTGCGTGATCTCGCAGCTACATGATCAAGAAGGTCACCTTCAAGCTGTACGAAACGTACAAGAATCCGCTAAGATGTTGGGGAATCAGCCTTTGGTGGTGGGCCGCCGCTGACCTCGCCGCCTCCCGCAGCCATCGAGCAACCGCCGTTCGAAGTCACCGAGACGGGCTGGGGCGAGTTCGACATCATCATCAAAGTCTTCTTCGCGCCCGAATCGAACGAAAAGCCCCTCACCTTCAACCACCACCTCAAGCTGCACCCCTGGCCCGTCGACCCAATCCTCTATTCCCAACCCACCTCGACCGGCGAACCCGTCCTGTCGGAAGAAGGCCAGCCTCCGCCTCCTCCGCCCGTACTCAGCCCCGTCCATTCGTGGCAGTACGAAGAGGTCGTCTTTACCGAACCGACAGAGGCGTTCTACGCGACCCTGCTCGAACACAAGCCCACTCCCCTGCCGCGGACGAACCGGCACCCGAAGCTGTTGACGCACCCGCTGAGTGCGGGAGGCAACATCGGAGAGTTCTCACAGGGGATGGAGGCGGAAGAAGGGAGGAGGCTCGACAAGGCGAGGGAGAAGACGCTCGAGCAGATCGAGGAGTTGCGGAAACAGCTCGTCGAGTACGAGGTCGAGTTGCAGGGTAAGTTTGCGAAGCTCGAGTACTGTTCTGCGCTGACACGTCCGCATCTCTGCACAGGCATGAAGAAGGAGGTCGACGAGATTCAGCGGGAGCAGGCTGCTGCTGCCGCCGCTTAGCTTCACGCAGTATCGAGCAATGCGATCGCGCTCTTGTTGTCCTTTGCGCTCTTTCGCGCTCTCACGTCTTCTCTCGCGGCTGAACAGGGAGGAAGAGGGGACGCGGCCGGAGCGTCCGGATTGTCCACGGACTCGTCCATCCTCGCTCCTCTCGCCTCCTCGTCTCTCTTGCCTTCCCACACCGACTCAGCATGTCAACCGCTCCCTCGCTCGTACTTCCCGCCCCACCGCAAGCCCCGCCCACAGACCCGTCCACTGCTGCTGCTCTCGCTCGTCCTCCCTCTGCTGCCTCGACCGCTTCCTCCGAAGGAACTGTTCGCGCTACTGACGCTGGAACGGGCGAAGGAGGCGTGAAGGAAGTCAGCGTCGATGACTTGACTCGCGAGGTGCGTTCCCTCTCTCACTCGCTCGCGAACGCCCAACTGACCTCGTGGTCGCTCTTCGCAGCTCTCCGACTTGTCCGACCTTATCTCGACGCTCTCAAGCGACTTCACCGCCGTCCTCACCCTTCGCGACCGAACCATCTCGCTCGGGCTGTCCTGTCCCTCTTCAGACCTTGTCGACCTAGCCTCCCAGACGACCACCCTCGGTTCCTCCCTCCTAACCCTCCTCAGCGCAACACACACGACCTCCCTGCGCCTCTCCCGCCTCACTGCCCTCGCCCAACTAGGCACCCTCGCGCTCCTCCCCTCCGAATCCGCCCAACTGACCGAATCGCTCGAAGTCTGCCACCTCGAGTCTTCCGCGCTCATCGAGCGCGTGAGGAAAGCAGCGTGGGAGGAGGTGGATGCGAGGGAGAGTGGGAGGAGGAGGGTGGAGGAGAGGGTTAGGATGGAGAATCCGGCGTTGGGGGAGGAGGGAGTCGAGATGGCTGTGAGGACGGCGTTTGTGGGTGCGCAGAGGAGGGTTGGGGAGTTGGACGTGCGTGTGCTGACGAACACTTGTCGAGGACTTGGCTGATGGGACCAACACCGGCAGGTCTGGAGTTACGCTGGCCGCGTCGCAGCAGAGAACCCGGCCACCGAACTCGCGCACCTCCTCGACGACGCGCTCGACTCACAAGCAGCCCAGTCTTCCACCGCCGATCCAGTTCGTCGCTCCTCTCCTCTCTCCAAGCCCCACTGACGAGAAAGGATCGCAGCTCTCCCGCCACCCCTCGCAGCACTCAACTGCCACTTCCCTCACGCTCGTCGATCCCTTCGCAGACCCGTCTTCTTCGTCAGCCGACGTATACGCGAAGTTTGACGAGGACGTGGAGAGTCAGCCGTTGAATAGGATGGCGAGTAGTGCGAGTTCGCGCGGTCCGAAAGGTGGAATGCTTGCGGTGGAGGATGAAGAGGCGGAAGGAGTGAAGGAAGGGTGGGTCGCGAGGGTGAGAAGAAAGTGGAGGGATTGGGCGGTAAGTCGCGCTCACTTTGTTCGAGGACAGGAGGAGCTGATGGGGTTGACCGGTCTGCGCAGGTTCGCACAGGACTCGTCGTGAGCGTCGTTGGGTTGATCGTCGGCGTAACAGTCTGTGCGTCCATGCCCTCCTCCACAAGCTCATCCTTCCGCACGCTGACGAGCGCCCAAACGGCGCAGACGAATCCCTCTCGCAATCCTCCTCGCAACACCCCTCGTCCTCCGCCTCCTCAGCGCTGCCCTCCGCAACAGCTTCTCGCTCCTGAGCCTCGTACTGTACGTCTTCTCTTCCCGCGGCATCTACGGTTGAGGATCCAGGAGAAGCGCGGTTTGAGACACTTGGATCGGCGCGCTCGAGAAGAAGAAGGTTCTCCGATGGAACTTGTTGGCTCGTGGCTGGATGCGGGGATGAGCGGGTTACCTGGATGCATGCGCTGGATGTAGAAGGCTGTACGGTTCTCTGGGGCTGTGGTACGAGACGGAGGGACGGACGGCCAAGGACCTGCTCTTGGGAAGGTCGACCTCGGAGAACGGGACGGATTCTGACCCGCATCGAGCACGTTACTGCAGCGCCAGACTCGTCGATAACTAATCCCTGCGCCTTTACTCGCAGCGCGCCAGTGAGCGCTTCAAGGTCAAACAGAAGTTCGGAGACGGAATGAAGGCAGGGGTCGGGTCGCGGCTAAAGGGTCGCCTTCGAAGGCGCTCTCTTCGGCGGTGCACACGTTGACTGTCATGAGCAGTACTGTACAGTACGGGATTGGCATTACAGACGTCGCAGTACCGCGCCCCGTAGAGTTGTCGTCGGTTGCTATTCCAACCTTAGCGTGAGTCGCCCGTCGACCTCGTTCACCGCTCGTGGCTGGTTACGCTGGACTACTGGCTGGCCTGATACAGTTACTCGCGACTGCACACTCTCACACACCGTCAGCCCGACAAGCGCGCGCCGTCCCCTTCGCCCCGACCTCCCCCCGCACAGCGAATCCATCACCCGCCCGACGAGCTCTCTGCGCACACACAGACTGGCACAGGACACTCTAGACACCGTGAGCACACCTTCACTCTGCCCGCACCACCCGCCGACACAGAGCGAGGCGCACTCGTTCGCTAGCGCCCATCCACTTCCGATTGACCCGCGTTGCTCGCTTCAGGGGAGACTGACGGGCTGAGCGGGACAACGAGCAGGCTGACACGCCCCAGCGCATGTCGCCAGCGCTCGCCCACCCTCTATCAAACGCGCTCCTCCACCACCACCACCGCGACTTGATCGGCTCTCCTCCTACCAACACGCCCGCGTCGCTCGGTGGCTTTCTCGGCAGAGTCGCAGTGCACGGCGTGAGTAGTGCAAAGGCGAACGGTCAGGCGGGCGCAGCGGCAAGAGCAGGGGCGGATCTCGCGTCGTCGCCCTCTTCGCCTTCCGCGGCGGCGGCACCTCCCCCCTTCGTCCCGACCACGGCGGCCCACGTCGCTTCGGGCGTGACCGTCCCCGCCATGCACGTGTCGACGAGTCCACCACGGGCCGAGCCCTCCTCCTCCTCCTCCCATCCACCCACCTACCTCTCCACCTCGCAACCCTACACGCGCGAATTCCCCCCTCCCCTCGCTCCTCGACACTGGACGGTCCTGAAAGAAGTCGGAGACGGGTCGTTCGGGACCGTCTGGTTGGCGGACTGGCATTCCCCGCTCAACTTGCCGCCGGGGACTCAGCCGCCTGGTCCGTCCAGCAGGCCCGAGTACAAGGGGAAACAGCTGGTGGCGATCAAGCGGATGAAGAAGGCGTTCGAGGGTGGGTGGAGCGAGTGCTTGAAGCTCAAGGAACTCAAGGTGCGTTGTGCGGCGACCGGATTCGGGGTTGCGCTCGCTCACATTCTCCCGCACGCAGTCCCTGCGACAAATACCGATGCATCCGAACATAATCCCTCTCTACGACGCCTTCCTCCTCCCCTCGACGCGCGAGCTCTACTTTGTCTTCGAATGCATGGAGGGCAACCTCTACCAGCTCACAAAGTCGCGCAAAGGGCGGCCGCTCGCCTCGGGTCTGATCGCCTCGATCTTTTACCAAATCCTCTGCGGACTCCAACACATCCACGCGCACGGGTACTTCCACCGCGACCTCAAGCCCGAGAACCTCCTCATCACGACCACCGGACTCGCCGACTACCCCTGCTCCTCACTCTTCGCCCTCCCCGGCGCACCGCCCGAAAAGGACGTCATAGTAGTCGTCAAGCTCGCCGACTTCGGTCTCGCGCGCGAAATCGCGTCGAAACCGCCTTACACGGAATACGTCTCGACGAGGTGGTACCGCGCGCCGGAGGTCCTCCTGCGCTCGAGGGACTACTCGGTGCCGGTCGACATGTGGGCCCTCGGAACGATCCTCGTCGAGGTCCTCACGCTCAAACCGATCTTTCCCGGCGATAGCGAGGTTGACCAGGTGTACAAGATTTGCGAGGTGCTCGGAGATCCGAGCAGTGAGTATGGGGTGGACGAGCGCGGGCGGATACGAGGAGGAGGAGGGTGGACGAGGGGAGTCAAGATGGCCAAGGACGTGGGGTTCGCGTTCCCCAAGGTGCGTTCCCGTGACTCTCGCTCACAAGTCTTGCCGGCTGACAAGGATTACTCGGCAGGTCCCGCCACGGAACCTTGCGTCGCTGTTCGACCCGAACACCGTGCCTATCCAGCTCATCGACTGCATTGCCGACTTGCTGCGGTACGAGCCGAAGGCGCGACTAACGGCCCAACAATGCCTCGACCACGCCTACTTCCGCGACGTCGCCTACCGTTTCGCGCCTCAACCTGCTCCTCCTCCCGTTCCCGTCGCCGTTCAACAACTCCCGACTCCCGCTCCCTCACACGGCTCCACAACCTCGTACAGCTCGACGCATGGCGCGTCGTCCTCCCTCTCCGTCTCGACGACCGGTCTCTCGACCAAAGCCGGCTCGTCACTCGCTTCTCCGCGCGACCTCCCACCCTCTCACACCTACTCCCACGGCTCCGCACCCTCCTTCAAGCTCCCCTACCCATCAGATCCGAACGCCCAGGCCCTTCCCTCGCCCGACCACTTCTCCGCCTCTCACCGCTCTCACCGCAACTTCTCCATCAGCTCAGGCGCCTCGTCAGGCGGCGGGTTGTCCAATTACCCGATACAAGTCGCGCAAGGAGGCGCGACGAGTCCTGCGGGCTTGCCGACGGACCAGCAGTCGGTCTTGTCGGTGCCTTCGCCTGCGATTGCTGGGTCGGTATGGAGCGGACAGGAGGGCACGTATGGCGCGAACGGAGCAGGGCAGGGCGGGTTGAGGCCTGTTGTGCCGGCTGGACTGGCGCGCAGAGGGTCCATCGCGCCTTCGATTGCGCCGTCGACGTTTTACGACGGGTCCATCTTCGAAGGTATGGCGCCCACCCGCGCGTCGAGTATCATGTCGTTCCCGATCGGATACTCGGGCGGCGGGGCAGACCCTTCCGCCTCATCCGCCTTCGCCAGTCACTCGCCTCAGCCAAGCCGTGTCGACGGGTCGAACCTCAACGGGCTCGGCGTCAACTCGTACCGTCCTTCTTCGCCTACCAGCTCGATCTACTCTCAGCCCAGTTACCCCTCTCAGCCGCCGCGCCATACCGGTCCGATCCAATTCGGGACGACCTCGCTCAACCCGCTCAAGCGCTCGCCTTCGAACGCGTCGATGTCCAACGCGTCGATGTCGAGCGCGTCGCACGGGACCGCTTCAGGCGTTCCTCCTCCCGCCGCACCTCCAGCGAACGCCGGCCCGATCGATCCGAAGAAGGCGAAGAAGGAAGCGGAGCGGGTAGCGCGCGAGCAAGAGAAGGCCGCTCGTATCGCCAAGGAACAAGCGGCGCGCGATCGTGCTCGGGCGGTGTTGAAGAAGAAGACGCAGTTGAAGGAGGCGGCGGACCCGTTGCACAATTTCGCGCAGGGGAAGAACGGACCGGGACAGGGGACGCTGGCGTCCTCTGCTGCGTCCATCAGCTCTGGAGCGTCGTTTGTCGACAAGGGGAAGGGGAGGGCGTTGCCGAGCGACTGGATGGTCCAGCAGCGGATGCCGCAGATCATCGAGCATACGAGCAAGCTCGCCGTCTCGGGTCCAGGGCTCGACCCGTACGCGACGGGACAGGCCGGAGCAGGAGCAGGAGCGGGAGGAGCGGGTGCGTCGGGTTTTGCGGCGTCCTTTGCGTCAATGCGCAAGGCGCGGAAACGGAACGACGACGACGACGTGCACTCGATCTCGTCGAACGAGACGGGTCATTCGGCGCAGTGGCCGTTCCCGTACGCCAGTCGAGGCAGGACGTTCTCCATCTCGTCCAAGGCGACTTCGGCATCCGACCCCGAACGGCGGCATCAGCGCGACTTGCTCGAGGTTGGCGACCCGCTCGCACGCGTGTCGAGCATTTCGTCGCTTCCTGGACCGTCAGGATCGGCTATGGCGAGACCAGGCGGAGTCGGCAGCGGCGCGATGCATCGCTTCCCGTCGTACGGGCACTACACGGCGCCCTCGACCGGTCACTCGTCTCTCGACGCCAACTTCATCGCTGCGATGCAGGGGCACGGCATGTCCTCCGCGACAGACTTGCCTTCATGGCAGCCTACTGCCGCTCGGAGTACGGATGTCCTCTCGCAGCACCGCTCCGAGTCTCGCTCGCGCCTCGCGTCGCCCTCCGACACGCGCTACAGTCCTTACATGGTCCCTCCTTCGCATTCCCAGCATGCACCACGATCACCCGGTCCGACCCTCCCTCCCATCCAGTCTTTCGACGCGCCGCCGCAGACTCAGCATCCGATTCTGCAGCGCCAAGCGACGTCAGGCGGGGCAAGTATCTCGAGCTTCCGCTCGACGCCCGCTACGATGCCGTCGTACTTCTCGTCGTTCGGATCGGCGGCGCAGAACGGAGGAACAGGAGGCGAGGCAAACGGCGTCTCGCCAAACGGAGGGGTCTACCAGCTCCCGTACTTGCCGTCAATGGACGCGGAGCCGTCGTCGCCTGCTCTAAATGACGGCTCCGCGGGACAAGGAGGGATGCTCAGCCCGATGTCGACGACCTTCCCTTACTCGACGTCGGATCCTTCGCCTCCGCCACAGCCGCAGGGACCGCCTGTTCCTCACCACGTCGCGCCGGGATAGCATTAGCGGACTGGACACCTCAGCACGTCCAAGAAACCGCCGTCCGACGCTCCTTCTCCCTTCCGTTCGACTCTTTCCGCCGCACTCGACGCCCTCCTCGCACTGTCGTCATCTCCTTCGTCTGTGAACCCCTTAGTGAAGTCTGTATGCCGTCAGCCATGTTGGATCCCCTCCTCACCCACGCACTCGCACCTCCCCGTCTCGCGTATTCCGCCTCTTCCCTCGCATTCATCTGTCATTGCAACGGCATCGTATGCTCTCTCTCGTCTCTGGGAGACTGTCAGGCTCTTGCACGCCTTGTCCAGCTCCCCTGACGGCCCAGCACCGCCTCGCCTTCATCTCTTCGACTTTGCACCTTCACTGCTCGCTTCAACACGCTCCTGGCGGCTTTTGACTGACTCTGATCGCTCGCTATGAAACTTAAGGAGCTCGAGGCAGGTACGTGCCGCTCTACCGGCGTTCCCGCGCCGCGCTACGCTGACCTCGTCTCGCTGTGTTCTCGCCGGTCTGCTTGCCCGTACAGAGCTGCAGCCGCTGAAAGGCTTCGGTGGGTGCTCTCAACGGCTTTCATGTCGCGTCCCAGCTCATTGACAACTCCACAGAGACGCCGAAGCGCGAGTTCGAGCAATATGTTACTTCCGCTCACCTCGCCTCGCGCATGATCTACACGGCTGCGACCTCGTTCGACGACATCGACGAGAAGGATGTACTGGATCTGGGCTGCGGATGTGCGATTTTGAGCATCGCGAGCGTGATGATGGGTGCAGGGTGCGTTCCGTCCTCCTCTTTCCTCTGGTCCTTGAGCTGTTTGCCGACCTTGCTACCTGCAGTTCCGTCACAGCGGTCGACATCGACCCTGATGCATTAGTGGTTGCGCGAGAGAACATCGCCAGCGTCGAGATGGAGGAGCACGTCGAGTTCATCCACGCGGAAATCGCACCAGCTGGCTCGAAGCCGACGAGCGAGGACGTGCCCGTCTTTGACCCTAAGGCCCTGGGGAAGAAGTTTGATACGGTCGTCATGAAGTGAGTGCGTCCGTCGCTTGAGAGGCGTTTCTCGCTAACAGCTTACTTCAACCAGCCCGCCTTTCGGTTCTTGGAAGAAGGGGATTGACATGGTGTTCCTGGAGACGGCATGTCAGGTGCGTCAGTGCCGTCGTATCTGCCAGCCAGGCCTGTCCCTGGGGTGGACCGGCTGCGAGACGAACCACCCTGACGAAGTCGTGCTGCTCACAGCTCGCCGAGCACGCGGTCTACTCGCTCAACAAGACGAGCACACGCGAGTTCATCCAGCGGAAAGCTAAGGTGTTCGGTTTCGAGGGGACGGTCATTGCGGAGATGCGGGTGAGTTCACCTCTTTCCTTTCGCTGAGCGGCCTATCCAGCTCACAAAGTCTCCGCATCAACAGTACGACCTGCCGAAGACGATGGCGTTCCACAAGCAGAAGAGCGTCGACATGTGCGCCGAATCTCTCCCCGCCCCGCGCGACTCCGCTGACTCCCCCATTTCCACGCAGCGAGGTCGACATGTGGCGGTTCGAGCGGATACAGAAGTAGCCCGGGCAGTATCTGTCCTGTTGTATCTATACGCATCGCACTGTTCTCGAGGGCGCCCGTCTAACAATGAAGGGCTCATCGGGTATCGCAAGACGCTGGGTATCTACGCTCCGCCGCATCTACCGCTTCACGTCCCCACCCCGCCCGAGCATCCATCTCCACACCTCTCCCGCACTCGCAAACCCTCCCTCCAGCGCCTCGACCCGGACCTTCCTCGACTTCGGACCTGCCTTCTTCGCACTCCCCTTCCTCCCCTCCTTCCCGCTTCGCAGTCCCCATCGCTCAAGACACTTCTCCAACTCTTCCTCGACGCCCTTCAGCCACTCCCAGGCTCTCCGCTCTTCTTCCTGCTCTTTCAGGTAGAGCGAGTGGTTCCGTCCGCCTGGGAGGTAAGAAGCCGGCATTGTCCGAACCTTCCGACTTGGCGCGATGGGCGAGAGAGGAAGGGATGAGGAGGAGGCGAAGGAGGAGGTGCGGCGGGCGGGCTTGCGGGGGGAAGGTGCTGCTCGAGCGGGAGAAGAGGGGAAGGTGTATGAGGAGGAGGAGGGTTTGGTGGCAAGGTCGGTGGGCGGTCGAAGCTTCTTGTCGTGCAGAAGCTTGTGGACGAGGTAGTACAGCCACTGCGCACGCGTACTGTCAGTTCCTTCCACTCCTGAGTCTGCGGATGACGGAGGCTCGCAACGCACCAACACATTCGTTCTCGCATGCCGACCTTCCCACTCCCCTCCCTCGCGCTCAACCACTTCCCTCATCCAGCGATACACCTCAAACTGCAAATCTCCCTCGCCCTGGAAGATACATTCGTCTGAGAAAAGGTCGGCGGCGATTCGGTTGGTGGAGAGGGCACAGCGGGAGAGGGTGAAGTCGATCAGGGTGGCACAAATTGAGGGAAGAGACGGAAGGAAAGGCAGGGTGGGGAGTGGAGCGGTGGAGTCGGTGCCGGACGAGGAGGGAGGGTCGGAAAGGCGCAAGGAGGCGAGCCGGCGAGGGATGTCTGCGGAAGAGGACGAGACGGATCGCACGAGGATGTTGCCCCAGTGCAGGTCACGGTGCTGGCAACCCGACAGGCGGCGTCAACGATGACCACGCTTGAGGAGCGAAGCCAGCGAAACTAGGTCTGAAGCGCACCTCAAACCCCTTCTTCTCCTCCGCGACCGCCAACGTCTGCGTCACCTGCACCAGCACACTCGCTGCGTCTCTCCACGTCTTGAGCTTGTACGTCTCGAGATCGGATCCGGCGTGCGAGAGGAGGATGAGGGCGTAGAGCTGAGACGAGGGGAGGACGTCTGCGGGTCTTCGACTGAGTCAGCGGAAGTCGGAGAGAGGGAAGGAGTGAGTCACTGACGCGGCCGGATCTGCTCGTCGGTAGGCGGGTACTGCAACGCTTTGTATTCGTCCCATGAGGCGAGGAGTTCTTGCGGGTACGATCCTTGCACGAGGAACGCTCTGCCCACGAGACAGCGCTCATCAGTGTCAGCGTTCGCGAAGTAGACGGAAAGCTACGCACCCCTTGAACTTGACGAAGCCTTCCAGGCCATCTTCTCCTCCTAGCGCCCGACTGACCTCGATCTCGCGCATCACAGCTTCCCAGTCGCTCATGTACGGCAGCTCCTCTCCTTCCTTCGACGGAACCCTTGCTGTCGAATCCGCCGGAGCGACGGGGATGACCTTGACCACCAGATCCTCTCCTCCTCCTGCGTCCGTGACGAACACCTCCGAATAAGACGCCTCGCCGATCTTGCGCCATAGTGGGAATGGCGCGGAGCAGAACGGCGGAGAGGGAGGGGAAGAGATGAAAGATGTGAAGGAGAAGATTGTTGGGTGGAGGAGGTGAGGGAAGAGCGGGGTTATGGCGGCTGGGGTAGGGTGCGTCGAGGGTGAGGGAAGGCGGCGAGGAGGAAGCGCGGAGGGGTGCACTGATCGTCGACGAGTCTTGGGCGCGAGAGGTTCGAGGTCGGCAGGCGGGACAGTCGAGCGAGCGGCAGTCGAAGGACCCGCGTCACCCGTCGGTTGAGCAATAGCGACCGAAGACGTCGACCGAGATGTTGGACACTTGTTAAGGACCGGAGAGGTCGGTAACGCTGGCGACTCTTCGCTGTCGTCCGCAATGACCAGCTTCCGTCTCGCCGTCTTGCCGACTCGCTTGACGGGACCGACGACGTTCTCCGACTCCTCCGCCGACCCTGCAGCCGGGTCCTCGATCGTTTTCGGCTCGACGGCGATAGCATGCGGAATGGACGCCTTGGCTGGCTGCCGTCCCTTCAGGCTGAGCGGGACGCGCTGGACCGGAGGCTGCTTCGGCGCTACCTTTTCGACCGGCTTCTTCAACGGCGGAGGGCGGACAAGAGAGCCGAGTGACGATGCGGACGAGTTCTCCTTGTCGACGGAGACTGTTGTCTGGCGGGAGGGAGCTTGCGAAGGTCGGGCGGATGGTCGTCGAGAGAGTGACGGCGGTTCGATAACCACCTCGACAGACGCCTTCCTTGCCCGTGCAACTGGTACCGTCTTCTTCAGCGCTGGCCTCGAAATAACCGGCGCCTCTCCTTCGCTGTCGCTACTCGAACAGCTACTCTCGCTCGACTCGTCCTTCGCTCTTCCTGCCGCTCCTCCAGCCGGGCTCGTGGCCCATCCGCCGAGCACTTGTCGTTTGTTGATGACGTTGGTCTTGCGTTTGCCGTACGAGCGGAACTGCTGAGTCGACCCGCCCAAAGGCATGTTGGGTGAAGGAGGGAGGTGGAGGGGAAGATTGAGGCTCTGGTGCTGGCTGCGGTGAGGATAGCAGCCGTCTAAGCGAGTCTTCAGAGCGTTCAACGTCTCGCAAAGCCAGGAAGAGCGATGTGAGCGAGTCGTCGTCGTCCGAGTTGCGAACCGATGAAGTCGACGAGGTCAAGTTCCTCCCGCTCACCCGCTGTCACGGCAGGAGCGTCAGAACAAGGCCCAATAGCTATGCAGACAGCCACACAGCCCGGACCAGCACAACCAGCCACTCCCGCCCCTCCCTCGTCTCTCGCGCTGCGCCCTACCTCGTCCCCGTCTTCCTCCTTCCTCTTCCCCTCGATCTGGTCGTTCCAGCCGTTTTTCACACAGCAGCCGAACCCTCAGACCTACGCACACCAGCTCGCTCTCTGGACGCAGCTCGTCTTGACGTGGTGTCGCTTCACCCGGACTTGGAGGATCGACTTGAGCCACGAGACGTGCGAGAAGGAGCCATTCCGGAACGCGGCGATCAAGCGTGCGTCCGTCAGGCTCTTGACGCCGTATTCCGACTCCTCGCTGACCGCCTTCGCCCCTTGTTAGGCCAAGTCCCCCTCCCCTTCCTTCGACTGATCATCGAATCCCTCGTCTCTGCCGGTTCCGCTGAATACGACCCGAAACCTACAAAGAACAAGCCTGCGACGGGCGCATGGATATATTGGAAGAGGCCGGAGGAGTGGGCGCAGGTTATCTATGAATGGGTGCGTCGCGCTCCTCGCTTTCAGCTCTGCTTTACTTACTGGAAAGCAGCATAGCTGATGTGCTCACCTGTCTACGTCGCACAGGTCAAGGAGACGGGCCAGACGAACACGATTATCACATTCTACGAGCTGACGGAAGGAGGCGACCTCGTCCATACCACCGGTGTGTTCTGCTCCGACCTCTCTCTCACTTCGAGCGACACACTGATTGTGAAATGTGTGCGGGTATCTCGCAGAGTTCTACCGCCTCCCCATCCCCATCCTACGAAAAACCCTTGACATCCTCATCAAGCAAGGCAAGGCGCAGGTGCTCAAGGGTACGGGCGCGGAAGAAGGCGGAGAGGGTGTCAAGTTCGTCTAGGGATGCGGTGCTGGCAGCGGGAAGAGGATGTAGACTGGTCGATGTTGTTGTAACCGGTTATTCGAGTCGCTACATGGACGTGCGACCTCCAGCCAGCGGTGCTCTCCTCTCGTTTCAGCCGCACTCGCGAAGCTAGTAGAGCCAGAGCCGGAAAGAGCTGTACAACGCCCGCGTTGCGCATAGTCTGTACAACAAGAAAGCAAGAATGTGCCCAAAAGAGTGTCTGTCGATGATATCGCCTTTTTATCCCGCCCGCCCGCTTGCTCTTCAGCAAGTCCCCTTCGCTTCGTGCCGCCTGTTCGAGCGAAGGTTAGCGCGGGTAGTGCGAAGGAGGAAGAGTAAAGACGCACTTTCTCGCGTCGCTCCGCTTGAATTTGGCGCCGCACTTCCTGCACTCGAACGGCCTGTATCCCCTCCACATCGGCACTCGCTCGCACAGCCAATGAAGAGAGCAAGAAAGAACGCACGTCTCGCCCGTATGGCCCCGAAAATGCCTGACCAGATCATTCCGTCTCGCAAACGCCGTTGCGCAGACCTCGCATACATATTTCTTCGGCAGGACGCCGCCTGTGGTGGGTAAAGTCGAGGTCGAGCCGGCGAGTGAGACGGGGGAGGTCGTTGTTGAGGAGGAGGGAGAGGAATCGGATGGGATCGTGAGCGGTGAGAGGCGGGAGTTCGAGACGAGAGGAGGAGGTCGGGGAGGCTGAGGTTGCGGCGTGCTCGTCGAGGGTTGCGAGACGGTGCGGTAGGCGGATAGAGAGCTTGAGCTCGACGCTCGAGGCAGACGAGGCCGAAGCGGAGTCGCCGTTCCCAATGAGGGACGAGCGGTCGAGGCGAGGGTGCTGGTCGAGGCGATGGGCGGATGGGCAGGCGAGGGATAGGCCTGTCGATGGTCTATTTGAGGGTACAGGAAGGGGGGAGGCGCGGGGAAGAGGTTGTGAGGTTGTTCAGCGGTCGAATGGAAGTGACCTGCGCCGCTCGACACGCTCCGAGGCTGGATTGCTACTCCTCCTGCTACGCTGGGAGGTGGCGCAGGTATAAGATACCCTGTGAAGGCGAGCGGAGGACGTTGTCGGGCTGAGGGAAGCGTAAGGGAGGAAAAGGCGCCGAGTGAGGCTGGCGAGTCGAACGGACTCGTCGTTGTCAAAGGTTGTCTGGCGGGGCTCGGTTCTGGCAGCGGGAGAAGTGGTCGATTCGGCAGTCCTGACGGCGGGAACAGGCTCAACGAGGTTGCATGTCGAAGGGCTGGAGTCGCTGCTGGCCTCGTCGAAGGCGTTGAAGATTGAACCTCGTCGACTTCGTCCATGAGCGGGCGTATACTCGGTAGTCGCGGTCGTGGCGTACCAGCTCGTGCTGCCCTGCTGGTGTCAGTCGCGGGCGGCGTCGAGAAAACCATTGCGTGACTGGTCGTCTGGTCGGTCGAGGTGAGTGAGTCGGCGCGACGCCTCAGGACGCTGTCAAGCCCGTTGCAGTAACGCAAATGCGCAGGTTGCAAGGCGCCGTTCATGCGCCGTGGAGTTACTTAACTCACGAGAGGACGGACTCGAAAGCTTGAGCGAGAGTCCGTGCCGCCGTTTCTTCGAATTCGGAGAGGAGGAGCCGTTCTTCGCACGCGAGCTAAGCGTCGATCAGAGTTCAGTCCCTATCGATCGGACAAAGGAGGAGAGGGCGTCGAGGCGGTGTCGAGAAAAGGCGAAGAGAACAGGTGGCCTGGCGCGAGCGAGTTTGCCGGCGAGTCTGATCGCTCTATCGTCGCTAGATCCCGTACTGATCGTGTCGTATCATCTCCTGCCGGCGATGCTTCTTCGTGCGACTCGGAAGCGGCGTCGGCAAGGAATGACAGGAGACTCGCTGATTGCGCAGCCACCTCCGGCCGTCCGTCGTGTCTGACAGCGTTAGCGCGGTGTGAAAAAGCGTCAGAACGCGAGCAGGATCGTCCTGCAGCGGCGGTACGAGGCGAGACCGCATCGGGAGCGACCGACGAGGACGAGGCAGAGGTCATCATTCAGCGGGGAGGAGCGCGTTCAAGCGATAGCAACATTCCATAGCTCGTCGTGCAATTGCCTGCAGATCGCGGAAGGTCAAGTCAGCGCTGCGTGTGCTTAGAGGGAAGAGAACGATTCCGGGTGGACGAAGGCGGGTTGTAAAGCCTTGGGATTGGGACGCACCTTGACATCGTCGATACTCTTCAGAGGACTCCCCTCACCAGCTTACGCACATACAACCCTGCACGCCGAGGCGTTGGGACAACCTCCTCCCCGTCGCAGCGGAGTCCGATCCGCCCGCCAAACAAGGCCACGCCGGCCCTGCGATGGCGCAGCTCTCAAACGAATAAGCTCAAGGCTTGTGCCACTGCTAGACGAGCGCCTTGGAGCCCAACATGAGCGACGAGGACCGAGTGTCGCTCCTGAATAGATGCTGGGTCTGGCGGGTAAGGTCGGCGATGCGACGGCTCAAGACGCAGCTTTCTATCTTCGTTGAGCGCAACCAGAACAAGCCAATACGTTCGCCGGCCTTGCAAAGCGACGGCAGCGGGTGGCAGGAGGAAGAGAGGAGAGCGACTTCCCACGAGGTGAACTTCTCTCCGCACGAGTCTCCAGACTCTCCAGAACTCGCAATCTGCAGCGCGAATAAGTGAATAGCAACCGCCTTGCGCAGCGCAACTACCGCACCCCCTCAAGCAGCAGCCTCAACCTCCATCCTCCCCTCGTCCTGCACCCGCTCAAACCCCGTTACTCGCTCATCCTCCTTGTTCAGGCCAACAAAGGTCCCTCGGCCCGACAGCGCATCGATGACGAACGTGTCGCTGACGAGCAAGTCGCCTCGGTCGGCTGCTGGGCCATCCCCGTTGACGAGTGCGGGAGGGTCGGCAGGGAAGCGGTATCGCTTTGCGGGTGGGATGGCGGGCGCGTGGTTGTAGTCGTGGTGCGGGACGTCGTCATGGTAGAGTTCGGCACATTGGTGGGCGCACAGGGCGGCGCGAGTTTTCCGAGTGCGAAGGACGGGTTCGGGCGGGACGTCCTGCAGAACCAGATCGAATCAGCGACGAGCTCACCGACAAGGTGGGAGAGGGAACGCACATCAAGCAGCTTGACCTCCTCAATCCGCAGGCTCACGCCATCATGCCCATTCCCCCAACTCCTGCTTCGAATCCCCTGTCTCTCGATCCCCTCGTACCTTACTAGCGCCGGCACCACACCCAACTTGACACACAACGCTTTCGGGATGTCCTTCTCCTCCCCATCCGTCGGGGGAAGGACGATCCTTTCTTCGCCTGGGATCCTCGCGCGTCGAATCGCATCCGCCCCTGCGCCCTTCTCTCCAGCTTTGACGCGCCGCTCGCGCCTCGTCACCCTCACCCAGCCCGAATGCAGCAGCATCGCGAGCACGTCCGAGTCGTCGGTGTAAACATCTGTGCCCCAGACTTCGCGCTTGCGGATCGAGGGGAGGTCGGCGAGGTGGGAGGGGAGGATGAGCGGGGTGGTGGAGAGCGTGAAGGGGAGGGGTTCGCCATTGTAGGCCGAGGGAGGACCGACGTCGAAGACGACGGAGTGGAGGTCGATAGGCGGGACGGAGCAAGACGACTGAATGGGCGGGTCGACGGTCGAAGGCGCGGAAAGTCGATGCGGACCGAGAATCCAGGTAGTCGGCACGACAACCTCGACGTAGCCTCCCACCCCTTGTGCAAGAACACCACCATCGAGCAACTTCGCCGGCGAGACGAGCGCATCGTACGCAACACGTCCAAGGAACCTCCTCTCCCCGTCCATCTCGTTCACCGCACTCTTCGCCCACTCGTCCACCGCTCCATTCAGGACCTCGACAACAGGCGGATGGATCATCGCTTTCCGCGCCTCGATGTGTGTGAAGAGAGGCGGCGCCAGCGGAGGAGGCGTGACGCTCTTCTGCCGGCGCGCGGGAGGGGCAGTCGCTTGCTGTTGTTCCGAGGCGTCGCTTCGTCGGCGCTTCGTCGCATGGCCGTTAATTCCGGGTGCGGCGGGCGGAGCGTGCGGAGCAGTCGGAGCGGCGGACGAGGGCGGCTGTTGGACGTTTCGAGCGCCGCCGTAAGGGTCGAGAGCATGCGGAGGAGGGTAGCGCTGCTGCTGCTGCTGTTGCTGATGCTGATGCGGCTGAGGCGCCTTGCCCGCCGCCACGCCCTTGATGCCGGCCGCAGCCGTTCCTCCTCGCCCAGCTCCAACAGTCGGCGCAGCCGGCGCACTAACCGAAGTCGTCGCGCCAGGTCTGCCACTCGCCGTCTTTCTCCCTCCAGCCTGTTGCGCCTGCTGCTGTTGTTGAGCCGCGAGGACCTGTTGAGCCTGCTGCGCCGCTTGCGCCTGCCACGGATACGGTTGTCCACCGACCGACGATCCCGTCACTCCTTGTCCCGCTCCACTCGCCGCTGCGCCCGTCGTCCGTCCGCCCGCCCCAGCACCAGGAACAGCCGGTCGTCCATACATCCCCGCTCCACCCAGCCCGAGCGCCGGAAACAGGCTCTTCTTGACCTCGACAGCCGCCGCATCGCGCTGGTGCTGCTGCGGGATCTGTACGTTCGGGCCTGCTACGTGGGCTTTTGCGTTCGCAGGCGTGGCGGTACCGGACGTCGCGCCAGAAGTCGTCGAAGGAGAATAGGGGTTTTCGCGCGCGAAGGCGGAGGGGAGAGGCGGGTACGACGAGCGAGCTGCGCCTAGTGCTGAAGTAGAAATTGGCTCGACTGCTGCTTTTGTCGGAGGTGCGGGGTTCGAAACGGACGAAGCGACGTAGGCTGGCAGAGTCGTTCCGGGCTGAGTCGCCGGCGGTGCGCCCTGCTGCCGCTGCATCTGCGGGCTCTTCTGCAGCCCGTCGCTCGCCGTCGAAGTAGGCGGCAAGACTGGCGGCTGAGGAGGCGACCCAGCTCGACCCCCTGCTGACGCTCCTCCCGCACTCGTCAGAGGCGAGTAAGCCGAGAGGGGCCTGTCGCGCGGCGGGCCGGACAGCATCGACGACACAGACATGGGATTTCCCGTTGTTCGTCCTGCCGTCTGGCCAGCAGACGACGTAGGCGGGCCGGGTTGGTGTGGGGGCGGAGGGGAAGTGGCCGACCCCGGCGTCGCTGTTGCTGCTGGCGGGAGAGGCGAGGTGAGGCTCGGCAAGGGACGCTGGGCGGGACCGGAGGAGGATGCGGCGAGAGGAGGAGAGAGACCGCTTGCTGGACCGGGGATGATGGGCGGAGTTGGCGTCGTGTGGGTGTTTGGCGCGGCGGAGCTGGCGGGCGCGAGGTTGGGCGAACGGGACGGCATGGCACCGTACGGCGAGACTGCACGGCGTACGTATCTCGTCAGCCTGATCTCCCGGACAGCACGGAGCGAGGACGGGGCGAAAGAAGCCAACACTCACCGCTCCCAGCGCCAAACCGCTTCTGCTCGCCGCCCGCTCCTCTAGCCTGTCCCGCGCTCAGTCCCAGCGGTGTGCCAGCTCCTCCAGCACTACCCACAGGCGACCCCGCCTTGCCTGCGCTTGCAGGTCCAGCGGGCGAGGCAGCTCCTCCAGCCGGGCTCGAGTTGGCGGGCGAGGGAGCGAACGAGTGGATGCCGGGAAGCTGGCGGACGGGCATCGAGTTGGGAAAGAGCGACTTCTCTGCTGCTGCGAGCGACGCGGATGGCAAGACTGCGTGCGTGTGTGAGCGAGTGTGAGTGTATGCAGAGCGAACGAGGAGGACGAGGTGAGGGTGGACAACCACGCACACGAGCGGATTTGTTGGACGTGCTGCTGCTTGTGCGCATCTGCTGCATGCACCAGAGCAAGTGTCAGCCCAGCCGAGCTCGTCGTCGCTGAGAACGAGCTGTCGAGTGAGCGCACCGTTTGAAGCGGGCGCTGGATGGGCTGGCTGCGCCGGTGGAGCTGGTTGCTGCGTGGGCTGTTGCTGCTGCGCACCCTGCTGTGCCCCGTCCATCGTGTCAGCAGCCTCGGCGTGCGGCCGAAGGGAAAGCTTAAAGTCGACGAGCGTGAGAGCGAGCGGGCCGGGACAAGGTTGATTATCTCGACAACAACGAGCAGCCAGGCAGAGCACGCGGCGTGACAGGCTAGCATTCAAGGAACAGGACAGCCGCATCCGATCGCGCTGGAACGAGGTTGCGAGAGGTTGCAGAGAGAGAGTACGCTGTCGCCCGCTCACTCGTCTATGCTGCCGCGTTGCCACCGTCCGCCTTGCCCTTGATCTCGCTGGGGACCTCCTCGAGGACCTTCTTCTTCCGCTGGGCCGAGTCGAGCTGGCCCTCGGCCTCGGCGCGCTCGACGTCGCCCTGCAACTCCTGCGCGAGCTTGTCCGCGAGCGCCTTGACCATGCCCGCTCCCTGCGCAGCCGTGACCTTGGCCTTGGCGACGTCGCGACCGAGCTTGTACTCGCGCATCTCGGTCTCGGAGACGAGGTTCTTGCCCCACCCGACGGGCCTGTACGTCCAGTACTGCGCCTTCATGCCGACACCGGGCATGGCCTGCGAAGAGAGGTACGCAAACCAAGCCTGGACGATCCGCTCGTCGCCGTCGTAGACCTTGATCGCGCGCTTGTGCGTCCGGCGCCAAAAGTTCTGCTGGCTCTTCTTGTGCGCGAACGGACTCCGCACCACCGTGCGCAGCCACACCCGCGTGGGGAGGTACGTCGCGCCCGAGGTAGGGAGGCCGAGTGCGCGTGCGGCGCGCAGGGCAAAGTTGGTGAAGAAGGTGAGGTCGTCGCGCGACTGGGTGTAGGAGCGCAGGTGCAGGGTCCCGACGTGCACGCCGTGCGTCGGTTTCAGCGGGACGTGGTGCTCCCAGACGGGCGTCGGGTCTGTCGAATTGGGATCCCACTCGGTGTAGGCGACCGCGGGTGACGAAGGGGAGGGAGTGGACGAGGTCGAGGGTTGTGGTGCGCGAGACGGAGAGGCGGCAGAAGCGGAGGAGCTGTCTCGCGTGTGACATCCGTCGTCAGTGACACTTTTCGACGCACGTACAACCGCTCGGGAGGCCTGTGGACTCACGTAGACGGGGTCGAAGCAGGAGGAGGCGGAGGAGGAGGGGGAGCGGCGGCGGCAGCGTCTGCCTGCGTGGAAACGGCACGCAGTCCCCTGTACGAGTGCGAGAGTGCTGTTCGTGCCCGTGCAAGCATCCTGTCGTGCCCGTGAGCGTCTGGCGAGCGAAGAGCGATGAGCAGACCTGCTCGACCCGGTCCTCTCACCACCACACCACACGAGGGACAGCCAGGGATCGCTCTAGGACAGTTACAGTGCGTATTGACGACTTTCTGGCGAGCCTGTCGAGCCGCGCACCCGCTCATACGCTTGTTCGCTCGCTCGCAGGTCCTCTTCCCTTCCATCCCGTTACAACCGCCCTCTCTCGCACATACCGCCCAGTCAGGCCGTGCGAGACGCTCAAAACAGCCTCAAAAGGTCCTATCGACCTCCCGCACC